CCCCCCCTTACCATCATCACCGCCTCTACCACCTCACAACCCCTCTATCACTTCCACTCTCTATCTCTACCCACTCTTACCACCCCTTCCACCTCTTTCACTCTCTACCCTCTCTATCATCATTACCTCTACTCCTTCTACTACTCTCTTCCACTCTGTATCATCTCTATCATCATTATCAGATTAATCAGAGCTGTACAGACTGCAGAGTCAGCTATTCAATCTCATTCATGAATTCAAAGAGATGTATATGACATTATATGAGATTTTATTACAGAGTACTTAGCAGTAACTATATACTATAACCACAGAGATCAAAATGTGATAGAGATAGTAAGAGAGAAGTAGAGATAGTGAAAGTGATAGAAGAGACTGTAGAGTAGTAGAGATAATGATGATGATAGAGAGGCTAGAGAGTGGAAAAGGTGATAGAGAGGAGTGATAGAGGTGATAGAAGTGAGAGAGATGATAGAGATAATAAGAGAGAGATAGAATGGTAAGATGAGAGTAGAGATAGAGAGTGAAAGTGATAGAGAGTGCTGTGAAGTGGTAGAAGCAGTGGTGGTGATAGAGGTGGTAGGGGTGGTAGGGGTGATAGGGGTGGTAAGGGGTGATAAGGGGTGGTAAGGAGGGGTCAGAGTGGAAGGGGTGTAGGGGTGATAGAGGTGGTAGGGGTGGTAGGAGTGGTAGGGGTGGTAAGAGTGAGTGGTAAGATGGGGGTAGAGGTATGAAGTGGAAGTGATAGAGGGTGCTACGGGGCGTTAAAGGCGGTGGTGATGGTAGAGGGTAGATAGAGTGATGCAATTGACAGACGCCACTACATATCCATGGATTTTTGATGGGGTGCACGTGATGTCACGTTACAGTGTTTTTTGCACGGAAAAGTTGGTTTTCCGCACCAACCATATAGCGCACTCTAACTTACTCCGTAGATAGCAACCAATAATACAACTACTCAGACGTCCAACATGATCTCTAATATATCATGTTTGGTGATAATAATGTTGTGGTGAGGTGCACCCACCCATGATGTGGTGGGGTGGGGGGGGTAAGCGAAGGTATGAGTAGAACATATCACCGCGAAATAGTAATAATACCTACTCAAAATGCTTTTGATATTGTTCTTATAAGTAGTTAACAATTGTAAAAGTCTAACTTACCAATCGCCGAAATCGCCTAGAGAGAGTTTCTTGAAGCTAGTTCCAGTGTATTGAGTTAAGTTAGGGCTAACCCTCCCACCCCAGTAAGTTATTGTCCCCGCCGTAACAGTTACACGCACCGAACACGATCGATGGCTGTCTGCTGTCCCGTCTAGAACTTGGAAATCTGGTGGCCTAGTGAACCCGTCCGCCGGTATTCGTGCTGATCCCGCAAAGCAGAAGCCATTGTTTGGAAGAAACACAAAGTGATTCCTCTCTAGAAAGGGGATCGGAGATGGAGCTGACTTTATCAGGGTTCCTTTGGTCCCCCTCCCCTGGAAGCCAGTCATCAGCGCCCCAGGAAGCACCGATTCCATTGGGCAGGACCGCTCTTTATATTTCTGGGCGCGAGCACCGTGGATCTGTTGGGGCCCATCGTTGGGGGGGATGGGGGTCCTATTTACCCCGGCATTCCCACCGCACACCGCACACAGCACACAGCCCAGGATGCGGAATCTGTTGGCGGAGTCAAGAAAGCATCTCATCTCGGTGGAATTCTCGTAGTTCAGCTGCCCGCGCTCACAATAATAATAATAATAATAATACTCTGAATTCCTCCTGAAATTGCCCCCACAGCGATTGCCTGCACCAATGAACATGTGAGCATTTATCAGATATTATGGCAGAGCTAAATCGCGGAGCAGTCGGTCATTTTTCGATTTGACTATCATTTGCAACCTTACACCAATTCACCCTCCCTTCTTCACCCCTGCCAAACATCCGAGAGTCTTCTAATAACTAGCTAGCTTATAGGCAGGCTCAGTTTCCAAATATTATTAGAATGGCTTCGATAAGAGTGTCCCCAGCTGGGGCGCGGAGCTTTCTACGTTTATTTACCCCAATTACACAAACCCGAGCGGCTACCTCTATATCACCAGCCGCTGCGTCAACGTCGACTGTGCTACAAGATGCAATTGCAGCCGAAGCTCCCCGCATCAATTGGACGCGAGATGAGATCAGACAGATATACGAAACGCCCCTACACCAACTTACTCATGCTGCTGTATGAAATTATCCCACTCGGAGGGGGGGGGGAAATCCTCTCCCCTCTTCCTCCTCTTTCCATCATTGACAGAGAGAAAGTGACGCTAATGACTTCTTTTGGTATAATGCCCACAGGCAACTGTTCACCGACGATTTCATGACCCCTCGGCTATCCAACTATGTACTCTAATGAATATCAAAGTTGGCGGCTGCTCAGAAGATTGTTCGTACTGCTCGCAATCCTCTCGCTACGACACGGGCCTCAAGGCAACGAAGATGAGCTCCGTCGATGCTGTCCTGGAAGCAGCCCGCATCGCGAAAGAAAACGGCAGCACCCGCTTCTGCCTCGGCGCAGCATGGCGGGATATGCGTGGTCGTAAAAGCAGTCTACGGAACGTGAAGCAAATGATCTCCGGCGTGAGAAAGCTGGATATGGAAGTCTGCGTGACTCTTGGGATGATCGATGGGGAGCAGGCAAAGGAGCTCAAGGAAGCCGGCTTGACCGCTTACAATCACAACGTCGACACCTCGCGGGAATTCTACCCATCCATTATTAGCACGCGGACATACGACGAGCGCCTCCAGACTCTGAGCCACGTACGCGATGCCGGAATCAACGTTTGCTCTGGCGGGATCCTAGGGCTGGGCGAGGAGGACTCCGATCGCGTTGGCCTGCTACATACCGCTGCAACCCTCCCGGCGCACCCAGAGTCGTTCCCCGTTAACGCCCTCGTGCCCATCAAGGGAACCCCACTGGGGGACAGGAAGCCTATCGAGTTTGACAAGTTGCTTCGCACTGTGGCGACGGCGCGGATCATCCTTCCCAAAACCACCGTGCGACTCTCCGCGGGCCGCATCAACATGACTGAAGAGCAGCAGGTTGCGTGCTTCATGGCCGGGGCCAATTCGGTATTTACTGGGGAGAAAATGCTTACCACTGACTGCAGTGGCTGGGAGGAGGATAAGAAGATGTTTGAGAAGTGGGGATTCTATCCCATGGAAGGGTTTCAGCGGGGGGAGTTCAGGGGCGATACTACCACGCCGAGTTAAAAGCAGTTTTTTAAGTAGAAGATTTTTCTTTTTTGTAGTTAGTTGCCTTAGATCACTAGACACATCTATATTTCAAAGCAAACGGTATATATCTACCTAGAATCTAAAACTTTTTTTTTCCTATGCTATTTACAGAAGAGCAGTACGAACCGATTTTTCTAGCATGGTCAGCTCATCTGGATCTGAAGTCAGATCACACATCAAATACAAGACATTTCCCAGCACTCTACAGTGAATGTTAAAACCGTCCGCGTTTGTTTTGGCTAGTTGCCGCTGTAAGCCAGCGGCGGAGTTGGAGCCATATCCTAGAACAAAGTCAGTCAGTTAGCGGGGTTGGGTGGTCACAGGGGAGGGGGGGAAAGGGGGACGGGGCAGTATGAGGAGCCAGAGGCACGGGCAAGGGCTGTTTACTGACCACCACCATCTTGGCTTCGCAAGCTAATGCTAATGACTGTCCCAAGGGCAAAAACAGCCTCGACCTGTTCTGAGTGCGAGAGGTCCCGGACGAGCTGCTCGGACCATCTACTCCAAGCGTGCCGAGGTTGTGCGAGAGGGTTAAGCTCCATCTTCACATCCTCGATCTCCACTGATGGTTGATCATGCTTCCGGTTATTATGATCATGCTGTTGTGCTTGCTGATACCGCTCCGCATTCTTAGCCGTTAGCATGCGAAGCGATGCATCGGCCACTTTGCAGCCGACTGGGTGGGCAGTATAGCTGTGGCCGTGCAGCAGGGCATCGACTTTATGCGGGCTGGAAAACACATCGAAGATCTCCTGGCTTGCTAGAGTGATACATAGCGGGAGCAGGCCGCCGGTTAGTAGCTTTGCGTGCACGGAGATGTCAGGATGGGTATCAAGGAAGGAGGCGGAGGACGCTCTGCCCAGGCGATAGAGGCCGGTAAAAACTTCGTCGAAAATCACGGGCAGTCCAGACCATGCGTGATCTGAGGCTAGTGATGGTTGTGGTGGTTGTGGTGGTTGTGGTGGTGGTGGGGCATTATTATTATAGCCCTGTCCGAATAAGTCCGGATTGTCCCGAATTACTTCCACCACAGCTTGTTGGAAAAGTGGATCGCTGCAGGCGTTTGGTTATTATTATTTTTTTATTTTTATTTTTTTTTCAAATGGCAGCTGCGGTTAACAGCGGCGGACGAGGAAAAGGAAAGAAGGAGATTGTTGCAGAATCATGGGGTACTAACGCAAATAACATCCCGCCAGCTCCCAGGATCACTGGCTCCATGATCAGGGCCCCGAATTTTCGACCATCCTGTAACACAAGATTTTCTAGGCTCTTCTTTATGTAAGTTTTGTATCGTCGACCGGCCGCAGACTGTTTTCGTCGAGAGAGGTCAAAAATCGACTGTAGGGTAGGGAATTCTGTATTTTCTCCCAGCGATCCCTTTAAATCCTCTGGTGTTTCGACGATCCACTTGCCCCGTATCATCTTCACCGTGGGGAAATCGAACCAATGGCCACGGCCACGGTACCACTCAACTTTCTTATTGTAGATTGATGGTTCTGAGAGGTCCATTGTACCAATAGTATCACCATGATAACTTCCGCGCAGGCCTAGAATTTCAATGTCTTCTTTGGTGGAATTCCAGTTATACCGCTTGCACGCTACTCTGAGTGCCATCTTGACGGCGACCTCCATACCAGTGCTGCCATTATCGGAGAAGAATGCCCTTTTCAAGCGAGGATTGTCCATCTTTTTAATCAAGGACTCCGCGAGTGAAAGGGCCGGTTCATGGATCGCGCCGGGGAAAATGACATGGCCGTATCGACCAGCTGCATAGGCTGCCTCCAATGCCAATTCAGGGTTCCCGTGCCCAAGGCACTGTGTCCACCATGATGCAGAACCGTCAAATGTTGGGCGTAATAAGTTGAGTGTATCCTGTGGCGCAGGCGCAGTATTAGATGTGGTCGATTTCGAGCCAGACTCCGTAGAAGAGCCTTTGGAGGTTTGGAAACAGTCTCCGTATGCTGAATCGATCACCATGATATCCCTTGGAGCTATCGACTGGTGTTGGGTAAAGGGGTACCAGATGGAGTCATGGGCCCTGGAAGGCATGGACTCAAGTTCCGAGATACGGGAATGATGCTTTTCGGCGAGTCCTTCCAAGAAACCGGCGAGGGGTGCATGTGGTTCTGTCACTAGCTTTTGAACCTGCGTTTCGTAATATTTTGACATTTGTTGCTCATCACTTGCGGCAGGGGAGCCATTATCCGTCATCCGCTTTTCAGGAGGCTGGGGAACAGTTAAGACTGGAATTTTCTTCTTGGAGTAGAAAAAATCTTCTAGATATGTATGGTTTTGATAGTAACTATCTTCCAGCACCGCAACCGCATCGACATCGTATCCGCGCAATGAAAGACTTTCAAACGCAGCAATGGAAGATGATATACCCCCCAATCTTGAGTCGGCAACTAGAATGACGGGCAATCGTAGTGGTCTATAGAGATCACTTTGCAGCGTACCATTCGGGCCAGGGGATAAGACACCCCCAGCCGTCTCAACGAGGACAAGTCCTTGCCCATGTTGTGCCCATCCATTAAGCGTTTGGCTAACTGCTTCGACTATTTCTCGATCTGTAGGGCACTGCAGTCATGGAATTTAGCAGCCGCTGCGATATGTATACATAGATTAAGGAAAAATTACCTTTTTGCCAGCAGCAGCAAGATGTGGACTCACTGGCTGGTCGAAGATGTATAAACATTTGCTCGAAACATGTTTAGCGAAGCGACTGATGTGTCTGTGTTGTGACCAAGCATATTAGGAAATGTCATACATCTTATGACAGGTTCATGGAAAAGTTTTTGAAATCCAGGTGATATACCTGACGGACAAAGTAGGCAGCCATTTCCATCATCCACGTACCTATCATCCCGTTCATTTTCATTGCCAGTGGAAACAGGCTTCAGATACCAGTGGTTGATTTTGGGCTTCGACAAAGCATGGGCTCTATAAAACAATGACGAGAATATCGTTTTACCCACGCTGGTATTGGCGCCGTATACTTGATAGGCCTGGAAATGCTTTGAGAGAAAAGCTCCCACACGAGCCATTGTCGATGCGAATGGCCCTTTTTTAGGGGATGGACAGTTCCCAGGACATTTAATGCGGTCCCTTGAAAACTGAGACTTGAAGCATAGTCAAAAATCCCGGAATTATGACGCAGCCACTGCAGGTTTCCCCACCAATATCGTCCGTATTCGCAAAGACTGTGTAGCCGCAGATTAGCCGCAGTTTAATTTGATGAAAATTCGCCGACTCTTGTTGAGGCTCGGATGAGTCTCACGTGCTCTGTATGGGCCGCGATGAGCTCAACCTTGACTACGAATGCGGGATAATATACAGGGAACACGAATCGAGTGGAGGTGGGGGTGGAGGAATAACCAATGGCCTTTTTTGCCCCGAGCTGGCCTGTAGAGTCCCTACCCCTCATCGCCCTCAGTCAGGTTCTAGGGAATCTTTAATCCTCATGCTGACTGGTGGAACCCCTTTCTCTGCCCCAACGGGCCAACAATATCAAGGTTCTCACCGAGCCCTGAATGTAAGGCTCGCCGGGTACCTACGCAGGGTAACAACCCTAGTCAAAAAACACACAATGAATTACGCTCAGAGCTTGCAGGGCTTGCCCCGCCTCAAGAACCCGTGAATTTGTTGTGAATGCTGGCGAAATACTCAAAATCTAATCGATCTGGTCACCATGTAATCGCAAAATGGACTCGTCGTCTGGAGCTCTTCTGCGTGCTTTTAAATCCCGCCTGGACGAGAGGGAGGCCAAAGGGCGCCGCCGCCGTCTACAAGTCCCGCCACCCGGTGCAGTGGATTTCTCATCCAACGACTTCCTCTCGCTCTCAACATCAGCCCTCCTCCGCGCCCGCTTTTTACAAAGCCTTACACGTGAATCGTCTTTGCATCCACTCGCAAGCAAGGGATCCAGGCTTTTGGACGGCAACTCTACATACGCAGAAGAATTGGAGCGCTTTATAGCCTCCTTCCACAGCGCAGAGAGCGGCTTACTCTTCAACTCCGGCTATGATGCCAATCTATCGATTTTCTCATGCATTCCACAGCCGGGGGATGTTATTCTGTACGATGAATTGATCCACGCCAGTGCTCATGATGGGATGAGGCTTTCAAGAGCATCGAGGAAAATACCATTCAAGCACAATTCGGCCGATGATTTTTTCAGAATTGCGCAAAGCCTATTGCAAGAGGACCATCTGATAGCGTCGGGCGAGAGAAATGTCCTTGTCGCGGTGGAATCCCTTTATAGTATGGAAGGTGATATTGCCCCCATTGCGGAGCTTCTTGAGGTTATCAAGACTGTGTTTCCCCGAGGGAACGGTTATATGATCGTGGATGAAGCGCACTCTACTGGAGCGTTCGGACCTCGAGGTGCCGGGATTGTTCAAGAACTCGGTGTCCAAAGCCGTATTTTCATCAGACTACACACGTTTGGTAAAGCGTTAGCCAGCCATGGAGGTACCAATCTACCCCCGCCCCCCGTCCTAGCTTGTCGCTACCCTTTACCCCCGACCCTATCGACCAAACGCGTTCCGTTTTCAATGCCAGAAAGAGATCCCAAATGCTGTTGAAGTCTGGGCACAGAAGTGATAGGACAACGAACTAACTAATGATTACTGGGAACCGTGTGCACACTCGGCTGTAGCAATTGTTCTCTGTTCCCATCTTACCCGGGAATATCTGATCAACTACGCTCGAAGCCTCATATATTCCACGGCAATGGGCATGCCATCCCTGGTTTCCACTCGCGCTGTGTACGACCTCATGAGCGAAGGAGTGACCGAGACTGTATGGTTATACCCCACCCCAAATCATAATTCCATGACCCATACTAACGCGGCTCATGTCCGCCCCAGCTTCAATTTCAACTGCGCGAAGTTGTTCAATACATGGCTACAAAACTAAAAGGCCTACAACAAGCAGATCCTCCGATCTTGACAATACAGCATCAGTATAGGTCTCCTATTTTCTCCCTCCAGACGTCAATGCCACGCGAGCTTGCGAGCTTTCTCCAGGCTGAGGGCCAAATTGTCCGTGCAATTATGCCACCCACCGTACCCAAGGGAACAGAACGTGTGCGCGTGTGTCTACATGCTAGCAATACATATGAGGAGATAGATAGGTTCATTGAGCTGATCAAGGAATGGGTTGAGCAGCAGCGGCCAGGAAGGGTTTTTAGGCTGTAGCAGAAGGGGCAGTCAATTTGCTTACGATACAGGCGAATCATAGAAAAAAGACAGGTGTGTAAGCTCTATATTATTGCACGAAGTAGTACCGCCATACTAGAAAAGTATTTTGAAATTTCTTAGATAATCTTTAGAACTGAGCTTGCACTTGGAATCAAATTCGGGTATAGCCCCGGGACGGGGAGCCCGACCCTATACTAAATTTTTTCCCGTGTCCTGAATACCCTAACTCCCATCCTATAGCGCATAGGACAAAACCCATTCTACTACCTGCTCCTATGCCGCAAGATTAATCACTGCCTCCACTCCCTTCTCTGGACTGTCCGGCTAGTTTTCATTGCCCCTGGTCGGATAGGGCTCCGTGATGTCAATGTAGTCATTTATATTGGAGATATTTTGGTGAAGATATCTAGTCGAAACAGGAGACTTATTCTGGAAATTCTGAGCCTAGGCAGAAGGCCTCCAATTCCAAGGGCCGCAACCATCTTCTGGGAGTAGTGGGCAAAATATGGTCATCTGCCCTATTGTCCTCGTATGTAAACCGTGCGGACGAGAAGTAGACGCTTGTCTTCAAGAGCACACTTGGCCGGCAAGTCCCTATGTCAGTACGGGTGGATGGACCAACCAGCTATGAGCCTTGAACAAGAACTGCTGAACATGGTACCTTCTTTCATTTCTATAATGGGGTGAGATTACTGGGGCGACGTTGAAGGGTCTGGAGAAGCTAGTTTTAAACTGGGAATAACACCAACCAACATTTAGATGGCGACATTTCTTCCTACACTGCATAACAGAGAACCGTTGAGGCTATACCTAATTTCTTTTAAATAGCCAAATTCAATGCAACCAGCATTGGGTACGAGACCGTTGGTTGGCCCCCCTAGATTCTTACTTCCACGCGAACCTTCGCCTCGTGTTCGCTCGGCGGATCTGTGGCATCGGGAGCTAAACATTAACACTGGAAATTTTTTGATGTATGTACCAGTAACTTTCTCACCCCACGCGAGAATGGTGTCTAATAATTTTTTTTTTTCGTTATTTCAGCAGCCTATTACTAACCAGCCGCTCTGTAGCAATTCTTTTTAAGAGTGGAACCTGCAAAGTGGAAAAGCGGAAGAAACACACACGGCGTCATAGTCAATTATTCTATTGTTTAATTATCCAAGTTCTGTGCTATATATCTAGGATTCCGCGTCACATCTTCTAACTGCAAAAAAATGTTTAGTCAACCACGCGTTCTTAAAAATTATAATAAAAAGGATAGCAACTGATTAGCAAAGTATATGATTGGTTGACTCTAGGATATAGCTTTAAGAAACAACTTCATAGGCTATCAAGTGGGCCAATCGATGCTGCTCGCAACGCTTACACTAGCTTCTGTATCATCTCTTCCACACCATATAGGTAAAAAATATCCCGAGGCAAAATGGTCTTCGATTCCACGCTAAGCGCTCCAGCCTTTTTCAATCCCCCCGTTTTAGCTGATTGGAGTGTAAGTTGACGCCATAGTAGTGGAAGAAACGATCATGATTTCAAACCCAAGTGTTTGAATTTAATCGGTAGGTAGCCATCGACGGGGCTCGTCAGAGTCAACCATGTTCAGCCAAACATGGCATCGGGGCGGGGCGAGAGATATTCCCACAAGTTTCCTAGCCAGTTCTTTGTCGCCATGCTCTCCAAAAAGAGCGCTTAAGTCCACACTCACCCAACGCCCGCGAAGCCTAGTAGTAGCGTCATCATAGGCCAAATAACTGGAAAGCATCCGCCCGTGCAATGACAGCGCATTATTTCTTATACGGTATCTACCTTGTAGAGAAGCTCGTTAACATGAAACAAAGTGTCCGTTTTAGCAAGGTCATTTGCCTGCACCTATTCATTAGAGCTTGGGCGGTGCGTGCAATTCTGGTGGGACAGCCGCATCTTGTACCTTTATCCGGTATGAGTGGGCGTGGTGGGATGCTACCGTATGTGGGTACTCGTGCAGAGATATGATGATTTCCACTTGACTTGAGCGTGCACTGTATCTGTATGAGAATACACGCCGAGTCTTGGATGACGTTCGCTAGCCGCTACCGTGCTGCCTTTTTTCTGGGATCATGTAGTGAGGTCCATCTGAGAGAGAGGACATGAGCAGGCAAGCTCATACCATACATAAACCATTAAATCCATCTTCAAGCGCAATTAGAGCAGAAATTGCATCACGCACACCAGGAGGGCGGAGAAAAAGCGGGGTCGCGAAGGGCATATGCTGAAGCCTTGTAACTGCGCATACCAAGCAAGTGCGGGATGAAGGCAGATCGATCAGTTCCTCAGTTCAGTCAGGGTTGGGATGGTGCCATCTTCATGTCGTACGCCTTATACGCTCACGAAACAAAATGAGTTTGGCGGACTCTGCAGAGTCGGATGCACATCTGAGTAAGGGAATGTCTCTCCTGTAGGAGGGGATATATTGGCCAATTCATAACAAATGACTTCAAACCAAAACAACGGTATCACTGTCGCAGTAATATGACCAACACATTCATTCACGCATGGGCATTCCCTTTTTCTCCAATGTATGTTCTCTCTTGCGCGGCGCATGGGCCAAATATTTTGAGGTCGGATTAAACTTCACGGCTGTGCATAATTTTGCCAAGGCGCTAATACTAACTTTCCACGTTTTGGGGCATTTTCAAGCGAGAGGATTTGGAACACGCTATCGACCTGGAATTATTTACACTGAATGAACTACACCAATTCTTCGGACTTGGTCATGCAGACAGCGCTGAAACGATCTAGAAATCGCTGCGCTATGAAAGCTACCCCGTCTATCTCTCCACCCTACAATTTCCAAGGGTAATACATTAAATCTCATTGATTCTATTGCCACTATTTACACTTTACTGCCTAACTCTCCGTGCGCATTTCCTCCTGTCTTTGGGTCTCGAGCTGGGAGAACTTTCGAACAACTTGCACAGTAGCATAATAACTAAAAGGCAGTGCAACAAACCATAGTCCCATGTTTATACTCGCTGTAGCGATGAGAACGGTCGGAACAGCCTGAACTCCAAACCCAACAGCCACCGCCGCTGTTTCAATTCCCCGGAGGAGAGAACTGTAACGAATCTGATCGCCAGGCGAGTCGGATAGGTTACTGATGCACCAGTATATATAGTTCTCAACCATGCTAAGGCTGATACGTTCGAAGAGAAAAAGCCCGAATCCACGACCAAACGCCCGTTGGTCGCCCCAGTCCAGTGTCGGGTTTGTGTGGCGGTATTCGTTTTGGATAATGACCGCCCAAATCCACGTCGCGCTGTTCAACAAAGCGATGACAACGAAAGTAACTACCGCTCGCGTCTGCCTGCGCTTTGCCCATCTAACATCAACAAGGAAACCAACCAACCAAGTCGCCAGGCTCCCGACGACAGCAGACATAAAGCTTCCTAGTGCACGAGATCGGACAGTGAAGTATGTCGCAAGGTATGTGCCGGGATACGCCTGTATCCATCCATAGTACCAGAAAAGAGGGATGAGAAGAAGAATTGATCTACTAGTGACGAGGCGCCACATCTGTCTCGCTTCTTCGCGCCACGGAATACCCCTTGGCGCCTCGATGCGCGTTCCATCATCGCGCTGCACTTTCTCGGGATTCGACAACAGGAGGCCGGAGAAAAAGCCAAGGCACTGGATGGCAATAAAGGCCAAGTATGTCTCATGTCCGACCTTTCCGCGCTGGTTGACGCTGTGGTTGATCGCAAGCGCGATAGCCCCTCCAATGAAATTTCCAGCGTTTCGAAACGTGAACCATGTGGCAATGTAGCGACCCCGCTTATGCTGCTCCGGGTAGCCAGTGGAGATAGCGCCTTCAACACTCCAGAAGAAACCAGCACTGATTCCACAAACCATGGCACCAAAATAGACGAACCAAGTTGAGCCAGAGCGGTTGTTGACATAAAGGCCAGCGCCATAGAGTGGATATCCCAAAGCGCCGGCCGCAAGAGTATATCGGAACCCAATTGCGTTTGTTATCCATGGCCCCGCAAAGCATGTAACGGTCATGAATGCATATAACAAAGCATTAGCAGCGTTGACGAGGTCCGGGCTTTGTGAGCCGCCTACGCCAAGTCCATTCATAGCACTCCAGATTCCAGGGGCTGTAAATGCGCAGACGCCCACGACGAGGATCTGGAAAAGGGTGCTTCGAAAAAAGGAAACCTTGTTTCTCGCTGTGAAAGGAAAGCCCGCTCGCGTCGCGTGGGTGCCGGATGCCTCGCTCCCAAGCTCCTCCTCTCCGTTTGGCAGCTCATCCTTACTGGTAGCAGGGGATATCATCGACATTGGGATAAAAATTATGAGAAATGGTCAATCGTGGAAGTAATTGAAACGAGGATATAGTCCATGTACGTGAGAAAGGGATCAAGGAATCGATGACAAAGCCAGGGGTCAATAACATGGTGCTGAGGGATCAAACAGGGCATGTCCCTGTGGTTATTTATATCCATGACGACTGGGCCGCACAGGACGAACCTCAATGCTTTTCGACTATCCGTTGCTGTAAATTTGGTTCCCGATGTATGTTTCATGCATTGTAGCACGCAAGACAAGGGCGTGTTGCACAATACATCGGTCCTCTTAGCTGGATATGCTAATTTTTGTCATTGACGAATTGGAGAGGATATGAGTAAATTATGCAATTAGCAGCTCGCGCCATAAACTCATTGAGCAACTAGTTGATCATCATGATATTGTAGGAGCGGCTACACCGTCATCTCTTATCAGCACACTCAGGATCCATAGCTTGCAAGTATGGTCAATGCCTTTACTTTACATACCGACTTACTGTGGATAGCGATATCACCAGGTTTGTCAACGCTAACTAATGAAGTTATTTTATCCCGCTAGCTTGAGCCCACTCGTTAGGGCAGGTTGTCGCCATACATGCATGGATGAGAAAATCCTCCCAGATGACGAGCAATTGTCCTGCATGTACGAGATGGATGAGATTACCAAGAAATGTCTAGCTCAAACGTGCTCGTCTCTCCTTCCTAGTTGTGTCTGGGCAGTGACATATTTATATGCCAGTGGCTTCCACATAGATACACCGTGAAATACATATGCCATGTCCTCAGAATACAACCGAAATCGTTTTCCATCTGAACCAACACCATGGCCTCCACTGCATCTGTCGAAAACCACACCCGGCCACTCAAGCCGGGCCATGCTGCCTCGCCGTCATTGTTCGGTTTCGACAGCTTTGAGCTCCCTTCAACTAACCAGCGCATACTTGGCAAACCCCACCCCGAAAACACCGTTATCCCTCTTGCATTGCGCCCATCAAACCAAGACGACGTTAATCTTGACACTGCAATAGAGACTATAAAGTCCCTGCAGGCGCAGGATGGCGGCATTATTACCGAGAAGCTCGCACGCCATGGGGCCCTGCTCTTCAGGGGACTCCCAATTCACAACGCAGAGGACTTCAGCAGATTCGCGCATGCATTTGGTTACAATCCGCACGAGATTATAGGAATCGTCGTCGACAGGCCATTGCTTGCTCCCAACGTGGGCCCAGCGAACGAATCACCCAAGGAGGTGCTAATCTACAACCATAACGAGTCGCCCCAAGTTCCACATGCACCGGAGTATATTTTTTTCTATAGTTACCGCGCTCCCAAGCAAGGTGGTGAGAGCCCTATTGCATCATCGGTTGAGCTGTTCCACCGCGCGCAGCAAGAAATACCTGAGTTCATCGCAGAGCTTGCAGAGAAAGGAATCCTCAGCAAAGTAACGTATAAACTCGACAAGCAACATGAGGGTGGGTCGACGATCAATCAAGCATTTGGGAAAGAAATCAAAGAAGGCGATGACGAGGCGACTAGGAGGGCTAAAATCGAGGCTCAGATCGCCCGTTACGGCCGCGGGAAGCACACGACTTGGGAATGGACGAATAATGATGGCATCGTGGTAACTCATAGACTTCCTTCAATCCGCACCCAGGCCAAGACCAACCTGCCCACCCTCTTCACGGGACTGGCAGCCTACTACAAAAATGCCCAAGTCAATTCCACAGCCCGAAACGTGACGAAGCAGTACTTTGGTGACGGCACTCCCATTGACGAGAAATACCTCGCACATCTCGCCAAAATTACTGACGAGATACGGGTACTGCATAAATGGCAGGAGGGGGATGTGTTGGTATATGATAATGTTATTGCGCAGCATGGGCGAGAGCCCTGGGAAGGGGAACAGTCAGACCGAGTAGTGCTTGCAAGTCTTTTCGATGGCGAAAGTGTCCCCGGGGCATATACCTCTGCTGACTGGGCACAAGTTGTTCAGGCTTTAGATGGGTAGTCATTGCAGCTGTAATCGAAATGAAAGTAGCCGTCCCATATTCTTTTTTTTTTTTTTTTTTTTTTTTTTTTTTTTTTTTTTGTGAGGGGGGAGGTATTGTTTGGGAACGTTTCGTCCGGAGAACAGTTTAAAAAGATGACCAAGCGCATCTTTCCTACATCAAATGCCCGACGCCTACCGAAAAATGGATGGGAGCATTTTAGCAAGGACAAAGGCCAGAACTCTATATGAAGGTAAGCTTTAGCTAGGATGAACAATATTATTTAGTCGACACGCGAAAAGGTCGGCAAGCGACCTCATTTCACGTGGGCAAGGGGGTAGACGTAACTAAAAAAATGCACATGTGATTTTGGTCATCGCTTCATGGAATCCGTTAAGTTCACAAGAGAAAGAATATAATAATAAATCGTGCTAAATGACATACCGTAGGAAATGATTACATGATAAATATATGCGCTATAAATTTCACAATAACAATACCTTGCGGTCGTGGAGTGGCAAATGAGCAGGCAATACTTAAGCGGTAAAGACGAGAACAATGGAAGCAGATGTCAACTGGGAATTCCACGAGCAGCGAAAGCTTGTAAAATGTGTGGGGTATCGTAGGTGTTGTGGGTGTTGTGGTGTAGTATAAATGCAAGAATCATCATATGGCAAGCTCAGGAAATATAGTATTAGGGGAAGACAAAGCTTTGGCGTCTAAATAGATGAACGCGGAATTCCACGAGCAGCGAAAGCTTGTAAAATGTGTGGGGTATCGTAGGTGTTGTGGTGTAGTATAAATGCAAGAATCATCATATGGCAAGCTCAGGAAATATAGTATTAGGGGAAGACAAAGCTTTGGCGTCTAAATAGATGAACGCGGAATTAGACGAGCGAGCGGTAGTGAAATTCCGGGCAAATATAAGAGTATGGATGCCAAATGGGAATCTGAGCCCGCCAATTCCAGTATCCGATGATCTGGCGGAAGCGTCTACTCTCAATCCTGGAGATACATTTGGCAATATCAGGCTGGATCCAGTGTTGTGACACAGTCTCCATTTGTCGTTTGAACTGTATGTCGTCGGATGCGAGGCAAAATATGATGTGCGGCAAGGTAGAGAAATGTGCAAAGGACAGACGCGATACCGAGGCTGAAACTAACGATGTAGATGGCATTCGTTAGCTGTTGGGTTGTATAAGTCGAAGATGCTCTCACGGTCTGAAGCCAGCTGGAAACCCCCATGCAGTATGTTGCGAAAGCGGATGCTTCAGCGATAATTAGTCTACATGTTTATTAAGAGGGAAAAAATATACATCCTACATACCTAGAAAGATAAGCGCCGCTCCAGTGAATTTAGGGTATAGCAAGATGAGGAACACAACTGCTGTTGACAGGGTCCACCAAGCCACGGATGTGACAGCTCCACCAAAAGTGGTGAGCTTGCGGAAAACCGCATAAGAGTTCTCGATCGAAGTTTGAAGATTTGCTGTCGAGGCAGTGACGTCTTTCAAAATCGCTTGAGTAATTCTTAGGTCTGTTTGAAATGATTTTTGGTCGTGACGGTGCTGCAGCTGAACCTGCTGGAGTGCGACCGCCGTAGTTTCAAACTGTTGGAACGCCTGCTCGAACAATTTCATGCGCTATTACAATTAGTTTTGACTCGGTTTGGTCATAGGGGCACACATACTGAATCCAGGCCATCATGTCTAGCCTCCATAGACCTCATGAAGTCTTCTACGGCGTGCTACATAGTAAGTTAGCAGACTGCGAGAGGGAGGCGCAGTGGATAAACACATACCATAGAATAATATATCTTGCCAAAGCTTTCAATGATGGGTTCCAGGTCTTGGTTCCTTAGATGTTCGGCCGACTGCCTCACGGACGAAACCAGTGCTAGGTTCGCTTGATGATTCTCCTGTTCAGCCGCAGCCATCTCCGCAGCCCTTTTTGTTGTACTCAAGTGAATTTCATTAAGAACCTGTTTCAGCTCGTGCATCGAATTTGAAGCAGAATGGAGATCCTAACAGCAAGTGAGAAAATGAATGTCCGTCATAATAGGAATCATGTGTCAAACCTCTTTCACATTGGCTGCCTCCGATCTTGCAGCAGCCATAACAATTTGCACTCCTTCGACATCATCAAATACCTTTGTCGTTATATCATGATATCGTAAAAACCCATCCTCCAGGTCTTGCAAAAGTGTGTTTCGCATGTCATCCACGATTTTTAAAAATGCTCTCTGCCGAGATGTCTCCATAGCTGCTGAGGTAAGTGTCTGGTTCAGCGAGTCATTCAAAATAGAGGTGATGTCCATCAAATTCTTATACCGCTTGAGGTCATCCTCGCGCTCAATCTCTGTCCGTGCTGCCTGGCACATGACAGCCGCATTTTGTCTGTTGTTACTATAGCTCGTCCACCATTGGGGTCGAGATTCTAGGGAGTTCAAGCATGGCGCCAGATGGGAGGGTTGAACAGGATCCTCTGCATCCGGGTGCCTATATGTCGGGTGAGTAATAAGAATAGGAGGACATTGCTCGGGTATCGCAGCTCCAGCGCCGATAAGTTCGCAAACAGCAAGCCTAGCAGCGAACAATGACTTCACATTGTCTAGAGAGTCGGAGAGCCCGGCCTTTTGGGTCCCGTCATCCCCACCGAGTGATTGACAGGACAAAATTAAATTAGCCGCAGCCAGCCGGTTACAAGAAGGTGATGACTTCATGGAGTCGAGAATTTTAATAGCATCTGAAAAAACCTCGCTCTGCTGGTTGTTCTGTGCATGAAGTAAGGATGGTAGGTCAGTCTCATCAGAGCCCATACCGATTGACGATGAGTTCGGGCCTGATGTGCACGGTAAGTTAAGGAGACATATGTATGAAAGTCTCTACCCGCTATCTCACCTTTCTTCAAAGACGGGAATCTTAGCGAATCTGCGCCTGCTAAGAGATTCAAGGTGCCTAGGCACAGAGCACAGATTGAGTGTAGTGGGCGCCTCATCCTGATGAGTGGCGCGATGTAGAAGAGAAAAACAGAAGGGAGAAAAAAAAAAAAAAATAAGTTACGAAAATGATTCAGAAGCACGTCTCGTTTAATAAATCGAGAGCCGAATTAACAACAAGAGAAATTTCATATCAGGTAACGCAGCATGAGTGAACTTAGTGAGAAGTGATATTTTTGATTTGAGTCTCTAATAAGCATGATAACAGAAGCCAACCAGGGCCGAAACAGTAAAATCACTGATTAAGGGACATAATATCAATAAAGGTGGACGCCAGCATTTCCTAAATAAACGATGTCAGGCATCTGCTAGAGGAATTGGCTGGAGGTACATTGTTGGAAGTTGATGATAGAAATGAGCGACGAAGGTCGCGTCGTAAGGTCGGATTAGTTCCAAGGTTGCCTCGTGGTCACGTGAAAGTCTCTGAGAGGTCACGTGGAAATTTATTTGAAATCCAGAACTCTTACCACGAGCAACGGAGGAGCACTCACAATATCGAAGCAATTCAACACGCACAAGATGAATGGGATAATATCAAGGAGCTGCTACAGGCAGCTCCTCAAAGAGCCCATGAGGTCCAATTCCTTACCAGCCTTCCTCCTTCCCGCCTTTTCCCTTCCCCTTCGCAGCCAGCCCTTCTCAACATCAACCCCGACACAATCGCGAATTGGCGCTTCGCCGCTCTCAATTCCTTCCGAAGTCTCATTGAAATTCATCGAGTTGCCAAAAGCTAAAAATATCACTGCGCGGCAGGGGAAGGATACTCCCACTACTGCAGTGGAGGTTACTGGACCATTGGGTTGGTCATTTCATTACCCATTCTCATCATAATGTCTGAAGGCTAACGAACACTTATTGCAGGAACCATGACATTGACGCTCCCGTCATTCTCGACCGTAAACTTTGATCCGGAATCCCGAAAGGCAACAGTCGAAGTACAAGATGTGGAGGTTACACATCAGCGTGCTATGTGGGGTATGCGCCTACGATTTCACTGCCACCCTTTACCTCCCCGTTTAAAGCCGCCAACCCTCATCTAACCCGCTTCATCAATAGGAACTGTACGGCAGCATTTGAAAAACTACGTTTTAGGAGTGTCAGAAGGCCATACTTGCATCCTCAAGCTCGTCGGAGTTGGATTCAGGGCGATGATCGAACCCAAGGCCGTCACCGTTCCAGAACCAGATTACCCAGGTCAACAGTTCATTTCGTTGAAAGTCGGCTACGCGCATCCAATTGAGCTAGGCATTCCGCTTGGGGTCAAAGCCAGCATGCCGCAACCAACTACTATCCTACTAGAAGGAATTGACAAGGAAGTTGTGACGCAGTTCGCTGCTGAGATTCGCGCATGGCGCAAGCCCGAGCCATACAAGGGTAAGGGCATATTTGTGAACGGCGAGACGATAAAACTGAAGGCAAAGAAGATCAAGTGATCCCGTTTTTTGTGCTATTCATGCTCTGCTATTGCTTTTTGTATATCTATGCCCTTGGGATTTTTCTAGTTTATTTTTCTGTAGAATAGCCGCGATATTTCTGTTGCCGTTCTGCTCGGCCCGTCACCTGCCATCCATCTTCACAACACCTGAGAATATGTCATAGAATTTCTTCATTATAGCTTCAGTACTCTTTGAACGGCATTGATAACTTGATCATGGATGGCGTTCGGCGAAGCAACGACACCGGTATTGTCGGCCAGCGTTCTTCCCTTCCCAAAGTTAAGTCTCTTGCCGTAGATATCGGATACCATCCCTCCGGCTTCGCGGACCAGCAAGTCGCCAGCGGCATGGTCCCAAATCTTCTCTTGGTAATTCTTCCTCACTGGAAGCCTCAAGTAAATATCACCAGCCCCCCTTGCAATCGAGCAGTATTTGGCTTGCGAGTCGAGCCGTACACTTGCGCCAGTGATTCCTAGCATTTTTGCAACGGCAGCGTTATCATCCTGTGCAGAGTGTGCAGCCTCAACCCCTTCACAGAATGAAGCCTTTGTAATATCCGGGACCGGCCTCATGGAAATAGATTTGCTTTCCTGTAGTTTTCCATCAGAGAGGCGCCGGCTCGAGGCGCCTTGTCCGAGCACAGCAGAAAAGAGCATTCCACTCCCATTGGCGCCGGACTGAGCGCTCGCTAGATCGACGGGAATCGGTGCGGAGTCAGAGATTGGCAAATTTGGGCAGCCGATCACGCCTACTTTGACGTCGCCATCCACAATCAAACCGAGACAAACGGCGTATTGGCCCCCGCGGAGGAATCCCTTTGTCCCATCAATAGGATCCAAAGCCCATATCCTCCCCTTCGGTCCTCCGGCACTTTTCCCCTGGTCGAGTATGTCCAGCATAGCTTCCTCGCTCTGCAATGGTCCTCCTAAAACTTTGTCACTCTCTCCATCAGTGAGCTTGATGCCTTTGACCAGGTCCCAAATCTCATTACTCAGAGGCTTGTCTTCCCTGAGAGCACTGGCTTCCTCCTCAGCAACGATTTCGTCATCTGGGAAGTTCTCGCGGATTGCCTGAATAATGAGAGCCTGTGCACCGAAGTCACCCTTCGTGACGGGGGACTTGTCGTCCTTGGATAGAGTGCCTTTAGCTTTTTCGTTGAAGACTTTCTGTGTCAACAGCGTGGCCCTCTGTACAGCGAGTTCTGCAACATAGAGTTCCTGCTGGTAAGACATGTTTATTGCTGGAGTATAAAATGACTTGGGAGATAATATGTGCCCTGAGAATTGGGACAGGCGGGTTCGGAGTCGAATCGCAATGCCGGATGCCAGGATGAGGAGGATCGAAACGACAAAATAAACGCCAATACACTTAGAGAGTGAATTTGTTTTTTTCAATTGATGGGCTTCAACCTTCATGTATATATATTATATCAATGTGTCTAGAAAGAATAACTATAGAGCCAGGTCAGTCTTTGGGTGTTGAATCGCAGCTGAAACTTGCCTCGGCGGCGCTCCTCCCGCACTAGTCTGTTTCCAGCTGGCTAGCGTCCACCTCGGGATTATCCAAACGTCATCCCAGTATGCGCCGAACAACTTCACATTTTCCCATTCAGGCAAAGGTTTCGCTGCTTACCTCTCGGATCTCGTGGAATGCGCGCGTAAACAGGTAGAAAGCTTCTTCGGACAGTCAAATTATTGTATTTATTTTATCTAAACCACCCATACACCGTTCATTCACGACCGATTATTGACCAGCGCGGGGTACACGTATTCCTACTCAAAATTCTGCACCTCCCGCTGGACCAGGTTTGACGGTGTTATATTGCTCTGTGTGCAACTATCTGTGATTCCAGCTATTTCACAGGGCTGAAGCTAGCTTGCCTGCTCTCCGATCGAACGCTTAAACCCATTTTCACTTGTCAACCTCTCTCTATCCTCCCCACAGTTTACATATATCCCGCGCAGGCGCCCAGCATCCATAAGACCACAGTTGCAGACTAAAACTCCATACTATATACTAAATTAAGCTAAATTCTCTAATTCTCCTCTGTGAGTTGCGCCTGAACCCGGCCGTTGATAACACTTCCTAATAAATCAGTTAGAAACTAATTACAAATCGTGGGCAGATCCTCAATTCCCGTTGCACAACCCGTGCATCATGTTCTCCGGATCTGTAAGTTCTCCCTTTCTTGTTATTGTTTCAGTTAATATTGCCATCTACGGTAGCTATGTTCTGCTTTGTCAATCCAAATTTCCATCTTTCTTTCTGTCACCTCACAAAAGGAAATTCTCACTTGATAAACGTGACAGCATATCGATCAAATTGCCTTGGTTGTCTGTTTCGTATCTAATGAGATCGGATACAGCCTCTCTTCTCTTGTGATTTATTCTATTATTTCTTATACTACATCTACACTTTCTATTGTTAGGGACACATATTGGATTGTATCATCTATTGCTATATTGCTAGTTTGCGTGTCTCCAGCTAATCATATGGATACCCTTTTTCTCTGGAAACAGAAACCGTATTCGGCGATCACTGTTCAAATCGACAGGCTCACAAGTGAAGAGTATGACATCGACGACTCGAGTGGAATTGTAGACCTGATCGAAGTGGTCCGCCTACAAACGACCGGTCCAAGTGAGGCCAGTCGCGCCCTAAGAAAGAAATTGTATGTATTTTGCCCCCCAGTCGGCAAGCTATCCTTGCGATATCTAAGTACAATTCTGCCTCAGAAAATATGGATCCGTCCATCGCCAGCTTCGGGCTCTTACAATTCTAGACTTCATTATTCAGAATACTGCCACCAGATATCTCCGCGGCTTCACTGATGAGCCACTGCTCGAACGCCTTCGTGTAGCTGCTACAGATCCAGTTTCAGACCAAGAAGTTAAAGACAAATGCAGGCAACTGTTCTTACAATGGTCGTCCTCCTTCAATGGAGTTGCTGGTATGGAACGGATTGCGGCTCTTCACAAGCAACTGCCGCGACGGAAAAAGCCGATGAACCTACAACAATCCAAAGTCCTCAAGGAAACTGAAGCGCGTCCTGAATCTCCAATTGGTCACTCTGTATCCATTTCTACAGGCAATGGCCCCTCTACCGTTTTGTCGTCTCCCACGTCTTCAAAGGCTTCCAGATCTAGTAGGTCAAGTATCTCCAAGATAGCGAAAGATAGGCCCTACCGCGGGAAGGCTTTCAATCTCGAAAAGGAGAGGCCAGAAATTCTGCAAACCATTGCATCCGCATCCATGGCAGGAACTAATCTTTTGAATTCGCTTAAACGGGTCAACCGTGAGAATGAGCGTGTGAGTGACAACGCGGAAGTAATGAGCCAATTCGATTTATGCAAAGACCTACGGCGGCAAATTTTGAGATATATCCAACATGTCGAAAGCGAAGATTTCCTCGGAAGTCTTATTCACGCGAACGACGAGCTGGTCAATGCGCTTATGACTTTTGAAGTTCTTGACAAAAGCGTCGACGATGATAGCGACAGCGATAGTGAAGGCGGGATAGGAGAGGCTGACGCGCCAGGTGGTAGGGGGATGAACGATGGGTTTGCGGATCTCAATCTTGGCGGAACCACCAAGCCTCCGCGACCTGCAAAACCGAGCAACTTCCCCTACAGCCCCCGATCGTCAGTATCGTACGAAAAACGAAAGGACGCGGATAGTCAGAGTGAAGAGTCAGAAGATGACGAAGATGATGATGAAGACAACCCGTTCGGAGACAGGAATGCAGTGAATACTCCCGGTATTGAGAGGTCTGAACCTACTTGGTAAGAGATCCCTGGATTCAAACTCTCACACCCGCCACTAAGGATCCTAATTCGATCACCTCTGCAGGCGAGAAGTTTGATGATTCTTTTTTTATGCGCCGGTATAACTATTCATTCTCCCTTCCCCGCGAGCACCTCACAAATACCAACGCGTCTCAGAAGTCCTCATGTCTCTTTACGTCTCCCTCATTTCGTTCCGCTAAATATGAAAAATACCCTCCTCCAAGTGGCTTTTTGCCTATGTCAGAGCAGGCTTCAATATTTGACCCAACTTGTGCTTCCTGGGTAGAAGACGTTTTTATCATGGCTATATGTCAGAAGATATCTAATGAGATATGGTCAATGACGGAATTTGTATACTTACCTGATTGTGTCGCATAGATATCTATCAAGCGATTCCTCTCCTTTTAACAGTTGAAGATAGGCCCGTGGTGATGTGGCCGCTGCTCTCTATTTATTCTTTACAGGCTAATAATAATTATCTTCTCCAAAGAACAGTTTTGGCCGTATGCACATAACATACCGTGTGGAGGTGAGATTTTGCTTGCTACATGGGAATCACTTGCAATCCTTGACACACCCCTCCCTCCACGCACGTTTCCATCCGCTTGTCAGAATTAGAAACTGGAGATCGGTCATGTTGTAAACCTTTTCAATTCAGACGGCTATCAGATCCCCTTAGTGCGCATATAAATGAACCAAGGACTACGAAAATGCTGTCCAATAAAACTATGCACGGGCACGTATACATGCTACGCTCGCAACACAAAATAAAACAATATTAAACCCCCCTCTAGAAATCCAACTCCCCCACATGTCCCAGAAACGCCTTGTTTCCCCCTCCAGCCAACAACGCCTCAATATCTACTCTACCTGCTGTCAAATACGTCTCGCTAACACCCATATTAATTCTCTTCCCCAACAATTCCCTCAGCTGAGCCTTGAGCCCCGCGACCTCTCCCTTCGTCATACTTCCCACTGCCTTTTCCCTGGCCTCCCTCCCGCCGCCTCTCCCCCTTCCCCTCCCCTTCCCCTTAGCCTGCTCCGCAAATTCCTCACTATCATAATCAACCCCCAAATCCTCCGCCGCGGACCGTAGCCAGTCATCTTCAGACGACAGCTTCTCCTTCGCAAGCGCATGGTCTGTTATTTTCTTCGAGAGGGTGACGCGGGGACGCACGCGGGCTATGACGCGCCGGTCCAAATCGACAGAGTGCAGCGGGAGCCGCTTCGACGAAGACGAAGACGTGGCAGATGTGTGGACTTTTGCCGCTAAGCGCGCCACGCCGACGATTTCCTCGGGTGCGCAGAGCAGGATGGATTTACCCGAGGCGGAGGCGCGGGCTGTGCGGCCGGATCGGTGCACGTATGTATCTGCAGTGCGGGGGACATGGTAATGAATGATAAGGTCGATCCCCTTGATGTCGAGGCCGCGTGCGGCGACGTCGGTTGCGACAAGGATAGAAGATGGATCCGCAGTTGGAGAGGAGAAGCGTTCGACGGAGCGGAGACGGGCCTTCTGGGCCATGGAGGAGTGGAGGGCGAGGGCGGGGAGATTAAGGTTTTGGAGGAAGGCGGTCAGACGGCGGACGGCGGAGATAGAATTTGTGAAAACTAGTGTGCGGTGTTTCGGGTGGTAGAGCATGAGAGTGTAGAGATATAAGTCCTGTTTGTGGGGTTTAGCGATACTTGCAAGGTGAGGTTTTTCTTCGGTGGGGGAGGGGGATGGGGGACAGCTTGGATAGAAAATGTATCCTTACCTTCTCCATAGCTGGACATTCCACAAGACCTTCCTTGAGGTTCTCCGCCATTTGAGCAACAGGATTCACGTCTATAAATTTCGGTTTGTCTTCGCTGAAGTTGAGCTTTTTAAGTAGATACTCCATCGACTGCTTGTTATCGAGCAGATCTCCGTCAAAGAAACGGCTCTTTCCCGCCAGCTTCTGTTGCAGTCCCTTATGAAAGGTCGCCGAGAAAACGAGCGTCTGCCTCCTAGGAGCCTTGGAAGCATCATCCGTGCTCTCTGAATGGGAGGCAGGCTCTTCTATTCCGTCATTCGTCTCCTTGAGATCAAGCGCAGTCACTATCTCCTCAACCTCCTTGAAATGCCCTTCACTGAGCAGTCGATCTGCTTCGTCGACAACCAGAAACTTGATATTTTGAAACCTGCGCAATAGACCGTGTCCTGTGCTGATTACATCCCAGAGCCGGCCTGGTGTACCGACAACGATATCCGCATTAGCCAGAAGCCGTTGTTGTTTTTGAACGGAAAGGCCACCAGTCAACAAAGCAATTCTCGCATTGATATTTGGGGCATTGGTGCATAATGCCGTAATATGTTTAGCTAGTTGGTGGGCGAGCTCTCTGGTCGGTGATAAAATCAGCGCAATAGGATCTTTCCCTACGGACTCTAGATCTTTATGCTGTTGTGATGGTTCATCGTGGCGAGTCTCTAGGTAATATTCCAGAATGGGAATACCAAATGCCAGTGTCTTACCGGAACCTGTCGACGCTTTACCGACGACATCATGGCCGGCGGCGATAGCGGGTATACATGCAGACTGAATCGGAGTGGGCTTCGCGAATTTGAGCTTCGACAGGCTTGTTTGAATCTCAGCAGATATATCCAGAGGGCCCCAGGCTGACACGTCCACCTCCTCTTCGTCATCTTCATTCAAAGCTTCAAAGGATATCCCAGATTGTAGTTCATCTTTGGGCGTGGCTTTTTTGTTATTCTGGAGTTTGGTTTCCTTCAATTTCTCCGGCTTCTTATTCTGCGCTTTCTCTTGCTTTTTCTTCTTCTTCTCCTTTCTCTTCTCAGTCTTATCAGCCTGGGTCTGTTTCTCCTTGACATCGTCTACCCCCTCGTCATTCGGCCCTTCATCATCGGAAATCCCACTCCACTCGTCAGCGTCATCCTTCGTATCCGACGATATATCTTTGGCGGCGGTATTTTTCACTTTATTTCTAGAAACCTACACGAAAATCAACGTCATGTATTAGTTCAATGTTCACATAATATAAAAACCCTCCATCCAAAAACACTCTAATTTCACGCACCTTAAATTTGACTTCTCCGTTCCCTGTTGGCCGCACAATATCCACGCCGTCAATTTCCTCCAGGCCGAAGAATCCCTCTGCATCCTCCAACCTGTCTGGCAAAGCGACCTCTTTCCAATCGAGCTGGTCAATCCCGACGATTTCTCCGTCGGCTCCGGTAACCTCGACTCGCTGGCGTTTCTTAGATTTCCGCGACGGATCTCGCGTGTCGCGCTCTCGTTTTTTCGCCATATTTGATAATAGCTTATATGTATATGATCGTGATTAAGGGTAGATTCCTGAGATCAGCCCGATTTTATGCCGTAAATGCTGGTCCGGGTTGTGTTAATTGTGATAATTGTGATAGTCATTCAAAGAATTCTTCTGCCCGGGAAAAAATGAATTTTAGCTCCAAAATATTTCCCCCACCAACATCAACCTCCGTTATTTAAATATTTATTATTCCACCGCTCCAACCTCACATGTTACGGGATTGACACTTATTTACCAGAATACTAATACAATGAAAATAACATAAAAGAAGAAGAAATACACCGACTCCCCGACTCCCCGTATCCCGAATATCCAAATTTAAAAAAAACATGGGAAAATCCTCCAAAGACAAGCGCGACGCCTACTACCGCCTTGCCAAAGAGCAGAACTGGCGAGCCCGCTCCGCCTTCAAGCTGATCCAGATCGACGAGCAATTTGACCTGTTCGCACACTCAGATCCAGACAGCGTCACGCGCGTGGTCGACTTATGCGCCGCGCCGGGGAGTTGGAGCCAGGTCCTCAGCCGCGTGCTGATTAAGGGGGAGAGTTTCGGGCGGCGGGCGTGGGAGGAGAAGCGGCGGAGAGAACGGGGCGAGGAGCAGAAATTGGGCACCGTGAAGGAAGGGCCTGAAACAGCGGATCAACAGCAGGGACAAAAAGGAGCGCAAAAGGAGGAAGAGGAAGAGGAGGAGGAAGAGACGCTCAAACCGCGCAAGAACGTGAAGATCGTCGCCATTGACCTCCAGCCCATGACCCCGCTGGAAGGCATCACCACTCTGAAAGCAGACATAACACACCCCTCCACCATCCCCTTGCTCCTCAAAGCTCTCGATCCAGACGATTACACCCACGATACCTCCTCCACCAATAATACCACCACCAAAACACCACACCACCACCCGCACCCCGTCGACCTCGTCCTCTCCGACGGCGCCCCCGACGTAACCGGCCTGCACGACCTAGACATCTACATCCAATCCCAACTCCTCTACGCCGCCCTCAACCTCGCCATCGGCGTCTTACGGCCCGGCGGCAAATTCGTCGCCAAAATCTTCCGCGGCCGCGACGTGGATCTCATCTACGCGCAGCTGAAGACTGTCTTTGAGAAGGTCTCCGTCGCGAAGCCGCGGAGCAGCCGCGCCAGTAGCCTGGAGGCCTTTGTGGTTTGCGAAGGGTTCATACCACCTGTTGCGCACAGTGACTGTACAGGACGACGAGTTGGGGGGGGGGAAGAGGGAGTGGGGGCCCGGGGCGAACATGGCATGGGCCTACTCGAAAACCCCCTCTTCGGCGGCGGCGCTGCAGTTGTCTCCTCGAATAAATCAGCGCCAGCAACAGCATCGGAAACTACCCGCTGGATCCCGCCCTTCATAGCCTGCGGCGACCTCTCCGCCTGGGATGCAGATGCCTCCTACGAGCTGCCGCCGGGTTATGTGAGTCTGGACCCTGTGCAGCCGCCGACGGCGCCGCCATATAAGCGGGCGCTGGAGTTGAGGAGGGAGAAGGGGGGCGCGTATGGGAAGACGAAGGGGGTGGAGTTTGGATAGTTGGTTTGTTTTCTGAAGGGGGGAAGGGAAGTTAACTACTAGTGGGTTTCGTTTATCTGATTCTTTTAACGTCTGACCCTTGGAATATTGGTAGTGGTTGCATTTGAACACTGAAGTAGGTGGTGGCTAGCTGTTCCTTTTGTTTTGGTTTTGTCTTCTTATATTATCTTAGCATACGGGTCTGGAGTTTGGATATCTAGAGCGGGACATGATAGATTCTTATTACAAGTTATGTATATCTTTATATATCTAGAGGAGCAATTCAATTAATCAAACGACTAAAAATTCTAGTTCTTTTCCCATATCAGCGTACATATCTCTAAACAAACCGGTATACGTAGCATGATGAATCCCAAAATCTCACACCATTTCTATTCATTAGACTTTAGCAATAGTGAATGAAACAAAAAAAAATTTTTTTTTAAAAAAAAAAAGAAAAAGAAAAAAAAAGAATGAAAAACTCCACTCCCCACCCCTAATAAACCTCCAAAACATACCGCATCTCATCCTTCAGCTTCTCGATCTCCTTCCTAGGATCCACCTTCTTCCCCAAACCAGTTTCCCTCGCGCTAACCGCAATTGCCTCCTCCAGCACCGCCGTAACATCCGGCACCGGCCACGTCGGTCCACAGAGGTAAAAAGCGCCTTCCTCCCGAATGTACGCTTGGGTAATCTCCGGCAACGTCTGCCGCATGCGGTCCTGGATGTAGATCTTCTCTGGCTGATCGCGGCTGAAGGCGCGGCCGAGCAGCGTGATCACACCTGCAGCCTGGTAGGCTTCCCACTCCTCACCGTAGCAGTATTCCTCACGCTGGTGGCGCGAGCCCATGTAGAGGAGCACGGAGCCGATTTCTTTCCCCTGCGCCTTCTCCATCGCGCGATGCTGGACGAAGGCGCGGAAGGGCGCGAGACCAGTCCCCAGCCCGGCCATGATGATGGGCTGCATGGATTTGGGTGGGAGTTTCATCACGCTTGATTTCACGCTGACGGTGATGGGGTTGCCGGGTTTGAGGTTGCTGAGGTAGTGGGAGGCCTGGCCGTAACGGGTGCGGCCGGCGGGGTCGACCCAGTTGACAACAACGATCATGAGGGCGACGGAAGTTGGGGTTACCTTCTGGCAGGAGGCGATGGAGTATTCGCGGCGTTTCATTGGGGAGACGATGCGAATAAGGTCCAGGAAGGTGGGGTGGGCGGAGGGGAATTCCTGGAGGAGGTCCGCGAAGGTGACTGTATCTACCTCTGATCTGCGCTTGAATTCGTCAGCGCCCTCGGCGCTGCCGAGGGAGAGGAGGTGTTTACGCTCTTTCTCATCAGTAGCGAACGCGGCGAGAGACTCGTAGAAGCGTTTTGGCGGGCGGCCGAAGATGTCGACGTTATGGATGAGGGCTTGGTACACGGTGCGGCACTCGAGGACGGATGGATCTTCGCGCGAGGGGACCTCGACAATGGCGTCTGGGTCCAATCCGTAGAAATTGATGAATTGGTCCACGTCCGCTGGGTTGTTTTCTGCGTGGATACCCAGGGCTTCGCCAAGGTCGTATTTGAGGCCCGAGTCTCCCAGGTCAAATTCGATGTGGAAGATGTTACGGTCGTAGGTCACAGGGGTTAGACGTCGATTCTCACTGACATGAATGGTGAAGGTCTTCGCTGCAAGGTCGGGGCGGAGCGCGGTTGTGGTCCCATAAGCCTCCTTGAAGGCCAAAGCCTGGGCGGCATCCTGCCAGTCCCGCAGGATCGAGGGCTCTTCCACATCCGACTTGTCAAATGAAGCAAAGCTCGTAGCGTGAATGTTGACGGGGAGTTTCGGCGAGTCCCTGTCTGAATCCTCGTCGGCGGATGACCAGGATTCTGGAACTTCAACAGTCCGGAGAGCTGTGTCTAGAGTTTCAGTTGCCTTGGAGAACCAGTCTGCATCCCCCAGGCTCAGAGCTAGCTTCTTCGCTCCAATAATATCGAGGTCAGGGATGGCAGTTCGCAAAAAGGCTGCTTGGAAGGCTGCGGTATCAAAATCGGTCTCTTTCGAGGCAGGTACGTCCAAGATAAGCAGTGATATTCCGCGTTGCGCAACTGCCCGCCTAAATGGCTGCGGGAGTTTCTTCTCCAAGTCCTCGTCCTTCAATCCGGAAGCTTTGACGATGATCTTTCCGGAATCCTTTGTGCTGGCTGGAATGTCTATCTCGGATAGGAGCTTGATATTGCCCACGTAGACCACATCCGCAGAGTCGATAGCATATGGTGCATCAATACTTTGAGGCCCCTTCCGGATATCGGTACGGATGACTCCTCCCTGCACAAGATTATCGTAGGATATGTTCGTGGTAACGTTGGACGAAGAATCCCTAGCAAGTGCTTGAGCGAGAACGACGGCAGCGGCGTTTGATGCAGAGTCGTCTGTATCCCAGAACGTGTATTGCTGGACGGCAGTGGAGTCCAGAAGCTGCAAAGAGTTTGATGTTATGTTCAGCTCCACTGGTTCATTCGTAATCCTCTCAAAGACAGCAGCGGTGTTCGCAAGGGACCAGGAATGCGAGGGAGCGTATTTGATCTCAACGCACTCCGGTGGAGTAGGGAAGCGGGTTCCAAACGTTAGGGAGGCCAAGACGTCTTCGTAAAGTGCGGAATGAACACCATTTTCCCGGACGGCCAAGTGACTCTGAACCTGACCCAGAACGCCGACGACTTTGGTAGTCTTGGGCAACGCACTCAAGAACGATTCCTCGGCGAATGGTCTGTATACCCGTACATTGACGACACCAACACGGGCACCCTTCTTAGCCAACGAAGACGAAGCCGCCATCTGAGAAGCCAGCGTGGATTCGATGGTGCCGAAGGAAACCAAAACCGAGGTCGCTTCTGGGTGACCGTTGTATTCAAAGGGGCTGTAGTCGGTGCCTAGTTGGCCATTGAAGGCCTTGAATAGGCGCAGCAGTTTGCCCTCGGCATCGAGATGTTTCTGGTCGGGGTCCGAAGTCAATTCTGCAAGCACCTTCCTGTACGTAGCGCTAAGGCCGGACTGATCGAGGACATCGATGACCTGGGTGATCTCCCGTCCGACTCTGATGCCATCGTAGACATGGATAGTAGGCAGTATACTGGCTAGCAGAGTCGAGAACAAGGCCATATGCTGAGATTCGTAGGCAGAGAGGCTCGACACCAAGCCAAGACCCAGCTCCTCAGCAAGAGTCAGGGAGGTAGTGTAATCGGCAACAAGACCCCCGACGGCACCGCCAGCATAGTCCACTACAGCAACATGGGCAACAAAGGGGTTTGCGACTGAGTAGAGCAGGGAGAGCTGTTCCAATGCTGGACGGAGATACTGCAGGGTAGCGGACGAGGCAATAATCGACTGCGGGATATACCGCTTCTTGAGATCAAAGTCCTTGGAGAAGATATAACCCAGGGCAATGGCGCCGGCACCCTGGCGAGTCTGCATGGGGTGGACGGCGGTGGGATAGCCATTGATATTGAATTGAGCTTGAGCCGCCCAGTGCTTGATGGCGACGTCCAGGTCGAAGGTATCTGGCGAGTAGGTGAAGAGCTTATCCGACAGGGCATAGGCGACCTGTTGGATCAGAGTCTGGGCTGTGAGATATGTCGGGCCACTGATAGCTGAGAAATCCAGAGGGGGGAGAGCAGAGGGTTGTTGCTGGGAATTGCCCATGGCAGCAGTATCAGCAGTAGCTGATCCTCCAGAGGAGGGCTCAATAGACCGCATTATATATATTATTGTTGTTGATTTTGGATATATATGAAGGGGGGGGGGGGGGGGGGAGGTTTCAATTTTCAATTACAAGAACAGAAACCCCATCCCCCCATTCAAGAGAAAGAAGAGAAAGAAGAGAAAGAGGAGAAAGAGGAGAGGAGGAGAGGAGGAGAGGAGGAGAGAAAATGAAGCCGCCATTTAAAAAAAAAAAAAAAAAAAAAAAAAAAAAAAAAAAAAAAAAGGTCTTCAGCGATGAGCTCATTCCCACCACCGCCCACGCCATCCATCGTTCCTGGCTGCTTACAAAGTTAAACTCTCCCCACTAATAAATAATAAGTAACTTTACTAACTAACTAACCAAGTAGTTAAGTAGTTACTTTTTTACATCCCCCCCCCCTGAATTGGCCGAAACGGGCAAGAAAAGCCCTAATCACGCAATTATCCGCGGATCCAAAGAATGGATGGCGTGATTTGCGCTGGGCACCCGGACCGATGTTGTTCCGGCGGAAAGTCATCAGGTCCCGCAGCCCCCTCTACCTACCACTTACTGCGTAGAGGGAGTCACTGAGAGGAGTACTGAGAGGAGTAAGTTACTCTACCTCTACCCTAAAAGTCTACGTCCTCGTCTCGTCGCCCGGGGGGGGGAGGGGCGAGCGCGGCGTCGCATGTGCCCTACCTACCTACCTGAAAAACTCAAGGGCGAGATCGAGGAGAGACCATGCGGGCGCTGGGGTTTGAGTGGGCTGTGGTGTTGAGGCCGGGGATTATTGGGGGGGGGGGGAAGAAGGTTGTTGTGTTGCACGGGAGTGATATTGTCAGGCTTGGGAGGACGGAGTGGAGAGGGGAAGGTTCGTGAGGGAGACGCTTGTTGAATGTTTTTGTGGATGTGGTGACATTATAAGTTCTATTTTCTACTAAATATGTTACAATATGTTTGTATGATAAATTGTTTCCATTTTTATGTTGCTGTTTTGCTGTTACTCTGCCATTGTTCCTAAAATAACCATACGCCTGGAGCTGGAAAGGATGAACCAATCCATCGAAAACAAGAAAGAAGAAAAGTAAAAAAGAAAAAAGAAAAAAAGAAAAAAAGAAAAAAAAGAAAAAAAAGAAAAAAAGAAAAAAAGAAAAAAGAAGAAAGAAAGAAGAAAGTAAAACCGAGCCAATCCCATGATTTTAAGTTGATTGCGCGTCCTGGTTTCAATATTTCAATGTTTCCCTGATCCCCCTATCCAAGAAGAAATGAACGCCAGGAAAATTTGAAATACCAAAATCCACACCTAAAATCAAAAACTTTCCCCCTTCACTTCACCGGCAACTTAACCAGAGGGTCTCTCTCCCCAAGAACAACCGTACCGCCATAATCAACCTTCATCCCTTTTGGCGGTGACACTCTGCGGCTAGGCCCCTTCTCCACCCATTCACTCCTGCCCGCTTCATCGGTATACTGCGAGACATCGCGGTTGGCAGGGCTGACTTCCAACGGCCCCGCCTGACTGCGTCCGTCTTTCATAGCTTCGGCCAGCGAAGCCTCTCTTACCTTCTCCGGCGTGATGTAGGTGATGTCCCACGCCGCCCGCTGCTCGGCAACCGCGTTGTCCGAGCCGGACTTTGAGTACTCGTGACGCTCTGTGTTCATGGCATGGCGGCCGTCCGGGTCATTTTTGAGGTCGTATGGTTCTCCGGCCTTGGGTTGATTCCCGCTGCTGGCGTAGGTGCGTGGCAGAGACGCTGATGCAACTGCCGCAAACGGGCTTCTAGGAATCTGCAACGAAGGTGTGGTTGGGGTGAAGGGGGAGAGGCGGGGGAGGTTTTGGTTGACCCGCGGGGCCAGCAGACCGGTTCGGGTTGAAGCGAAGCGGAAAGTGGCCATATTGAGTAGAAAACCAAGCAAATAACTTGGACTGGCGCAGTAGTTCGTTCGCTTTTCTAGAACGTGCGCGTGAGAGGAAGGAGTTTTCCTACTCTGATATTCTGACAAAGAGGCGAGTATGCTACGAACGCCTAGCACTAGTTCAGAGCTAGTATATCCAAAAACAGACGATCAGCGTTCTCATTGTTCGAAGAATGCAAGGCTCATCATTTCAATAATTCATATATGCATATAATTCGCAAAATCATAGGACCAACCGTAGGCGCTATGTTAAATAGCTACCGTAGTAGTACGGGTATCCAGAGCCCGGCTGGCCCTGCTTTTCAAAGCGGTTCGTGGATGCTCTCGTCCAGGAGAAAGTATAGGGCGTTATTCGGAAAAGAAAGCGATGGGATCCTGTATGAAATGCAGTGTGCTCAGTGTTGTAAGCAGGACTGCTTGCTCTGGATGCTGGATGTTGATGCCGAAGTGGAGCTATATATAGCCAAGCAGTGGCAGCTCGGAGGGCGCTTATCCTGTTTCAGTTTAGATCGGACCTTTCCCCAGACTGATATTTTAGTGACGTCATTAAAAACCACGTGCATTATTTCGTGCCCTAAGCCCTAATTATTTTATCTTCCTATATCCAAAGCAGCAGCAAGGCTGGGGGCTTTGGAGCCAGCTAGCATTACTCATACGTAGAACTTTCCATTAATGGTCTGGTTTCTCCCTGCAGTATTATTTCTCATACGTTCCTAAAAGAGAAATAATTGTCCTGACGAAATATTTGTGTTGGCTTTACAAAGTGGAACCGAAGGGGTCCCGAATGAAGCAGCTGCCAAGGTGGACCTGGACGGCAACAGAAGACAGGGCGTTAGCCATTCAATGTAGCCTGCTAGAGCAATTGTGAACCCTTATGCCTATCACAGAAGACAACATAAAGAATGAAGCGAACGTTCGGAAAGACTGGCCCTGTTCCGGCGATGAAGCACACATCCAAACAATGAAGGAAGGGCGCTAATGTGCTTAGCAGTGCAGGCAAAAAAGGCATACGTGTTGAAGTGACTTTGTTGTCAATAGCTAGAACGGCAAACTGGCCTGAATGAACATTCCATGAACTACGGCGAGAGGTAAAAACGAGGCAACTGAAGAGATAGTGTCATTCGTTGACCCATGCACTCGCGAGTTGCGAGGACTACGCCACCGGAAAGATGGCCGATCATTGATCATCGTTGCATTGTAGCCTTAGCAAGGATAGTTGACCAAGGCAACCGGCGTGATTTAAGGGAGGTTCGGTGTGTAGTGAATTTTCTTTTAGAAAGAAAAGGAGGCAAAAAAGCGATCATGAAGCAAACGGGAGCCAGAGACACCACTGAACTAGCGGTCAGGAGAGCAGGGCGCTCATCACAGAATAAGCCTGGGGCTGTTGAGACGAACTGTTCATGTAGCCCTGTTTTGTGGCGAATCAGCGAGCGGTAGGTGGCAGGGAAAGGAGTGAAGAAAAAGAAAAAGAAAAAGAGGAAAAGAAAAAGAACAAAAAAAGGACGAATATCATCAGTAAGAGCTAGGAATGAAGGTCATGAATGTTGTTGGAGTATAGTTCGCATCTAACACGCCCAAGTCGCATCTAACACGCCCAAGTCAATAAAAGGTGGAAAAAATCCTGATTGTAAGCTCTTCCCGAAATTATAAAAAGAAAAAACAGCCAAACAGGGAGGTGGAAATAGAAAGGCAAGGGGAAAGCCAGTCTTCCTTGTCGTATTGCGCGTGTCAGAGCCTTGCCACACATTTTCGTAGACGGTAGAGACTGCAAGAACTGATTTCAAACAAGACGGGGGCCAATTGAGGGCGTGTACGTCGCATCGAAATTAGCCGGTCGGCATTAAGTTTAATGGGAAGACTAGATGCAAGGTACTGCCGATGTGGTAGGAAGCCTGGATAAAACTCAACACCACAAGCCAATATGTAGCTGTTTGATCTGTCAATTAACCCGTTCTGCGCTGAAGATGTTAAATAGAGGCAATATCAGAGAGGGTCAATGTCCCAAAGACGCGTATGGCAAATATGGTGCAGAAATTTTCACTAAACTGTAATTGCAATAACGCGCCTGGAAAAGGAGAGAAAGAAGATAATTTAGGCACTCACTCCCAAACACAAACACGTACATATCAAATTGTGGGAGCACGTACATTAGAGCTTCTGAAAAAGAAAGAATAGCCTCTGCCACGTCAATTGCTGTCGATGGGACATTAGGGGAGGCTAGACATTAGAATTAAAAAAAAATCATTGAAGACAATGAACCAGGTAAGATGGTTATTTTGTGCTGCCTATCAACCGTTCCTCGCGCCAACCGCAAGTGAAAATTGGGCACAATTAACGGCGCAGCAGCTTAAGACTTATTCTGGTTGGCCCAATGGTGTCACACACTAGACGGAATGTTTCCTTTGTGGATATACCATAATATTCACCCGGATGTGCTAGTAGTCAGAGACGGGTTAGCGCCAATGCCATGAAGGATGCAGGTTGTAAGATTCGTTGAAGAGAGGAAGCAAAACCGGCGGCGTAGGGAACCAGATATGCCATGTCAACAAGGGAAGAGACCCGTTCGAAGACTAGGTGAAGAAACTGGTTCGTAGCCATGCCACCTGGCAAACAGGTGGGGTACCGAAGGGAATTAAAACCCGGGTTTCGCAATGTGGCACCAATAAGGCTGGAGGTTGGATTAGGAGGACCGCAAGAGTTGTGACAAATCTACTCGAAGGGGGCAAATTGAGCGTAAGGCTAGAATGAACGACAGAAAAAGCAAGGCCTGGGGGAGAGCACGGCCGAGATAGGGGCGACGATAACTATTCAAGCGTCGCGCATGAATCGTACAGGCCCGAATTCGAAAGCTGACTAGTCGGATCCTGTAAATGAAACGCCATCGGAGTTATATGCCACCATCTAGAATCGACCAGCCAATGGGTGTTCCACAACCCCTATGGTAGATCCTTGATTGCTTGACAAGCTGGAGGGCTGCATTCATTGGGTGGTTCAACGAGATGCGTACTGCCAATTCACTAAGTACGAGGGGGCATATAATACAAGGATACGACGTGCATAGCCCACCCTTAGGACGAGAAGATCCAAATATGTTCTCCGCATTTGCAAATGCTGCATGCTGACATGCAAGAGTGAGACTTGCTTTTTGCTCCTTTAGATCACCTGAGTAGTTTAGACCCAACTGTGTGGATACTAATATGGGGCTAGAAATTCAATTTCAACCTTCAAAAAGGGGGTGAAAGACACCGCAGGTATTCAAAATGCGCATCCAAGCGAATTTCAGTGATCTGACATTTGAGCAGATACTATAGTAGCAGGAGAATAGTTGAAAAGATTTATGTCTGATTTCATCCAGTTCATTGCAACGCAGTTCAATACCTTGTAAATATAAATAAACGAAACCTTGTTAGGTTGACCGATGTGATTCAACAGGGGGTTTGGACATGACAAAGTTGGTGACAACGGCAGATCAACGATGCAGACACACTTCAAAGAGACTCACTCGCTCTCCTCAAAGCCTTGCTATCGCCTCATGATTGTTCTTGGACCTACCGGCTCATCCGCATCCGCCCCGACCCATTTAGTGAAACTCAATTTTGAACTCCTCATATGCTGCATCATATAGACAAGTCCATATTCGAGTTAAAGTCAGCTAAAAGCAAAGAATTTTACGCTGGTGTGCTGAAAGGCATGATATTGGCGGCGTCGTACACGAGTCGACATTGTTAGGACATGCATGCATTTTTTTCGGAACGACAAGCTAGGTGGCTATCATATGCAAAGCAGGGGCTCCGTTAACCCAAACTTGTTCGGATAATACCTTGCAAAAATGGAATGTATAATCCTTTTTCGCCAGACGACTCACGCCACGTCACGAAGTCTGTGAAGTCTAACACAGCAATTGCTGCGGACCCGATGATATCAAATCCATGAATATCATGGTGGTGTGGCAGGTCGTGTTCCCTGTCCATTATCATTGAGGGGAAGGATTATGTGGTGTCCCGCATCATGGAAACGGCGAACCAAGGGAAGGCTGCCAAAGATGTGACAACGGAAGATGATGGAACCGCAAACCGGAGGCGTAGTTAGAAGTATTTTGGTTCTTGGACTGGCTAGTGTAAACCTTCACAGATATCAAACTCGGAGGTAGACAGCTGAGCTGAGATGACTCGACATCCACTAAAATGGAATGGAGATACACGTCGCTCTCTCATTCCAAGGAACGAAGGAACGAGGATACCTGCAGGTGGGAGCAATGCATCCTCTTGGCCATCGAGACTAACACGTCGAATACCCAAGCGTGATGGAAAGTTCATTCCTAACCATGCAGGAATATAGGGGATATCACATACGGGGCGCAGATGATCGAGTGGAAACATAAAGTGCGGGTTGGGTTGCAGAACAGGAGTTTTGCGTTGGAGGATGGCTGTCAGGTAAATGCCGCTTTGACGCTTTCGCCCCCCGAACGGATATTCCCTTATCAGGTTAAACCAAGTGTGAACGAAATGATTTCTAAAGGGATATCAATTGGGTTGATTGGGCATGAAGGTTCAAAAAAAAAGTCAAGTTACACCGATCCCAGACGGCTAAGTGGGACCTATCGTAACTCTGAATATCAATATCAATCTCGTGAACGACAGCGAATGTGGCCGCCACCAGGGAAATATCCACAGTGGAGTATTCACAGGGAACTGAAGATGGCTGACACGGATGAGGCTCTTGCCGTGGATACCACATTGATCAACACTGAAGTGAGATTTAAGAAAGCGAAGAAGCGGGGAAGGATAGGCAACCAGAGTTTTCGGCTGGGAAAGGATGAGTTGTCCAGGGGGTAAAACGCCACCCTCCATCGGATAAGATGAGGGGATTGCAAACTGGAGGGGCGAAAACAAAAGAAGTTGGATGATGGTGGGATATTACAATGCCACGACAACCATGTCGAGCAAATGTGCATTTGTTACCCAACCATGAGAATCCGCTATCACCTTGCAGTGCCGGAGAGAACCATGAAAGGAATGTTTTGAAGCTGAACTCCGCTTTTTCGAAGCCATGGACCCTGGCTAGTTCGGGTCGGGAACAGGCTGGGGGTGACATATCGAAGGAAAAAGCATTTAGGATGGGCAGACACGCAGATGTCAACAAAGATTGATCAGCAGCGTGCGAGTGAAGCCATTTGAATGAAAAACTTGGGCAAGGAGTTTGCAATGAATCCGAAACATAAATATCCTGACGAGGCCCCGGGATATTCAGTCTTTCCAGCATAACTCCAGCTCCAACCAGCATTTCACCAGACACTTGCGAATCAAAAAATTCACAGCGGTAGCACATACCAAAACAAGCTCTTCGTCTATTTGTTTCAAAGTCCTTAGCAGAAAAGTGCAGCCTATCGATCCCACTCTTCAGCAAGGCATCCAGCCATCGACCAATAAAAATTCCTCAATTTCCTGAAACATACTCAAGGAGAACACAAGCCGGTATGCAATAATGCAGTCTTATGATTGACTGTCAGCTGACTTGCCTCAAAAGCCATGTGCTTTTATAACCAGAAGAAATTTTCCTGTGGAGACTGGGCATGGGGCAATTTCGCAGCCCGCTGCAACCATGAATACCGAATGGGCGAGACTTGCGGTATGAGACTCGTTCACAACACCGAAAACATCCAAACACAATGTAAATTGTGCGAAAAAATCGACACCAAGTGCCGCCGACGAAACGCTGAGCTCGAGAGACTTGCGCGGTGGCAGCGAGAGGGTGGCGTACTCAAAGCGTCAATGGAAAAAAGCAGTGCCGAGGTCAGGGACCTAGAACAGGAGATCAGGCAATTGGAGTATGAGAGGCAGCTGAAACAGAAGAACATTGGCAAGTAAACTACCTCATGCCAAGAAGCGCTGGAAACACCAAACACCACCCGCAGCCAAAACGTTGGAATATTCAGAGATTCAAAGAGAAGAAAAAAAAAATTTGAACCACCTCATCCTTTTTTGTTATCACAATGTTTCATGTTTCACTGTTCTTTCATAATATCCACTTGTTTTTAATATTTCGGGTCTTCATTTCATTTCATGCCTACCCCGTTGGGTTATAAATTTGGAAAAATCGGCACTGGGGGCCATAGGCTGGGCGGCTGGTGCAGAACATGTTCGAGACAGTCGGGGATCAGGATTTGGGCTTAGCGTTTGGGTCCTTTTTGTCTAAGGGCTCTTGTTTGCCAATGAAATTTATGAGTTTTTCGCTTTGTGTCCATACTATTATGGTGAATCCAACCATTAAGCGCCCTGTATCATTTCGAGCGAGGTGACCAGGAGGACGCTGCTTGTCGCCCAGTGGTTAAACAGGTATGGAACCGATAGCGCGAAGGAAGGTAACGTGGGGACAAGGCTAGCCTCAGGGGAAGCATATCACATAAACAGGGTAAATGAATCCATAAAATGGTAGTATCCAGATGGTGATATCAACAACGAGAGTCTGGCGTTGTTGGTTTGATTGTCAACAGATGAGGTCGAGGTGTAACTAACTAGAGGGGTGGGTGACGTAAGTTTCCCGTGCCCGCGTAGCCCTCAGCACAGGAACAGACGCGCTCCTATCGCTTATGCGGTAAATCACGTGGAACAAGCGACGGACTGCTGATAACTCATTGGGCGTTTCAACTAGGATAACGGGAGAATATGACTGAGATCACAGGTCACAGGGAATCTATTCCGTCTAATCCGAGGCCCCGAGTGTTGGGCCCGCCATATTATGAGTAGAATAGAGTACATCTACCAATTCATCAAAAGGGGACAAGAACCAGGTTACATAACACTATCACGCCCAGTATTGGATAAAGCAAACTAGAGGACGAGAATGGAAATAGATGAAATAGACTTGATCAAAACCACTAGTTGAAATAAAGTGCACCCCTAAACTAGGACATAAATGTTGAGATCAGAGCTTTCGTACACGTTGTTAAGGACCTGATTTCAGCTACTCTGAGTACCAATAAACCCCCACTAGCTCTCTACCCAGTTTCTTGATCAGCCTCCTTAGCCAAACCGTGCTCCCGCAGTAAGGCATCGATCTCGTCAGCACCCCAGAGGTGGTGATATATCTGTCCTTCTTTGGTCTTCCCTACAGTCGCAAATTCAACTAATTGTAGAAGTAACAGAAGTTAGCATTAAAGGACAAAAGAAAAAGAACGCAATGAAAAGAAAATAACAGGCTACAGGACACGAAATGGTGAATCTATGGAGGTTCAAACTCACTCTTCTCGCTGCTCAGCTTCGTCGAGTCCATCGTCTTGCTCAACACCTTTACAGCCATACCACAAGCTTCCTTCAAATCGCAATCTTCCCTATAGTCCTGCTTCAATAGACTCTGAGCGCTGGCGTTATTTGCACCCACACTCGTCGCCTTCCACCCACCGTAGTTTCCACTGGGGTTACTCTGGTACAGCTGGAACTGCCGGAGGGGATCATATCCAGCGTATACGAACGAAACGCCAAACGGCCGTAGACCACCGTGCTGCGTATAGCCTTGTTTCAGATCGCAGAGACGACGAACCAGTTGTTCACAAGGGATCTCTTCGTTATATGTGAGGAGGTAACGTTGGGCGGCTTGGCGGGCATAGTTGATGAGGATGTTGGCGTCTGCTGTCATTCCAGCCACTGCGCATATCATGTTACTGCCAAATAGGTAAGTTATTTCTGGTCCGCTTATTATTTGGCCATATAGTGGTGGACAGAGGATGTTTAACCATACTCGTTCAGTATATAGAGCTTCTCCGCAGACGTGTCCTGTTCAAGTAGCTTGCTTGTCACCTTCCTCTCTGCGGCCAGAACGATTCCATCCTGTGCTAGTATTCCAAGGGCTGTTCCAGCATGCGAAATGGCTTCTAGAGCGTATTCGACCTGGTAAAGTCGGCCTTCTGGCGAGAAGATCGTGGTCTACAAGACGAGGAAGCGAGTTAGGTTAGTTATCGGCCGCTCATACAAGAGTGACAGAGCACATACCCGGGAATCATATCTTCTGGACATCTTGCTGGATTCTAAGGGAGTATAATTTAGTCCAAGTTTAACACTGCGTGGTCAGCCGTGGGGGAAGCTGTTTGTTGCAAATCGAGATGATGGATGAAGCTCGACGTTGCTGCGTTGGTGAGCTTCCGCCAGGCAAACTCGCTTCGCGCGTCCTGCTGAAGCTTGGACCAATTGTAGCCAATCCATATTTATCGATCATTTTCCCAACTCGCCCCAACAATCACAACCACACACACATATCCACCGATGGAATAAGTGCGCAGCACCCGTACATATAACGAATCTTATGACATAAGGCCGAGATGTTTTGAGTAAATCGATTAATATGCTCAAATCTACCTATTCCGCTTTAAATCCACTCCCTCCTGGATGGACTGAGCACAAAGCTCCATCAGGTAACGTTCTCTGCGACTGTTGACGCCAATCTTAGCTGCGAAGTACTAATTTATGAAACAAGGTCACCTCTATTACTACAATGCCCAAACAAACCAGTCGACATATAAGAGACCTTCTGCGCTTCCCTCACACTCACAGCCAACCGGAGCACCAACCCAACCTCCATATGGCTACCCACCGGCCTTTGCCGGCGCCCCGACACTAGCCTTGGCGCATCAGTCGCACTACGGACCCCTACCATTTAATATAGCTGATAGCTTCAATAAATTTCGTAGGGATAGTGCCGAGCAAAGGCGGCGTCATGATAGAAGACCCCGCCGCCCAGAGGACAGGCCAAAATCCAAGCACTCGATCCCCGGATGTGCCCCGTGGGTCCTCGTCAAAACAAAATTAGGCCGCCGATTTGTTCATAATCCGGATACTAACGAGAGCTTCTGGAAATTCCCGCCAGATATATTGAAAGGGGTTGTCGAGTATGACCGTCTCGAAAGAGAAAGAAAAGCGCGGAGAGAGCTTGGTGAGTTAAGTGGAGACGAGCAACCGGAAGCGAGGGAGCCTGGAACATTGTCACAGGAACACGAGCGATCAGTATCCACCAGTCGGAATGAACCTAGCCAGGAAGAGGACAGCGATGAATATGAAGAGGTTGAGGTAACAGATGACGAAGGACAAGAGGGGAATATACCATCTAAAAGGGCAAGAACCGATGAGGAAGCCGGTGAAACTGAACACATCGAGTTTAATGAAGACGATATTGAATACCAGCTAGCAGCCATGGGTGAGGAGTACGGTTTGGACCCTGGAGAATATGGAGAACCAGGAGAGGAAGGGTGGGAAGAAGGCGCAGAGGGTCTTCCACTTACGGAAGGGGACTCCGTGGCATTATTCCGCGACTTGCTTGATGATTTCCGGATAAACCCTTACACGCCATGGGATAGATTAATCGAGGAGGGTAAAATCATTGACGACGCCAGGTACACGATACTGCCCAACATGAAATCACGCCGGGAGGCCTGGTCGGACTGGAGCCGCGATCGGATACAAGAGCTGAAAGAGCTCAGGGAGAAGGAGGAAAAGAAAGATCCCCGAATCCGCTACCTTGCGTTCCTACAAGAATATGCTACGCCAAAATTATACTGGCCGGAGTTCAAGCGTAAATATAGAAAGGAGGCAGAAATGAAGGATAGCAAACTATCTGACAAAGACCGGGAAAAGCTTTACCGCGATTATATACCACGCCTCAAATTGCCTGAAAGTACCCGAAAATCAGACCTTTCCGCGCTTCTCAAGTCCACACCACTCCACGCTCTGAACAGGTCGTCAACACCAGATGCGCTCCCCACAAGTATCCTCACAGATCTACGGTACATATCATTGCCACCCAAAGTTCGCGACCCCCTAATTGAGGCATATATATCAACCCTTGCCCCGGCCCCAGAACCAGACAGTATTTCTGCTGAGGAGCAAATGGAACGCGATAGACGACGAGCTGAGCGAGAGAAACGAGAAAAGGCACTGGCTGAACGGGAGTTGCGGGTGCAGGAGCAGAAGCGAAAACAACAGGGCGCGATGATGCATGGAAGGGATATGTTACGGCAAGGAGCTGCGGAGCGGGAAATGGCGATGAGAGTTGGTAAGGAGGGGCTGAAAAGTCATATGGAGGCGGAGATGGAGGCTCGAGATGCCTAGGAGGCTACGAACGGGTAGACAACATGCGTATGTAGATACTATATTACGTTTTGGTTGAAAGATCCCAATTGAATAAGCACTTGTTTTATTTGAAACCAACAACCCCTCTCAAACACACTGAATGTAACTCGTCCAAAATTGGTATCATGAGCGTATAGCACAAATATTAAAATTTTTATCATATAAAACCTCACATACAATGTGTCATCATCTCCCGTGCGGCCTATCTGAATCTCCAATTGTCCCATCCCTCATCCTCATCCTCATCCTCATCCTCCTCATCCTCCTCATCCTCCTCATCCACCTCCCTCCCTCCTTCACCCTGCCCTTCCCTTTCTTCACGCGCACCTTCACCCTCACCAACCCCGCCCCCAGTTCCCTTCCTCTTCCTCCGAATCTCATCCCTCATCTCCTTCAACCGCTTAACCCTCTCCTCGAGCTGATCCATCTCATCAAACTCCTCCTCCAACAACCTCGCCGCGTCCTCCTTCTCAAACGACATTTCCTGCTCACGCATTCGCAGCTGCGCCTGCTTATCCTGCTTCTCGCGTTCCGCCAGCTCAGCGGCGGATAACGGGGCGGCCGAGATAGTTGCGTGGCCGGGTATTAGTGCGGTAGGTATCATTTTCGTGGGTGCGGCGACCTCGCGTTCGAACGCCGCCCATTCATCTTCGTCGATGGATTGTGGTTGCGGCTGTCTTTGTGGTTCTGCTCGTTGTGGGGGAAATGTGGGCGTGGTGGGACGTAGTAGTGATTGGGAAGCGGGAGGGTGTTCTTCTTCTTCTTCTTTTTTGTCTTTTTCTTGCTTAAGCTGGGCAGTCTCAGGTGTTATCGACGGATCTGGCGCGGTAGCTTTATGGTGTCCTTCATATTCATCAAGTTGATCCCGCTGGCGCCCTTCCTCTTGCGGGATCTGCTCTGGTGTGGCTTTTGACCTTTTGCGCACGTCAACGCGCTGTTCTGGTTCAAGCTTTCGTTTCTTAGTCGGTCTGGATACGGAGGGATTACTTGAATCGGTGGCTCGACGAGAAGCTAGCTCGTTGCGGAGTAAGGCGCGGATGTCTGCCATGACGTGCCGGCGCGTATCGTCGGTTTGGAATAGTGGAATAAATCCGAGCTTCAGATATCACACTGTAAGATAAACGTAGAAGGCTTTAGCTCAATTGAGGATTCTAGATAGGATGTATGATAATCGGAAAATCAAAGCTACATGCTTCAATGTCTCCATTCCCGTGGCTGCGGCTTCAATCTTGATAAAGGGTTAGTCTAGATTGAGTTTAGTATAAATGCCAAGCCAACTAAACATCACATTCATCTCACGTGATTTAAATCCCCATTTTCGGCCTAGCGCGATCCCTCTATTCTTATCTCCTCATCGCGAAGTCGCAATTCTAGAGCAAGATTCACAACATCAGCCGCTTTGCACATCTCAGCTCCATCAATCTAGTACTCAGATATATCATCTGTTGTTCGATAGAAGTTCGCGAGTCGCTTGCTCGATGGTTCTCCGTTGCGCATCATCCAAAGTCTGAAGAGATTAGGTGACACTTCCCCTAGCTTCCCCAGATTTCCAGAGCAAGGAGAGGAGGACGCGTGAAAAGCGACTGTCCTTGGGGGGCAACAAAATCAGCAACGCACATTTTGCTCAACGGTTGGATGGAGGAGTAATTTCCGGTCGGGCACAAGCATATACAAGCAAAAAGAGTGGTTATCTCTCTACGCTTCAGTTATCTGTTGTATTACTAGTACCTGTCGATGCCGTAGAGGAGGAGGCAAGACTGGTATTTTTCTATTTGCTTTGCAAGAATCAGGCGAAATTCAAGCCTTCTTTCAGCAACTATTCTATCAACTGTAGTCTATTTTATATTTTGAGCGTGCCAGATATCGCACCATGGCCGGTAAGCTATTCGTATTCCCAGCTGTTTACGTATTTTGGTCCCTATCAATTCCATTGGAGTGTGAGGTGACAAATACGCACATACAGCAGTCAACTTTTCGGTGTCAAGAACTCAACGCTAACTATATTTCCATCAAACAGACGAACCGCGTCGCTCAGGAAGATCAACAAAGGGTCAGCATTCCAAAAACAACGATTTTCCTGAAATGGCGCCTTCGAAACGCAAAGGGAAAACACAAGCCAAAGCCCAGAAACAAGCCTCCAATGAACCGACTCCTGCCCCAAACGACGAAGAGGACGAGATAATCCGTTGCATTTGTGGTGAATATGAAGAAGAAGAAGACGTGGAACGGGATATGATATGCTGCGACAAATGCTCGGCATGGCAGCACAACGATTGCATGGGGCTCACTTTCCCCAAGGGCCAGGAACCCGCGGAGTATTTTTGCGAGCAATGCAAGCCGGAAAATCATAAGGATCTTCTAGATAAGATGGCCCGCGGCGAAAAACCCTGGGAGGAAGCCGCCAGATTAAGAGCCTTAGCTGCGGAGGAGAAAAAGGCGCGGAGGAAGAAAGGTGGCAAACGTGGAAGGAAGTCTACCCGGCCTAGTGATGTCAAGTCTGAAGTGGGTGAAGATGGTGTGAAAATTGCCTCTGCAACCCCAGCAAAGGAGACCCCTGTCTCCGCGCCTCCAACTAGCAGTAAAGCCAGCCCTCCGGCGCCTGCAGCGGAGCTTCCTAGCCATGGACCTCCTAGCAGCCAAAAGCGCAAATTTGAGGAGCAGGATGTTAGCCAACGTGAGCCGGTATGTGCTTTCTCTCATTATACTTTCATGTACTATTATGCTAATATTATTGCAGGGACCAAAGCAGAAACTCCAGCGATTGTCGACAGGTGGCCAAGTTGGATCCCCTGAGGTGAGGTCGCCGACTGTGAATCGGAAGCAGAGTGTATCTAGTGCGCAATCTGCTCAGGAACAGAGAAGTGGAAGGTCACCATCTGAAGGAGCTGGAGGCCCGTCAGATCTTCAGAGTGTGGCCAGGAGAAATGTGGCCAATGCCCTAGTCAAACTCTTCGTAGAACAGGCAGCTTTAGCCCAGCAGCAGGGTACTTATACAATGCCCGCTGGGAAGACCAAGGAAGCTGTTGGTGAACCGCTGGGGCTCGCAATTGAACTTGCCATGTATAAACATCTCTGTGGAGGAGCAGGAGAACCTAGTGAAGCCTATAAGCAGCAGATGCGGACCATCCTATTCAATGTAAGGAAGAATACTTCGTTACGTGATAGTTTGCTTGTAGGAAGTATTTCTCCAGACGCACTTGCCACCATGAGCACCCAAGACATGGCTAGCAAAGAGCTGCGACAAAAGGATGATGAAATCAAGCGAGAGGCTGAGCGCCAGCACATTATTATCCAAGAACAAGGGCCGCGGATCAGACGTACACACAAGGGGGAGGAATTGATCGAAGACGATACACAGCATGCTGCAACCGAATCTATCTTTTCGGCTCCCTCAGCTCGCCGCGATACCATACCCGACTCCGAGCTCCGTTCTGCTGCAAGTCCTACAGGAGCTAGATCAGCCAGCCCGAGCATCGCCCATCAGCCTGAGTTCAGAGAATATCGAGGCTCAATGGACCGCGCAGCGGGGGATCACCGGCCTCCATCCATCGATACCTCTGGTGGAGACCAGCGACGAGCTTCAGGCCCAGCCTTTAACATCCAAAACGTCTGGTCGAACGTCCAATCACCAGGTTCAGCACCTCATGATAAGCCCTTCCCTCCTGCTCCGGCGCCAGCCCTTCGGGAAGTACATCCGGGTCACAGAGCCCAAGCCGACGCGGAGATCGATCAATTGCTCAAGGACGAAGATATCGATTCCCCACCGTACTCTCCAAAGGACTTCCATGCTGACGGTGAAATCTGGCGTGGCAAGGTATCTATGAACCCTGTTGCTGAATTCTCCGCTGCCGCAAGACACGTTGCTGGAGCAGATCTCAGCGGAAGGATCCCTTGGGAACAATTAATCCCGCCGACGTTGGTGATCGATGGCCGTATCGAAACGCAACTAGCCACAAACTACCTATGTGGCCTTCGCTTCAGCCAGACGACCGATGTATCCGTTAACGCCATCTCCCCCCCAGTCGCCTCACATGACAACGCGGAATTCCAGAAGCTATTCGAATATTTCCTCCAGCGCAAACGATTTGGCGTTATCGGTAAACACCCCTTCCCTGGTGTCAAGGACACATACATCGTCCCAATCGAAGCAGGTCAGAGCAAGAAACCCGAATTCATCGAATTGCTGGAGAACAACACCCTTGAAGACCCAACACCGCATCGGACACTGCTTGTCGTCTTCGTTGTAAAATCGAACAACCACTACAGCCCGCCCATTGGCCATCCGACGCCCCAAGAACCCAACTATACCACTGCCAGTCCCCTGACCGCCACACCAGGCTCCGCTTCGAACCAATCCCAATACACCCCAGCCCCAGCCGCATCGAGCGGTGCGCCACCCATCGTGCCTACGGCGGTGTCAACATCACCACCCTCAGCCATGCCAACAACAGATGGTTTCAATCAGCAGCAACAAGATCACACAAAGCTACAATCACAACTACATCCGCAGCAATACACCCCAGCTTCCCATGCTTCGGCCTCGCCCCAAAACCTCATCGGCAAACCTGCTGCTGTGCAAATACTCGGGCCATTAGCGACGTCGCCAGCTGTGGAGCAGCTGTTGCAGCAGGCGCCAAATTCAGACGTGGAGCAACTTAAACTCATAGCGGGTATCCTAGCTCAGAACCCCACTGCAGCCAATGATTATCAGTTGTTAGTGAACAAGATCGTTGAAAATACAAATGGGAAGACACAGTAATGTTTGTCTTTTGTTGGCGCCTTCTGGTCTTCAACACCCCACCTCCCCCCACCCTTACTTGATTTCTTCTCTCTTTGCGTTTTGTCGAGTTTCTCTCTATCTCTTGCTTTTATATTGTGCAAATTGCTGCGTTACACGCAGCGTTTCCTATTATGGCATTTTGTCTTTCGTCTCAGAGTCTGTACTTGAGATGGAAAGGATGGATTATTTGCTTGCTTAACAGGGGCTTTTTTTCCCTTGTCCATCGATCTTCTAGGGAAGAAATTGTGGCGCGGCTTGTTTTTATATATTTCAATTCTAGTTCTCTTCCCCTTGAATTTTTTCATGCTTAGGTTTTTCACGTGAATCATTGTCAATTGCTATTATTGCCACTGATTTCTTACTAATTTTCTGATTTTCTAGCCGCCATTTTCTACTACCTTCAGCTTCTTTCTTTCCTGGTACATAGGAGTCAAAATGTACGGTGCTAGGCTAGTGTTTTTACCGGTTGCTATTTCTTTTCCCCCAGATATGTTCTCCCCATAGCCCCCTCCTCCCCATGTGTTACCAACCCTGTTTCCCCAAGCTCATCTCACCGGTGAATTTCATGTTCATGTTTTTCTGTATGTAAATAGTTAAAACTGTCCTGCGTTTTCGCCGCTTCCCTGCTGGCGCATACTGTACATTAAAAGCCATATTCAACCGTTTTTTCTATGGGTGCCTCCGTTCTGCTCATTTCAATGGCACAAACTCTCTAGTTCCTTACTCCATAAACTACGTTGTGACATAAGTTTCTCAAGAAACTAAAAAGGTCACGCATCTTTGAGAATGATTTGGCTAGTGGTCGGTGTGGTTTTGTTAATACTGCGCCTCAACTAAAGTTTGTGATCAACTATATATATATACCTTCTTGACATGGTCACACCATTAGGAAACACAAAATAAACTATGACATACATGTAGGTCCGAGTTAGATCCGAGTAAAATTTCCCCGTTCATTATATTTTAGGCTATCATAGTTGCTCTCCCTCAGGGCCACAACATACAAAAACATAATAAACCCTTTGCCTAATTCCAAGAGTAAAACTCCCCGAACGCCACCGCTATGCAATTCTCCCGCGCGCGAAATAAAAGGCATACACATACAATAGTGGGTATTCTTTACCACCGTCCCCCATAACCTCCCCCCCCTCCTCTACCCTTGTACCCTCTATAACCACCTCCGCCACCACCAGTCCGATACGGTCCTCGACCCCCACCAGCTCTAGAACCCCAACCGCCCTCACTATCATAATCGCCACGGCCGGAGGGACCATCGTCATGCCTAGAGGGTGGTGGTCCCTTCAACTCCTTCTGCAAGACACTAAAAGTCTCGCGCATCTTCGCGTATCCCAGGTGCATTTTGCCAAAGAAGTGATCCGCCAAGCGACGATCGTTATCTAGACGACTAAGATATGCCCCGCATACATCGCAGACTTGTAATTTCTGGTGACCTGAGGGTCCGGATGTGTCGGCGAGCGCTTTGAGTTCGCGTTCGCAGGCCTCCTTTTGGTGTTTTGCGGTGCGGACTTTGTGGAACTCGTTGTAAGCCGTGGAGACAGAACCCATTTCGCTGAGGACGGAGACTTCTAGGAGGCCGTTGCTTATGGTCTTTGAGAGATCGGATATTTGTTTTAGCTGAGTGAGAGACGGGGGTAAATTAGTTAGCAAATAGGATTCAGTTTGCGGGGAGTGGTTATGGGGTCATGGGAGAAAAGATTATAGGGAAAAACGACAAATGATGACAAAGGTACAAATAACGTAGAAATAACATACAAGGTTATTTGTCTGACGAATTTCATCCGGTGTCTTCTCTAATCGTCGCTGCGCTGAATCAATCCTACGATTACAATCATCGATGTATTTCTGCATATCGCGTAGGTAATCGTATTCGAAGCCCCATTTCGACTTCTCATGCGCCGACGCAGCCTCATACTCCGCTTTTAGCCCTTCGCTGTGAACCTTTGGGCACGGGCCTAGGTCCTGTTTGGTATTGGTGAAGAGGTCGTGAGGACATGTGCCGACAAGATAGGAGCGGCAAACTTTAGGGTCGGTTATTACGAGTTGGGAATTGCGCGAGCCACCGAAGCCCATCATTTGCTCCGCTATATAAGTTAGCTTGCCATTTGGATTATAAAAAGTTACGATAGAAAAACGATGTATGCTAGGCAGAACGTACCGCCCATAAGCTGCTCGAGCAGCTTCCTCTGCTCTGCCGCCATGCTCAAAGGAGGATTGGTATCTCTGCCTCAACGGGTTGGAGAAGAGTTTATGCACTCCGGAAGCGATCCTGTATTGGGCACAAAATTGCTTTATAAGGTTGTCTGTGAGAGTGCCCAGGATAAGGTCCTTTTCGAGTTTCACCACTACGTTCACAGATTCTGATAGCATGAGGATAACATCTGCTTCCTGTTCTGTCGCCTATCGCGCTAACACAGAGAATAACTAGCGCGCTCTCAAGGTTGATGGAAGTCACGTGAAACTTCCGCATCTCTAGGCCACGGAGCAAGATGACGCCCAACTCTCAAGATACGGAGAGAGAAATTTTGTATACAGCTATCAACACTTTGCTGTCTTCATTGAGAGACATTACAATTGCAAACTGCATTGTTGGTCTCCTGCAACATGACGGCATGATTTTCAATCCTCTCTTTTTCCTTTGCATCTTCCTTGCATCGCTGTCGCCAGCTCTCTCCGATGCAGCAGAGTACCATGAACAGCTAGTCCTCCGCCCTCTACCCCCTTCCTCCCTCTTAGGATCGTTTAATTTTCGCAGCAATTCGTCACTTGAAGCTTTTGAGCACCAGAATTTCCGATATTTCCCACGATCTTTAGGCCAAATCCTCCAGCATGCCAGCACTAAGGAGTTGCATTTGAGATTCACCACCGGTCGGTGGGATGCGGAGAGCTGGGGCGAGAGACCGTGGCATGGCTTTAAGGAGGGCGGTACAGGGGTTGAATTGTGGGCATGGATAGATGCAGATACGGATGAAGCGTGAGATTTCGGGCAATTTCCCTCAAAGCAATCTGGAAATAGCAACTAACAATTCTCGCTCTTCACAGCGCCTATTCCAAATGGATCACTCTAACACAGTCCCTGTCCGGCCTCTTCTGCGCGTCGTTAAATTTTATTGATTCTACTCGAACAACTCGACCGGTAGTGACGTTTGAGCCTGTGGGAAACCATTCGTCCAGACCGCTGCATCTGCTGCATGGGACGCTTCCTGGTGAGGTCGTATGTACGGAGAATTTGACGCCGTTCCTGAAATTGCTTCCCTGCAAAGGAAAAGCTGGAATTTCAAGTTTGTTTGATGGCCATAGACTATTTGATGCCTCCTGGCAGAGCATGTCTATTGATGTTCGCCCCACCTGTCCTGAGGATGCAGAAGCATGCCAGGTTGAAATTGAACAAACAATAGATATGGTTTTAGATGTAGAGAGATCGAAGAGGCCAAGAGGTGAGTTCTGGTGATTATCCTCACCTCTGCTTCTTCCCTATTTTCCTTTAAACTAAGAATATTATAGATAATCCCATTCCGCGCCCTGTTCCCGCGGAACAGCTAGTCTGCGATCAATCCAAGCCTTACAACTCCCATGATACCTGCTACCCAGTCGGCAAAAGTGCAGAACAGGGGTGGCGTTTATCAGAAGTGTTTGGCCGTAAAATTCCAGGTGGATGCCCTTTAACGGAGGAAGAAGAAAATCAAAGACGACATGTGTGTATCAAAGTTCCCAACGACTGGGACGTACTAGTCACAGCTGGCGCGATCGAGAGAAAGTCTCCTGACGGGCTTTCCCGTTGCTACTCACTCCTCGACGATTTCCCTTTCGACCTAGTTCTACCAGCTCAAAAACAGCCTTCCGAAGTACCCTTGGAGCAGCCTAACCTTCACGCAGAGCGGACGATAACCGGCCACGGCCAAGAAAGAGGTGGCATGCGGTCAATCTTGACAAACCCGTCCCAAACCAACCCAGTTGAATTCATCTACTTCGAGACCCTCCCCTGGTTCATGAGGCCTTATGTGCACACTCTTAGCGCAAAAGTCACGAACCAAAACGGCACAGACGTTTCCATTGCGGCCTCGGAGATCATCAAGGAGGTGTTCTACCGCCCCGCCCTCGACAGAAAAAGGGGCACGCAACTTGAACTGATACTTTCGGTCCCTGCCGCATCAACAGTAACACTGATTTACGACTTCGAAAAGACCATCCTCCGCTACACCGAGTACCCACCCGATGCCAATCGAGGATTCAACGTCGCCCCCGCAGTTATCAGATTACTCAGTAGCCGGAACGCCTCGGAGGTAGAAGTAAAATCCGGCAATTCGCAGTTGCAACCCCCAATCTACCTGCGCACGACAAGCCTACTCTTACCACTCCCCACACCCGATTTCAGCATGCCATACAACGTGATTATATTAACTAGTACGGTTATAGCGTTGGCGTTCGGGAGTATATTTAATATTCTTGTTCGCCGTCTTGTTGCTGTCGAGGAGGCACCGGAGTCCGGGATCAAGGCGAAGATTTCGGGCTTTATTGTTGCGGTGAAGGATAGATTTAGAGGGAAGGTGGTTAAAGTAGAATAGTAGTGTATCTTTCTTGCATGTTTTGTAGGCACCGTTTATATTATTACATGTTTATTTTTATTTTATTTCGGCATTTATCGCGTGTATTCCGATTCTTGATATCAAACCTTTGTGAACAATAAATAACCACTGCATTTTGCAAACTCAAATGCTACCGGATGTGGTATAAGCGTTCCCTCCGGTCCTTGGGGAAACCGGTGTAGTATCACAACACCAGGCGGACGCGTCATTGTAATTAGTCTTCTCATCCTTCCACTCTGAATACCATCGATCTAACAATGCCTGTAGCGGTTCGTACACTGGCAACGAAATGAGCAATCGACTGTCCACTCGATGTTAAAACAGCTTATGTGGGTATAGTAAATAATTCCTGAAGTGTGGAATAATAGATGGACGATGTTTTGGAGCACAACCAAAAATAAGGAATGATAAAAGGCAAATTATAAAAACCAGGAAAAGGCGGGGAGTTTTTAATGATGGAATAAAAATACTCCAAAAGTGGTAAAAATAAAGGGGACAAATAGGTCATTGGCGTGGTCTGGTCTGTTCCAAGCAACCAGCGGGTAGAGTCTAATTTTCAGTATAGGGGGGAAAAGCCACATACGTGCCAAATTGCAAGAAAGTCTACAAAATGAAAAAGCCCATAAGAAACCCCGAGTTCCACACCTCACGAACCAACCTTCTCTTTTTCCTTTAAGCTCATCGATGACAGTGCCCCATGTAAAGACTGTTGTTGCGTCTTCCGCTCTTCCTGAGTCATCTCCACCTGCTCCGCCCACGTCCCCTGCGGCGACAGTGGTGTAGTAACATCATCCTTACCGTTCCCATTTCTATTCCCATTTCCACCTCCTCCAGACACACTTGGTAGCGCGGGGAAATCCTCTTCCGCGCTGACACGTGGAGGCTCAGGCGGGGGATGATGAGGCGACACGCCTTCCACCCACTTCCTGACATCAGGCCCAGATGAGCCCCCATACATCTGTCTGCCAGCATAATCCCCACGACCACGACCCCTGCCGCCCCGGCCGCGACGCGGGTTTCCGCGCCCGCTTCCCCTCCCGCGGAAATATCCACCGTCGTCAGGATCCGTGAACGGTTCTTCCGTTTGACCACGCATACCATCCCCCGCACCAGCAGTGGTGGCCCCATCATACAACACGCCACCATGCGCACCGCGTCGATAAGAACTTGCAGCCCCGCCCCGACCCCTCCCGGCCGTCGGCGCGAATGCCTCCGCAGACTTCTCAATATCCCACTCGCGCCTAGTCTGGGCGTCAAGCTTTCGTTGCCGATTCCTCTCCCGCTCGCCGTTCATCACGCGGCGGTTCTGCATTTCTTCACGGCGCTTTTCGGCGGCGATGCGTTCTCGTTCGAGGAACGAGGCTTCGTCGGCTTCAGCACGAGCGTGGGCGGCCGCCCGTTCTGCTGCTTTGAGTTTGGCGGCTTTCATGCGTTCCGTGAGTTCATCTTCGGTGAGTTTGGGCTGCGGGAAGGCAAAACAGTTGTAGTTAGTATCATGTATATTTGAACATCGGCGAAATTCAAGAGGTACATTCTTACCTTCTTCACGCCACCCGTTCCACTTCTATCTCCCTTAACCGCAAAGGTCCTAGGCGCAGGTGAAGGCGCCGGCGCGGGCGTGCTCTGTTCTTTGGTTTTCTCATCCCCACCATTCTCCCCATCCCGAATTTCCTCCCTTTCTTTCCCATCCACATCCCCTCCCCCCTCTTTAGCATCCCCCACCTGTTCCTCCCCCTCTGCACCACCCGCCGCGGGTGGAGGAGTCGGCGCATCACGGCTCGCCTCCACACCTTGGGACCTCACCCGCCTCCCACCACGCCCACCACGCCCACCACGCCCACCACGCCCACCACCATTAGCTCCTCCTCCTCCTCTGCCTCGTCCTCTCCCCCTCTCCCCACTATATCCGCGCCCGTTCCCACGACCTCTGTTATGATTTCCATCCCTATACCCGGCGGCACCAGTATTATGCTGCGCTTCAGGCGGGGCCGGCGACTCGTGGCTCGATTGTTCTTGTTGTTGTTGCTGTTGCTGTTGTTGCTGTTGTTTTCCCGGTGAATGGGATGCACGTGGTTGCGAGGGTGGTCGTGGGCCGGACGAAGTCGGTCGTTGAAGGGTAGGTTCGTGTGCTGCGGGTTCCGGTACAGGTTCTGGGGGGTATTCGATCACGACCTCTTGAGGGGGAAGGGGGATGATTTCGTCGTCGAAGAGGTCGTCGACGCCACGCGTTTGGGCAAATTCGTCCATCGTTCTGCTCTTCTGAGGGTTTTGCGGGTGCGCGTGGTGTGATTAGGTCTTCTTTTAGATTTGTAGATAAATCGTCCCTGTGTGTAATGTTTGTTCCCTGCGCGCAATACCAGTAATGCCACGCTGGGAAAGACGGTGGTGTTGCGAGAAAAAAAAGAGGGTTGTAGGTCAAGCTCTATAATAGATACAATGATAGAAGTGCGTAGGAGGCCCGCGCATTGAAAAGGGGCTTCGGTATTGGGTTGGGTAGTTAATTGCGTTGTTTACCGCCGATAAGACGTAGTAGCTTCTTCGCTCCTGAGAGCGTGAATTGCACAGAAAGATGTGCGCCACGCAACAAGCACTCAGACTGCCTGGTAAATCGTCGGGTTGGTCCCTCTGCCAATTGAGCTGGGATTATATATATAAATATAATATAGGTCTGTTAACTCCGCATCTCCACTCCGTCACACAGGCGGGGATGCGACAAGGCCTCCGGGCTAGCTTATTCTTCTCACCGACCGACCCCTCGTCCTTATATCGTATTCAAATCAGAGAAGTAGCTGGAGTCTATAGAAATCGCAAATCCCCATCCCACCTGATTATTAACAGGTTGCAAGCGGCGTGTGGAGGCTGGAGAAGGTTTGCGTGTATATATACACTTAGGGCTGAGCAAGGGAAGTTGGGTCTTTTTGCCGCGCGCCACCGCCTTCCTTAGGTGCTTAAGGGATAGTTAAGCGCCAAGAAAGAGTTTTCTCACGTGATTGGAAAAGGGGCAAACGGTCAGAGGGAGGAATGGGAATGGGAACGATAAGAACGAGAGAAATATTTACGGAGGATCTTGCTAATGGATGTATTGTAGTTCAACTTGGAAGAGAGGTTGTGGCTGATTGGGTTTAGTGGGGAGAATAAAGGCAAAAACAGAAAAGTAATGTAATAAGGGGCATATTTTTTCCTCCGGTTTCCTACATAAACATAAGTTACCACCTGCCACAGTAAATACTAAACGGATGAAAGGAGAAAGGAGCACAAGAGGAAATGGAATAAATAGTATTGGAAAAAGGAAGAGGCGAGTCAAGTAAAAACAAAATCAAACCCCATATAACGCCGATATGTCTGGCCTGACCTGAGCGGCCCATGTTTAGCAGAGAAAAGGAGAAGAAAAGAAACTAGAAAATAAATCTCGAGCAAAATCCGTTGCCCATAGTTTCTCGCTCATGCAAGCCATGTTCTTCGAAGTCATAATTAATTCCATCGCCATATTGCCATGACACTTTCATTTTTCATCCCTCCGCTGCAGTATGGTGCTGCACATCCATAGGGCAGGCTGGGATCCAGTCTCGTATTGACATCCACCACCTCGAACACACCCAGCGCCGCTCCCATCACGCTCCTCACCTCCGCCTCCCGAAATTTAAAACTAATGATCTTCGCTTTTTTAAAAAAGAAAGGAGAAAACAGAGAGAACAAAATGTGAAAATGTACCATGGAAAGAAAAGGCAGACAAATCGAAAAGAAATGAACATCGGGGGAAATGGAATATCGAACCAGCCTTTCAAGATTTTAAATAGAGTCATGCATGCAGGTATTTGGGTGGAATGAATCATGAGTAAAGGAGGAACAAAAAATAAATAGAAAAGCAAGATTACATGAGAATGCATGAAGCTTCCGTTAGTCAAAGAAAGGATTTTGGATGGTGAGATATTGAATTTGGCCGAGGGAAATACATAGAAAGATGGAAAAAAGTAAAGATGAAACAAAATGATAACAGGGAAGGGGTGCAGCGGAACGAAAACATGGGCAGACAAAAGCAAAATGTTTTGGAACTCCCAAGGGGCCGGGCATACGGAGGATACAGAGAGTCAGGACAAACACTGCCAACACAACACAAACACAGGAAATAGAAATGCAAGATTTAAAAAGGAAAAACTACCCGCGAACGAAATCGAAAACTAAGACAGATGGAACGCCCCCTGTCCCTCATGCATGGCAACATTGAGCCGTTCACGGAGGATATCGATGTTGGTATAATCGGGTAACTTGAGGTAGTTGACGCATGTCATTACGCTGGGGAGATAGTCGTCCGGTAGATACGGAGGGTCGCTGGGGCGGCAGACGACGGTGAACATTGGAGTAAGACTTTTGAAGCCTGCGGAGTTGATAGTTAGGATATGGAAGTTCGTGACTTTTAACGCAAATAGACAGGGGCGGATGGAAGGGGGGAGAGGGGATGGTTTTTGTGTTTGACTTACCTCCAATGGGAAGCTTGGGGCTGCCGGTTACGAACTGCAAAAAGTCGCGACGCTCTTGTTTGGTAAATTCGCTCATAACCTGTAGCAAATTGCGCACGCTTTTGCTGTCCATGTTAAAGCCGTGGTCCGCTTTCATCGAGTCCATCAATGCTGCAAAAACAGAGAAGTTAGTAATCCCAACGCCAAATTGTATAAACCCAATTAAAAAGGGATACAATCAACATACTCTCAATCGACCAATCCTCCTCAACCTGCCCGAATAACATCACAAGCTCATCAGGCGTAAACGACTGCAGTGAAGAATACGGGAACACTTGTGAGAACCCAGCACGGAACGCATCGAGCTGCGCCTGCACGCCACTACCCAGAGTCATATCGATGACTTTGCTGACATAGGACCCAACATTATCCATCGTCACAGCAATGGAAGAGCCATGCGGAATCATCTGAATCGAAGGGTGTCCCGGCAACGTGAAGTCTAAGCCCAGATCCTCGACCCGGACACCATCGACGGTAAGCTCATCCAGCGCGCGGGCTTTTTCTTCGGCGCTGAGAGAATCATCGGCATTTATGCTGGCCTGTGCGGTCACGAACCGTTTCACGAGAGTCAGGGAATTGGCAAGTTCGGGATCCACAGCCTTGACGGTTGCGATAGTCGGAGTCACTGTTGATGAGGTGGCACCACCAATGCGGAAAAAGATGGGGTTGAAGGCGATATCGATAATTCTTGAGTCCAACATAGATCGAGCGACGAATTTGCCAAGGCCCTTGAAGTATTGAAGCTGCTTCTTGCCCGCTTCCGACGAAGCCTGTTCACGACTCATGGGAGCAGGGAACAGACCCAGTTTGTGGAAGACATAATCGTTCTTGTCGTTCGAATCATGTTCTCGCCATAGCTTGAGCTTCTTCTTGGAAAATTCTTTTGAAACGGTTGAGTAGAACTCCAACGTCGGACCAAGACCTGTACCGACTTCCTCAAAGTATTCAACTTCAAGAACGCTGGGCGACGAACCGTACAACTCCATGACCTTCATGGCAGAATCTAAGATGCGAGACCGCGAGATGCGCACTTTCTGCCGCTGTAGACGTCCCGCGTACGGGCGATCATCACGTCTCTGATCTCGTCGGTTTTCATCAGACTGCGACCCTTGCCATCGCATCATAGACCGCGCATAGCCGAAGGACGTCGATTGTAGGAAGAGGTGTCGAGTTTCGAAGGGGAAGAGGAATGGGAAATGGCGCGCAAGATCCTCGCTCCAGCTTGGGAGGCAGCTGCTAGCCACAATCAATGGTTCTTCGAGTTGTCGGTTGAGCTTGGCGGTTAGCTTTGTATTAAGGAATTGTGCCAGAGGTTCTTTGACAACTCTAATCTGATGGTTGCTCTCTGCCAGGATGTCATCGAGCTGGGCGTTCATTCCATGCAGAAGTCCGAGTAGCTTGAGGATAGATGCCGTTGTCGGATTCTTACTCAGGGACTCTGGCATACCACTGGAATCCGTCTCCAACGACAAATTGCTAGAGTTCGGGGTCAGTGTGGATGGTTCTGGTGGCGGTGGCCCCTGGACGCGTTTGTACTTGATTGTGTGAACCATGGACCACACATTACGCGCATGGCAATCGCTCAGATGTTCTCTATTATGGTGGATTGCGCGATACACCGTTGTCTCATGGGAGATTGGTTTGTCATCGACACGGAACTCGATATGCCAGTCCTGTGGAATGGAGGCAATTGCCGCGGCGTATGAGAATGGTCGACCAGCAAAGGCCAAAGATCCGCCTAGAGATTGGCCAGAAGTTGGAGCAGATGATGACGGTCTTCCTGTTTGGTTTGACTGCTGAGGTGTTGAAACTCTCGTTCCGTCTTCTTTACGAGCAGTTACTTTCCCTGTTGCAGCAACTTCCAAGTTAACTGCCGTCGGATCTGCAACTTCCTCATCAGAGAGATCGTCTTCAAGGTCATCAACAATGGCATCCAACGCATCATCCTCTTCTTCCCCTTCCTCGTCATCGGTCAGCTGCCTCTCATCAGCGCATTCTAGAGGCTCATCAGTACCATCTGTTTCGTCATCGGGAGGTGGTGGTTGATGTCGATTCGGGTATCTCGTTCGGAGAGAACGCTCATCAGAACCTCCAGATGTTGGCGTCCGCGTGGATGACGAACGTTGAGGTTTAGATCTCTCTGGAACTCGTGTACTTCGGGACGAAGTGGCCTGCTGTGGAGGAGGGGGAGGTAAGTTAGGCTGCTCAAGCCCTCCAGAGAGCGCTGTCTCAGTTCCACTTCCTGCAGCATCTCGAGATCTAGAGGAGCCAGACAACTGGGAAAATATAGTATCACGATTCCGCGAGCCTCTGGGACGTTCGGATAAGCTGATTCGAGGACGAAGATAGTCATCAAGAGCCTTAAAGTTGGCGATTGCGTGGATCGATACCATCATATTTTTGTACGGTTTGGGGATATCGGATTCCTCGTCAGCAATTAGGCGGAGTCGCAGTTGCTTTGAGAGCATGGATGTGGCGTTCCTGTTATCCAGAGAGCTGTGATTAACAGTGATTACTTCGTAATGTTCCGTTCGGCTCAGCAGGTCATGGAGTTTATGAATCAAAACACTGAAAGGAGTAGTGGGCGAGCCAACTTTGCTGACGGTCTCCGTTGAGATGTCCGATTCCATAAAAGCTCGGAGAAAATCTGTTCTGGCATCCTTTCCGGGTACTGTAGAAGATTACGGAGTTAGCTGGAAACAAATTTATGATATGGAGTCCATTGACTCATATCTTACCTTGATCCTTCTTGCTAATCACGTCTAGCAAAACTTGAATGATCCCCGAGCTAAGCAATTCAGAGCTTGTAATACTCTCAAGCGCATCACCGTCGAAGTAGGCCGCCAGTTTTTGGAAAAGCACATAACCATCGATGGGTTTCACGTTGTTATAACAAGCTTCAATCTCCCCCACGAGTGCCTGCAGCGACTGAAGAATTGCCAGCGCTTGATCATGCATGCCTTTGCCCTTACTACCATCGTAGATACGGAGAAATTTCTTGGCGCTGCAAGTCACAAAATCCTGAAGCGCCGAGTCCGCATTTCGAGACATGGGCCCACCCGATACGGATGAAGAGCTCTCTGATTCGGACATGTCATCGTTGTCCTCATCATTATCCTCATCGTCTTCGTCATCTTCATCCTCCTGGCTGTCCTCGTCATGATTCATCACGTGATCCTTTTCCTCCTCATCTTCAGAATTCTCGTCACCCTTCTCGGAGGAACGTCCATTTTCAAGGTCAACTTCACGCTTAGAATCTTTAGGTTCAGCAGACAACGGAGTTTCGGCAAGCTTTGTTATTTCTGTGATTACCCCCTCGCGATGAAATTGGTACTGATAAATGTCCTCGAGGCGTTCAAAGAGGAGCTCTGCACACTGTAGAGCCAACGCAACAAGAGACATGTGGTCCTTTTGTGACAAAATGGCAGCCAAAAATGAGGCATAGGGCACAGTGCGTAGGGCGTCTTCGATAATTTGAGCATCTAGATTCTGTAGCATCTTTAGCTGCGCCACAAGCACCTTTTGCCTAACGGACAAGTTAACTGTACTGGAGTAAGCATCAGTCAGTGTTGGCAGCAAGATTGTAGCAAAACGTTTGATCTCCGTTTTACACCCTTTGAGACGCTTAACTCTTTGCTCTGCCAATGCCTTTGTTCGGGGCGTCCTGGAAACTGGAAAGATATCGCTCTCAAAGTTGGCTGTTATATTATAGTCGGAAACAACTAGGGATTCATTTGGAACTCCAGGAAGAAGCTCGCAAATAACATTCAAAGTTTCAAATACCTGCTCTCGCGGGCGATGGATCAGAGCTTGCATGATGTGCACACTATCTATTTTGATTGAGCTACCTGCCTCAGAGGGGGGAGAGACCCCGGTCAAAATTTGATATAGTGTATCCACCACATTCATCTTAAGGAGCTCGACAGACAGGCGCGGACTTGATTTGGCGGTGATGGCAAGTACGCGGAGGAACTGGGTGTGAATATGGGGACCGATCAAATTTGTAGTGCCAGGTAAAAGCAACCGAAGGATCGCCCTCAACATGTCGGGTTTAATCAATTGCTCCAACTTTTCTGGTTTGTATTTGAAACTTTCAACCACCCGAGAAACGCATAGGCATCCCTGTTCTACGACCTTTTGGTCATTGCTGGAAAGGACGTTGAGCAACGTTGGCATGACATCCCGGATAACAGGGAACGAATCATGAGGTAGGTTGCGGCAACAATTTGCAGCTGTTATTACAGCCGTACGCTGGGTGCTGGTGGGGAAGAAGTCTAAGTAGGAGAGACACGCCGTGAGGCCTCCTTCACGAACAATCGACGAAGGGAAATCAACGGAGATCTTGGCAAGTGTCTGTTACATGAAAAGATGATTAGTTCTGATGAAAATCGGATGCTTTGATGCTTGGGGTGCTAGAGGGATGAACACATACACTCAGAGCTTGTTCAGCAAGGTCTATGAACTGTATATCCAGCAACTTCTGACAAAGAACAGGTACTGCACCACCATAAACAACGTTTGCAACAGATCCCCGAAGGGCTTCCATCATGTTGGCCAAGCTACGACATGCAAGAAGCATAATCTCAGGATTTTCCTCCCCTGTCTCGCTGGGTTGCATGAGCCTCACGAGCTCCTTAACGAAAGGGTCAGGAGAAAATTGCCCCGCTAGGTTATCTTCATTGGAAACCAGCAACAGATCTGAAAGCTCCTGCAAAGCAATAAGTTGGATCGACGGATCTTCCGTGTTTCGTAGGTTATTGAGGATATCACGTAGTCGAGAGGATGTCCCACTCATCATGCCACTGAGAGCTCGTAGAGTATTCTGTAGGCCCATGGGGCTCCGGGTGCCGAATAGACCATTACGGAAAGGGTCCCCATCCTCCTCATCGGTCATACCAGATGGATGTGGACCCTCATTCGAATCACCCGAAGTGGATGCTTCCGTCTCTTTCGCTTCGGGCGTCTCCTCCTCTTGCTGATTTTCTTCAGGTTCCTTCATCGTAACATCTGATTCGCGTTTGGAAAGGCGATGTTTTCTTTGGCGACGTGAAGGGGAAGTTTGGGTGGAAGGAGCATCTGAACGAACATATCGCTGTTAGAATCAGTGTAGCTATTACCAAACAAACCAATTTATTCTGATAACACCACAATATCGCCCGCATACCTTGTGATGGATTCTTATTCCTACTGGGCCGCTGTCTAGGAGCAGCGGATGATGAGGCAGGGGTTTTTGAACTATCATCCGAGGGACGAGTAGGGGGGCTGTGCGGCAGTCAGTCAGTACGATACTAGCCCGGCATCTAATAATCAAGCATAAAAATTCAGCAGGAGCTTATGAATTCCAGGACATACCTAGGCTGGGACATTGCCGGTGGTTGTTGTCTGGAACCAACCCGTCTTTGAGACACAGAGGCTGAAAGGTCAGAAGATGATGAGCCCGTCAGTTTCACTCTTTTAGCTCGCCGGGGTGGGGACGCTGGGGGAAGCTGCGCCTGATCGCTTGAGGGTCTCGAGGGCCGCGTGGTAGTCGAGACTTTTCGTTTCCGGGCCTGTGGGGGTGGTGGTGGGGGTTGGGGAGGCGAAACGGTGGAAGAGGATGCAGGACGAGAGGTCGATGAGGGTGAGTCTGCCGCGAGCCGTGCAGCTGAGCGGGTGATCCTGGGGAACATTGAGAAGCTTAATTCCTTGTTCTCTTTGATGATAGCAACTCGGTAGAAGATCCCATGCAAGATAAGGGCACTAGATATAGGAGAATAGAAGAAGGGCCTCTTTTGCTTTCTAAGCTTCTACAATCGAGTTCGAAATGGGAGATTCCAAAGAGTAAGAAAAGCGGTAAGGAGGAAAATAAGGGAAGAGAAAGTAGGGAATTTGAAAAAAAAGAAAGAAAGAAAGAAATGAAAAGAAAAGAAAAGAAAAAGTAAAAAGAAGACCAAAGAGGCGTATTAGAGAAGGAGGTGGAAGCTAGAGAGAATCTGGAGGAGGCAATACCTATGAGAAGAAGAAGGTGGAGAAGTCTCGAGAGAAGCTCCCGGAGCGAGACGGTAGGAATTAGAATCGGAGGCGGAGAAGGAGACAGAGGAGGCGGTGACAGCAGAGGATGAAGACTCCGGGATCAGTCCAGACTGTTCAGAAGGAGTAGCAGTTCGCTTGGCCATAAGTATGTTCACACACAGTGCCAGTCTTCAACCCGCCATCCGCAGTTCTGTTGGACCGAGGAGTGGAGGGTTGGATGACGAGCAAAGGTCGAGGGCGGGAGGCGAGCCGGGAAGACACAGAGCAGTGGGCGGTACTCGGTAAAGGGATCATTCAGCTGCAGAGGGAGAGAGCAGACAGTAAAGAAATATAGAGAGGTAAAGCGTCGTGGAGGGTGGAGGTGGTAAGTTGGAGAGTTGGAGAGTTGGTGTTGAAGAGATGATGAAGAGGAAGCGGTGGATGTGGGCGAGGAGGAGGGAGATCAGTTCGATGCAAGACAGCGGAACCACGACGGACTCACGCCAAGACCGCGATGGAGATAGAAGCAGCCCACAACCAACCAGCCTTTATCAGCCTTCATCAGCCTTCATCAGCCAGCGGGCAATGTACTACTACTACTGTACATAAATCGAAGATACAGCTTGCTGTTAAAACATTGGGAGGCAAAAAATGTACAGTAACTAATATATAAAAATAATAAAAATAATAAAAATAATAAAAATTAAAAAAATAAAAATTAGAGAAGAAGAGCGTATCAACCCTCTCAAATCCAGATGGTACGTTAGTTGATTGCGTCCTGGCGATGTTTGGTCCCCTAGCAAATGACGACAACTATAATAACTAAATAGTTAAAATATATGATATCCCCCTAAATTTGCCAACGCACTCAGGAGGACGGATGGATGGGATGGGCATTTTCTGTTCTTTTCGCCTTTTTACCATGTCGAATCAATCTTCTTCTCTCTCTTCATCCTTTTCATTGGCACTCACTCTCCAAACAAACCCCAATGACTGCCACATCCAACCTCTAGTTTTAATACTGGATAAGTGCAAGAAACCCAGGAAAAAGCTCTTTGGTCCGCCTATATTTCGACTTCTTTCTTTTAATCCAGGTCGTAGAATATGCGGGAGAAGGATCCACTAATAATAACAATAACCTTCCAATAATGTTACATAGTCAACTCTCCAATATGCCAATAGTTAAACAGAAACAGGAAAGTTAAACAGAAACAGAGGGAAGAAGGCACCTCATTCTCTTTGTCTTGAAAAACTATGACTACGATGGACATATTTATTATTATTTAATTTCTTTCAGAACTGCGTTGGTGATCAGTAGTGGGTTGTCCCAAGCCGATAGATGTAGTTATTGTATGTATGGCACATATTTACAACTCCTACGGGAGGAGCCGTAATAAAATGAGGTTGCTTCCCCCAGCTTCCACCCGTCACGTCAGGCATCCTCAGCGCCCGTCATGCCTAAATAAATAAATCATGGCCTAAAATACCACACACTAACCAACGCCTATGTTTGTGAACCCCGAAGCCCCCAACGCAAGCCCGAAACCGGGGGGGCATTTGAAGGTCAGAGGAGAGGATTTCTGTATACATGAGATGAGGTCTCTTACACACACATATCATATACATCGCCCGTGAGGGGAGTATCACGCGAGGAAGTTAGAAATGGCGTTTCTTACAAATATCTAGTTAACCCACCCCACCGTGGACATCAAAAGACACCCCAGATAATGTTACACACCGCACAGTCAGTCTTCTCCTCCTTGATATTGAGCTGCATCTCAACTCATCATGCGGATTAAAATTGATTTACATGATCAAATGCCTAAGACAAAAGCATCCTATGTTCCAGGACTCTTGCCATAACTACATCTCAACGCTGGCAAGAGAAGCGTCAACTAGTTGATATTTAGCTATCTACGCCGTAGACATCGATCGCACTGCAATGGGAGTAGAACCAACAAATATTCCAATCTCTCATCATCATCGGCAGCTAATGATCATAATCGTGAAGAATTTTCCCCCGAACTATTTCTGATTCTAATGAACAGGTGAACAAACAACGACGACTCAGCTGATGCCAAAAGTCATCGCACTGCAGCTCTACGTAGTAAGTCAACACGCAACAAGAAAACCGCTGGTGCCAGAAGATATGAATTAAACACGGATATTTAGCCAACTGCATGGAACTGCCCAAGATGTCTGCCTTGCTCCTAGGCAGGCAAAGGGTTGTCTAAGATCTCACTGACATCATCGTGTCACGTCTGGAGTGTTTAGTTGGCTAAATACTCGCTGCTGTCTGCAGATGTATTATTCAGGCCCCAGGCTAGTTTGATATCTGAATTTTGGCCCGCAAACGACTTCCGGAAGATGGAGGTTGCGCTGCCTTTGGAATAGTTACATACATAGCTATAAATATGCCTATATATTCTTGCGAAACGATTTGCCGCCCAGCAGCGAAAAGACGCGATATTGTACTCTACCTTATATCTGTTAGGATCGGTGCCTGAAGAAAGAGGAAGAACGGGCGAAAAAAAGAAAGGAGGAGTAGAAAAAGAAAATACAGTGGCTTGCTTCTACCCATGGCCTTGGTTTTTAAATAAACTCCGTTGTGCATGCTCGGGTTCCGTTCCCCCACCCGAGCAAATATTAGCATTTTATTTTACCCGGCCACAGAACATCGCGAGTTTTTGCTCCTCACCGGATCCAGCATCACCAACCCAACCACCACCAAATCCCAGCATCTGCCTGCTATTCTTCTTTCTCTTCTCTTCTCTTCTCTTCTTCTTCTTCTTCTTCTTCTTCTTCTTCCCTCTCCTCTCCCCTTCCAATTAAATACTCCCCACTACTCTTCCGCCTACTCCAGAATACCAGCGAGGGAATCCGACGAGAATCACAAATCCAACTCCAATTAAATAGGCCCCTCTCTCTTTCCTTCTCGTCCAGAGTCATAGATATATATAAACTCCCATCTTTTCTCCCGAAAGAAAACATTGCATTTTCGCCCTCTCCATCCTCTCTCCCCCCATCCCATCCCAAAACCCATCCTGCCTTATCCACAGTCCCATAATATAATCGCATACTATATGCCGATTCGATTCCAAGACCGGACAGTTCACGCATACTCCTCAACTCCCCTCCTCCGCCTCCCCCTCTCTGATCCCGATCCCTCCACCCTCACCACACTCGCGTCACCAGCGACACCATGGTTGACGCCGACTATGCCCTAACCAGTGCCGATGTCGATGTCGATGTCGAGGGCAAAGGTAACGGCAACAGAGTCGCCCTCCCGCCCATGGACCCGGAATCCTACAAATTCCCCGACCACAGACTGAAAAAGGTCATGTCCGACCCGTCCAAAACCCCGCTCCTCCTTGTGGCCTGCGGCTCCTTCTCGCCGACGACGTACCTGCACCTGCGCATGTTTGAGATGGCCGCCGATTACATCAAGTTCAGCACGGATTTTGAGCTGATTGGCGGATACCTGTCACCTGTCTCGGATGCGTATAAGAAGGCCGGTCTGGCAAGCGCGGTACATAGGTATGTGTTTTTTCCTTCTTCTTATTATTATCCAAATTGCTATTTTTTTGTTCTAGTTTTAGTTTAATTCTGCCCTGGCACTCCCTCCCCCTGTCAAGTCTACCTATGAAATGGTGCTGACGCATAATCTCCTCTGGTACGTAGAGTTGCCATGTGTCAACTGGCTGTGGAGAAGACATCGAATTGGCTTATGGTCGATCCGTGGGAGCCAATGCAGAAGGAATATATCCCCACAGCAAAGGTGCTAGATCATTTCGACCATTACATAAACGAAGTACTGGGTGGCATTGATACGGGCGACGGCACGCGCAAACCAGTGCATGTGGCTCTGCTTGCCGGCGCGGATCTCATCCATACGATGTCTACACCAGGTGTGTGGAGTGAGAAGGATCTAGATCATATCCTTGGACGATACGGGGTGAGTCCCGGTTTTTCTCTTTCTTTTTCTTTTTTCTTTCACAAGGATATCCCCAATACTGACACATGTCCATATAGACCTTCATTGTTGAACGCGCCGGCACAGACATCGACGAAGCAATAGCCAGCCTGCAGCCCTGGAAAGAAAACATATACGTAATCCAACAATTAATCCAAAACGACGTCAGCAGCACAAAGATCCGCCTCTTCCTCCGGCGCGAGATGAGCGTCCGCTACCTAATTCCCAGCCCTGTCATCAACTACATTGAGAAACACCACTTGTATGAAGATGAAGGGTCATCGTCTACTACTGCTACTACGGCAAAACGGAAACAGAACAACAACAACTTCGACCCTGGTTCTCACCAAGATAAGGGGAAGGGAAAGCAAGAGGACATGACGATGTCCTATGAAAATGATAGGCCTAGTGGATGAGATGATATGATATATTCTATGATGATTATGATTTTTTCTCATCCCGTCACCTGACCACCCAGGCCCCCTCGTCCCCAACTATCCTTTGTTTTCAACGAACATGTTACATTGACGTACATATGCTGGGGATGCCTCCCCAGGGACGGACATGGTGTTCTCGTGGGGTGGTGGGTGGGGAGTAGCAATGCCGGCGGTAGGTGGGATAGAAGCAGCGGGGATTAATGAGATGCGGTATGGTTTTAATGGATGTATTTTTTTCTTCTTGTCTTTCTCGTCTATGAGATGTATGAATGTATGAATATGAATATGCCTTCCATCCGGTTCCTCACATGCTTGGCATTGGCATGTTTGCATATTGCATATACGTATATATTCATACATCCGTCTCTACACTCAATGGGCAGAAAAGAAAGGAGCACGAAAATTTTAAAAAATAAAGTAAGGCAGCCCGACCAACCACACAGACGCACGCGGACCCAGGAAGCCAGCCGCAACCGTACCGCGCCCGCACCCGCACCCGCTACACAGCAATCCGCTACACAGCACCCGCTACACAGCACCCCCCTCTGCCTTTTCTTCCGAGTTGTTTCCACCTCCCTCGATTACATAAAGGCAATTCATTAAGCCCCAACCGATCTCACAGCTCCTCATTGCTCGAATATCCCTCCCTCCCGATACAACAGCCCATAGAATGAAAAACGAACGAGAGCAGAACAGGACCAGGATAGCGACAGGGCGGAGGCACAAACACGAAAAGGGAAAAATATGTCATAAATGATGGAAGCGATACTGTTATTCTGTTATATATATATTTGTCTTCTCCGGTTCTCACGCTTTATAGAACCCCTAAATCTAAGTCATCACTCCCCTCCTCTGCCTTCCACACAACAGGCAGCCGCGCAATGGTTCGAACCACCTCGCTGCTGGTATTAATGGTTGATGGAGGGAGGTAGGGAGGGTGTTTGTTGGTTTACTCTTAACGATTTCAATACATGCATCAAATGGGGCGGATGGATGGATGGGTTTGTGTAAGGTTATATATTTCCTACTCTTTCATCATTGCTTGTTCTTTATTATATGTTTTCTGTTCTTGGTTTTCTCACTGTTCTAGCTGGTGTGATTGCGGGTAGGTGGTAGAGCGTATTTTTCTCTGGCGAGCATATCTTAGTGATGGCATTGGCCGGGATGCGATGTAGGTGTGGTGTTGATATAGATTTAAATTATATATATTAATTTTTGATCTTTGTTCGAGTATGAGAAGTTAGTAGTAATAGTTACATACAAGCGTAAGTTATATTGAATATACCCGCGCCAAGAAGCGAAGTGGGGAGAGGAAGAGTGAGTGACAGCTTATCTAATCCCGCTGCAATAGCCTATGGCCTCCTGCCCCGCCATTTCCACCCAGACTTTGCCCCTGAATTCGTTATATATATTATTATTATATATATATACTCTGTCCTCTCCTCTTTATCTCTCCTCTCTCACTCTCTCTCTCTCTCTTCTTCAATCCTTTCGTTTGTTGGACTCTACTTATTCCACACGTGATTCTTCTACACCAATTGCCTGTCACTCAACTTGGGGTAGTTAGTTGAAGTTTTCGTCCCGAGGTACGTACGTCATTAATAAGGATTCTGCGCGGGGGTGGTGCGTGTTCATATCCACTTTTTCGCATATTTTTACCCCCGTTGTACTATATATCAATGCGATCCCCCATCTCATCTATCTATCTATCTATCTATCTATCAAGCAAGCAAGCAAAGCTACAAAGCTACAAATCTACTAGGTTGTGGCGGTGTTCTGGTCCCGGGACTTGGGTGGTAGATTGTTTCTCCTCCACTGCCCATTGCTGTTCTGATACATGTACCAAAGCATTGTGATATCATCAGTGTCTACGGGAACGAAAGGTGCTTGGTTTGGGAGGATTGGCTTCGTTCTCTAATTTGTTTGAAGAGTACAGGAGGGAAGGGTGCTTGGTTTTGAGCTTTTCTACTTTTAATTTCATCTTTTTTTTTTTTTTTTTTTTTTTTTTGTCATATTCCGCCTGGTCCTTGCTGAAGGTGACCTGAAGCTCCCTAACTAGCAACTAACATCAAAAACAAACCTATAGATAATCAATTAACGGCGTATTCCTCAATTGAAAGGCCAAGTGCCTGCTCTGTACAGACTGCCAACCCTAGCATTTGTTCGAGGACGGTAACAGTCGAAGCGACACCACAGCCACCATGGGTTCGACTGAATTGCCAGCTATGAAGACGAAGCCGAAGGTCATCTTCTTCACGGACTTCGATGGCACCATCACTCTCAAAGATAGTATGTCTCCTCTTCCTGTCCTGCATAATCACTTTTTTTTTCCTTATCAGTTGCCAGCTCTGGTGGTGTATAAGAGCACATTTTCGAGGTCGAGGCATACATGTACATCTACCATGCCAGCTGGAGAATGAATGGGAAGATTTTTTCTAATATGATTCTCTACCTCTTTGCTTTTTGTTCTGGTGGTGGTGTATAGGCAATGATTACATGGTACGATATATGGATTTTATCCTTGTTATGGCTCCCCTTTTATTTTATAATCCATTATCTTCCAAAAATTTGGGATTGGGGACGCAGGGGGATGAATTACCTACCTACGAGGTGGAGGAAAAAAAAGAGGAAAATTGCTAACATTCTTGAATTAGACCGATAACCTGGGTTATGGACTGGAAAAGCGCCGTCAGGGCAATATCGACGTCCTCGAAGATAAAATCACGTTTCGGTATGTACTCCGCTTTTCGCACATACAGCTCGATTCTCATTCAAAAAAATGGAAACTGAATACCAATATCACTAACACGATCTTAAACCCCCTTCCAGAGACTCCTTCCGCGAGATGCTTGACAGCGTCAAGACCCCCTTCAACGAATGCATCCGCATCCTCCTCGAAAACATGGAGCTCGACCCGCACTTCACCGAGTTCTACAACTGGGCGCGGGACAACAATGTTCCCATTGTCATCCTGTCCTCCGGCATGGTGCCCGTCATCCACGCTCTGCTCGTCAAGCTCCTCGGCCATGAGCCGGATAATATCCAGATTGTTGCCAACCAGGTTGCGAGCAGGGATGGGAAGGATATCAATTCTGAGGGCGGGTGGCAGATTGTTTATCATGATGATAGGTGAGGAGCTTTTTCTTTTTCTTTTTTATTCTATTATTATTAGGTTACCAGTGGGAAAACAACAAATATTCTAATTCGATCTACCGCCGCTCGTAGCCACTTCGGCCACGACAAATCCATCGAAATCAAACCATACGCGGCCCTACCCGCAGGCGAACGGCCCACACTCCTCTACGCCGGTGATGGCGTTTCGGACCTATCAGCAGCGTCCCAGACGGACCTGCTCTTCGCGAAGAAGGGGAAAGGTATGTAGATAGACCCCTCCCTCTTACCTGGACGCCCACCCAATTCTCACATATATTTTTATATAGACCTAGTAACATACTGCCAACGCGAGAAAATCCCCTACACACTCTTTGAGGACTGGTCCACTATCCTGCAGACGACCAGGGATATTTATGAGGGGAAGACGGACCCGAAGTCAGTTGCGGCGGCGGGTGTGTGAGTAGCGAAATGGGAGGAGGAGTTATGCGGTGTATGGTATCGTATATACTACAGTAGATATTCATAAAGAGATAGGTAAAGAGAAAGAGAGTGGAGAGGGGATCGGCAAAATCTGCGATATCTGTCTTCTGGTACTGGTATAGAATTAGATACCAAGTTTTAGAGTAGAGGGTCCCCTTGTGTTTTCGCTCATCTTCACATTTTTGAAAGACTGGAAATAGATATACAATACAAATCTCTGGGTGAGATTATATGACTCTATTCATATGAATAAATGAATAGAATGTTGTGCTATATGACTTTCTATTTTCTCTACTTATTGTATATAGCATCAATTCATGAAAATATGTTAACATATAAATATGAAATGATTCAGCTTCTTAACTACTAGTAAAGCTGGCTGATAGTAATCAAGCTCTTTTACCTTAGTGTTCTACGATATATATATTTTCATTGAATAAAAAATTCTGTTAATTTTTATTTATTTACAGTCATGATCGCGTTCTACCATGTTCAGCTCTCTGTATAAGACAGTCTGATATCTGATTAATAGCATAGTATTTTGTAAAGGAATCCGATGATGCACTCATGGCAAGTCACGTACGGAAAATGAGGTATGATAACAAGGGAGTAAGTACTATAGATGAAGTTGGAAAAAAAAAAAAAAAAAAAAAAGCTGAAATGCAAGCCCCTGAAACATGGAGCGGGGGGGGTGCCAAACTGGTGAGCATCACTCAAACCTAGGGACAAAAAATAAATAAAAGGTAGCACCAGGGGACGTGGCTGATGGGGTTATGTACTATTTAACTACTTGTAGAACAACGGGTTCACAAAACCATCTGCCAGGTAACCATCCGCGACCGCAACGCCTTCAGCACCCCAAGCGGCAGCAGCTTCCTATCCACCAACTCCAACCCGCCAAAGTTCTCAAACACCTCGTCCGCATAGAAGTTGATCGTCCACGCATGCTCCTGCGACATTGTGAGGGGGTTTATATCGGGTAAACCGCCTCCACCAACTCGCCCACCACGCCCGTGTCCATATCCACGCCGACGTCCAGATCCACGCCGACGTTCACCTGTACGACAGCCCAGGCCCCCGTTGCCGGCCTCGTAACTATCCACCGCGGCACGAAGAGCCCTATCCACCCGCGACGGGTGCTTGATGGTCATTTTCCTCGGCGTCTCCATGAGGAACTTCCACAGCCGGAAGAACAACTCGGATGAACACTCGCGCCAGCGGACATACTCGTCAAATGAGAAGAAGGTCTGCGCCTCCGATTTCCACGGCAGGACCGCGGTGGAGACGTGGTCGTCGCCAAAAGTGCTGTCGGTCTCGTCTTTGAAGGAGGAATTGTAGCGGCGACGCCGCTGGTGTTCGCTGAGCGAGAGGAATTGCTGCTTCGCTCGCTCGTAGGTGTCGCGCTCTTCTTGGTGGAACTCGCGAAGGCGGTCCGCGGTGTCTTCGCAGAGATTTTCGCAAACGAGGAGGAGCGGGGTGAAAGGGTTTAGCAGCCCGAGGCCGCCGAGGGTTTCGGGGAGGTAGAGGAATGCGTCCGTTACGGGCGTAGAGGGGTTGAAGCGGGTGGAGATTGTGTTTGAGAGGTATTCTGTGACGGTTTTGGCGCCTTTAGAGTCGCTGAAGAGGTAAGATTGGATGCGTTTGTGGGCTTCGAGGGTGTTCTTGACGTGGGAGCGGCCGAAGCAGTTTGCGGGACTGCCATTTTCAAGGTCGGCTTAGTTATTATTTGAGATAGGCGGTGATGACATGCATATATGGGTGGATGAAAATACTTACTCTGCAAACGTGTAGCTGAAGAATCGTCCAATGCAGCTATTCCATGTTTTAATCCATTCCAACATGCTCTTGCAGCCAGCAAGTTGCTTTTGTAGCTGCTTGACATGCTCCAGCACATGCTCTTGGTTAATTTCCCAATTGCCAGATTTGGGATCAAGGACCATAAAATTCATGACAACAGGACCCTTGGGCAAAGCTTTGACAATCTCGGGCTTCTTAGACCGCTGTCCCTCGACAAAATAAACGGAACCTGTTTTATTCTTGTTAAACTCCAAGCCCATGACCTTGGCAAATTCTTCCATCGCCTGCCACGCCTTTGCACAACGGCCAGGCTTCCCGCACAGCCAAAGGTCGTCGTGGAAGCGATAGAGGATCATGCCAGTGTGCTGGTTGACAGCTAGATCCATGAAGAACATGACGATCTCGCCCATGAACTTCTCAAAGATATGCGCCATGGGGAGACCACGCTTGCGGGTGCGCACTGGTTTTCCGTTCAGCATGTTCAACGGGGGTTCCAGTACTTTCTTAAAGAATGTAATCCACTCTTCCTGGAATCCCATGAATCTAAGCACGGCAAAGATGCTGCTGTGCGCCAGGCCTGTCGCAAACCATTGGAAATCGCTCTGGACTACGGCGGCCTCCCCGTCAAGCGAGCGTCGAACGAGGAATTCTGTAGCCAACGCGCGGAGTAGGAGCTGTTTGATTTCCTTGGGGTTTAATCGGTCACCTCTGCTGTCGTCAGATGCGTCATCATCATCGTCATCATCATCGTCATCATCATCGTCATAACCCCTTGCTTCCTCGTAGCGCGTGGAGGGCAGTGGTGAGAGGAAAAAATGTTCTCGGTAAGTTTCCTGACGATCCTGCTCAGCATTTGTACCGCGTGCCAAAGCGGAATGAGCATCAACACCTAGGTAATATCGCCTCCTCGCTAGATCCTCTTGTGGTATCCTAGAATTTTTCTTCCAGACCCCTGCGTGACTTTGGATGTCCTGGAGGAAGCGTTTAAGCTGGACGGCCCAGGTTGTTCCAATCCAGTGTGTGAAGATGGCGTGAAGCACATCATCATCCATCATCACTCGCCATTTCCCATTTGCACTTTGGCGGCTATTTGATACATATTAGCACTGTTCTTCGGAGATAACGGCACTTACTGTGTATGTCATCAGGAATAGGGAGTGAGAAACTTACGGCACAACAGGCATGCCTTGGTCGCCCATGCCCCACGACCAGTTCTGGATATTTGCGTATCTCATATTTAAAACGTCTTTGATCTCATTAAGAACGTCGTCGTCCCTGAGAAAATCACGAAGACTTGCTTTCTTCTCATCATCAAACAAGTCCACTTTTAACAACGACTTGATGCACCATTGTAGGCTCTGGTGATCAAAGAGAGTTTTATTTCCCAGCATTAATTCCCCTTCCCATTTGACCTGCTCTCTCAGGGACTTTAAGGAGGCTTGGCCGGCTTTCGATGAGAATAATTCATTGAGATAGTTGTCAATTTCCACCTCGTCCGTCTCAAGAGGCCTCAGGACCACTGTCTCAAATTTATCGCGCAACTGCTGTAGCCTCTCTTTCTGAATGTTCTGTACGACTTCGAATGAATCCTCTTCCAGCGGCCCTTCCGACTTGGTGGAGGCAGGGGGCGAAGATTCCTCGTTCGCACCCTTGGGTGCATCAATCCATTCCAGTAAAAGCTTCGAGTACAAATCAGCCAAATTGAGTTTACGAGATTCGGCTTCCAGCTTTGCGCGCAGCTGCTGTTCAAATTTATGAAGCATGTCCTCATTGACTGATGGATCGTAAGCGGACTGATGAACCCAGTGTTGTATCTGGCTTAGCTGGCGTAGGTCTGCGTCACTCCAAATATCCAGCTCTTTCATGCCATCGTGCAGGCGAGTAACTCGCTCGCGACTGTTTTCGCCAGCACTCTCGACATTTGCTAGGATCTTGTCTTTATGTTGCTGGTAAGTCTGGCGCTTTGTCCCCAGCTCCTGAACCTTGGTTACGGTAATAGACTGAAGGGTCTGGGAGAGAATTGAGGAAGGGGCCATAACGGGTAAAATTCTGGTAGTTGTGGAATTAAGCGTGAGAGAGAAAATTGGTCAAATATTATATTGTCTCTTCTGCTTTCCGTGCTGTTGTCGCCTGGGATCTTCCTTGTTGGGGAAAATTAAGGCCCTCTTATAGCAAGAAAACCAATCAACAGCGCAAGAGCAACATCAGCAGCTCTGAGAAGACCCCGCGATTTGTGGCGTCTGTTGCCTAAGTATATACCTCTAGCATCCCGCGTCTTGTCACAGGGCTAGGAGGTTAGACAGCAGCCATTGGCGGGAAGTCCTCTGAAAATGAGGCTCCGATTCTGCATCATCCCTGCGGAAAGGGTGGTAAAGGGGAAATGGAAAGGTCTCGTTCATTCGAATTTCCTGAAGCCGATGCATGGTTTGATCGCTTCCAATAATGCTTTTTCTTCACGCAAATGAAATTCAGAGGGAGCGAAAGGGGCGCTGGTATAGGCACCTAAATAAATATAGCGCCCTGCTGCCTGGAGCGTAGCAGGGTTGATCGGGGCCATTTCCTGATAAATGACTCACCCAGCACCGTCTTGGGAGACAATCCCGAGAAACTCCTGCGACCGAGAACAGTGCAAGAGAGATGAATCCTTCATCTCAGCATCCTCCAGAACTTCAAGGAATACAAGCACACCCTGGCCATTCATCAGGGAAAGGGTTTTCTCTGCTGCACACTGAAAACAGCCTCCATTCATCAGGAGATGGTGTCAATTGGCCCGGTGAGGCGTCGAGGAACGTGGGCGTTTAGCACGCACCGGCGCAAGCTTTGGAGAAGTTATCAATATATGCGTCGCGCGAACATCAGTTCCCTTTTTGAATGATATTGAAAACTTTTGACAGAATGGTTAAAATATTGGAAGAGGAGGACCACTATTTTGGTATTAAATACTAAGACCCTTACATAAAATACCACCATGTCATGATTCTTCTCACACCTGCGACTTGATATGTAAGTTAGTTAAGGCCATGTATTTTAAATCCTAGTAGTTGTTCAACTGGGCAAAACCACCGTGGGGATTGAAATTACCAATACTTGCATTCTCAAACACTCCATACATATTTTTTGCTTTGGAAATTCTAAATTCCAAATATAGAACGAGTGAACTTTTGCTCAGAAGCTATAAGATAGCCTCCATGGGTTCGTTCTGCCACTGGTATAATTGACTTTGCTCTTCAGGGGTTTTATTAAACCAGGTTTCCTCCTTTGCCAACTCTATATCGAAATAGACATAGGCTAAAGAGTTACTCCTGAAATTCTCTAAATGAGGGATAGAGGCAAACCGGTTTATATCCATCCAATTCTTCAGTAACCAGTCCACAGAAAAGCCCCCCCGCGCGAATGGGCAATTTAGCGGACGGAAGAAAAATCTAAGTTAAATTCTGTGTCCACGGGAAGAGACCCTTTGTCAAAGACCCCAACCCAAAACTACGAGGCTGGTTTCCATTTTTGACAATCCTCAGCCATTTTTATTAACAAGACTTCGCACGCAACCCGCTCCATGCGCAGCAAGTTTCTGGTTTCCGCCGGCAAATGACCCGAGTTTTGAAGCTCATGGTCTCATCTGGTGAGAATTGAAAGTTCGGCATCCAACGACACCAAGCGAGGAACAAAACTGTAGATATTGTCTAATGTATCTGGGCAACGCGGGTTACCTGCTCGGCTGTCTTGAATTGGTTGTCTCTCGTTAGCAAAGTAGGGCCTGGACGGCGCTCCAGTCGCAAGTCGAACGATCTTGCTGATAGTGCGACTGAGATTCGTATTCAACAAAGTGTTAACCATATGTAACCGCAAATCTATGGTTAACCGCAAACAATGAGTTCATTTCTTCGTTGAGGGGAACGGAATGTGTAGAGGATTGAGAGTTCATGGCTGGGTCTGAGGGGGACGAGGGATGGGCTGATCGTAGCCTGCCTCTAAATCACGTTATCTGATAACATCCGAGCCTCCGTTCGTGATAACCCGCAAAAGGCTGAGATTCTCTTTCAGACTTCAACACTGGATTAGCTCTCGGTAGCCGGAGGTTCCTCTGCACAACATGCCGACTCATCTTCAAATGTCCGAGGCAGTGGATCGCGCGAGCCGGGAGATTGGTATCCTCTTTCAACTGTTCTGATTATCTTGATGGTGGCGTCTCGCATTGGCGAACTCTGATGTTCCTGTGCCTTGCTATCTAGACTTCAATTCTCCGTGTATAACCGTCAAAATCGACTGTCTTTCTCTCTCAGGGGAGTTTAAGGTTGGTGGCAATCGCCTTCGATGCCTTGCTGGACATGACTCGAGAGAGTTGAGGAACGGGCAAAAGCCTCTCGTACCGGCGTCGTCCAGTAGCTCAGGTCCATCCAAAAATGGGCACAATTTCGCACAACTATGAAGTCAAGTTTGTTTGTTGATAAGCAAACACGATGCCATGACCCAGAATGGCGGATCGAAGCAATGCCTCACAAACGAGAGACCACTGATGACGTGATATTTGACATTTTCAGTGCTTTGCGGGGTAAGTAAACCCAGCACATCAACAGTCAGAAAATAGAACCGGGCCCATAGAATATCGAGCATTGAACCCTGCATCAGTTCATGGTCAGCCCCAATCTGATAACGCATCGGTGGTGGCAATGGACATGCCAGCGCGCAGGGGTCTCTTTTTCTCCGGACAAATGAGTTTGCTTGCCTGGGTATGAGGATGGACTTAAATCTTCCTCGGTAAAAGGTGTGTGTGTATACTAGTAGAACTTAGTTTCTTCGAAGCTGCAATTCCACCCCTCTTCAAGTCGATGTTCTCTGTACGGAGTATGTTCCTGACAAACATGACGGGGCGAAAGCCTTCAAGCTCGTGTTACGGCACGAGCTAACGGATGCTAGCGCTGCATTAGCGCTGATTTTGCCCAGAAACTTCTCCCGTTTTTCTATTCTTTGCTTTTTTCTTGATCGTTTTAAAATTGTCTTGCTCTTTTTTTTTTTTTTTTCTTTTCCGGCGCGCAGACAGCTTGCCCCTGCCCCTGCAAGTCACCGGAGGACAAGCCAGAATTGAGCTTAGCCCCGCCCGGAAAAATGGAAAAAGAGAAGCAAAGATCCCAGAGAGATATTCGGAGCTACTTGGTGCATGTATGACATCTTTTGTTACCGGGCGGATAGTTCAAGCAACCTAGAGTTTAGGAATCAGGCTGGTAAATTCCCCGTAAAAGGACCAAGGACCATTTCTGGACCCTTTCCACCGCCCCTCCTGTAGCGGGAAGCTCGGAAAGTCTAACCAACCTCCGCTTTTGCCCCGGGGGGGGGGGGGAGAAGAGCATCTTCTGTGGTTTAGCTAGCTATCCACCCACTAGGCAGTGGGCATGGGCTAAAATCAACTACAAGAATGGAGCAGCCAAGCCGTAAACTCGCTACTCAGCCAGGGTGGCCGCGACTCAAAGAGCCTAAGACCTGCTGTCAAAGTTATGGGGAGGGAAGCTAGAGAAAGAGACTGGGATACAAAATATCAAAATATTTCTTGATGTTGTGAGATAGATAATTAACTAGTAGACAGTAGCTTAGTAAGGCTGCCATCCGCCCCGGTTCGGCTATAGCCCGGTTAAGCCGGCAGCGGGGGGAGATTAACCGACCAAGACGCCGAAAGTGGGATGGGACGCTTACATAACACACACGCTAACGCCCAGCAGGGAAGGTCGGGACATCTTGTCAATAATAATACTCCTTCAACCACTAACTACTATATACTATAGTATGCTACTACTAAGAGTGACAGCTCAGTAGTCTCCAGTAGTCTCCAGTAGTCTAGTTGCACTGCTACCCTTGACTCTTGAGCGCTTTTGCCTGATCCATTCTCTCCAGACCTTCCCCGCACAGCGCTGGCAGCTGTTAACCCGAATGGGGAAACGATCCTGCACGAATGTTTGCAGCCATGACAATCCCACGCCTTGGCTGACGATCACAATTGACCATCGCCCATCATGGACTTGGCATGGACAGAGTGTGATGGCCGGCCTGAACAAGGCTCAATGGAGAGAGCTCCTCCCGATTGCGCTTGTCCACCCAAAATGAACAAGCTATACAGAAAACATGTACCGTTCAGAAGAACCAGTGTCACGAATCGGCTTCAGTTGTGCTACTATCCGGCGCATATGTGCAGGACGGAACCATTGGGTGGAGGAAAACCCGACTGGCTACGGACTTGCACGGTCAATCAGCCAGCATCCGAAAATTTCTCCTGCCGATGATCCCACCGCTTGTTTCTCGCCAGCCTATTAAGTTACCTGGGCAGGCTGCCGCTAGCGTGCTCCACTCCAGCGACTACTGGACGTTCTCGGTACCTTGTCTGCCTGCTCCAGCATCACAAACTTCCCCGCACGCACACGTTTGCAGTGGTTCACTACTGCAACCTGCGCTAGGATTTCAGTGGGGATGCGAACATGGGCGGCGGGCACCTTCGAGAAATTCGATGTCACGATTCCAAGGAACGAGCGGCCAGCTGCGGCCAGTTTCCTGCTCTCGTCGCTTCTTGCATCCCCCGCATCGAATTCCTGTCCGCTCTGGAAAACACATAAGAAGCGCGGGAAACCCCCCCTTCCCCTTGTCTTCTGTTCTCCATCTCTCCTGTCACTCGCAAATCGAAATACCAGGATAGCCCATCATGCAGTTACTTGCGCTCTCCTTGCTGGCCGCTTCGGCCTCCGTGGTGGATGCTTGCGTCAGCGATCATCTCATGGATAGATCGTTCGACACGAGACAATTGGACCTTGTCAAACGGGATAGCCAACCTCCCCCACCCATCACCGAGAATGAGTCGATCTTGATGAACTCGTTCGACAACGACACAATCAGCGATTGGCTATACTACTATACTCATGGCCTTCACGTCGCCGGCACCAACAAGACCATGGCTCAATGGACGGCCGACAAATGGACTGAATTCGGAGTCCCGTCAACCCTGGCCGATTATCACGTCTTTTTGAACTACCCAGTCTCCAGCTCGCTGTCCCTGACCCTCCCCGACGGCACTGTCGTGGACGTGAATCTGGATGAAGATGTCCTTGAAAAAGACGACACCTCCAGCTACCCCAATCGCGTTCCAATCTTCCACGGTTACTCTGCTTCAGGTGAAGCAAAAGCTGAATTTGTCTATGTCGGCCGCGGGCAACAAGTTGACTTTGACCGCCTTGTTGAGCTGGGTGTTGATCTCAAGGGTAAAATCGCCCTATCAAGATATGGCGGCCCCTTCAGGTAAGAATCCACAAAATCATTGTTCCCTGGACAAATAAATTTTCCCACAGTCGACTGACCCGCGTACACAGAGGTTTGAAAGTCAAGAATGCCCAAGATTATGGCATGATCGCTTGCGTCATCTTCACAGACCCTGGTGATGACGGTAATGTGACTGCAGCCAACGGATACGTGACTTATCCCGATGGACCTGCCAGAAATCCTTCTTCCGTTCAACGTGGATCTGTTCTGTTTTTGTCCACTGCTCCTGGTGACCCCACTACCCCGGGCTATCCCTCCAAGGAAGACTCTCCTCGTGCTGATACTAGTCCTGTGGTCCCAAAAATCCCATCGTTGCCGATTTCCTATGCCAATGCACAGAAAATCCTGATCCACTTGGATGGACATGGTCAATCCGCTGACGCTGTCAACCGAACCAAGTGGGTTGGAGGCCTTGATGTTGATTATTCTACCGGCCCTGCTCCTGGCGCTGAGCTCTCCGTGTCCAACATTATGCGCGACGAGGTTCGCCCGATCTATAACCCCATTGGAATAATTAACGGCACAAAGCAAGACGAAGTCATCGTGATTGGCAACCATTGGGATGCTTGGGTTATTGGCGGAGCTGTCGATCCTAACTCTGGATCAGCTGTTATGGTCGAACTTGCAAAAGCGCTCGGAAAACTCCAGGAGACTGGATGGAAACCAAAGAGAACTATGTAAGTGAATAATTAAAACACACTGGAACCCTGTAACATTCAAGAGCATCGCCATGCTAACTCATTTCTTAGTGTTCTGGGCTCCTGGGATGGTGAAGAGTACGGCCTTCTTGGCTCAACTGAGTGGGTTGAAGAATACGTATGCGAGACACTCCGCCATCTCATAACTCTCCCCAATTACCGGTAAACTGGCTAACTATAAGTCTTCTTTTATAGGTTAACTGGCTCAAGGAAACTTGCGTGGCCTATGTTAACATCGACTCCGCTGTTTCCGGCCCCCACCCCGGCTTGTCTGGCACCCCCGGTCTCCACGAGCTTTCCATCGAGCTCATGAAGAAGGTTGCCTGGCCATACAAGGGAGACGAGAGTCTAACCATGTACGACATGTGGATGGCTAATAGCAAAGGAAGGGTTGGTGTTTTGGGAAGCGGCTCTGACTACACCGCATTTGTTCACGCCGGTATTCCAGCGGCAAGTATCCCCTCAAAAGTCCCTAGAAAATTAACAAACATGATTAAATCCATCCAACTAATACTTCCCATAGGTGAACATTGGCTCATCCAGTGGTTCGGGTGACCCCATCTACCATTATCACTCCAACTACGACTCCTTCTACTGGATGGACACCTTCGGCGACCCCGGATTCGTTTTCCACAAAGCGATGGGCCAGTACCTGGCTCTGCTCACCTACCATCTCGCCTCTGACGACATCATTCCATTCGAAGTGAACAACTACGGCCGAGAGTTCGCCAAATACCTCGTCGAGCTTAAGAAGACCATTGAATCTTCCACCGTCACTCTCGATCTGTCCCGCCTCGAGGCTGCCATTGATGTCTTCAACAAGGCTGCTGCTGCAACCACTACATTGAGAGAGGAGGCCATCAAGGCAAACGATGCGCGCCTTGTTGACCTCGTCAATGCCAAGTTCCGCGACTTCGAGAGAGGCTTTGTTAGCCAGGGTGGATTGCCCGGCCGAATTTTCTTCAAGCATCTGATCTGGGCTCCTGGTCAGGACACTGGGTAAGGATTTTACCCCTTCCACTTGTTGATCCCACTTTCTTTCCCTTGCCGTCGTTATATACAAAGGCTTTCCTCGACCGATCTTTCTGCAGTGCTTCTCAGACTAACCTTGCCCCTTTCTCCTTCCCACAGATACGCCCCAACCACCTTCCCTGGCATCACGGAAGCCGTTCAGGCCGGCAACCATGCTCTAGCTCAAGAGTTCGTCGAGAAGACCAGCAATGCCATCTACGTTGCTGCTGGAATCTTGACCCCATAAACTTTCCTTTCTTTTAAATATAAATATCCCACGCAAACGACATTAATGGATAATGAATGAACATATGCTTTGGAAAATGAACATATTGAAACGGTACATATATTTACATGACATGCAGCCTACCTGGGTTGTACGAAAAGAAAACAGAAAACAGGAAGAAAAAAAGAGAGAATGACGAAGGAGTTTTACACCCAAACGGTTTGCCTGTGAGCACCTGCTCCTCTTAGTGATAGTTTATAATCAATCAATATACAGTTGCTCCTCCATTACCTATTCTCTTCTAGCCTTTTACTGCATGGATATGACTCAAGCTTTATGATTATTCGGTGGTAGAAGTCGTCCTCATGAGTAGCAGATCTCCACAATTCAAGTAAACAATAAAACTTTCATTCCTCACCAATACAATTTCTGCATTATATTCCAATTACTTACTTTCAAGGTTACTCGTACACATCATACTACCATCCACACACTACTGCTCCGGGTGTACTCCAGCGCTTCCATTGCAACCGTGGATATACATATAGTAAGTAACATAAGAAGATGTAATGTACTAACTACCCCTCATGCTACTATACCTTTCTACAGTTCTGCGTATTTCCGAAGTAAAGCATATATGCACATCTACATGTCAGTGTTCATGGGCGGATACATACATACACATACATGTCACTGCATCTCTCTAAAGAACGATCCTATAGGAGGGAGGGGACTGGCAAAAAAAGCCCAAAAATACTGAAGGTAGTCATGTCTTCCACCCCCGCCCGTCCCTAGTTGGACTGGCCTAGCTGGAGAAGACATATTTCGATTTCCAACCTTCCGAAGAGCTGGTGGTTGGTGATTGGTGCCCATGTTTTCCTCTCTAAAAGTAGTAAGTAACCTAGTTGGTGTCCAGCAGGAGGAGAAAATAGAGGATGAGGATCTGAAAGGACGGGCGGAATGAACGGGGGGCGGCGGGTAGTGTGCATGTGTGTGGTAGGTAGCACTGCCTTGATACTTTCTTCATTTAATGTATGGATTACTGTACCTGTTAGCCCCCGTTTACTTGAATAATAAGATAGTATCAGAGTATGACACCAAAAAAAAGAGGCGTACCGAGTACGCGGGCGAGCAGATGTTGAGTTCGGTTCAATTACACTACCTATAGCTGTATACCGACGTTAGGTGGCGGGCGAATTATTTTGTATAACGATACAGGAACGGGGCCCGAACGGGTTTAAACATCTTGCTCTGGTTTTGTTTTTATTCGCATATTACATTGCATAAATGGTGGAGGACCGGGGATATGTGTCAAAAGGATGTAGGTGTTTGGTGTACGGAGCAAACGGACAGGCAGGACAGGTCTCGAATGATTCTTTCGTCCATTGTGATGGGTTTTAGATAGAGTAAGTGGTGGTTCATGTGTAGCATAGCATGCCTGGGAGGTGGTATTATGTTTTTTTTTTTTTTTTTTTTTTTTTTTTTTTTTTTTTTTCTCTTGCAAATTGTGAGGAGTACGATCCATCTTGTTAGGGAGAATATCATGGCATGCGACACGTATATCCGATATATGTAGTATTGAGGAGAAAAGTGTGAATGAGAATAGAGCCGTCAGATAAAAAAGGTGGTTGGTTAATCTTTGGATAGATGACCTCGAAGCCATGCAGATGGGGAGCCGGGAGTGGCGGATTTAAAACCAAGATCCGAAATTCCTTGAAACGCCTTGCCTGCTAAGCAGAAGAAGGGGGAAATAAAACGTATGAAAAGGAAGGAAGCCATTGCTCGAAATGTAGTGATAATGGGTGAGCAGTGCAGTGCAGAACAATAGAGCGACAAAATATGCAGCCAAAACCTGGCCAAGCAAGACCAGCAAATCGAAAAGTTGGGATGAAAAGGAGCATGTCATCATGCATAATCGAAAGCCCAGAAAATCGTGATGGTAATGAAGGAAACACATCCCGAAGTCGATAGAGAACGGAAAGCGGCCGAGAACGACACGATAAAATACTACGATAACAGCTTATGCTCAGTTAATTCCAAGCCTGCCAGCTGCTCATCAAACTTCTTTAGCGTATGTTCAATTGACGGAATGGCACATTTGGCATGGTCGTAATAATAAGTGCTTGTGCGTTGGGCGGCCGGGAAGTACAAGCCATCTCTGAAGCGGTGGGCGAATTGCTCAAAGCAGAGGCCCGTAAAGGGAGGGTCCGGCCGGCTGGGGAAGAGATGAAGGGCTTTCAACCGTTTCGTCAAGGCCCCTAGCATGAGCGAGTCGCATTCAAAACTGCAATGCTCTTTCTCGAGGTAGTCTGCTAGCTGGGCGTGGAGGAGGGAAACTATGCGGGATATAGAGTCGATGCGTTGACTGTTGATTGCATCTGAGGTTGCAGTTCCATTAGCATAGGAATGATTCTGATGCTTCATAACTGTCTATATGTTGTGTTGAATTGCATTTTCTAGAAAACGAAGCTGTATTAAATTTATTCACTCACCAACAACGGATGCGGGAATAGGAAGGTCTCCTAATGGAAGATTCTGCCTGCCTTGTCGTAGTGCGAGTCGAGTTAGGTGTTTGAATTCTTTGGGCCGGTTGAATACCCAGCAAATACATATCCACCCGGGGATATCTTCCGTGTATGTCTGGGGGATGGTGGGTTTGAGTTTCTCGAACCAGAAATTTGCAAAAATCTCGACGGCTTCGTGGACATCATACTTGTCAGCTAGAACTGAAACCTGTGTATATGTATCAAGGTCGAGCTCTGTTGGAACCCTTCGCATGTAGCCATGGATTATATTCAAAATGATAAGAAAGGCATCGGGATCATCGGCAGGAAGAGGGATTTCAACGCTCCCGGTTTCGTGAAGCGCGTTACATTCGCTGAATTTGCGCTGAAGCATGGCACGGAAAACCGTAGACGCAAGAATTAAATGCCGCGAAGAAGCTCGTACCAAAACCTCTGTTTGGCGGGGCGTTAGGTCTGTAGCAAAAATGATCATCTAAGGGCCAAGCTGCTTATTCACCTTGCTCGCAAGTGAGTATATCATTGTGATCTGCTGTATTCGGTAGCTCTGTGTCTACAGCGACAGGGCCGTTCTGTTTTGTGACAGTACTGTCAAAGTCGCCCCCTAATTCAGATATAATCTCACATTCGAGGTATCTTGTCATGATAAGCATCACATCGCCATCCGGGTCAAGGTTGTGGACCTCGGGGGCCATACGATCAAGTTTCGAAACCGCGGGAGCGACTGGGCTAATAACTGAAGGCATCTTGAAAACGCATTTAATTAACAGGCGGCAGGTACATTGCAGATTCTTAAGGGGCTTGAAAGTGGCGGAGGGGGAGCAGAGAGTTTATACGGGATTTAAAGAAGGAAACACGAGGTTTTAGTTCTATTATTACCTCATTATGGCCAAGAGTACAGCGTCTGCTCTGAGGAATCCTGGCCGTGTGATGGAGATGGGGGAGGGCAGAGGGGGCTTCTTCTTCACAGGTGAATCGGGAACCCATGTAGGCCTTTTCCTACGTGGCAGCCGTTATTTGCTGGTGAATATCGGGCAGATTAAAAGAGCACAGCCGTCCGTTGTGCAGGCATATTGAGCATGAGCCAGCCGACCTGGTAGTCACGCTGCATTTGAAGAAAAGGCAATGTGTAACCAAACTAGATTCCACAAGTAAAATTCCAAGATGGGCCAACTTTACAGTTAGCCATGTTCAGAACCCTAGTTGCCAACATCATAACACACTCGCAGCTAACTCAACCACAGAAATAGTCGACTCGGTTCTAGATGCCAATAATCACATCAGCCCCGGTATGAGGTTAATCGCCGCGGGCAATCTTGAATATTCGTTTAAAGCAGCAGGGCACGGGCCTATGGCCATGACTCTGATCCATTGGGGAGCAATACCAAGAGGTAGAACTGGTTGTCACGTTGATATTCCGTCTTGACTACATCCGTAGATAGTAGTTGACCCAGCTCGTACAAAGCAATCCCTGCAAGATTGGCAAAGGCAATACAGGAGCCACAAGATCCCGGCAATCCAGGGTCAACAATGTTGGGTAGCACTCAGTTGGACCTAGGGACTGGTAAATAAATCGAAGCCAAAGAATTTCTCGGGTGCTAGCTGGGCATTAGGAGAGAGAGCTGCATGGGTAGGGGGTACAGGGAATTTGTTACAGCTTAACATCAAAGAAATACCCCTGAGGCTTCGCGCTGTGGGCGTGGAGATGGGATGAGATTCGCTGGAGGCGCGTCAGCGAGTGGCGGCCCGAAACAGGAAACAAAGAAACTCCTTTCTAGTGCAGCCATTTCTTCTTGTCACAGCCCCAACGCAGGTGGGTGCAGAGTCCTGCATAACAGTCCTTAGCAATCTGTACTTTGTACTCCGTACAGAACTCCATATCTCTAACTCGCTGGGACCAGTTAGGCGGTCATGTGACAAACCCTAACTACCTAGGTAGTTAATTCGATTTGTCGCGCCGACTCCTGAGTTGCAACGAGCAATAATAATAATAATAATGAATCAACTCGGAATTGTATAATCTTTGTCCACCCTTGCAACTAGAGAAGAGCTGTGCCATGATAGGGCCATTTGGTTTGACTCGTTATTGGCCGGAACAATGGCTTGGTGTCCTCCCAGTTAAAACCCCATGAATTCGGATATCCTGCACCATCACTAGCCCAATCCATGGTAGCTGAAAATGTGAAGCCATTGGAACAATGAGTGGATCTAAGGTCTAGGCTGCCTATTTTCAACAATTGTTTTGCTGGGAATTTTGAACATTTTCGTTGATTTGTTACTCAATCTAGACCTAGTAACTTGGGCCTGAAATACTGAAATACCCCCCAGCTTTGATCCGACTAGCTAGGACGGGACGGTTGTGCTGCTTTTTGTTTATCTGGCTCCGTTGTATACAAGTCCTAATACTTTTTAACGGGAGAAAGGTCAGGTATCGTATCTACATTATCTCGCTATGCAATCCGGGAGCTATCTGCTTCATGCAATCGAGAGCGAAACTGTTTCCCAAATCTTCGACCTCCCCGCCATTTAGGTATTAACGCATCCAAGTCTCAGCAACAAGCCCCGGGCCAATGGGGAACCGTGCGATGGTCAAATCCACAACTGTGCCCTGCATCAGTCGCCAGGGAGTTGATTCTACCAACAAAAAAGACTCTACATCCGTCCATCAAACCAGATTAGTTAGCAGCACCTTACTATGACGTGCCAACAGAAACAGAGCATCAGAAATTCACCCTTCCCCTTTCCAAATAAACCGAAAATAGTCAAGTGGATTTAGAATCTCATCACTAAAAGATGAGTTTATATATCCCCCACTAAAAGAAATTATACTGCAGAGCCATGACAGCTCGTGACAGCTGACAACCTTGAAGGGGATCGCTTGGCCTTGCTACCGCAAACCTCCAATTATTAGATATGGCCCTATTGTTCAGTGCGCCGCCGTGGCATCTTGATCTGTGGGAGATGCTCCGCGTGGCTCTCAGAGTATGGGCGGGTACCCTTTCTTTACTCCTGGGTTTGGCTTAATGCGCGTCAGGGAGCGCCAGCGCTCCCCACGATGTGCGATGAATCGGGAGTAGCCGGGAAATATTTCCCAGATCATCTACAATATTTCACTCGACAAAGTCGAGTCGCAGCAGCTCGACAGCCGACATCGGCCTCGGATTTTTATAGAGAGTTCTTCGAATCCAAGGCTGGGATAAACCCCCAAGATGACTCTGTGGGGGGAACTCTAGTACCTCTTCACCAGTCCATTTGTTCTTCGGTGAGCGGCGACTTGCATCAGCCCAGTTGGAATTCCTATCTAATGTTCTAGCCAGTCCTTTCCAGGTATCTTCATCAAAAACACCTCCCCCATGGCCAACCGAGCTGCACATTAGGCACATATCATCTACGTCACGATCCGTTTTAGAGTAACTTAACAGTAGCGTAGCTTGTTTAACTTATCCCAGAACTAGGATCCGACAATTCCTATTCACCGATGCCCCAGCGCCACCAATCAACCTGCGGGGAATGATTGTATCTACAGTATACAAAACAATATTATATATTTCTAGCCAAGCACTAAATGTGGAATACGACGGGCGCTTGATTGTGTCCTTATGACGTTTATCCTAAGCTAGCTTGGATAGGATGGGTTGCAAGGTAGGGCTACGGCTGGTGATTGGCACAGTGGTCAGCAGGTCAAGAGGTCCAAGCTCAGCAACTCTCGATGCACGCCAGATGCGCCTAAGCATGGCAGCCATGATATGAACTAGTTACATACATAGTTTAAGGAGCGGATCATGGATTTTGTCTGAGGTGGTGATTATGTCACTGCCAAGCTGGGAATGTCGAAGTTGCGGCTCGGATGCTTATTTTATTTAATGCAGACTTTCTACGGATTAGTTCTTGGTTGGACTACCGGTTTAACATAGCAGAGTGCTCGCTCTGCCGGCAACATGCACTGTTCCCTATTGAGACCTTAATATGGATTCAAGGACTCCCAGGAAAGCATGGAAGCCATGCTTCGGAAAGCCTTATCTGCTGTACCGGGTAACAAATCCGCCCTAGAATCCGAAAATACGCGTGTAAATAAAACGTGTACGTCAATAATGCAAGATGCAAGCGCGATATTGATGTGCACATCTACCACCTACGTGGGATAAACCAAGGCGGTGGGAGAATTGGGCAGGGGTGCAAACGACTTTGAATGAAAATGGCTGCGGTTCCTCACAGCGGACTAAAGCAAGTGAACATATTTGAGTCTTCCCCTGTTCAACACGTGGTACATACATACCCGAGGGCGGCAGAGCCACAGACTCCTCTGGGCGGCAGAGCCACAGACTCCCCTTTGACGTTAAACCTGTACTGACTAGATACTCGTAGGCTTGGCCGTACTTCTCTTTTCTTTTCTTCTCTTTTTCTCTTTTCTTTTTCTTTTTTGCCTAATTGCGTGCAGTCTCCAAAAAGTCCTAATAGCACGTGTGTGTTATGCTAGGCCAAGGGGAATTGGGTATAAAATGCATGAACACTTATTTACGCGGGCATAAAGGAGCGATGGCAGTTTGGTAGAAAAATTGTAGTGGAGATTCGGTGAAGAAAAGCAGCGTGGAGCAGGCCGGCGCCACACTAAGTTAGTGAACCGGTGGGAGTAGTTAGGTTTGGAGGACTAAGAAGAAATTAAGTTAATTAGGCTCCGTGGCAAACGGGCGTGTAAGCGCTTGAAGTGGACCTTCGAAACCGGCCAGCAACTTGCCCTTATTCAACTCACATTTGAGAGACAGATGTATGCAGTGGTGTTCCCCCCACTCCTCGCACTAATCACGCTGCATTGTGGTTGCCAGTGATGGATTATTAAAGGGCAGCTGTGGCTTGGGAAATGAACCCCTTGTCCCACGAGGCCGAATTAAACGTAGATTTCTAGACTCTGACGGAATCGGCTAGAGGCTTTATAGAAGGAGACAGAAGAATGACGGGAAGTTGGAAATAATGCTGGGGGTCACTGGTAGCATGAGCTCGGAGAGATGCGTAGCATACTTAGAGATTTTCGGAAACAGGCCAAGGGAAAAAGAGAGAGAGAAGAAGGGGGGGAAGAATTGATAATGTACGGGGTTTCAAAAGGAGTCATGCCAAAATTATGCATATGCAAAGGTGAAGACATATGAAACCTGTTCTCGCGCAGAACAAGAAAGTTGTTCTCACGATACCCAGAAAGAAAATCTACATGAAAAAGACGATCCAAAAAATGAAGGCCGTAGGTATAACAGTGAGTGTGTATGGTCACCAGTCAAGGGAGGATGGGGATATAGACCAAAAGCGAAAAAGTCATGCCTAATCAACATCCAACAGGTCTTTGCCCTCAACAACGCTAATTATATCACCGGTTATCCCATCCGTGACAGCAATTACTTGATATAAGGTACCTTTTGCCGCAGAAACATGACCGGCGGCATGTTCAACGCAGACTCCATTCTGCTTGATAACCAACTCCTTTACCTCCTTAATGGTACTGCGCTCTGGCACATGGAACCAATCCTTCTTATGAACAATCACATCGGAAGCATACGGAAGATCCTGTAGCGCAATGTCAAAGTCTTTCTCGTCTGAGAGTGCACAAACCTGCGCTGGTGGTATGATTGCGGTTGGAGATAACAGGACCCAAGACCTGGCTGCAGGAGAGCGAACTGCTTTTCTTAAGACGTCCATTAAACTGATTTTCCCTAGTTGCTGAGAGGATTGTGGTGATATAGGGTGAATTAAAGAAAATGGTGTTCCAATACCAGATATGTAACGGTCGTGATTTGGCGAAGGAGCTGGAGTTATTTGTGGTTCTCGTTTCGGGAGCAGCTGTTCTGAAAATATTGTGTTTGCAGATGTCGAGCTAGATGCAGACTCCGAAACTGGAGTCACGGATACAGCCGACGCAGCGCCAATTGCGCCCCCGGGATGAAACGCTTTGAACACCTCTGCTGGACCTCGGCCTGGTGAATTATATAGCTTCCTTGAAGTTGCTAATGCCAATGCATCACCCAGGGTAAGTGCTACTGTAGTAGAAGTCATTGGGGCGGGTAAACCAAAGGAGACGTCTTCATGCTCGTGAACCGGCGCCGACAACAGAATGGGGTCAGGGCTATTTGAGCCAGCTAAAAGTGGACACGAATCGGGATGCTCGTGAGCGGTGATAGCAATTAGTGGTACTGTTTCTGGAAGATGTGGCTGAAGACGAATTAGCTCCGGTGTCCTCCCTGAGAAGGTTATTAAAAGTACGGCGTCATCCTAAATGGTTGAAACAACTACGTTAGACACTATCGCCGATTTCCCACATGTTCACAGGAAAGAATCACAGCAGCAGGGGTAGGTACCGGCCTAATCATCCCAAGATCCCCGTGTAGTGCTTCTGTTGGATGCAAAAATGTGCACTGGACTCCCAGACTGTTCATAGTGGCTACCACCTTCTCTGCAATCTTCCCACTCTTCCCAACCCCGGAAATAACCAGCTTCCCTCCCGACCTCACGGTATTGGCCACTGTCGTCACTGCGCGCTCAAAACTGTCCTGAGCAAATTTATCCGTTGCATAGATTCCTTCTAGGTGCGCTAGCGCGGCCCGTTCCGTTGAGATGACGTGAATTGCCGTGCAGGTCGAGGGAGATAGGCAGCCTCCTGGTGAAACTAATGGACCATCCGGATCCGGTGGGGTCATTGGGAGGGAAGGGAAAACACCGTTAATTTTCGGCATCTGAGTCCGGAATGGAGGTGAGGGGGAGAAAGCAACGCGCCGCCGTTTGCGGGCCATTGGAAAGGACGTCATTTCCAGTCTTTCACACAGATGGAGATTGAAAAGTATCGAAACGGATACTACTAAGTCTAGTAAGAAAGAGGAAGAAACAGGCGTATGTTGCAAAGCACCATTCGAGCACGATAAAAATAACTAAGGAAAAGGGGTTTCCTGGCCGAAGCCGGAGAATTGCTCTATAGCCTCATCTTTCCGCTCAAAAAAGAGAAAAAAAAATAAAGAAAGAAAGAAAGAGAGAAAGAAAGAGAGAGAGAGAGAGAGATAGAGGAGTCTGACAGAAGGAAGAAACAGAGGCGATTCGCAAGTGCATTCATAAAACTGTAGATTTGGGGGCTGTAGTATCCGATAGTCGGGTGGGCGGATGACTCGGGCAACAGGAGGGGTTTGGTGAAAGGAAACCTGTAAGGAAAGTGGTAGACAGGAACTGAGATGGCCAGAGCAAAGCTCAACCTCACCTGGCGATCTACTCTATGAGAGCAAAAAGGAATGGTGCTCGATGGTAGAGAAGAGGAACAAAAGAGAGACTCGGGGAGACGAAAAGAAAGTTTTAAACATAGCTACAGCACCTTTTGCATTGGACTTAACTAGTGAAGTTAGGATAAGACTGCTTAGTCATTGGCGGGGTGGTGAGATTGCCCAGGGCTAGCCTCGGAGTTCACGAATCCCGCTGGGCAAACAACATGAAGGCAATGACAGGATGCAGAAAATATTGCCAATGGAAGATAGATATAACGGGATGGATATGCCCTTCGACTGTTATAAATATCCTCCTCCCACACAGTATATTGCTCATTGCAGTGTAAATTTTGATGATTCCACATCAACGGAACGTGAGAACTTGGCGCACTATTGGTTCCTAATCCCAGATTGCAAGGAATGCAGAAAACCGTAAAAGGAAGGGTATTTCCGGCTCACGCCGACCCCAATTTGGAAAAATCGTGCGTCCATCTAGTATCACCTCACGTTAATTGGGGCTCCTGAAGCTATCCTATCACAAGCCATGCACGTCATCGTGGTGTCAACTAGGGTTATGATGCCATCTCATCGCTGGTGTTGTATGAATTACTAATGCAAGTGCGCCAAATATCCCGCTGCTGTGCTCTCAATGGTAGTCGTGACATTAATATGGGTTGATCAGAACAATGTGAATTTAGTAATACAATGCGCCATAAAAGCAAAATGAATAGAAAGAAGAAAATATCCCAAACAAACCTCGGGAGGAGCAGAAGTTGGTGCGGCAGGCCGGGTGTATTTTGGCAGTCGAAGCGGGGTTCCAATGGAGATGCATCAACTGATTCGTTGCTCATATTCGACTGGCCCATCTATTTTGAGGTTGTCAATGGCTTCACACCTCTATGGATTGCAGCAATTCCCATGGTGAGGTTCTCATAGCCCCGCCCAGGTGTCATGAAACCAGCTTTCTGGATCATCCCGCGGAATTCCTCCTGGCTTGGGAATTTTTCAATACTTTCAACCAAGTACTGGTAGCTCGACCGGTCGCCTGCCACCAGGTGTCCGATCAAAGGAATTGCACTGAAGCTCCACTGTTTGTACACTTGGTCAAACATGCCATTTGTAACCTTGCTGAATTCCAAACTCGCAAAGACACCACCGGGTTTCAAGACACGAAAGGCTTCATTGAGTGCAGCTTGCTTATCGGTAAAATTCCGGATGCCGAACGCCACAGTATACAGATCGATCGAGTTATCAGGAATCATGGGGATGGATTCCGCGTTGCCCTGCATAAAAGATAATCTATCCGTATTGTAGTATGGGGTCTCGAGACTCCGCTTCTTTCCCTCTGCGAGCATGTCTGGGTTTATGTCTGCTATGGTCACGCGTGTTTTATGGTCATTATTAATGTTCGTCGCATGGTCAAGCATCCGAAACGCAATATCTCCAGTTCCCCCAGCGACGTCGAGAATATTCCACCCTTGCTCCTCGTCAGGGTTGCTCCTCGGATATGATGAACCGGGATTCAAGCCTCGAACAAAGTGGTCTTTCCAGAGGCGGTGAATTCCCAGAGACATGAAATCGTTCATTGTGTCGTATGAGCTAGCAACAGAGCTGAAAACAGCTCCCACTACTCATGCTGTTAGCTTGTAATGAGAAATAAAGGATATAGAAACAAATGAGAAACATACCTCTAGCTTCCTTTTCAGCTTCCGGGACAGTTTCGAATCCGAAATGAGTCGTTCGTCCATCGTGGCCAGGCTTTGAAGCCTCCGGCTGGCGCGCTCGGATCGAGCAGGAAAAGCATCGGTACGGAGTCTGAGGGGTGAATGATCGGCGCTTGGCACTATAATGCAGACTACGCCAAAATGATGACATGTTGGGCAAGGTCAAAGTCTAACGACTCTGATCTATTGTTGCGGCGTTGTTGACAGAGCCCTCTTGTTGTTCCGACGTTGGCTGCTGCTGGCTTTGTGGTCGATATTTTTCCGGCGCACGGGCGCCAAGACACCCCAACCCCCTTCCCGCAGAGCCTCATTCCTATCAGAGTGCAACGAATTAACGACACAGAGGAAACTCGGAGCTCAATTGATAAGATCCCACTTTTGATACTTTTTTGAGATTAAAATAGTTATTGTGGTGAGTGTTTTCACGCTATCTTTATATGAATTTGACTCAATTGGGACTGGTACTCCTAGGATAACTACGTGCTCCCTCTCCCGCAGAAGCCTATTTGGCTCGCATCCAAACAGCCAAGACAGCCATCCATACGAAGAAATAGTCCATGTACTCTACATCCCTATCTGCGGGAGCCGGGTCCATGCAGCTCCATGGATCATCACTGGAGAATGTACCGAATGAGAAACCACTTTGAAGTTGTGAATCTTTACGACTTAGCACAAATAAAACCATGCTGAGATATAAATGAAGTTACCTAGCTTAGGTGGGTGTTTGTCGCAATGTCTATCTGAGAGTCTGGGGTATTTGCTGGTTCCCTGCGAAGGGTGAAATTTTCCCAACATAATTAGACCCTTGCTGGGTTTCTTGAAAGCACCCTAGACTGATATATTTTCCCACTGGTGCGGATAGATGCCACATTCCATTTGTTAAATTGACGTGGCTAATGGGCTACAAGTCCGCGGGAACACATCGATGAGACGAGGGACAGAGAATGTTCTGCTAACATGTTGAAAAGATTTATACAGATAATACATATTCCAGCTCTCCATTCCCATATATATTCTAAGTTAGAGAAATCTTCAAATCAATTAAGCAGCCATTTGGAGAGAACAGAGAAATTAAAAACACAATTCCTCATCTCCATAGCCATGTGGAGAACCTTAGGCCATCCAGCTGTTCCTCCCTGCAGCTCACCAATGGCCAACTTCAACCCGCTGCTTTAGAACCATTTAACACCACAGGCACACTCTTACTCTCAATTGCAGGTTTCCTCTCGTTGTCGAAAGTTGCTCTCTTGTCTCGGATTGCACACCGCCTGGCTAGTTGACACCTTAAATCAGCTGATTGAATGCCTTCATCAAAAGACAAAATCTGCAAACATCAGTGATCAAGGGAAAAGTCACGAAATGTTTAATGGCTATACCCATATTCTGGCTGAAAATATGTCGTTCTGGCAAGCAAGAGTGTCTTTTCTGTCTGCGTGCCGAAATAAACGGCCAACGAAAATGGCATTGAATGTGGATGGGGATGGTGCATTCTGCTGGGTAGTGAGATGCGCAGCCTCCGTGCCGAGAATGACCTGGAACTTGGAAGATCCGAAATCGTAGGCAGACCTTAAGAAACGGGAAAGCCTGAACTGTTTGTTTGAATTCTTAACTTTTTGATGAATGCAAAAGGTTAACTACCTGTAGAAAGATCTCCGCGGGGAGCTGAACAATTATCTTTTATACACAAAGTTATGGGAACTGGGTAGCAGCTTATCCTCAACCCCTGAGATGGAGATTTGGTTGTGTTTCATAATATATTCTCATATATTTTCTCGCCCCAACCAATCGTCATCCCCAGGCGGCAAACTTTATGGTTTAGTTCGGTGCATACGGCGCTTATCAGTCCGCCCACTGCGGGTTGGAGCTGACATTTCACGAACCCAAACTTCTGTATCCAATCAGCATTTATCCGTGCCAACACTCATACCGTGCGCCGTAGCACTCTCTGTCAGCCGCCTTCAGAGCTTGCGGTGGCTACCAGTAGAAATGGACGCCGAGCCGGCATCTAACGGCCATTTCGATATAGATATGGCGCTCGCGAGCCAGAAACGCGAGGATGCGTTACACAGGCAGATGTGCAGCTACTAAACTGGGCAATTAACTTAGGTGAGGAAACCGGAGACGACCATTAATAATTCATTGGTTGTCTAACTCTACTACCCCACAAAACTCCAAGAGCAACGGCAATCCTGAAAGACATGGCAACATTAGGTCCGACGTGGGGGCCAAGGTAACACCTCTTTCTGTCACTCACTGACAGCCAGGGCTGCCTCAGCACCAGCTCGAACAAGTAAATGTCGCGCGGTTACGCTGCATAGATCATTTGTACATCTAGTTCGCGAAACGGTGAGAGCGCGATCCAGGGGACATGCGCCAGGTTTACCCATGCCCATGAATCAGGCGATATTTGTATGTTAACATCAGAAGCAGGTCAAACGCCGTTTCTCTCCCCACTAATTCGACGAAAATATCGGCGACCACATCCCGTAAATCAAATTTGAAACTCTCACAGGGCTTTTGAGTTTCGGCTAAAACGCCATCTTATCTTTTATGCAACATCAGCCGTTAATACGTGCCATGTTTTTAACCAAACTTTCCGGGTTGAGTGTGCCAGAGAAGTATCGAACTTTCGCGAAGAACGCCATCGACAGCCACCAAGTTCAAAACTTGCGCAAGACCTCAAGCCTTTGGAATTGAGCTTGGAGGACAATGGCACACACCCATCCAACTCGACTCTCACTTCGTATGCATGAGATGAAAATGGCACTGTTGTTGGTGACTCCCGATCACAGGGAAGATGTGCGCAATGCAAGAGGCTGCATGCTGCAAGGTTATGTATGATGAGGTCGAATTTTCAACAGATGAGAGTCAACTCAACAGCTAGGAGTTGTTTGATTAAATTAATTGAATCCTTGATGATGTAGGGGCTAAAATATTATTACGCAAGTGCTGATCAAGCCACTAGTTAGTTACTGGTAGCTTGGCTGACCACACCAAGTACATGTACCTCGGCGAGGCTACGCTACTGTGTAAGGCCCGTCAGCGATCCCCAGAAAAACTGGACGCGGAACAATGGACTCCAGATGTTAATAAAAGTCGCCGTCATGGTGCTATTCTCGCTTGGGCTCATGGCCCAGTCATCCTTAGTGGCTCGTATCATCTCGATGGCTGCGCTAGCTGAGAGTTTGACCTCAAACACTCTTCATATCAGGGACCACGGTTTCCTCCTTGCTGTGCCATTTGATTTCCTGACCTTTTTGATGCTTTTTGTGGCCTTTGGAGTTTGGTGTAGTGACAGCGTGAACAAAACGACGAAGGCGAATCATTCGATGCGGCGAAGTCATAGTTACTACTAGCCCGCCAACCACTTGCTGGGAGCAACAGACCGCTATTTTAGGATATTAGTCGCATCGCTCATCCTCCCCTCACGAACAGGAAGACTTGCCCGACAACAACCTTGGAATAATCAAAAGCAGAAGATCATATGATCAATATCACCTACATAGCATCCAAGTGCAAGCGCTCCCGAAGCTAGTAGCGCCTCGCGTCCATATTTTAATGGTCAAGCACCCTCACCATCATGTTTGAAGGATTACTTTCGAATGAACAGGATGGACCAGCACACGACAGCAATTCCCGAGCGGCCCAAGCGTGTGCGGCGATGGCATCATCGAGGCTTCACTGGCTGTTCTACTTGCAAAAGCAGACATGTTAGATGCGATGAGGCCTCACCAGCCTGTCGTAACTGCATAAAAAGGGGTCTTGAATGTGACGGCGCCCAAGGCACAGCGACGTTCAAATTCTACGGCCTTGACCAGTTTGCGACTGGTATTGTCGAACCAAATTCCAAACGGCGAAAACCAAAAACTGACAGAGAGGGCGACAAGTTTAAAAAAAATAGAGAGAATGAAACCAATTTGGCAGAAAGGGTCATGCAGGATCCAGTCAAAGCCCTGGTCCCAGCTCAACGCAAAATCATCTCCAATGCTATCACGAAGCCGAAGCCGTCATTCCTCCCAGCTTCCATATCTTCACCGGCAGAACTTTATTACTCTCATTTTATTAATACCGTCTCAACCCTCCTAATTGTGTATGACACCGAATACAACCTAAACCCCTACCGCTATTTGTTCCCCAAGTTTGCCCATACGTCGAAAACGTTGCCGGAAGCAATGAAGGCTTTGGGAGCGCTCCAAATTGCGAATACAACGTCTGGAAAGGCCCAGCTGTGGCACATTCAGAATGCGGTAGCGATGTACGGCAAAACCGTTCAGTCGTTAAGGCAAACATTACGAGCCGGACCAGCACACTGGCAAATGACAGACCTTGCGACGTGTTTGTTACTTTGTTTTTTCGAGGTCAGATTTAGTTCTTTTTAAGCTGGATTTTTTTTTTTTTTTTTTTTTTTTTTTTTTTTTTTTAGTAATACCTGGATAAATCTGCCTCCTGTCACTACTTGGAGACTTACGTTTTACGCAGATGATGGATTCGGAGACGGCGAACTGGAAGGTCCATCTCCGTGGCATCCGCGACCTTTTTGAGGCTATGATGCAACCGATTCAACCAGTACCCACTTGTGCAATCAGCGTCTCGCTCTTCAATAAGGGACCTGAGCCGCCGGAACTATCACTCAAGCGCTTCCTAATATCGCTTACAGCGTATCTTGATGTTGCCGGTGCCGTTGCTTCGAATGAGGGAACAGTCATCGAAGGCCCTTATTGGGAATCACACGGTGGTGGTTGGCAATATAATTTAGGTGTCTCTGGCTCCTTGCCAGAAGATTCTCGCAACGCGGCTGTTTTATCAGCATTACGTCGTCACTGGTCTTTACTAATGTGCATACAAACCGATATTAGCTCCTTTGCGAATGCCAAACGAAAGGGAATGTCCATCGACAGTCAAAAGGCAACCCGAGAAAACCTTGAAACTAGACTTACATTGTGGAGGTCGATGGTGCCTGAATGCTTCTCGATGATCGACTCATCTCTCGAAAGTGCAACGAAAACTCACGGAAATGCGGAACTCCTGGAAGGCACGGCTTGCGTTGAAGCGTATGAAAAGGCCACGATTATTTATCTACACATGGTCTCCGTTGCTGGGGAGCGTGTGCCCCAGGCTTCGCCTCCACATATAACAGCAGCTTCCAAACGTGTCATAACCTTGTTCAGAGAATTTGGGCGGGGTGTTGGCCAATTGGGGATGCTCTGGGCCTTGTACATTGCTGCATTAGAGTCCAACGATCCCGCAGAACAGGAAATCCTGCGAGCAATATTTACTGGCATGACGAGGTTTGGTTTCAAGGTGAGATAGCCCAGTGCCCCTACTTTTTACTAACAATCACAAAATTGACCATGATCAGAACATCACCAAAGCGCTTGCAGTTTTAGAAAACGCCTGGTTGCAAAAACGAACATTTGCCCAGTACGAATGGATTCAGGCGCCACATCTGGAAACGTCGCTGCTGCTACCATAAGACTGAAGGCAAACCAAAAAAAAAAAACCTCAAATCCGCACGATTACGAAATCAAAGCTCGTGAGTATTTCGAGAGCTACGCATAGGCGTATGTCACAAGACTGAAATATGTGCAGCAAACACGAGATCATCATCCGTATCAAGAAGGGTATTCCCAGCGTAGTTGAGTGGCCTAGCTAGGAACACGGTATTACGAGACCCAAACATGCTGCACATCCAAATTAGACCTCGATGTGCCCTGAGCTTGACATCCGAAAACCAATCTCGCCAACTTTAAAAAACGCTGATGTCAAAATAACAAGATGAGAGAAGGCATAGGTATTTCAAATTCTGTTTTAATAGAGCTTTAGAGCACTTAGGTGTGCTACCATAACCAATTTCTGCATGACCATGACCTCTTGCCGCTTACAGTCGAAGGCCGCTCCATCGCCAGTGATAGTTACCCTAGCGCTGATGTGGGTTAAAGAACAGGAATGAGACGACGATCTGATGATATATATGACGCAGGAATGTTAATCGGGGCGATTTGATAATACGACTTCACAGAGATGCCCATCCGATATTAGTCGACCTACTTTGGAGAACAGTTCGACTTTCTAAACCTTTCAAACAACCATTACTATATATATAACACACACTGTATAGAGATAATGGAAGTTTTGTTAGCGGGTCCATGATCGCGGAACTTAGGCGGCGTGTTGATTCACTACGTTCCTCTCAGTAGTTGTTTTGTATACTATTTAGAGTACATAGATATATATATATATATATGTATGTGTGTGTGTGTTCTTAAGGCGAAGTATTTTAGTCCGTCCAATAATAATGACTCGGCTTGGTTTCCTAAGTTAGGCAAAGCAACGTTAGCAGAGTTAGCTAGTTTCGAGCATCCATGTTCAAAAGCGATGATTGATGCAGCAGCCTCAAATCAACAGTCGGTAGGTTGAGCAGATGGCCGGAAGGATCTTATCGTGGCTAATGCATCAATGTATGCATGTACAGTACATAGATCCATTCCGCTATTGTTTGAGATGCAAGGATTTCATTTTATGGTCTCAAATGCCTTTCGTTACGTATTCGATTATGGAAGGGAGGATGAAATCTTAAAGCACCGCCAAATCGTCATTTCCACTTCGGCCGTGGCTCCAATGTCCCAAGCAAAGTCCCAAGCGTGTTGGAATCTTGGAAGTATTTAGGGTTCTTGAACATCGAGTCAGACTGTCAGATATCCCAAAACGTGATAACTAATAACGTTGGTAACGAACGTTCAGCGGGATTACGCAGCTTCGGACCGCTTCTAGGTCTCGTCTCTCCTTGGGTATTGGAAGGAATCTACCAAGGGCTACTAGTTATATCCGCGAAACTCAGCTTGATACAGATCTGACACTACCCCCAGCCCCCGCTGGCCTGGCGGAAGAATGGCAGCAGCAGTCTGGTTTCACCCGCCGCTGATGTAAAGGGCAGCGTGCACATTTCCCCTCATCTGACTGACGCGTGTTTGAACCCATTCTCTGGATAATAAATAGAGCCTGTCTTGCCAAATTGATTGTTATCCAGATATCTTCTTCCTTCATGGTGTTTGTTTTTCAAGGCGCAACGAAGGGCTAAATCCGGCTTGCCCAACCTGTGTCTTGCAAGAAACTCCTCCGAAAGGTCAATCAATCTATGGCCACCAACCTACATCGAGAACGCATATATATAGTCTGCTGAGCTCCCTTCTAGCCGCATCGGGCAGCTTCAGGGAACTGTCAACTGCTTTTATTCCTTCTATAGTCGTCTTGGTCACAGTATTAACACACAAGCCTTTGATACCGATACCCAACGCCAAACATCTGAAAACATGGAGAAACATCAAGACATCCCGAGCATAATAGACCGGGACACCAAAAGCCTTGAACCTCTCCTCCCTGAAGAACATGTCATCTCTGGCCCGAAGCGAATGTCTCTTTCGCGACTAAGTCTATTCGCTGTGAAGATTCTGACTCTGACACTCCTGGTCACGATAACTATATATAAATATTTTTCTTCATCGCTTTCCCCACCCTCACTATACGCTGTTTCCCTCAGAGTCATCCCGCCCGTAGAGTTACAACACACACAGTCTGCCTACGAAGCCAGGTGCGGTAACTCCCCTGCCGAAGCGCGCAAGCTGGGCTGCCGCTTTGACATGATAACTTTCAGCTGGCAACACAAAGACTGCTGGGACGAAACACTGTACATGCATTTCCTAACCCGGTATAAAAATACCTGGTATTGGGAGACACTAGACGGAGAACCCGTGCCGGTCGACGAAGTGTTGGCGGGCCATCATCAAGTCCTAAATACGACGTGGGGTTTCTACATCGTCCATTGTCTCTATGCGATGGAACGAGCGGCGCAGGGTTCGCCCCCGTCACGGTTGACACGGGTGGGTGCACGACGGCAGCTGTTGGAGGATTGGTCGCCTCCGTATCTGCATGCAAAGCAGTGCATGCTTGATCTGATGAATCCGGGGAGGTATGCGCGGACAACAATGATGACCACTACGAGGATGTGGTATCCGGCTTGCGAACCGATATCGGCCAATTGACCTGTTGATTGATGGATGGATTGAATTGAGCATGTACGGTGTCCGACTGGGCCTTTTAATTAATTGTGTGATATATGGGCGGGACGGGTGGCGTTGCATGGAATTTTCTCATTAGGTACATACCCCGCCTGGTTTTAGATCCTCGTCGTTTATACACGCATAGAGCCAGTGGGTATGTATTTGTATACAACACAATAACGAACGAACTGATATATACCTGAACATTGGAAAGCTGTCTATGAGTTGTATAGGAGGAGTCAAAAAGTATTATTGCCAGCCGTTGAGTGCATCTACCATTGGAGGATTTGGAGCGCCTCAGCCAATGCGGACCGACCTTGAGTAGCTCAACGAATGATCTAGTTAATAAATACTAAATCGGAAATTTTACCATGTGATCAAACGCCATTGAAAACAGACAGGGGCGTCAAAACTTGAAGTTTCATAATAGATCTGGGCCAATGCGACCCATATCAGGAGGTTTAAAACTTCCGAGGAGCTTGAATGAGATATGGATATCATTATCCACTAATTCTGCACTGGAGTCAACACTAGCACCATGAAGCTTCTAAAACAGATGAGTATTAATAGGGAGACAGTGAAGGCTGAACAGTTTTGAATATGCTGTGGTCCAACCTGCGGTCCTTCAGATGCGCTTCGTTCGAGGACATAGAGGTCAGCATATTTTATGGTATCCTTTTGATATACCAATGTTGCTTTATGTTCACTGCTTGCTATGTATATTCCCCTCTTCAGCATTTGACCGCTTGCAGGGGCGGAACATCCACACGTGGGATGATATTTTGGAAAAGCTGATAGGTGCATGGTTGGGCTCAGGCGATGCGATCTTGAGCGGCTTGGCGTGTTATCTTGGCAGGAAGTTGATATTTTCTTGGGAGCAGAGACTTAACTAATTTTTCCTGTTATGCAAACTGGCTTAAAGCTCTCCCACTTGATAATGCCGACGATTTTCGATTACGCAACCCCGGTCTAAAAATGTTACGGCAAAATCCCAGATACGGGGCCTGTCAGCCCTTTCCTCACGGAGGTACGGTACAGCCACTCTTTTCTATCATGTGAAGACGGAAGAACAATTGACCATCCAAATGTTGGTTGCGTGCAATCTACTGAGATTTCGTTTTTCAACAATGCAATATCACATTTACCTCCAGTTATATACTATGACTCTTTTTTGTTTATGTACAGGTACACTGTTTGCATAGCAAATATCATATAGCCGCCCAGAAAAAGAAGAAGAATATCCCCCGTTATCCATTTATCTATGATTATCGTCGTCTTCAGGAGTGGGCATCAGCAACCACAGCCCGGTGGTCGGAGAAGAAAACGTCATCGTCAAACTTATTCGGTAACACAGCATAGCGGTTTACGCCCCAGGTGCCCTTGTCACCCCATCTGCAGAGATTGCCGTCACCCACGAAAACATAGTCGAGTCGCGAAAGCCCAACCTCCGAGTTGAAACCGGTAAATGTCTTGCGGTGCCCGTAAATATGCTTGTCCCCGAGTGTCTTAGCTGGGTCCACCATAATCTTGGACTCAGTGACCACTTGGTATGCTTCCTGTCCCTCCTCGCTGTTAAAATCGCCAGTAAGCATGACACCGGTAATCCTGCACGTGTACTCCCGCTTCTTCTTATAATCACCGATGAGTTTGAGGATGAGCTCCGATCCGTGTAGACGGGCGGCCGAAACCTGGTGGTCGAGATGCGTGTTCATAACCAGGACCAGTGCCCGTGTCCGCTTGTGCCTGAAAACACCAATGGTGACGATCCGGCGATTTGTGGCGCCCCATCCATAAGAAGGAACGTCAGGAGTCTCCGACAACCACTTGGTATCGGTCTCGATGGGCTCCCAGAGCGATTTGCGATAGAGAATGGGGGAGTATTCTCCACGCTGTTTACCGTCATCTCGCCCGACGCCGATATAAGTCCAGTCTTTCCCGCCGCTGCTGGGGTGGTTGTTCAATCCGTTGACGACATCCTCGAGTTGGTTGTGGAGGACCTCTTGCATACCGACGAAGACGTTGTCATTGGCGCCCATCTCGTATGCGACTTGAGTGATCAGGTTACCGCGTCGCTCCGACCAAGCTTTCTCATTTCCAGAGGGATTTGCCCCATAGCGAATATTGAAGCTCATCAAGCGGAGTGATAGAGACTTGTTCGGGAATGGCCATGTGCGAGACGTTGAGGATGAGGTCAGGCTTCCATAAATTAAACTCGGCCAGAGGAAGAGAGTGGTGCAAATAGCAGTGGTAAGACGGTTGAGGGGCGCCATTTTCTTTTGGTAGTACTAACCGTACTTCAAATATCGGGCCTTGAGCTCTTGACGGTTTAATCAATGACCTTCTTCTTATTCAGGAGGGGATATATATACTCGTTCCGAGCTTTCATTTTGAGACTGAAGATCTCGGAGCGGGACCACGTGGTATGGCCTCGGATTGGATTTTTTATCCCTTCTGATGTGCTTGTACCACAAGTTGGATAAAAAATTATGAAGTCACTTTTTACGAACGGAAATGCTCAGCCTGACCCATGTGTTTGGCACAGAATGGAGAACCACGCTATCTTCAGCCATCATAGTGCAGATCCACCGCCACACGTGTAAGACTGGTTGGAACATCATTCGCGACAATGTTCCGAAAAAAATATCACTTAGGATAAACAAACACCCTGCGGAATATAAATTTTACAGTGTCTTTCCTCCACCCGAGCTTCAACCGGTTTTCCAGCATCAACCAGGCGGGAACGGCCAGCTAGCTGCTTACACGTGAGGTGTCAGCACGGATTCGTTGAACCCGGCGACAAAGCATGCACATGTTACATCCTAGCGACATTGTGCATGTCCTTCGTCCGCCCGCAGGAATAATATGCAGCCTACTCAAACCATTCGCAGCGAAGTAGTACTCTATCGGCAAAACAACAAACCAACCTCTACTCCGTACCCCGATAGCCAATAGCCAACATCGCCGATAGCCCTGAGTCGCGTGTAGCGGTAGCGGTATTAGGACCAATCAATGTAAGTCGTTAAATTAGCGTTAAGCTTAAGTAAGTTAGACTTCTTGACATTGAGCTTAAATTTAGCCTGACAGGGGTCATCTGAAGGGCTCCAGCCAATCAAAAGAGCTGTATGAAGCGCTGGTGGGGAAGAAGGGTCCGTGCTCCTGACGTCAGGAGGAGGGCTCTTGGGGAGAAACATCCATATGAACTCCGACACCTTTCCAGAACCGCCAAACACTGCTTTTGCTAATTTATGTTCGTGTCGCCGGCCTAGATTTATCTAGCCATTTACCATAGTCGAAAAGACAAGCATATACACGGACCACAGGCTGTCCGCAACCTGACCCGTGCACTGCTCTCTTCGGTACTTCGAATGCATCACTGACCCGAATGATGAGGGTTAGAAGTATGAGTGCTATCACTGTGGGGTATAGTTTGTGGATAGGAAAGCATTTTCCTTCCTCAATGACGCTTCTAGTGATAATGGCCGAGATTGAATTCCACCGGTATCAGCGCCTGAGTAAAGACGAGACAGTTTGTTGTTAGTAAGATGAAATATGCCCCGAACCAGAGTAGAGAATCAAATCATAATGTGGACACCATGTTTCTGACCGATTTCCTTCTGGGGTTGACATCCAAGAACTGATACCTGATGAAAGTTGAGTAATACACGAGAAGGCGGATGGGCCAATTGTTCTTGAAAGGGATTGTGTTATCAGTGAGACCAATTCCAGGGGGGATGAACATTGCTGAAAATTTGTTGCTTGGGACAGTATTCGAGTGGCTGTTCTGGGTCTGGGGCCACACAATCAACACTCATTTATTATTCTTGGTTGGATAGTTCTGTTGTCAGCCATGGACAAACAAAATGTCATCACAGTGACTGGTGAGCAGACAAATTCAAAAAGACAATAAGTTGAAGTTGCTTAACCTTTCTGGACAGAGGTGGTGGTTTGTTGGGCCTGTGCAGGAGCTCTCACAACAGGTGCAAGAGTGAGGGGAACTTCAGATACTTCTTGAGTCTGGCTGATAGTGGGGTTGAGAGACACTCCAAGAACAGCAGCTTTGATCTAAAACTTTGAAAGAAACATCTCAAAGGTAACCTCAACCTCGCGGCATGGGAACTCTAGTTTGTGAGCCTGTTCATCATAGTTGAGTCTACTCTTGGGGAAAATGATAGGTACAACCAACTCCCCAAGGTTCTTCTGCTCTGCCTTGAAGATGGAATGGATTTTTTATTCAAACATGAGACAGGATTTGACTAAATCCCACAAATATATCAGAATCTCTCATTCTCAGAGAGTTTTATCTCAGATATAAAATTTTAATTTTTATATATTCAATTCATATATCAGTACTAGAATTGCTGTAGGGTATGACTGTCCCATGAAGAAATAGTAACTATACTTGAGTAGTTATGATGTTTTCTCAAGAAGCAGCCATGTTTGGGGTTTGATCATATCAATGCCTCTATGGAAGTAGTGTGTTGATGTGAGTCCAGCAGTTGACTTCAGGCAAAATTCAGAAGACACTCTACTTTATGACAGAGAATAAATAGTGTTCTAAGATAAGAAATTGCGCATCACACTACAATTTATCAGCATAGTATCCTCAAGTTCACCATTTTTGGTTGACAGCGGCTTCAAAACCTGAGGCCGACAGGGGATAATCATGTGGACGAAGGTGTTCCCGCCCCCACCTTGTCAATCAACTTGTCAATCAACCCCACCTTCTATAGAGCCTTGAGAGTCACATCCATCCTCCTTCCAGGATGATATTGCTGGGAAGTAACATTAAATCCTTCAACAAATTCAGTGTTGGGGAATAAAGCTAACATGTAGAGATATTAGGTAGGAAACATCATTTTTGTTCATTAATTCAAACCTTTCAAGGTAGGTACTCAGCTCACATTATCTGTTTTGCCTGCCCCTAATTTGTTCGACCCCGTTGAAAGCCCCCTTTTTCTAAAGGCATCGGGGAAGTTTACAGGAGCTATCACACAAAATTCTGACATGAAGCACCTTTCCCCAAGAGCGCTTCATAGGTGGTACCAAAAGGCTAAGAGAAACATTAGTATTTGTATTTAATCTCTAGATATGACAACACTCCGTGTTCGCGAACAAACTATTAGAAGGGAGGACTGGCCATGAGAGCAGACGAACGCACTGTCAAGAATCAGTCTTGAGAGTTTGAGTTCCTCCTCATTTGAAGATCTAACGTTACGTATCAGGCCCACTGCTCTACCAGTAGAAGTCCACGCTGAACAAATGATATTTTAAAGAAGAGGTATTTTAAAATGAGTAGGATTTTCCTGTCCTAAAACACGGGGGCTACATTGGGAACTGGGTAACTTACTTGTCTGCCTATCATCAGAGGTTGTTTCAGCCCACTCCATGCTTCCGCTGATCACTAGCAATATGATGAATTCTAGTGGAGATGTTCACCACTTTTCCCATGCTTACGCAGCGTAATCAACAGCCTCTTTATTTTTTTTTTTCCATTGAGAGTGAGAGGATGGTTTGGCCATGAATTGATGAAATTGAGATCACTGAAAAGAGGGAAACTCCAAATGCACTCCCATTCTTCATACCCCGCAAAATTGGATAGCAGACCCTGCAACACAATACATATATACCCGGAAGGGTTTCCATAGCTGATCAAAATTGCCTGCATTTAGTCAACCTTCAATTCAGGTGTATGCACTCTCGCGCTTGATATTCTTGCGGGTGACTGTGGATTTCGTTTTAACCCTGAAGAACCTGCAACAACTAATGAGACTGGTGCGGACTATCCCAGAATGTAGGCAAACAGTATAGTAAAATATACCTTCACAGAAGCACATTGATGATCTCTAAAAAATGAAGTTTGCCTTGTGGTTCAATTCAGTTGAGCCAATTTTTATTATACTAATAGTGACATATAGTTAAGTTTTCCGGTCTCTGCTGTTTTCACCCTGTTGCTCAACCGCAGCTTGGGAGACAAATGAGAACCCCACGGACGAACCGCAGTTGTTAGTTGGAAGATATTCAACCCCTCACATTTCTCTCCCTGCCCAGGGAATTTGTTAATGGTGTAATGGTTGTTTGTCAAAGACATGATTCAGGAATTACGCCACGGATATTATCTCACGGTCTGGCGAAATAACAAAGGGAGGGGAGCTTTTGAAGCAGTTTATACTGGAAGCCCACTTGGTACAGGCTCGGTGCTTTCGGCGTGGTTGGACCGTATTTCCGAGCGGGTTCCTGATTTAGTTAGTTGATTGATCTAGTTGCGATCAGTAGTTAGCCCAAGTGGGACTGTTGAAGATATCTTGAAATTACAATTGACGCCCGACAACTTAAAACGCTGCGCTTCAGGTGAAAGGAACCAAGCACCATATACTCTAAGTACACAGGTACGACACAATTTTCCTTCTTGCTTCCCCCGTTGATCGTGAAGTGATGCTCCACGTTTTTGTAGTAATAACATCGCCATCTAAGGCGGGCCAGGAACGAAAGGCTTATGGACGGAAACGCTTTAGGTCAACAATAGTGCGGTACCGACTGGAGTATCGGACACACGGACAAACGGCTGCTTGTTGAGATTTAAAGTGCGATGTGCAGGAGCTAATATCTGACCAGATCAAAGCACGCCTTCAGCTACTCCGTAGCTACCGCCGTGAATATCAAGGTTTCCAACTCGCAATAAGCAACCAGTCTCCCCTGGGGAAATTCTCTCCACAGTTCACACGTTCGCAGCAAAAAGCATTGAGGTAGAGCTGGTGAAAAAATACGGAGTACGGAGTACATGCATGACAATAATATTAATAGCGAAGACATGGACATCGCTATTGCATGCACCCGCCAGTGATATCAGCCGTGTCTGGCATTGTGTGACTGTCATCAACCCTGGCCGTGATCTTCATTCATAAAATGAAAGTTTCTATATAAAGCGCCTCATCTGCGCAAATCTCTGCCTCTTACATTCCTAGTCCAGGGGACACACCGGCCAGTTGGAGGCACGATGAGCCGTTTGCGTGGGATTGAGATCCTTTGGTTGAAACATTTCTGCTCAGACGCCAAAAGCTCCATCGCACACTTTTGCCCGATTCGCTGATCGCCCCCGAAGATTCGAAGAAGGATGGTTAGTTCAAATTGCATCTTAACCATCTTTACGAACTATCACTACACCAGACAAATTGCAATGGGCCAGGCATGAAGTCACGACTGACGATCATTCTTGATCAGGATGTATAAATCGCACAGGGAAGAACTCTTGCTTTCTGTTCTTCTCTCTCTTTTTCCTCTCAGCAGTCACTCCTTTTCTGTTCAGTTACAAGTCATTCATTAATATTGTACCTACTTCGTCTTTTCCCCTTTCATATTGTCGCTCTTTTGGCACATTAACTTCAATTCACTCACGATGAAGCTCACCGGTTTCTCCGCCCTCGTCCTTGCAGGCTCTGCTGCAGCTTCTCCCCTGGCCTACGGAGCTCCGCAGCAGTATGGAGTTCCTGAATCCTCAACTCCAACCCCAACCGCCACTCCCAGCGACGTTGATCCTACTCTTCCCACTGTCACGCCCCCAGTTATCCCATCCGCCATCCCTTCCGCCCCTTCTTACGGCATCCCGACAGTCCCTTCCGTCCCATCGGAAGTGGAACCTACCGGTGGACTCCCTCAGGTGTGCAGCTTCCCCACCGACGATATCCCAGCTAATGCGCCTACCGAACTACCCGAGGTGGACGGCCTGGATTCGAACCTCCTTGCTCAACTTCTGCCCGCCGTTATCTCTATCATTAACGGCCTAGGCTTCGGAGGATTCGCCCCTGGTCTCCTTGGCCTCCTCAACCTCGAAGTCGTGACCAACAGCCTCGAAATTGTGAACCTTGACGGCGTGCTTGGTGGTCAGCCCCTTCCTGAGATTAGTGGCCTTAGCCCTAGCCAAGTGACCAAGGTTGTCACTGGTCTGTTGACCATCACCAAGGTACTCAAGCTCGACCAGATCACCTCTTCCGGTGGTTTGCCGCAGGTCGATGGTATCTCTCCGGATCTCCTCCAGGCCATCCTCAATATCGTCACTGGCATTGTTAGCAAGCTGGGGCTCCAGTCGACCTTCACCACCCTTAACATTTCCTCCATGACTGATGCCCCAGACATGTTGGTTGTCGGCGGCCTCATCGCTCAGCTCGCTCCTTTGGTCGCTGGCCTCTTGAATCTTCTTGGTCTTGGTGGCCTCGCTCCACTTCTCTCCACTCTGCTCAACCCCTTGAGCGTCGTCTTGTAAATGTGAGTAAGCTTTTTGAAGATAGCACATAACATTCCCGCATGTCTATTATAAACTGACCAGGCTTCCAATTCTTAGTTACGTGGAGGGAAATGACGGAGCTGACCTGAGCCGTCTATTTTGGGAATGAGGAACTCCTCCGTTGTCCATACAACGCCTCACCTTTATGAATCCACCTTGTCCACGGCTTGAACTAGTTGGTGAGGGGAGCACTATCCTTGTCTCGACAGGGTTTCATTTTTGACTCTGCATTCTTTATTACCCTTTGTGTGTAACTCTAATAGTACGAGCGCGGGGATGTATTTATGTTGACGCTGTTTCTCTTATGAACCTCAGCTGACTTTTTCTTTGCCACGGGGAGAATACATGTGTATATTTTTACCTTAATATTATTATACATACTTTAACTCTTTGTCTTCTGGTTTCCTTATTTTTTCGCGGTGGCATTATCTCGCGCAACCCCTTTAAGGGACAAAGTAGCGCATTCGCTGGAGCTTGAGGTAATTGAATATGACTATCCAACGCAACACGCCTTCCAATTTGACAGGATTAATAATGTGCTCAGGTTTTTGGACAACCCTGTGCAATCCTTTCCCAAGGATCACCAAATCCGATTGAACATACATCCCTTTCCATCGGCCACTTGCGCCCTAGCATGGAGAATTTAGACGCTAAGAAGTGCTTGACGCGCAGCGTACGGGGATGAAAAGACATCCCAAGATCTCACTCTTGAAGCTCTAAAACATTGGGAAAAATGGAACGAATATTTGACTCGGGGCAACGATTTACATGCGGGGATTAGTAGAGATGATCGAATATATGTCAACACTGGAAACCTACGCGTGACGCATGAATCAGTTTTAACTGAGTTCGACAAGCGGTCGTTGGAAAACATTTCGTAGGCTAGATTGGGGCACACCCAATACAACCTGAATGATCCTGAGGAAGTGAAGGTCGAGGCCAATGCATCGACGCATTCAGACGAGGTAAAGACGAGAAATACCGTGGATTGTTCGACTCCATTGGTGGATTTGTTTACGCAGACAAGGCATGCCGATTTGCTCTCCATACGGCGGGGTGCTTGGGGGCCAACCTGGTACATACTTGGATATCCTCAGGGGGTATTCCAGCGGTTTGAGGAGAGTGGTGGACGAGTTACAGGCATCGAACTGCTGATGGGCTTATTTATCCCGCTGCAGTGACCATAATAGCTTGCGGGGGTTGGACTCCAGATATACTTCCAGAAATTGATGGCATGTGTGAAAATACCGCCGCGTCACTGGCATTCATTCAAATCCCCAAGGAATCCCCTCTACTCCACAAATATTCTCCTGACCGATTCCCCGCCTGGTGGTATAAAACATGGGGCGGGCCGGAAGGAAACATGTACGGCTTCCCCGTTGACGAGTGTGGATGCATGAAACTGGGCTACCGGAGGACAAAATACACTCATGCAAAGGTGCGGAATGGAGGACAAGCCCGCAGTACTCCCATTACGAAATGAACATCTCCATCAATCAATGGTGTCCCGACGGGGCGTCCATCCACATGCTTCGTCGATTCTTCGATACCTATATGATCGAGCTGCGGGAGTATGGAATTGGCATTTCAGGAAACAGACTCTGCTGGTACACCGACTCCTTTGACAACCAGTTCGTCATTGACCATGTACATGTACATGTACATTACCACAGCGTCCGGGGGTGGTAGTCGCTACTGGAGGTAGCGGCCATGCTTTCAAATTCTTACCGGCTATTGGCAGATCTGTGGCAGATGTAGTTGATGGGAATAAGGCTTCGCAGGTCATGTTGAAGACATGGCAGTGGCGGAAACCAGATCCAGTGCAAACTCCTGTTCGCGTCCTGATGGAGGGGATGGATAGTCCTAGACCTGTTTACAAGTTGTAGCTAGCAGTCATTTATTAGCAGCGAGAGAGAGATTCAAGCTCTTTCAACAGAGATATATATATACGAATGTTTGCTACGGGAGAGTTCTGGCCGGTAAAGATCGAATAGCCGAAAGCCGTGTGTTGTGTGTCGCATCACGTATATACGCACAGTACTCCGTACTACTCCGTACTGTACTGGTGTTCTGTATTGTATGAGACAAGTGGGAAACGTGACTATTTGTACTCTGGGTATTACCGGCGGAGTGGTAAAATAGCCGATCACGTGAGAGGCGGCATTGCCGGCGCCGACGCCAGCCGCCGTAGAAGATAAAAAGAGCCGAAGAATATCCAAACCATCGGCAGGAACAACAACCATTGCATCTTCAACGCTCTCCTTGTCTCTCTTCGTCGCTCTCTTCAACCTGTATCTGTATCCTCGAATTGGGACCTGGCAACGGTCAATTTCTCGGTCTGGGTAGAACAAAAAGATGTCTTTCCCACTGCTTAGTCGCAGCGTTCGCAGTGCCAGTCAACATATCCTCCGCTCGTCCTCCCAGCTCTCAGTAAGATGGAGTACGTCGATATCACAACGGCCCGGGTCGGACAGGTATGTGGCTGTGGACAGTGCAAAACTGATTTTCAGGAGGACCTATTGAGGCATGAAGCTAATGATGAATGCATATGTTTTGGCGCAATGTAGTGTTCGATTTCCCGGAGCCATAAATAGCAAGTTCACGACGGATATGTCATTCATAACCCCCTCAGAGCACACTGCCATCCCGACATATCGAGTAATGGACTCCGATGGAATGATTGTGGATAAGAGTCGAGGGGCGCCAGATGTTACGGCTGAAGAAGTTATTTCGTGGTATAAGAATATGTTGACTGGTATGTTCCCTGTGTCGGGCCTGTCCATTGCCTTCGGTGGGGTCTATGTGTGATAGATAGCGAGCTAATTTCGATATTTCCACATCGCAGTGAGCATTATGGATGTAATCATGTTTGACGCGCAAAGACAAGGTCGATTGAGCTTCTACATGGTACGTTCACACTAAAGCAGCTTTTTCTCTCAGGATGCAATAAACCATCTGACAGATCTGTCAGGTTTCCGCGGGTGAGGAAGGAATAGCCGTTGGATCTGCAGCTGCTCTGATTCCCGAAGATGTAATTTTTGCCCAATATAGAGAGACTGGGGTTTTCCAGCAACGTGGGTTTACACTCAAAGATTTCATGAGCCAGTTATTTGCAAACCGCAATGATTCTGGAAGGGGACGAAACATGCCGGTTCATTACGGCAGCTCTAAAATTAACACTGTATGAAAAAAAGCCGAGAACCCCGTTTCTGACATCCTTATTGACATATTGCTGACGAGAAATATAGTATACCATATCGTCCCCGCTGGCCACACAAATTCCCCAAGCGGCTGGTGCCGCATACGCTCTGAAGCTTCAGTCATTACAGAATCCTAACATCCCACAAAGGGTAGTTGCCTGCTACTTTGGTGAAGGTGCCGCCAGCGAAGGTGACTTCCATGCCGCCCTCAACATCGCAGCTACACGCTCGTGCCCTGTTGTTTTCATCTGCCGAAACAACGGCTACGCCATCTCCACTCCAACCCTGGAGCAATATCGCGGCGACGGCATCGCCAGCCGAGGAGTCGGATACGGCATCGACACGATCCGCGTCGACGGCAACGACATCTTCGCCGTTCACGAAGTGACCAAAGAAGCCCGCCGAATGGCCTTAGAAAATGGTGGACGACCAGTCCTCATCGAAGCCATGAGCTATCGCGTCTCCCACCACAGCACTAGCGACGACAGCTTTGCGTATCGTGCCCGCGTTGAAGTTGAGGACTGGAAACGGCGTGATAACCCCATCACACGGCTGCGGAAATGGATGGAGGGCGAGGGGATCTGGAATGAAGACCTTGAGCGTGACACGCGGGACGAGTTGCGGAAGGCTGTTCTTCGTGAATTTTCGGCAGCGGAGAAGGAGAAGAAGCCACCGCTCCGCGAGATGTTTAATGATGTCTTTGAAAAGATGCCGGAGTCGACGGTGAGGCAGAAGGAGGAATTGAAGCGTATTCTGGAGGCGTACCCGGCTGAATATGACCTTCGTGAATTTGAAGATGGGATTAAAGGCCTGTGATTTTGTGGGGCTGAAATGGCTAGAATCGAACTTTTAGATCGTGGTGACGCCGCTGGCGATGCGACCTGTATTGTGGATTAAGCCCTGCTTTCTGTTCCACGTTCCTTTGCCGGCGGCACAGGGCTGAGAAACGTTGGGAACGAGGCTCAGTGTCATTCCTACTAGCTGCCGTGTTCCGTTGCGGATCAACCCGAGGGGAATGGGAGTTCTCCATAGGAGTATAGACCGACCTTTGTTTTCATGTACTGTACATGTACATGTACCTACATCTCATACTAATATTACATTATTAAGTATCTAGTGATTCGATACTTTATGCATATATAACCCTTTTCTACTAGGTACTCAACTGTAGTTTTCTGCATCTATGGAGTACGCAAACCAAAGTCATTTGATGGGCACCAAAACTAACAAAGATACATCAACCACCCCACCGCCTTCCCATTCATCGCAATCAACCCTGTAACTTAAGTTACTCATCTGCCATGTGGAAGATTCAAAAACAGCAGACAGACAACAAGTATTCACAGAAGTTTCATTTGTTTACCAACCAACCAATTAATCCACGAAATTAATATTAATTATAATTTGTACGCCTGCATTCTTAGAATCATCAATTGACAACTGAGGCATGACAAAATGAGGTAGATGCCATGCAAAAACTCAACAATGTAACCCAGATCTTTTAAAACGCCAACGAGTGGAACGGTAAAAGGGAGCGAAGATCAAATCAAGCATAAAATACTCCGTAGAGTTGAGCCTGTTTGCCCAACCAATACAAAACAATCAAGGGCGACGCCATAAAAAAACAGGGGATCGGGAAGGAGCGAAAAATTAACCCTAACAAAAAACCAAACCAAAAATAACATTCAGCAAATCCATTCTGATAAAATTCAGATGCGCCCAGGTAGTGTGAACTCCATGCCGCAGGTTGATTTTACTGTTCCCTTTTTTATTTCGCGGGCTTTGAAAAGACGTAGTGGAGGGGGCACGGGAAAAGCGGAACCGAGAAACGAGAAAATAAGAAAGCAGAGAAATCAACAACCCCCCAAGTAGTAATACATCCCGGAAGCAAAAGAAGGTAAATGCCCGACGAAAGACGGTCAGACCATCCTCGATACGACGACGAGCCGAGCAAGCTCAACTTCATTGTTGAGCTGCCCACTCAGACCTATCCGGCCCACACGCTACAGCAGCGCAACCCCCAGCACTAGCACCATCGCCACCAGCAACAGTAGCAGAACAGCCGCGATTCACAACCCCATATCTGAAGCCGACCCCACAAACTCCATCGCAGCAGAAAGCGCCTGCTGCACCAGCTTCTTGTTTCGTTTCACAAGAGTCATCACCTTCTTATCCACCATATCCACCTCCTTGCGCGAACTCTCCAACTCCCGCTGTGCGTCCTCGATCATTGCCCGTAGTTCCTCATCAGACATGCTCATGAGCTCCTCAAGGCTAACGCCAAGATGACTTTCGCTCGTCGCCAATTTTGGCGCGGCGGATGAACGGGGCACAGAAGCATGAGTAACCCCGGAGCCAGCAGAAGCGGAAGCACGAGCGGTAACGGCAATTTCCGAAGCTGTAGAACCGGTAGAGAAGCCGTTGGCACTGAGTGGGGGAGGGGAGGGCAAGGAGGAAGGCTTTGCAGGGCCGGAGAGGAGGCCATTCTCCGGCACCCCATCGATCCAGCGGATATTGAACTTTTCAGGCGTGGCAAAGAGCGCATCTAGTCCGCCGCCGCGGTTGGTAGCGTCGGGCTCTGTGACAGTTAATGCTGGATATTCCTGTAGTGACTCCCATGCGGCTGCGAGGCTCTTCTCGAGTTCAAGGTAGCGGTTTTCCTCTTCTTCGGAGAGGTGGCGGAGAACACATCCGGTAGGTGTTATTAGACAGCGATACTTGAGGAGGTCGGATTCTGCGTTGATGTGAACCGGTTCACCTTGGAGCAACCTTGTTCTATGTTCCTCGGCCAGTTCAATGGGCTTTTTCAAAATATCGTAGTCATCAGCTGTACATTTCAAATCTGAGCGTTGGTTGAGGTTTGGTGGATTGAAAAGTGGATGTGTATTTAGATCAAGATCGCCAGATTGATGCAGTTGCGCTAGTAGAACTGGAAGCGGCGATGTTCTCTCCAAGAAAAGATCCTTCACTGGTATACCGCTAGCTTCTGAATCGGCCAAGAGTTGTCCAGTCGTATTGTTCGACCTCCATGGTTCAGATTTTTCATCTTTTTCTGTGGGTAGACTTTGCGGTGTCTGTTCTTTGGAGGCGTTTTCGCGCGTCGTTTTATCAGATCCTTTGGCCTGTGTTGATGTCTCGGGTTTATTCTGGGTCTTGTTTTTGGATGATTTAGCAGACTGTGGAGTACTATCTATTGTTTCAGACTTAGCACCAGAAGAAGGTGGGTGTTCGCTGGTTGGTGTCGGTGCTTTCTTTGTCTTGCGTTTCCTGCCAATGATCGGCGCCTGGACGGGTTCTTCAGCAACTACGGAAGTGGAAAGAGTTTCTTCCTTTTTGATTTCAGCTTGCTTAGCCTTGAGCTTCCGCTCTTTTTTCAATTGACTCTTCGTGATAGTGCGAACTGGGGCAGAGCCAACACGACTAGGTGGTGGCGAACTTGCCCTCGAGACGGATGCAGAGGTATGGATGTCATATTCAGAGTCGCCATTGTTGGGAGTATCTGGGCGGCTATTGGTTGAAAGACTGGGCTGCCGTGATAGATGTTTCGTAGGTGGTGTGGAATTGTGCGGCGTGGTAGGCGTGTCTGATTTTGATGTGTCAACAACGCGCAACACCCTAGCTTGACGAGGTGCGGGAGAATCAGATGCACGTGAGACACCAATCAACGGGGTGTTAGGGCGAGATGCAGCATTTGTTAATTGTGGTATAGAGGAGAGACTGTGATTAGGCGTAGTGGCTCGGGAAGGGGAAGCGTGCCCCGAAGTGGCCATTGAAAGATTGAGTTTAATGGGCACTGGCTTGCCGTGAGTCTCAGAAGACTGTTTGCCATCTTTTGTAGTAAGTGCTGCGGCCTTTCCAGGACTGGCCTCTCGAGCCTTGTCTTTCTTTGCAGTGAGACTGTCAGACTGTGAACGACTAGCAGCTAGGGACTTAGGTTTTGGAGATCCAGAAGATATTTCTGCAGCCGTTCGCGTCCGTGCAGGCACGGAAGGTGCGGCCGACGACGCTTGAGCGTCCGGCGTGGGCTGTGTTGAAGGGTTTAATTCTTTGAGTTTCTGTACAGGTGTTGAAAACCCACTTCGTAAAGTGATGTGTCCTGGTTGAGGACTCGATAGGGCAGAAGTCGATGGGCTGAGATCGTGGATGAAGGGTGCAGCAGGGTGCCCATGTGGTAGGGGAAGACCCGGTGGCAGTACAGGGGTACCAGACCTATAGGGCGAATCATTGGAGCCATGAGAGGCGCGGGATCCTGATGCAATTCGGAATGTGTCCAAAGGGCGTTTGTCAAGCGGCTTGGTTGGAGGGCCTAGAGGAGGGAAATCTTCGTCTGCTAGATCAAGATATCTCTGTTAGCATACTCCAAGACTCGTGGAAGAAAACGACAAAGAAAAGCGCTGCTGATCGACCACAAAATAAAAGAAGCTAGGATGGGATGCATAAAAGAATCGACTGCGGAAACAATATGAGAGGGCTACATCGTAACACTGGCGGTGTATATACATAATGCTTGGGCTCTTCATTACAACAATGGCCACAGAATGTAGGGAGTTGAATGGGAAGAAGAAAATTGTGGAACGCGAGTCTATATATGAGCAATAAATGTGAGAAATTTGCTTTCGAAATAGGCCTGACTTGGGTACAAGTCAGGATAAGGGAGACTTAACGTACAAAAGAAAGGCCCACAATCACCATGGCGGGGGCCAAAAGTGCTGGAAAATTAAAACCCGTGTTGCTAATGAAGAGCCCCAAGCTTGTAGCAAACCCCTAAAGAAGGAGAGTAGATCTCTGCAAACAAAAAAGGAATGTAATGCGTTGACGCCGTCCTTCAGCCTCACCGAAATGTGACCATAACACCCAGGTAACGCCCGAGGCTCGCCTAGCCCCGTTATTTTGAATCGATTGCCATATGCTGTGCAGGAAAATAGGAGAGAAAATGAAAACATTAAAGGGAGACGTGAAATAAATATCAGAAAGCATTGTGGGAAGGAAGTCGTAAACTCCCAAAACTCAGGCGAGGGAAAAATGACAAGGGGGGTGAAAGCAAGAAGGGAGAGCATATATTATCATCAAATAAATAGAACATGACAATAAACACGCTAAGAGCAAAGAAGAAGGAAAGAAAAGTCACGAAAAGGAGGTCCAGCAGTGCAAGGGGGAAATCATCACCACCGGCCAAAGCCACCACCATAGACCATGTTGGAGTGATTGTACCCACCTTGACCCTGGCTCCCGTATAGTCCCTGCCCAGGGGTAGCACCAGCTGCACTCTGGTGCATTCTAGCCTGCAAGATACTCGGGTCCGCAAGATCTACTACACCACCTCCGCCGGAGGAAGTGTTAGCGTGTCTGTGCTTCTTCCCCCTCTTCTTCTGCTTCTGTGGTCCCGGGTCTTGGTGGGACCCATTATGATGGCCATAAAGAGAGCTGAGAAGGCCAGATACGGGAGCCAGGGGAGGGGGTGTGTTGTGCATCTGAATAAAGGGGAACATAAACTCACGCTTAGCAGCCTCATGCGCTTGAACGCCGCCACCACCACTCGTGCCACTTCGACCACGCATAAGTTCACGCATTAGGTCAGGGTTAGGATCTTGCTTGGTCCCAAGACCCAGGTTATTATTCATTGTGCTTGTGAAGCCGTGACCCTGAGCAAACATTCCTCCACCACTAATTGGGGGAGTGCCTGCAGTTTTCAAACCAGGGGGAGGTCCTTGAACACCACTAACGAAGTAATGGCTTCCCAAACCATGTTGGCCCGTCGACACATTAAGGGGATTTGGGTTAACGTTCTGCATTGTCGATGCCTGCTGGTTGACAAGCCTTTGGTTGGATGCGTTCTTGGCATTGGCGTCATTTACAAACGAGAATCTTGACGACTGCCTGGCATGTCCCTGCACACCAGTCATTTGTGGCATCTGGTTCTGATAGACCGCTGCACGTTGTTGAGGATTGTGCTCGAATGAGCTGGAGATGGAAGCCGATTGCAACTGATCCATTAACCCCATATGTTGTCCGCCAGCGTTTTTGAGTAGCAGAAGTTGCTGTTGCTGGAGGGGCGTGAGGCTCCTCCCAGCCATGTTTAGACCTTGAAACTGGTGGCCAGCAGAGACGGGCGATCCAATCGCAGAATTTGCTGTAGTCGTTTGTTGCGAAGGTGGCTGAATGGCACTAAGCGGTTCTCTAGTATTCCGCCCCGAGGCACCAGCTGAATGCATCTCTTCGGGCTCGCCTCCTAGTTGCGAACTGCCACCCTCGAGATTTTCTTCCTCATTAGTGTTAAGGTGAAGCAACATTTGGTTGTCAGTTTCCTGGTTCGCCCGCTCATGCTCCGCTTTCTCACGCATAGCACGACGCTTCACCCCACCGTAAGGATCAATCATGGAAGGGTGGTTTTCAATATACGCGAGCTCCTCAGGTGACAAGCCAGCAGTTGAAAATATAAAACGGAAGTCGGGACTGTTTACGGCTTTCACCAAGTCGTCCAGCACGGAAATTTCGCGCAGGCCAGGCGGCGACGGGGAGGCTGGTCGATTCGCACGCGAAGATGAACCCGAGGCCTCTGGTATTGTTGGGGTTTGCTGGCGAGAAGAATCTTGGGCAGAATGAGATTGCCTCTCAACACTACGTTTTAGATCCTCAATCTTGTTCACAACAGCATTCGATCCTTTTGGGCTTGGGGAAGAGCGACTAGCCGCCAAGCTTGGTCGTCGTGCACGTTGAACATGGGAGTCTTTATTCGCCCAGCTTGCAGATGATGGTAGAGCAGAAGAGTCGGTATTAATTCGATTACCAGCTTCATCCCGGCTATTTTGTCTCCGCATCGGCTGCGCGCCTGTGGGGATCTGGATGGGATGTGAGGGGGGTCTGACAGGTTGAGCATGGTGGGTGTATGGGGAATATGTGGAAGGACCAGGTCCAGTGGGTGGGTTGGGATGGACACGTTGTGATGATAGGGTGTTCATGGAGGATAAATCTTGGCGGCTAAAGCTGTCGTTATCCTCTCCAGTTTCGTGAAGGAATGTACAGTTACGGTTGTTACATTGCTCATTTCGAAGAAACGATGAGCAGTACTTCGTGGTTCCATATTGGGCCCTACATCCACTGATTAGTACCTAAGCTAACATGACGATTTAGACTTAGAAGAGCCAAAGACCAAAATCAACCTACCTCAGTACACGATCACCGTTTGGCGATCCATCTACCGCGGCAATGCAGGTTGCAGCATCAGCTTTACGAGCGAAGGTGACGTAGACACCGATGCCCTGGTTTGGGTTACCACCCGGTTTTGCCTTGCTAACAACAATCTTCTCAATATCACCGTACTGTCCAAAGTACTGGTCTCCGCGCAAGGTTTGTAAAAGTTGGCTTTCATCTCGTATCGTGGGGTTGAGGCCAATGACATAGACGAGGTTCTTCTGGACAACACGGACTCCAGCAAGGTTTCTCCGACTGGACGCTTCTATTTCTCGTTTTTCGGCTTCCCGCTTCTTAGCTGCGGCAGCTTTGCGATGTTTCAATGCCAAATCCGCTTTAAACCTGATTCGGTGGTAATCGGCATTAGCAGGAGGGCATAGCGGCAGGCTAATGAACATTAAGGGGTGAGACTCACTCATCGGCATCTGGAACTCGGTACTGGATTGTGCTTTCGTCATATACACGTCTACAGTTTGGACATCGACCTTCTTCACTATGTGTTTTTATATTATTGTAGCAAAACTGGCAGATCTGCGAAGAACATTAATATTAGCCGCCATCGTCGTGCTGAAGGACGATTTACCCCCTCCAAATCCAGTGGTAAAAGGATCTTGAATAGGAAAACACATACCTGATATCCACAGGGACATGGCTTGAAGTTCTTATCTGACAGGTCGAACTCTTCGATGCAAAGGGGACTATTGCGGCAAAAGAAGCATATAGGTCAGGATGGAACAGGTTATAAATGGGGGCGGGAAAGGACAACAGAGCTAAGCCCAAACTTACCATGACTCGTCATCATCATCGATAACTGTGTCATGTTGTGTACGGAATGACATCTCGACACGTCTTCTCCCAGCGAACCTAGCGCGACGCTTCTACAGCAATGAAGTTGATCCAGCGTGCCAGAACTCATGAACAAGTTGGGGGGGGGGGGGTCGCAGATCAGTAGAGAAATATTTTGAACGCGGCAAAATCCACAACGCCGCAGAACCGGAGTCGATAGCAAACGAAGTCAATAGGACAACGGGAGAAGGATACGTCTAGAGGACGTATAAGAGCGCACAGGAGAGTTACAGCGTCCTTGGTGCCAGTGTGGTGATGGCGAGAGGAGTTGAAGAGAGAAAAGACGAGGAGAAGAGGAAGAAAGAACGAGGACGAGCTTTCTGCGGCGCTAGGCCTTTTTTAGAGTTGTTTAGATCAGCGGGGTCATGTGACATGATCATTATGTAATCTAGCTATTCTTTCGTTCCAACGTCGCCCAGGATTACTTTCGGGATGTTAAACTACAGTCTTCCAGAGTATCTATCTCCTCTATATCCCAATTGATCCGCAACCATGGCGTCTGCACGGCCAGTCATGCGTCTGGGCACCAGTCGCTCCCTGGCCTCTACTGCTAGACCCTCATCCGCCCGATTCTTCTCCGCAGGCGGCTCGTTGCGACGGACGAAGGTTGTATCCACACCAACTCCAAACCTGCGAGAGGCACCTCGTCCTGGTCAGTCCACCCCTAGGCCTGTTTGAAGAGCGCCGGTGATCAGTTCTATACTTGCTAACGTTTTTCTGAATTTGTTTAGCTGTTGGGGAGTTGAATCGTCCCATTGTCAACCCCGTAGATAAATACGCCGAGCAGTCCGCGGGTCTACACAAATATGGCCAATACCTCATGTCCTGCCTACCGAAATATATTCAACAGTTCTCCGTCTGGAAAGACGAATTGACCATCTACGTCCCCCCGTCAGGCATCATACCCACTTTCGTTTTCCTCAAACAGCACACCGCGGCGGAATATACCCAGGTTGTTGACATCACAGCGGTCGATTTCCCGAGCCGCGACCAGCGCTTCGAGGTCGTATACAATCTTCTCAGCGTGCGTCACAATTCGCGGATACGTGTCAAAACGTACGCAGACGAAGCCACCCCGGTGCCCAGCATTACCTGTCTATATGACGGAGCTTTGTGGTATGAACGTGAGGTGTACGATTTGTTCGGCGTGTTCTTTGTGGACCACCCTGATCTCCGACGGATTATGACGGATTATGGATTTGATGGACATCCGCTCAGAAAGGATTTCCCACTGACGGGCTACACGGAAATTCGATATTGTGAGGAGAAAAAGAGAATTGTTGTTGAGCCATTGGAGATGACGCAGGCTTTCCGCGACTTCCGCGCTGGATCTTCTGCCTGGGAACAGGTTGGAGAAGGTATCGACAAGACACCAAGCGAAGTAAGTCAATTCTACACTCTTTTAGAGGACATCCCAGGCTAACCCATACACCCACAATAACAGTTCAAATTGCCCACCCCTCAGCCTGAAGAGAAGAAGGAGGAACCAAAAAAGTAGCACAGATATAGTGTATAACAATTTGTTTCCGTTTACGCTCGTGGATTTACTATTTCACCTTCCTAAAAACTCCAATTTTCCTAGTATCGATCTCATGTATATACTTCACTAAATCATGTCTTAGACTTGCTCACTATATTTCTGCATATCCATATGTCCGTCAAAACCATACCGACAAGACTAAAAAAAAATTAAGGAAAGAGGGTGATAAAACAACACAGTAGAGTGCCCGAACAAAATCACCGAAAAAATCCAACTCAGCTGCCCAGGACTTGAAACAAAACATCTACCTCCTTTTCGTCTTACTCTCAGCCCCCTGCACCTTCTCCAGCCCAGTTCCCTGAAGCAGGACTTCGTCCCTCTCCCACATTAACTCCACCACAGCCCCTGCCATTCCAGACACAGCGCACAACAAACCCACCTTAACCGCCAGCCCGATACATCCTACATTAACCTTGCGGGCCCTGTGCGCCGCCACATACAGGTCGATAGCCCAGAGGAGCATCCCGACAACTCCCACTGCCTGGTCCCACTGCAGGAACCACAGCGCACCTTCGCCAAAGGATTTTGCCTGGACGCCCGACCAGGGCATGGCGTTCAGAAACACGCGCGCTGGGTGCAGGGCAGTTGCGACATCCTGGTCGAAGAGGATGGGGAAAATGGCGGCGGCGAGGGACAGGGACCAGGCAGCGATATGTGGGACTGCAGTGATTGTAAAGGCGAAGGCGTAGACACGGCGGAGTGCGGAGCGGGTATGTTTGGCGCCTTGGAAATTGGGGACTGGAGAGCTGAATAGGGCCGTAATGCTGGTTAGTGTGGAGTGGATGAGCCAGAGCCAGATGGGCCAGGGTTGCCAGAAGGCGATGCGCTCCTGGGTTGATGGCAGGAAACTTGTGGTTGTTGTTTCGGGGAAGACCATGGCAAGAGATGGCAGGAGGTAGCCTAGGATTACGCTGAGGGGAATGAGGTTTACACCTGTGAGTGAGTGTGATGGGATGTCGATGGTTTGGCGGGCTGACAGAGTCCTTGATGTAAAGAGATGAAGCGCTGCGTAGATGGGCAAAACGACCCCGAAGGTAAATAATTGCAGGAGGACGCCAATTATCACAGGACTGTAATATCATAACTTGATTAGAATAGGTTTTTATATGTCGCTGTATCTTATTTACTAACGATACTCCATGGAAATCACAGATTGTCTTAGGGTATCAAACAATGCATCTCGACATACTACAAAACAAGAAATGACTTATTCCCAGCCCGAAACGTTTCCAGCAGCACCAACGACCACAGGCTGCCGATAGCACCAGAGAACTTCAACCCATACAAAGTTGCGCTGGGCGAGCCGCCATCAACCACCGGCCAGAAAAACGGTATTAGATTGGCAAACAGTTGGTCCAGCGCATGGACGCCAGTGATATCTGTTCTCAGCCGCTCGTCTGTTTCAGGGAGGATACCATCAGCTATGGCATGCTGAAGCATGGAAATAAAGCCATTCCGATGCGCAAATATGAAAATGGAATAGACGGCGAAGATGGAGAGGAGAGGGAGCAGGTATCTGATCGCTCCTGTACACATTGCGAAGGAGGTAGTTCGACTGTATTTACTCCTCAGGAACGTATATTGATTAGGATATTTGCATAAGTTTCTTGTTCAGGTTTGCGTTTCTGGGGGTTATAAAAATGCCAAGCCGTCTTCACATCAATTGCACATGCAGCTTATCGCAGATCTCGGGACCTTTTCTTTGTTTTTTTGCCTTCAGCCAGCCCATTTCATGTGAATCATTGTCAACTAAACAGTTAACTAACCCGCCATTTGAACCCCGTAGAATATTTATTGCTTGAACGTTGACATCAACATTATTTAACATTCGGAAATAATAAGAGTTCCTGATATACGTTATTCTAGATAATGAAGACATAAGATAGCGAATGTAATTTTCGCTGATAACTCTCTGTAGAAATATCGAAATATCACTTTGATCGAAATCAGCTGTTTCCCTTCTTCAGATAAATGCCCTATTCTTATTCTTATACTCCGTCCAGCACCTGTTGCAGTAGGTGTCACTCCCATGGTCAGGTCATGACACCCGTCCATAATTTCCCACCCCTTCATTTGGGGAGAAATATCGCCATAGCGTTGTTCAAACAAAATGGAAATGGAACCTCTAGGCTAGCGCCGTATGTGTCAGACACGGGGAGCTTTGATTTCTTCTCTCATCCTTTAACATTCCACGTTGGATGATGGGATGTGACATCGTGAAGTATATGTACTGTACATGCGCATGCACATTACATTTAATGACAACTAGCTAATAGGGAAACATGAAGCCAGTCGAGGCCAGAATGTAGCCAGAGTAGCCGGGTTCCTTGTCAGTTCCTTGGCTTAGGGATTTTATATGCGGTGGTAGGCAATGTAGAGGCTAATAGATGTGCCAGCCACTGGCGGGACCTGTCCGCGAGTACTAATCCTTCGGGATGAACTAGGCAGAGGGAGGAGCCAAATTTGCCAATCCAAGGTGGATTGACAGCGGTGAGCCTATTCTCAGAGTCATGATGTTGCTACCTGAACTTTGTTTGGGCTGCAACGCCTGGGATATGCGTCTAGGAACGAGGGACAAGAAGCAGTGAAGTTGTTGCGGAGTAACCCCGAAGAGGTTCCTTCTTACACGACACGAATGCTCGAATTTGAACTGGCCGTGCGTAGCATAGCAATTCACACTCAGCCATCTCGGAAACACTAAAAAGCGGTAAACTGGATACATGCAAGCTCCGCATCCAAACAATGTATCTGTGGAACGTCTGGAATAGCCGTTAAACTCCATCCGGGAAAGTTGGCCGTTATCTCAACTTCCCGCCCTGTCGACAGGTGCAGTGATTGGCCGCATAAAGTTCGGACAACCAGTCCATAACCCAACAGTATCGCGTCATTTGTTTCGCCAAAATGCTGTGAAAATAAACGGGCCACGTCCCGTACCCACCTAACGTGGGCTCATACGGTTTTCATGCATAACTGACTCAAACTCTAACATCCACTGACAACGGGTATAGAACCTAGCCAGGGGCAAAATACACGGGCTCTCCATTCATCAGCGCACTGGCGGTTTACCAAGTTCTTGCCGGGTATGAATGAACTTCTTATCTACAAGCGATGAAGGGTCGATGTTAAGTTTTGCCGATAAAAGCGGGGCGGGTGTCTTCCGCGCCAAGCTTTCGGCGATCGGCAACCCACCCTGTGCCATAACTCGGCACTGGCGGCGAAACCGGCAATTGTCAAAAGTTTCCCTTGAACTAACAGTTACATATTTTGCAGGGAAGGATTGAGAAGAACTGGGTCTTCACAAGAATATCCAGACAACTCGTCGACGAGGTGAATATTATTAATCTTCTTGGAGAAGGTTAGTACTATCTAATCGGACGCGATGGCATGACAAACCCCATAAAACTCCAATTCATCCCTCATAATAAATCAAATTGAGACCATTTGCTATAGAGCACCTATTTTTTACCGAAAGTTCGCTTCCTCAGCTATGTATATAAAAAGTTGCATCGAACAACATGCTTCTGTTTTTAATGGAAAGGAGAACAAAAGTAAAGCCCTCGTTAAAGTATTAGAAAATCCCATCTACTAAACACCTCCAAACGAGTCGAGTAAATCATGTAGTTGGGTTGAGATATCGCGCGGCCATTCGGGATCAGCGAAAATCATCGTAGAATTTTGTGTCAACAATATTTCGATCAGGGGACTCGTCTGGATCGTGGCAAACGGGAAAAAGTCCATGACATTTATAAGTGTGCCGGTTGCAAGATCGGCTAATTCGGATAATGAGTTGGTGGGTCGCACGTCCATGGCGTGTGTTGGGGACCGCTCTTCGGAGACGAGGAATTTATTACTCGCGCGAAGGCGGTCGAGTTCCTGGTCTAGTATGTTTGCAGACGGCCACATTTTGGCCATCTCCTTTAGGGCGATTTTAAGAAGGGCGATATGGTTGTCCGCAGTTTCAGTCAGGGTTGGTATTCGACGTGCATGTAACAGTGCTAAGATCGCAACAGCGATGTGCCACCCCGCCATACCTTGGAGAAACGAAATGGATCCCCGGGCTAAAAGGTCTTCGAAAATACGGGCAACGCAGGACGCAGAAAGGACAGCAGTGGTATATGCTTTGGGGAGCGGCTGGGAGGACTTTGTGAGGTAGAGAAGAGTTATTGTCGTGAGGTAGGGTAAATGTAGTTGGTGCACATCCCGGTTGAATGGAGTTGTGCGATTAGTTGCGATGGGTAAGCGCAAAGCTTCAGGTAGGGACTGAACCCAGTCAACCAAATGCCTAGCTAAATATCCCGGAAATTGTGTCGTTTCGGTTCTTTGCAACAGATATTTTGCAACTTTGCCAACATGGTGGGAAAGTCGAACCCAATATATGAAAATTTGCGCTCGGAAATGGTCCTTTGGTTCTGGAAAATCTTCCAGTGACGGTTCCCTGACATTGCAGTCTAAAGGGTCAATTATACAAGGCCTGCCCTGACATATACTTGTTAGGCGTTCTCTTGCCTGCGGGATTCGTTAGCTGATAAATTCGGTCATACTGAGCATATTCTTAGCTTACAAACAATGTCCACCAAATTCGTCGCCGCAAACCTGGAGATTCATTTGGTCGCATAACTTGCCCGGGCTTTGGCTCTCTGTGTATGCCGATTTGCTGTGCTAACCTGATGGCAACACCTGTCCACCACCATACGGTATCGAGGCTGGGGCTATTCGGGGCCGAACCCCACCAATAAAATAGCAGTAGCGCTTTCATGCAAGTTATCGGATTACTTTCATGGTTCCCATTAAAGAGTGCTTTCGCACGGTTATAGTACACAATCGGAGGGACATGCTGTAGAACTGATGGCTGTATTCGGCTTCCAAGAAGAGCCAATGCTTGATTGAAGAGAACAGAACGGGACTCCTCTTGCTCTGGGAAGAGGATAGAGCTGTCGAGAATGGGACACCACGGATAGCAATACTGAAAATAAGTGTCCATGAAACTTTCTTGCAGTGCCGGGGGAGGTAAATCCATAGGTTGTAACCCCGTTTGAGCTGAACCCAGCTGATTCATCGCAGCGGAGTTATCTAGCATCTGTGGAAAACTTGATTCGCTAGAATACAAGGAATTCTGGGCATGCCCGCTATCGTGAGTCTTCACAGGTAACGAGGCCGTCCGGGCTGACAGAAGCTGGGAGGTTGATTGGCGAATGCCTTCTGGCGTACTTGGATACGAGAGTTGCTGCCTCCCAACTCCCCCCGAGAAGTAAGAAGTGCTTTCTGTGACCATTCGGTCATCTGGCACTACCAGCTGAGCAGATGGTTCAGCCTTAACCTGAACCAAGCCATGATTGCTCAGTGTCGAATTAGAAGTGGGGTCGTATGGCAAAGAAACAATGGGCAATGAATCAACCGCGTCAGGATCGTCTAGGCTTCCATGCCGGATGGAAGCCCGATTACCTGCGCCGCGTTTGGATGGACGAATGCTTAAAAACAGGTCAATATGTGAAAATTTAATCACCCCCGCAGAAAATTCATGATACATACCGGCATTCATACCCAGCAACTTCGCATCTTGAGCATCTCGGAGATTCGCACTCGGAATTATTGATTTGGAGGTCACATTTGATCTATGATGCCGGTTAACACACATAGACCCAGGTTGCTCAGTTTAATTGCACCGGTTACCTTTTTTTCATGGCAACGAAGGCAGACAAGGCGGGCACGCTTATTGCCTCGAGGCCCTCTGCGGACCTTGGGCTGGGGTTCTGGTGTTTGGGAAGCCATGTCAGGCGTTGTTGGAGTTATGAGATGCTCGTGTATGATTGCCGATGCACCATTTTTATATCCACAGCTCGCCTGCGGACCGTTAGCCGTTTTGCTGCTAAAGCGCGTTCGTTAACTTACGAGATGCCGAGTTTGATGTTCCCACTGTCCCGATTTAGAAGGAGAATAGCCGCTTGGCCCAACTACCGCGCTGACTCAGCAACATTTCACGTGATTCTCGCCAAAATTCATTTTGCTTCAAACCTCGAAGCTGTTCAATGAGCGAAAATGTTGCAGCTATTTCATTGTTTGTGCGCAGCAGAACGCGCAAACTACGGTGCTGAGGAGTAACTATATACAAGCACTAACATGTCAAAACGGAAACGAGGTGACTATGAGAAGTCAGACATATCCAACCCGGATGATAGGAGACTGGGAATTCAAAGCACCCGCCTCGAGCAGAAGATTGAGCATGGCTGTCAACTAATACACCGAGCTCTCAAAACCGCCCGTGGTTTTGAACGTCAGAAGCTAGGACGTCGCCAAAAGACAGCTACAGAGACGAATGAAACGGCTCAGCTATCGCGAATAGAGGAGGAAATTCAAGCATTAAAGGTAGAGTCTACATTCTCGTTTGTGCTGTTCTGCCGAACTATATATAATTCGATCTTGAGTTGACAATTGTAGGGGTTGGATTTGGGGGTTACTGCGGAACGGCACTTGCTCAAGCATCTTGCAAAGACAAAACGGATTGCAGAATCACCAGCATTTTCGAGAGTGGCGGCGAGGAAGCCCCTCCCCGAAGGTCCAAAAAACGGACCTGAAGCGAACGTCGTAGCCCGTTTGTTCAAATCAAACCCTGTGAGAGACGTCTTACCGGGTATTTTGAGCGGAATACGGCAAATATTAGGCCTTGGTGATGGAGTACTTGTTGAGAAAAGCAGGACGCGCGAGACCACTCCGCCGATAACCAAACGGTTGAGCGCAGTGGAGGAGGAATCGAGATCTAACCGTCAGCAAGCCAATGGCCATGAAAATGATTTGGAAATGGAAGACGCAGATATGGAGCAATATAATGCCCGACTGGCATCTTCTTCAGAGTCGGAATCAGGATCGGACGAGGAGGGGGAGCGAGACAACGATAATGGTTTCCGTCGTAATTCGGCAAGATATGAACCGTCCCTTTCACCAACCCCTTCTACCGGGTCATCGGCCTCTATATCGAAAACCAAAACCAAACCTTCTAAATCGAATAATAAGAACCCAGAAACAACATTCCTTCCTTCTCTCACTCTGGGCGGCTACTGGTCAGGATCTGAATCCGCCGACGAAGACGCCGCCGCAGCGGGAATTCAACCGAGGAAAAATAGGATGGGCCAACAGGCTAGGAGGAAACTATGGGAAAAGAAATTTGGTTCAGGGGCTAACCATCTTAAAAATCAACCACCGGAGAAGGAAAAATCGCGTGATAGTGGATGGGATATGCGGAAAGGGGCTACAGCTCGTGATGAGATGAGAGGGAGGCGTGGGAGGGGAGGGTTTGCAGGGGGCATGTCTTCTCGAAGGGCCAAAGTCGATCGGGTTGCGCAAGCCCCGAATCCGAACTTCGAACAACTTAGGCCTCGCCCAGCCCCAGATCAGAAGCCTCTGCATCCTTCCTGGGAGGCTGCTAAGAAAGCCAAGGAGCAGAAGAGCAATGCTGCTTTCCAGGGTAAGAAGGTCGTATTCGACTGAATCCTCTATGAAAGGCACCGAGAAGCTGCGCTACGCGAAGAGTCTCTTGCATCATAAACTGATTGCATTGCTTTTGCATGTGCTCTTAATCGTTTACCATTTTTCTACAGAATGACTACCAATATACACCATATAACCGAGCAATTTCGTTTTACAACGTTACTGGATCTGATATTTGAGTTGGTGCCATGGCCTGCCTTTGTGATATTTATCTCTAGCGTTTCTCATTTTCCAATATCCAGAGCTGCCCCGTACATAACCTTTGTAGGAATAGTGGTATCACATATTCCATATTCTTCAAATTTCACACCCAATCAGTGTTTGCGTGGTCTAGTCCTCCTATCGCAAACCGTAGCCTATAGTTTGTATTGTTACAACAGTAGGAGCGAACTTCACACATATCTCAATCATAGATCAATCGACAAGTAGAAGTGGGAATGCAGAAGCTGAAACATAACGTGGAGATTATGATTACAAAGCGGAGTAATTTGGGCGGGTTGGATCAAAACTTAAGAACTATTTTTAAACCTCTTTCTTGCCCGAATCATTTCGACAACAGCTCATGCCAATTGGAATGGTCGTGATTGGTGCCCAACCCACGAATTACTTCGGCCCCAGCGCAGTTTCTGGAGACAAGTTGTCTTCGCCAGGCTCCATGATCAGGCCACTTCGCTCGGCTGGTTTCGGGGCCCACAGTACTACCACTGTATTGTGACGCCAGGGAGCAGAAATGTGAGCCGGCTGCACATTGACGACCGAAGAGTTCCAGCTGCAATACGGAGTGCTGCAATGTGTTTATTCGCCAGTTGTCCACCAGTAATGGTAGCTAACTGGCACTGGCGCTAACTGTTCTCTCGATCTTGTGCGTTTTTTCACACAAGGGGCAGATGACGCCGATTCCTATTCTCGTGTCCGTCTCGGCTTGAATTCGAATCCCTTCCGCCGGAACGGTCTGGCCGTTACCAACTTGCACAGAACCGGGCAAAACGGCAGCAAAATGACTGAAAATTTGGTTCCACTAAGATGTGCCATATCATATGGCAAAAAGTGGCGGGCGGATGGCCTCTTTTGCTATAAAACGATTGGCGCTCTCCAATTGAGGGGCAGGCGTACACGTCGCCCTGCATCTATGGGATAATACACACCGTCAGTTCTTGGAGCAGCCTTCTGCGTATTGCCATATTCTTGGGCGCATCTCTTCTCTTTGTAATCGATATCGTTTGACCTCACGATCCGCCTCCCGTGGTTCTGCTTGGCTACATAAATTCACTTCTCAGATTGAAACAAGTATCGCTACCAAATTGTCGAACCTACCTCATGAAGTAGATACTGAAACATCCAAGTAGACATAATGTCTCCTCCCAGTCCCTTCAGGCAGCGCGACAGCTTTTCCATATCAAATCGTCCCAGATCACCTGCTCCACCATTTATCCAGGCACCCCGCCAAGATGGAGACGATAGTTACCCATCGAAGTTCTTGTATAAATGGATCGAGAGTGACCGCCCGAGACTCAGTCGCCCTATGTCCAGCTATGCTGGCACCAAGAATGAGCAGATTCACCGAGAGGCCGGCAATAACAAACGGGAAAACAAGCTACATCTAGAGCAAACCCTGATGCATAAAGAGTTTCACATCGAGGCGTTACGAGGGCAGATACGGAAGTTGGTCAGCGAAAACACATCGGAGTGCTCCCAATTGAACGACAAGATCAATGAACTCCAAGCGCAATTAGCTTCGCTTCGAACAAAGTTACAGATTAGTGAGAACAACCTGGAAAGTGCAGATAAAGCTAGAGCTGAACTGGAAGAAGAAGTAAAAAGGTTAAGAGAAGCTTATGTGGAAAAGTCGGAGGCTCTTGAAACCCATCAGAAAGAACTATTGGAACAGATCAAAGGGTTTCATCGAGCGCTTGCGGAAAAATCTAAAGCTCTAGAACTTCATGAAAGGGAACGAAGGGAAGAGGTCAAAGAGCTACAACGAAGGCTAGCAGAACGATCCAAAGCTCTTGAATCTCACCAACAGGAACGAGATGAAGAGATCAAAGATCTACAACGAAAACTGGCAGACAAATCCGGAGTTCTAGAATCTTATCGACGAGAACGAGATGTGGAGATCAAAGAGCTACAACGAAAACTGGCAGAAGGATCTAAAGCTCTAGAATCTTACCGACGAGAACGAGATGAAGAAGTTAAAGAGCTACAACGAAAGCTCCCGGAAAAATCAAAAGCGCTAGAATTGGAAAAACGTACACGAGAAGAAGAGGTCCAAGAGCTACGGCGAAAACTGATGGAACAAGTTAAGGCCCTAGAATATCACAAACGGGAACAACAGGAATATGCCAGAGAGCTACACCAACAGCTGGCGGAAACGTCTGAAGCTCTAGAACGCCATGAGAAAGAGAGGGAGGAAGAGCTAAAGGAAGTACGACGAACTTTCACGGAACGGATTGGAGCTCTGGAATGCCTCAAGCAAAAGCTGGAGGAGGAGGCTGAACAGTTACGGCAAAGCTTTGCAGTGGAATCCGGATCACTACAGAGTCAGAATCGGGAGCTGGAAGAAGAATCAAAACGGTTGCAACAGGCTGTTGCAGAAAGGACTGAAGCTCTTGAAGCGCTCGAGCAGGAGCGGGAGGCAGAGATTCGGCTACTGGAACGAAACCTTGTGGACAGATCTGAAACTCTTCAACTCCACCAGCAACAACTCGAGGAAATCTCAGTATGGCAAGAAGCTGCCATGGAAAGTTCTGAAGTTCTGAAAGTTCGTGAACAGGAGCAAGCGAACGAGGTTAACAATCTCCGAGTTGCCGTGGCGGAGAAGTCTAAGGCTCTAGAAGAGCTCGAGCAAGCTAAAACGGAAGCTCTCGCCGCACAAAAATTGGAACTCGAGGCATATTTCCGAAATATCAAGATAGAAGATGATCGAGCGGCCAATGAACGGCTAGAGGAACGGGAGAAGGCACTAATTGCTCAATTTAACGAGAAACACCGCATAGAGCTGGAAACCCTTCAAGCATCGTTTGCAGCAGAGCTCCAACACGTCCAAAAAGCACACGCGGCCGCTGTTCACGAATTCGTTACCAGGCTAGATTCTGTTGCCGAGAAAGGAAGAGACGACAACCAATTCATCGCATTACTGGATGGGAAACTCAGTCGAAACCGAAGTAAAGGAACGACAGCAACAACAACAACGACAGGAAAGGAGAAAAGTGTGAGCCACATTCGCGCACTATGTAGGGAGATTTTCCATGTGGGCAAGTCCAGAGCCAGGAACAGTTCTAGCGAACGTAGCAGAACGCCAGATTCTCGCCCGGATTCTGGCGTTGATTGTTAGTGTAACTCCAAGTACAAATATCTCGGATCAGACATGATGATTTCTTCCTCTTTTTTCGGCTTGATGGCGTTTTACCAGGTGTGCGGGATTGCTTCATATTTAGGCGTACGGGATACGGCGTGTGGACGGTAGAACATGGGATTTCTACTTCTTACTTTGGTTTGAATATATCCCGATTCTCTCTCAGTTGGAATTTTCGTTGCGTGTCGTCGGTCCACAGCTAGCAAATTTATGACTTGATTGTTCTCTATATCTTCTCATGGACATTCTTAACAGGCGCAGCCGTTTCTGGAGATGAGCGAGGCATGTCATATATTGGTTTAAATGAAATGAATCGATCTCCACTCGTATGTACTGGTATGCGAACGTGGTAGCTGATAACACACCAACAGCATCTTTGCTTCATCGCTTCCACAGCGCAATTTCAACGCTTTGGGTTACTAAAATTCCTATTCTCCACTCAAGTTGTGAGTCCCTAATCGCACTATCATTGTTCGAACAGTATATCCTTTACAACTCTCAACGTTTATTAGAGGAGCACGGATTGAAAATTGAAAAAAGCCTCTTGACCATAGTGGCCAGGCCCAACAACGGCCCCTTGCCTGGAGGTCCTTGTAACTACCAGATAGCAGCTTACGAATCCCACTACTCTACTCTGTAGATGCCCATTCCTTGAACTCTGGCGAGTTCGGATCAGCACCATAAAGGACTCTATACATGCCAAACGCTTCCATCTTCAAGGGAGGTGTTGATGTGGTGGACTTTCATATTTCATAGCTTCCCTATGGAAGCGGAAACACTCCGATCTCAATCACAGAGGCTCATATACCAGATATCGGACCGCGCTGGATATGACTTTATAGAGTCAGCTCGTTCTAGTTGTAACATTAGAGCCGTCAAGATGTTATTAATCATGAAACGGTTCGCTGGTCCTATTAGCACAGACATGAAGCGATCCAGTCACGGTCATCACGGTTTTGTTGCGACGACACCAGACCTGGTAACCTTGGAGGTTGACGGAAATGTTAGGAGAATAGTCAGCACTCATGCGAGGCTGTCTGAGTTTGTAGTGGACTGGGCTTAGTTACTTGCAGTTTAAATTAAAGGAGATATAATGCCTTGAACGGCATCAATTAGGGCTTCGCGGGCACGTGGGCCCAAAATTGCGTCGGACAATCGTTTGCCCCGCCAAAGCTTCAACCCCCATCGATTTTCTACCCCTCGACAATTGCGAATCTTCAGCTGCGCCATTTCTCAAAACTGTTTTCGATAACCACTAACATATTCATTTCTCATCTCCCGCCTATGGGAGCTTTGTATACGTTAAACAATTCCCAGAAATTAAAGAAAATAATGGCAGCCCTCGCAGAAACATACAATGGTACGTAGGGCTCGGCGGAGCTATGCGCTACCCCCTGACACTCTTCCACCGCAGGGGTTAAAAATGGAGATATAGACAGTCGATACTAACAACGACAACTTTATTATATCTAGACCCAGTCCATATTGCTGTTATCGGCGGCACCGGACTTCGCGAATTGCCCAATTTCACGCAAGTCGCATCCCTCACCATCACCACACCATGGGGATCCCCATCCTCTCCGATAGCCATTCTCCACCACACCTGCTCCACAAGCGGCAAGGTAGTCCCTGTCGCATTCCTCAGTCGACACGGTCTACACCACGAATACGCACCACACGAGGTACCTGCGCGCGCCAACATCGCTGCCCTCCGCTCAATCGGGGTGCGAAGTATTGTCGCGTTTTCCGCCGTTGGAAGTTTGCAAGAGGCTATTAAGCCGCGAGACTTTGTCGTTCCGGACCAGGTTATTGACCGGACGAAGGGGGTGCGGCCATGGACGTTCTTCGAGGGTGGCGCGGTGGCACATGTTGGTTTCGCGGACCCGTTCGATGAGCAGATGGCGAAGATCGTGAGGGCGTGTGGACATAGTTTGGAAGGGGATGGGGTCGTGTTGCATGATCGTGGTACACTGATATGCATGGGTATGGTCTCTTTTCACTCCTTCCCTCCTTCCCTCCTTGTTTAATAAGCGCCGTTGTTCGGGAATAAAATAAAACAAATGGAGGTAGAAAGCTAAATGTTCAATACCCTTCGCATGATAAACAGAGGGCCCCCAATTCAGCACGCGCGCAGAGAGTAACCTCTACCGCTCCTGGGGTGGCAGCGTCGTCAACATGTCCTGTCTTCCCGAAGCAAAACTGGCCCGAGAAGCTGAGATTGCATATCAGATGATTTGCATGTCCACCGACTATGACTGTTGGCACCCAGAGACGGCAGATGTCACAGTCGAAATGGTCATGGCCAATATGAAAATGAACTCAGTGAATGCGAGAAACTTCATCGGTGCGGTGCTCGATGAACTCACAAAGGATGAACACGCAGCTCTGGTGCAAGGAAAGCATCTAGAAGGCACATGTAAATTTGGTCTGAGCACGGCTCCTGGACACCTGAGCACGGAAGCCCTTGCGAAACTCGTGTGGCTTTTCCCCGGATATTTTAGTAATAATTAAGCGTGGTATTTGTGATAAAGGGTATTGCTTCGAGTATTTGGTAGTTCAGGCCACTTTTCTACTTAATTTTACTACATACATAGACCGTCTGAGATATTACCTTACCGGTTTGGGAAAGATCCCAACGAGCACCCCCTCGAAGTATGATTTCCTATAAAAAAGATATTTGGTAGTAAATTAAGGAATATCTCGTCAAAATTTCCGTCGACAAACCCTTTAACCATTCCTCACGAAGCTCTGAATCTCGCAAAGGGAATACTATCGGCAGAGACGTCAACCAAGTAGCCCCACACTGCCTCCTCGTGTGCTTTGGGGGCACTATTAATAATACAGTGTACATTGTCGTTGCCCCTTTCCAAAATATTAATTCCCTTTGATGCTTGTTTGGTGGCGCTATATTTACTACTTCTTGGCCAAGTCGGCTGAAATGCGCAAGCGAGATATAAACCATGCGCCGATACTACCTACGAATCCTTCCAACATGTCCCATGGGTTGTTTATAGAGCGAACCTTCCCATGTTGCTTGTTTCGTGTCACCTCGGTCATGTCGATCCTCTATCTAGTTCTAGGTAGTTCCAAGTATTTCGCGCCAGGTGAAGGCTTAGGCGCAACTCAACCCTACGACAAGTTGACAACGGCTCCATGCTCAACCCACAAAAATGTCGGCAGTTTTGGCTTTCAGGGCTCTCTGTCGGCCCGACCTGGCCTGATTCTTGAACCCCTGATCAATTTTGGCTGGTGAAATTTAGCACCATCCGGAGAAGAATCGCGTTCAGCTGATAGGGGGCGAAAAAGAAATACCATTGAGAAAACTTGAATTCGGCTGGCGCGTGGTGAGTTTCCTCGCGTTTCACAGCAGGCATGCCCGCTGCCCACATGACCCGCCAATGGGCCAAGGGGATGCCACTGGATGGTGAATAAGAGCGCGGGAAGCAGATGGAAGACAGGGAAGAAAGAAAAAGAGGGTTAATGCCGCCTAATCGGTTGTTGCTATTGAGGCATATTATTGCCGGCTCTTGAAGGCCCACCGGAAACCTGGAATATGGCGGTGATCAGCATCTTCCAACGTATTGTCGATTGCAGAATCAGGGGAAGTTAGACCTCGCTTTAGGCTTTAGGCTTTTTCTTTTTTTCTTTTTAAGCCGTTCGGAGAGCGGCCTGCTGAGAATCTCCAGCAAATCTCGTAGCTTGGTTGACAGGTATAACTACACTAAGAAAACGAACAAAAAAAAGAAACAGAAAAGAAAAGAGGATTATGTCTAAGCAATCACTGACATTCTCTTCACTCACTATATCTTGTATGGAGCAAATGAGTGACTGAACTAGCGAGACCGAGTGGCAGACAGGGAGGCAGCGATCTATCTGAGGGGTCAGGGGCACCGAGAACAGAGGCAGAGAGGCATATAACTGCCGGATACGGCGGAATATGCCATGACGGTAGATTTGAGAATTGCCGCATTGTCAACTTCTCCAGAGTTACAATATAGAACAAGTCTATAATTAGAGCCGAACCGATGCACATCTCGCATGTCAGAAAATACAAACATGCATCATAAGGTAAGTTGTGCCTGAAGACAGGGAGGCATGGGATGGGGACAAGAGTGTTGCAGTGATGCAGTGATGAAATTGAAAATCAGTTAGGATCAGTTAGGTCTACTCCCAAGAACAGTCATAAGTATAACTAACAGATCCTCCATCCCCCAGTCCACATGCACGAAACAACTGTTCCCCCACCCGGGCCACAGCACGGCGCTCTTCCAGTCTATAAAGCCACAGAAATACCCTGTGATGTGGTCAGTCAGTCAGTCAACCTGGACGGCTGCACCATTGCGGTGGAAATAATACCTGAGCCTGTTCGGTGTCGATGAGCGTTTCTAGGCTGAGTGAGACTGAAATAATCCTTCACTCCTCCGCCTATTCCTTCTCTTAGATTTCTCTTCTCTTCTCTTTTCCTTTCTTTCATTCATTCTTTAATTTTTACTTCCTTATCCTCTGGAAATGCCGTTCTTTAAATCATTTCTTATTGGTGTCGTTGGTGCGCTAAATTGTTCCGCCCTTGCAAACCAAGATACCAGCAGCTCTCCACCCCTCGAACCGAGGCAGAATGGTGCCCCAGAGTGGACGTCTCCTCCATATTATCCTGCACCCGTGGGTGGTTGGGTACCTGAATGGGAAGAGGCATATGCCAAAGCCCATGCAGTAGTTGCGAACATGACCCTCGCTGAGAAAGTCAATCTGACAACAGGCACCGGTTTCGCTATGGGCCCCTGCGTGGGACAGACAGGAAGTGCACCTCGATTCGGAATCCCTAGGCTTTGTCTGCAGGACGGCCCCCTTGGTGTCCGAAATACAGATCACATCACAGCCTTCCCAGCAGGAATCACTGTGGGAGCCACATTCGACAAGAAGTTGATGTACGACCGCAGTGTTGCGATGGGCAGGGAGTTTCGTGGCAAAGGGGTAAATGTCCACCTTGGTCCATCTGTAGGTCCACTGGGCCGCAAGCCTCGCGGAGGACGGAACTGGGAAGGATTCGGCATGGATCCATCCCTCCAGGGAATCGCCAGTTCCCTGACAATCAAGGGCGTTCAAAGCAGCGGAGTGATCGCGACTGTGAAGCATCTTGTCGGAAACGAGCAGGAGATGTTTCGTATGGTGTTCCCTGTTCAGCCCCTGGACTTCCTCCAGAAACCATACTCGGCCAATATCGATGACAGGACGCTGCACGAGTTGTATATCTGGCCTTTTGCAGACTCTGTCAAAGCGGGGGTTGGTTCCGTTATGATGGCATACAATGACGTACGACCATTTTCTTCATTTCAACTTCCAACAACGAGGGAAATTTCTTAGTTCAGTAGATGGTATTAACTTTATCCTATAGGTTAACAGCTCCTCGTCCAGCCAAAACAGCAAGCTGATCAACGGCATTCTTAAAGATGAATTGGGATTCCAGGGATTCACCATGACTGATTGGTTCGCCCATATTGGAGGCGTTTCATCCGCACTTGCTGGCCTGGACATGGCTATGCCAGGAGATGGTGCTTCTCCACTATCAGGGCATAGTTATTGGGCAGGCAAATTGTCACATTCGGTCCTAAATGGGACTGTACCCCTAGAGCGGTTAAATGATATGGTACGTTGGCTGATTTCTCTCCTTTCCTCATATACCCGTACTTTGCATGCGCGACGGTCATAACCCCTAGGCTCGGTAACTAACTTTGGGATTAGGCTGCCCGGATTGTTGCTACATGGTTCAAGTTAGGGCAGGACAAGGACTTTCCATTGCCAAACTTCTCAACCCACACAACTGCTGAAAAGGGGCTTCTGCACCCTGGCGCTGTATTTTCTCCAATCGGCATCGTCAACAAATTCGTCGACGTCCAAGAGAACCACAATACCATCGCGAGAGCCGTTGCTAGGGATGGTATTACCCTTCTAAAAAATGATGATAATGTTCTCCCCTTGAACCCGGACTCTTCAATCAGGGTATTTGGCACCGACGCGGGTCCCGATCCACTGGGACTCAACCCCTGTCCAGACAGAGGTTGCAACAGGGGTGTCTTAACGATGGGATGGGGAAGTGGAACAGCCAGAGTTCCTTACCTTGTAACTCCTCAAGAAGGCATCGAGGCCAGAGCCCCGAAGACAAAGTTTCACATCAGCAATCGTTTCCCCCTCATTATAGACGTGAAGCCTGAAGATATTGCAATTGTCTTCATCAATTCGGATTCTGGCGAGAACTACATTATCGTTGAAGGAAATCCAGGAGACCGGACGATGGCGGGTCTATATGCCTGGCATGGTGGTGACAAGCTTGTCATGGATGCGGCGAAGAAGTTCTCGACTGTGATTGTTGTCGTTCACACCGTTGGCCCAATTATCATGGAGAAATGGATCGATCTCCCATCGGTGAAAGCAGTGTTGGTTGCCCATCTCCCAGGCCAGGAAGCAGGTACTATTGCCGATATTCTCTTCGGAGATCACAGTCCCAGCGGCCATCTGCCGTACACGATTCCGAAATCCGAAGCCGACTATCCAGACAGCGTCAATCTCATATATGACCCTATAATCCAGATCCAAGATACATTTACCGAAGGCTTGTATATCGACTACCGCCACTTCGTCAAGGAAAACATCACCGCGCGATACCCCTTCGGTCACGGGCTTTCATACACAGCGTTCAAATTCAGCGAGCCGAAACTCATACCCGTTACACCGCTCACCGAATACCCCCCAGAGAGACCTGCTAAACTTTCCCCTCCAACATTCTCCAACGACATCCCGCCTGCAGCCGAAGCAGCGTGGCCAAAGGGTCTGAACCGCATCTGGCGCTACCTATACCCATACCTCGATGACCCTTCCTCCATCAAGCCAGGCAAGGATTACCCATACCCGGAAGGGTACAGCACAACGCCCCAACCGCCCCCGCGCGCTGGAGGGCGGGAGGGCGGCAACCCAGCCCTCTGGGACATCGCATTCAAAGTCGACGTCAAAGTCACCAACACAGGCAAGGTAGCCGGGCGCTCTGTGGCACAGTTGTATGTGCAGCCGCCACCAGAGCGAGCGGCAGATACACCCAAGCTACAGCTAAGACAGTTTGAGAAAACACGAGTGCTGCAGCCGGGCGAGAGCGAGATTCTATGTCTTGAGATTACGCGGAGGGATATGAGTGTTTGGGACGTTACCACGCAGGACTGGCAGATTCCGCAAATGGCCAAGGGTGCGAAGTTGTGGGTTGGTGAGAGCGTGGAGGACTTGAAGGTGGTGTGCGAGGTTGGCGGTGGTGAGTGCAGGGATGCTAGAATGGAGACGCAGTAGTTTATTTAACCTAATGGCGCTCGCGATTGATTGAACAGGGATTGATAATACTCATTCCTGTGCTCTGTCAATATACCAAGCCTTACTTCAAAAGATACTAGATTCGGTCTCTACCTCTTCGACCGAATGTGGCCTTAACCCATACTGCCGGTATAATTGTATATAACCATGGTTGTATAGAAATCATACCCAAGGCGTTGCCTGTATAATTTTAACGGTGCAATCGGCAAGGTTACAGGGTGGTAACTACCGATGTTCTATCTAACATCTGGGCTGCTAAATGGAAGGTTTCTACCTTTTGGTTTCGTTCCCTTCTCTTTACCTTTATTTTCATTTTTGGCTCTCTCTATCACTCCATGGTCTAGTCCCTGAGAATAGGCTCCTTTGAGTCTGTATTGAAAACGCTGGTTATAGATAAAACAGAGTAACAGAGTATTAATATCCGTTGAGTTGTATCTCCTCCGCCCCGTGCCTTTTTTTCTTTTTTTCTTTTTCCTATTTTGAGTATCACTGTGCACAGCTCGGAGTGCCAACACTTCCCTACCGGGAAGAGTAGAGCGATGGCCCACCACGTCATGCTCAACAGGATTCATTCATTCCGCGAAAATGAAGCAGAAATTATCTCGTACGCATTCGGTCCCTTGGTTCCCCACGCAATCAGTCCCCTGCGCTCTACCCCAACCTTGTCCCACCAGAGTTCCCTAATATCCCGGGGGATCTGCCAAACGACACCCATATCGCGATCGTCAGGCCGTACGATGATCATCCAGGAGTACCAGCGTATCCAACCAACGTACTGACGGTCGAATGCCACTATGGAGTCATAGCATGGTTGAACAGCAGTAGTCTCTCCTGGCATGAGAAACTCTATGTGGAGACTCTGCTCTGTTATCAAATGACCGCTCCAGGAGAGGGTGAAGCTAAGTTGTCGGAGTCTGGGCATGTGTAAGACAGCACGACTCATTGCACGTACGAGAGGATCAAAGGTACGTGGGCAGAACAACCAGCGCCACTGATATGGAGGGCATTCGAAGTATTCCAGAACACTCCCATTGTCGGAATCCTCGGAATCCTCGGAATCCTCATACAAATCAAAAGGTGCTAATTCCGGGGAGCCTATCAAGTACCACTTTCCCCCAGGATGCAAGTTCCCATAAGTTAACATAAGCCGTTCTAGGTTGACCCATGATGGTTTTGGTTGAGTTACGCTGGTAGGAAATGAGGGTGAAAATGGGCAGAACAACTCGGGTGACAAGCCCCATGGATAAAATCTTAGTTCGATCTCGGTTAAGTGATGCACATGCATGAAAAGGGCCAGGGATAGTGAGAGTAGGTCAATGGGATGATTTCCATTCCAGCTTGGAGCGTCCAAATTATGATTTTGAAGGGACCGACCGGAACATCCAACGTGAAAGGATTTCAAGCTAGGCAAGGAAAGTTTTCGTAATGCCATACTGAGAGCTGAGAAGAAGCAATGTCAATAACCTTGTCAATCATGGATCAGAACCAATAAGAGGTACACACATGATCTGAAATCTTGAATACTGGTTCTGAGAACTGAGAAATTCATCGTCCAAACAAAATAATAAACGTTCGTAACGTTGCTAAGGCAGTTTGCGATTTTGAGGAAAGCTGTGGGATGCACACTATGGATGATTAAACACTTCACTCTATAAAGGGTTGGCAAACTCTCCTGTCCTTGGAATTTCAACATCAACAGCGTTTGGGGTTTCCAGACAGGGTTGATTCTTAAAGTCAGGGGGGCAGCCCGGTGGGTTATGTTGGCTGCGACAAACTCATCCTCCCATTCCCTGAGAAAGCCAAACAGATTCCGTACCGCCAATTCAAAGTCCATATCTAATTCTTGTTGCCTATCAATCGAACAATCCTCTAGCATCTCCGGAAGCAGCGCACCTGGCCATCCTGTCTGGTAACACCTGGGAACCGTAGGGTGAGAATAGAGCAACTCCGAGAGTATGCTCCGGCGACGGAGACCGATAAAAATCTGGCGAAACATTTCCCATTCAGCTGAAGAACTCCGAACCATAATCGAACGCATCGTCTGCAGTTCCACTGCATTCTGCCAGGCACGAGATATACCAGCATAAGACGCGATTTTGGCGGCTTTTCTGCCGTTTTCAGGCTGTAACAAGCATCTAACAATAAGCCCAACCGTCTCTGACGGGAGCTTGTCCATTTTGAGCTGTTCTTGGGCAAAGTAACTAAATAACTTAACTAGTTATCCATACAAGGATAAATATAAAAAACACCACGCATCGACGTCTTCTCAATTCACGTCATTCCGAGGGAAGACTGGACAACAAAGTATTATGAGTGGATATTGTAGTTTTCGGATGTTTGTAAACAATAACCCGCCCGCCATCTCGCTTTCCATGTTCAAGCTCTTATTTCTCCCCTAGAGCTACCGCTTGAGCTTTTACCGGGAGTTGCCAGTTGCCATTGCCCCCGAACATGGTGGAAAGGCAACAGAGTCCATCCATGATGAGGGATGAGGTTCATAACGCCTTCTGATGTAGTTAGTTAACTAGTTAACTTTTGTCACCTTGGGGCAAAAAAAAGTTGATTAAGTAATCAGAAAACTGCACGTGATACCACATTTGCCTCTGGCAAGCTTTGTTGGTCTACAGAGTATATACACACTTCAAGCAATACTTAGCTCTCTATAATTGAAGGAGTGCTCGCTCAAGAGTCCTTTTTTATTTCTAGCCTTCATGTTTATACCTTTCCCGTACCGTGCCGTCATTTCCAGGGTGAGCGCAGGTCGATTATTATATCTATCTTACGCGGGGTAAAAAAGAACGTTTGTTTCAGCGATACAGTGGGCAGCTCAGCAGCTCACCCCGCCAAAATGCAGGGCTTCAGTAAGTTGTACCCCCTATTTTCTTAATTCATTCCGTTTCAGATAGGCATATGCTCTAGTTTCTAACGCAACTACCTAGATATGGGACGGTTAGTTCGTTCCTCCCCTCCCTCCCACACTGGTCCCCAATCGAATCTGGACTAATGCATAATCCAGCTATGTGCCCCCGGACCAAGAAGGCCTCACAACTGGCAACAAGCTTGCCAACAGGCACCCACTAGGTTCCCGCGCCCGGAACCTACATACAACTGGCGAACTCACCGTCCGATTCGAAATGCCCTTTGCGGTCTGGTGTTCGACATGCAAACCCGCCGACAGCGTGTTAATCGGGCAGGGCGTGCGCTTCAACGCACTGAAAAAGCGCGTGGGGAACTACTACTCAACCCCCATCTACAGCTTCCGCATGAAACATACGGTTTGCGGCGGTTGGATAGAGGTCCGGACTGACCCAAAAAACACCGCATATGTGGTTACGGAGGGTGGACGGAGGAGGGATACAGGCGAGTTAGACAAGGGCGGATATGAGGAAGATGGTGCAATTACGTTACGGATACCTCCCGGTGCTGTCGCGGGGGAGTCTGCGGAGAAGGACGCGTTTGCGAAACTGGAAGGGAAGGTCGCGGATCAGAACCGCTTTATGACAGAGAAGGCACGCATGGAAGAGTTGAGGAAAAAGCAGGAACGTAACTGGGAGGATCCATACGAACAATCGCGGAAACTGCGGAGGGTTTTTCGGGCGGAAAGGAAACGGAGGGAGACTGCGCAGGGGGTCACAGAAGCCTTGCAGGACCGGATGAGTTTGGGGATCGAGTTGTTGGAAGAATCGGAGGGGGATCGAGTGAGGGCGGGCATGGTGGATTTTGCCCCCGCCGGAAATAATACTGTGGGCGGAGCGGTAGCGCGGCGTGTGATTTCAAAACCACTATTTGAGACTAAGTCGCTACCGGCCACTCCGCCGTGTAGAGGGCGGGGAAAGAAGGAGAAGCGGTCCAAAAAACCAGAGGTCATCGCGGCGGAGCGGAAGTTGTTGCTGCAGAAGGAGTTAAGTGGAAATACGAGGGCCGCTGTTGATCCCTTTTTGGTGGATGATAATTCGGACTGGACGCCTGGGGTTAAGCGGCGGAAGACGAACGGATCCGCAGCTGTGATGCCACCCGGGGATATGGATAGGTCGCAAGAACGCCGGAAATGCGATGGTATCGAGAATAAGGATGGTGATAGTGGCGATATGTCGATTGCAGTGAACGGCAATAGGCCGCGGGAGTTAATGGCTACAGGCGCAGATACGGAAACGTCCACTCCACGACAAGTAATGTCAGCCATACCCCTGGTGGGATATGAGTGGTCGGATGATTCCGAATAACCTGCGTGTGATCAGTTCCTTTTTTCTTTCCTCATTTTTTCTGACATAAACTGTACATTGTCTCTTGTTTATGTTCCTTTGACTCATGAGATACCCACTGGCGTTTTTGGCATTGGAAAATGTATATTTAGATCAACGAATTATGAAATGCAGATATGTATAACAGTTTGTTCAAGGCTCGTTCTATTCATCTACGCATAGTCGGGCCGTATTGATTTATTTCACATCGTCTATCTTACATGAATTCGTTCCTCAAACGTTTTACTCATTTATGGAAAGGTTCATAGCTGTTATAGTTTTCTTCAAACGCTCCACGTAATAAAACTGTACCTCTCCTCTTATACCTCTTGTATAGAGATGCGACCACCGCAGCATCCAGAATGGAAATTGCAGTGCAGACCATCATTGCCCACCAGCGGGATCTTTCTTCGCCCTAAATGGGATGTTCTGATCCTGCATCCTGCCCTCCACTCGCCCCCGCCCAAGGTGTCTTCGTCGGTGCCTGCGAATTAGGCGCTGAGAACTGTCCCGCAGCCTCTCGATCTCGATTACTGCTCCATGGCGCCGTGGTCATAGCAGTTGGTGGAGCACGCAAAGGTCTAGTTCCAAGCTGCGCCGCCGCGAAGGGTGCGGACATCCCAGGGGCGGTAGAACCCACACCCCCGCCCATGCCGCCTGCCGGATTTGCCCAAGGAGCTTTCGTGCCTTGAAATCCCCTTGTGGCGGGATTGATGGGGGGTGGAGAGGCCATTTCGCCTGACCTTTCCGGCCGGTTCGAAAGGTGGACGGATGGAGGTACTGTCACGGCTGTGGGATCATGTTCCCAACGGAAAAGGGAACCGAAGGGGAAATGTTGGACGACAGGGAATTTGGAGAGGACTTCGGCATTGTACATTTTGATCATGCCCTAATTCCGTGTTAGCTAAGCCCGATTGCCATGATTGTCAGGCTACCAAAGAGATATTGGATAGGCCCATACCTTATTTATTTTCCCCCATCCATCTCGAATCCCGGATATATCGTAAAGCATTGGGCTATGCTCCCAAAATGGACCCCTCTTCACATCGTATATAAAACCAATAGCTGAAAAATACATATTATTTTTCCGTTCCTTCTCGACTATATTCGCTTTTGCGACAGTAGCTGGCTCCGGGGAGTTCTGTAATGAGCCTTCAGTAGGGGTAAGGTCTGACTCTGATATTGGAGGAGATAATTGCGCAGATCCAAGGATATAAGGAAGAAAAGAATGGTCATCAAGGCCCCAGACGCCATGTGAGCCTGCGGGTTCGAGGGTGTATGTCCTTATCAGGCGTCGAGTCAACTCAAGATACCTACACGGGTAGATATGTAATAGTCAGTATACTTTTCTTTCAATAGGAATCGAGAGAACGCATATATCCCTATCAGAGAGTAACATACGGTTCAATCACACCCAAAACAATCCCCCTTTCTTCCACGCCCGCCCCAGCCTTCGGAAACCCGTTGAGCTTCCACAAACAACCCAAAAAAGCCACAAAGCTCAACTCATGCCCTGTCCCATAGTCTAGTCTCTGTTGGCTCCCAAAGCTCCCTAGAAAATACGTCGTAAGCTCCTCCTTCGCAGATACCGAATCGGGGCCTTGCGCTCCCTGCCGCAGCACCTCAGGCTGTAAACATTCATCCATCAATTCCGGCGCCCGTCTTTCCACTTCCTCCCACCATTTGCGGAAACTGACATTTCCAAAACGCCTCGGTCCCGTATCCGGGGGTACCTCATCGATTATCGAGTCTATCTTCGAGAGTAATAACTGCAGACGACGAACGGGCTCTGAGAACTCAACCGCATCGCAGTTGAGGGGCCAGGTTTGCACATGTTGAGAGCCATCCTCCGTTATTTTCGAAGGGACCATGGCGCGATTGAGCTGTAGGATGAAGGTCATGATATCCCTGTAGGCGAGGGAGGTGAGGAATGTGGATACATCGTTACCCTCGTTGATCTTCTTGGAAGGGAGTTCGAAGTTATGTGGTTGCGAGGGGTCTAGGTGTTGGAGGTAAGGGGTGGAGAATGAAGCTTCTGCGGCCATTGCGGTCGTAGTGAGGCGGGATAAGATAGGTTCAAGAGCATTAGCTACACGGATGGCTCTCTGCTCTCCGACTTTCCCAATTTCTAATGTCTAGAGTGTGATGATTAACTGTAATATACTGAGGATTGTCATATGTTCTGCTGTTGAAGTGGGGATGTAGGGATGATTAGTTTGCGTGGTGCGGTGACAAAAACCTATGAAATAACCATGTCATCATAAGATTAGGCTACATTTAGGGCGTGTTCGGTTGCAAGGTAATTTCAATACCTACCGCGGGTGTCTGTTAAGTGGACCTTTTTAACAGAGGTTAACGGAGGTTAACCGTGCAACCGAACACGCCCTTAGTATTTATAGGTCTTCTATATCACCCTACTATGTAAAAAGAATTTCAATTTTCTATGTAATACGAGTTGAATATGCATTACCTATCTAAGCATAAACCAATTGTAAACTGTTAAGCAAAGAGTTGTATGGCGATGATGTCAGAGCAGTAACGATAATAATGGATACACAAACAAACCCATGTCCCCTAGTACGGGGTACGCGCCTATTTATATAAACCTACGCCCTTAATTGAATAACGTTAGCCTTCCCCGTTGAGAATGATGATGCCATCGGTGCATTCATATCTCGTGTGACAAAGGTTCTGCCAGGGATAAGGGTTAGATAGAGAAACCTAGATGAAGCAGATAGGGCTGTAAAATAAAATAGGGAAGCGGAAAATAACGATGGTGGCAGATCATTGATCGGAATCTTCTCCGGATTCTGAATCATCTTCTGAGTTTGAAGATTCATCCTGATTTTCGTCGGGTTCAAACCCAGCTTCATACGCGAGCAGTCTAGCCAAATGTGCTTGAGAAGTTTGCAAAACAGTACTGGGTTTTCGCTGTATTCTCAGCCCCTTCGCCATTTCTTTCGCGGACAAAGTGGATTCTCCGCAGCCATGCTACCCCAAGTTGAATCTTATGCCAGTCCGTGAAGTTGCTTTGCCGGGTACTGACAAGTCCCTTGCAATTATTGGCTTTTGAGACTGCGCCTATTCGAGGTTGAAATTCAGCCAGACTCTTTAGTAATCTTGACTCGGAGGCTATAGAGCTCTCCGATGCGTGTCCCTTTCGCATGCGTCTGAGGCCGGGAAGCGCAGAATCAGTTCCCGCCTTTCGTATTTCATCGTAGCTCACCATCTCATGATTTCAGCCCCCCAAATAGTCCGGATTTGTATTTCAAAGACGAATTAGTTCGTTCCCTCTTTTAAGGTAAAAAACAGCTATAGAACCTATCACATTTCCGTCCAGAGCTTACAGCGTGCATCAGTGCTAAAGTAGCAAAAATTCGCGCAGGAGACGTTCAGGTATCCTTGAAGACTAACGCAATGGAGAAAGGGCTCACGTCCATTTATGCAAAACTCGCATTCAGGTTGAGTTATGTCGCCGCGGCACTGTACAAGACTAGCTTCGATATGTGCATTCGTGTTTAGATGGGATGGGAATGAAGTCTGCCGCATTGCACATAATGCGATATCGTGGAAAACACAAGTGTTCATATTCATTCTCTAAAACATCTTCCGGGGGTTCTGTAGTTGATGCGGCCATTCTTTGGATAATGTATTTCAGCCAGTATGAAGAGGTGCTGCTTGTTTCTCCGAGTCGCGCGGCAGAGCTTCGGCGACGAGTTGGCGGCTAATTTACCCAATCGAGCACCACGTGCTAACCGTGCCATGCTTACTCACTCTACTACAGAGAGTGAGTAAGCATGGCACGGTTAGTTCCCGTCTTGAGCTTGAGCCCGCAACATCAACCAACCCGTCGACACAGAGAGCTTCCCAAGCGCTCCCTAGGACTCACGGCTTGCCCAAGCCAACAAACGTCACCCCACCGGAATTGCAATTTATGAGGCATCGATGGAAGATGGCATTTTAATAAGCACACAGGGTGAAGTTACCAAGAAACCTCGCCCTTTCACTCATTACTCACCACAATGGATTCAAGGTACGAAGATGAAGGCCCCGGACCTCAGCTCTCAGTGGAGCTTTTACGGTCAATCTGGACGACCCAACAAAACGATGACGATGATGCCTCGTCTAACCGCGAAAACATCCCCGCGAATTCCGCTATTGGTAAACGCAAGCGACAGGATTCTGAGGTGTTACGTGATCCGTCGCCCCCACTGGTGGAGAACAATGCGAAGCCACTGAGTCCATTCAAGTCGGTCAAATTGAAACGACCACAACGAGCGAAGCGAGTGGCTTCTGAAACAGCCCGCAACAATCGTGGTCGAAAAGATACCTATGTTATTCCTGATACACCTAAACCTCTGAAACGCTTCACTCGTAATGTGGGGCGGCATTCTATTCCAAAAACTGGGACTTTTAATGATTTCGATAGCGAGCTAGATAAAGAGGGCGATTCAAGGGCAGCGTATCGGTCTAATCGTGCAGGACCTAATGTAACGAACCTTCGAGACGATGAGAAAGTTTCAGCTAGTGGAGAGTGGTCCGACTCCTGGTCTGAAGAGGAAGAAAGTGCAGATGAAGATCAACATGATGAGAATTACAGAAGTGAAGAGGAAGTCAAAGAGTATACCGGAAACAGAGGACTGAAACAAACTGAATATGCAGAACCACCCCCAAGTCTCAGCACTCCGCGGCGTTCATCCCGGTTAAGAGTGCTACGTTCGCACCCGTCGTATGGACTTTTCAGATCTCATCGAAGGTCAGAGCAGGCGTTTAGCTCGCCTAAATCTGCTGGGAGTAAACGACCATTAACCAGACTAATGAAAAAAATGCTAGACAGCGTTGAAGCAGGCGAGCCTCCCCACTCGTCTCCACCGCCTCAGAGCAGAGCTGCAGAGTCGGAGAATGGGGACGGCAGTGATGTTTCTTCGGCCGGGGAAGATCCAACGCATGAGGACTCTCAACAAGCCGGAAATCGTGCGGTTATATCCCCGCCTGAAAGCCCTGAGAATAACGCATGCGAAGAAGGTGGAGATGTCGATACCGAGAATGAGCATCGGATCGCTCCTCATAGTGCGTCTGAGCATGACGTTCAAATTAGGACCGGAAGCGAAAACAATGAATCAGATCACGAAGTGCAAAGCGAGCATGAGAGCGTCTCTGACATCTGTGATTTCGAGGATGGATCTGAAATGGAATCCGAGTCTGGAGAAACGGATGTTGAGGAGGTCCCTATGCAAGATCCTGATGATGTAGACTTTTGGTCTGCCGCCGCGCTTTTTGGCCAACATACCAACTGGTCCGATCTTTTTGCAGAAGTCAAAAAGCTCATCCCGAGTCCCAACCTCACACAAAGGAGCCCTCTTCTACGTAAACCTCTAGCAGCAATCACGCAAGCCAAGCAACTCTACGCCCGAACAAGAGAAATTCGACAGGACTATCAAACGGTGCCGGACTACTTGTGCGAAGCAGAAAAATCCAATGCCCAGAAGGTCGTAGAGCAAATATATCACATCTTATCTAATAGAGTCCGTCTAGTTTTCGATGAGAAGGGTAACCTTGTTAGCGACAATCGTGAGCTGAAGCGAAAACGGCAAGCCGTCCTTGAGATTGCTGTCTATGCTGTACCGGGAGTAGTAAGCTTATTGAAATTATGCCTCGCAGCACACTACATCGATAATGAGCTCTCTATTGACGGAATGAAACAGTTGACACAGCTGCTGCAATCATTTTCCCTCTTGTGCGAAAGGATCCAGCCCAAGTTTTTCCGGCCATACATCCATTTCGGAGACACTCTCCAGCAGATCAGAGTCGTGGTTCGTTTCTTGTGGACGATTTTTGATAGCCAATCGAACCGGCTACTGACCAAACGGCGACTGGAACGATTTAACAACATTCATCAGAAATGGGTTGGGCCTCGTCGAAGCATGCAATACAAGCGCCCGCATCGCCAAGAAGTAACCCTGCCGCCGACAGATGATGAGCAGGATGATCATGTTTCCATCATATCTATTGATGAAAACTCATCAAACGAACAGCTACCTGAGGGTCCAGACGAGTTTCCCTGGACGACGGCGGAGAGCGAAGCGCTTGTTACCGGTTTAGAGAGATATCAAGGTACTGTGCTCTTATTTTGGGACGCGTAGGCCAACCACAACCTCATTTACAGCATACTAATCAATTTCTACAACAGGCCTCGATCGGTATACCATGATACGTCGCGACTTCAGGACAGAGCTGAGCGGTCGAACCATGGAAGACCTGCGCGTGAAGGCGCGGGAGATTCGAGATTCATATGTTGCTGCGGTGCGGCTTGATAATCTTACCATGGACCCGCGACAATGGGGTTGGCTCTTGGAAGTTTGAGTGAAACTAGTACATGTACCTTTACATCAGTTCGGTATTTATTTTACGGAAAATGACATTTCCTTGCATATGTTCTATGTGTAATGGAGTATACACATCGCTATAGCTTCGCCCATGTCGACCTGGTGTATGCTGCCTGCGAAGGTGTTCCCGTCGAGATCCTACTTTATCCGTGCTATGATTTGAAGCATCTTCCCTAAGGCTTATGGAACGAGTAACGGCACTATCCATGGATGACTATTTCCGCGCTTGCCCTCTCAGACGTCAATCCCTCATCCGAACAGCTTGGCGCAGAGCCTGAAAAAGAGTCACTATTCACGTATTACAACATTCATAGGCTATGCTAGAAGTGTAACCTATCGTGCGATTACCCCTGGTTCCGCACAATCATTAAAAAAAATAGCTAGTTCGCAAAACTCCTACGTCTGAAATACAAATGTTGTTCTCCCCGCTGCTCTTCGGTTTAACTGATCTGAAGATCGATGGTTTCGAGGGCAGCGATGGAGCATTGAATTGATTGGATGGAAGAATATGTGTCAATCCAAATTCATTGATTGACGGACGAGCCCTATTCGATGCGGTTCTCGGTCCCAGGGATGAGAGAAGAGGTGTCGAAGGAAGTATTTTGGCGTACTTCGAAGGAGTATAGGGTAAAGTAAATTCGACCACCACTTCAAGCTATTGAATAATGCAAGGTCATTACGGGCTCTTTAGCTGGGGGGGAGGGCGTTGGCTTTGTCGCGGTGGAAGGGGTGGGGGTGGAGGAAAGGGGATAGGTGGGAGGTTTTGGTCGTTGGCAAGGGTGAGGGTTGCGGTTGCGGTGAGGAGGGGGCCGATGCGGAGGAGTTTGTGCGGGTCGAGCAGGAGGGTGGAGGCCATTGTTGTGTTGTGTTCTTGATTGATATGGATCGTTTCGTAGGGTGTGTTTTTGTCGGTAACTAACTATATTCCGAGGGTGTGGTTGAGTATATGCTCCCTTAGGGATGCAGGACTTATAGTGTTGGGAGGTCTGCGGAGCTATAAGTTAGTTGACCTAGATATTATAGCTAACTAGTTATATATACCACCAAATCACTCCATCCCGGGTCTGCTCAGACCAGGTGGATACTCGTCTCCCTCCCTGGCGAGATGGGAGGATCCCGCGCTATTAGCTATAAACAAGGGGGTTCAAGTACGACAGAATCGCCAGCGGCGGGGTTCCGGGATAGTAGCGGCAGGCCGGTTAACAGGAGGGTTGCCGGAGCGCTTTACTCCAATTCATGCTCTCAACAGCTGTGATATCCCGCCATACCATACCAATAGCAGACAAATAATGATGGGATTGAATATTTTCAAACAAGTGCAGCCGTGAAGCCAAGCTCATTGGGCGTTGCGTTTCTAAACCATATGTCTTCTTCTCTCTCTCCCTCACCGGCAACGATGTGATGATGCCGCGGGGAAGGGCAATCAAGCGTGAGAGGCCCATTCATATGCATGGATGGTATGTACATGTATGTACATGTACAGTACATCTGCATCTTCAATCTAATAATGTTGAGAATGTCTGCCAGCTCTGATGCAAGCCGATTTTGCATGTCTGCGACCATGTCAACAACAAGCACAGCTATTCCACATGCACACAGAAGTAAGTGTCACCGGCAACATTTGCGTGCTTTGCAAAGGGTATGGGGTGCGTGATGTTAAGTTGGAAGGAGAGAATGATGGTTGATGTAGATTTTCTCCACACACTAACTAAAATACATTTTAAATATATAAAATACGCTTGGTGTGAAAACCGCCCTGTCATTGTTCACGACTATCAACTTGATAAACTCTCCCTATCCTTGTGATTTCGCTCGCTATGGGGGGATGCCGTTCGCCTCAGTGCTGAGAAACGCGGGTCCGTGTACGAGGGAGGCTTTCGTACAGTACTTTGGCTCAACCCTTTATATACCTGTGTGAGATGCAAGAGTCCTGCTTGCTTCAAACCTGTTTCTGAATCAAGAGTGCGATTTTACAACAGCCTCACTTCCCACATGATCTATTATTGCTGAAGCACAGTAAGTAGTGGCTATTATATTACCTCTCAGCAACTGGAACATCGATATGGCAAGCATCGCAGGGACCTTGCAAGATTCCAGCGCTGGAAAAGCAAGCAACTTGGGATTCCAATCTCGATACCCAATCCGACTTGTCTCACGTCGTCTTTGAGCCTCAATCTGAGCCATCACAATTTGTTTAGCAGAGAAGGAAATCAATCACATTACTGTGCTAATACTTGCCTGGAGTTGCTTTTTTTTCGGCAGTTGAAGTCCAATCAGGCCAGAGGCACAGTGGCAGAAGAATGGTGACAAGAGGTCAGGGACTACATGATGTGGTCACTGGCATAATGACGAGAAGGGGCCTATTAGTGACAAATGGGTCAAATTATTTTAATGGGTATTTTATAGTGTTACACTGAGCACATATCAATGATAACTGATTGAACGGAGTACGGAGTATTAGCAATCAAGATCTCCTCATTGAAGGTTGTATGAAATCGTTACCTACATAAGTGGAGGGCTCTAGACCTGGGACAGTCTCAATACCCAGGCCAGTCTCTCTTCTCAGGGGGTCTCTATACCTGGGGGTTTCTATATCTGAGAGTCTCTATACCGGGGGGGGGCTCTATAGTATAGTTTCAACCAAATGAATTGAAATCTCTGAACAGAATAAAGGAAGATGACTTCAGACAGTCGAGATAGTGAAAGCATCCTCAGATTAATACACTATGTATAACACTCTCATAAAGTTGACAGTAGAGAGTAGAGAGTGACAGTACTGTATCTTCTCATTATCTACTACTGTCAGTAACAGAGATTACTTGTTCATACAGTGTATAATCTTTCCAGTTTTTTTTTTTTTTTTTTTTTCTTTTTTTTTTTTTTTTTTTTTTTTTTTCATTCATTCATTCATTCTTTTTTAACACATAATATGAATCAATGAAAAGTCAATTACTGACCTATTATAATTTAGCAGGGGCATCCTCTAGGTAGTTATCAATTATGGTTGTCTGGACGGAGTATAAATTGCCGAATTTTGCCTTTCCCCCACTCCCGCGCGCCCCATTCCCATTCCCGGCGAAGATCTGGGGTCATCGGTTGGTGCCACGATTATGCCTTTTAGTTTGATGGAGTTCCGCACATGCACGTACGTACATACTGTGCGTACATACCATACAGGTAGTTGCTGCTGCGTTGGTCACCGTTGTTGGATCACGAAAGCCGCTCGGCTGAGCGGGGGTGAGGGGACCCGAGAGGAATGCTAGGCGTTGATCCGCGATTCGCTATCTTCATTTCACCCCGCTGCGGCCAGCATGGAAGGATGTTGCGATGCAGATGAAATTGCGGCCCAAAGGCATTCAGGTGGTGTGAACATTTTATCAGATCCGATGACTTACGCCGCGTATGGATGGGGAATTAGCCTTTTGGGCGGGCGGGTTTAGTTGGTTCCAAGGGCCATGCTTGTCTGGTTGACTGCTACCTACCAGGAACCATGGATGGTTGCTTGTTTGGTGTTTATTTATTTGGTGTTTATTTATTTGGTGTTTCTTCTGTTTTGGATTTTGAGATGGATCGAGGGTTATATTTTTGTGCTGGCAGCCTCAGGTACTCAGGGGCGATGATGATGGTGATGATAGTAGATGTCTCTGTCTGGGCCGGCAGAAATGAAGCTGCTGGTCTGAATCAATAGACCCTTAACTACTTTAACTAAACTTCAACTAAATACTTAACTAGTTAGCACACCCACCCGCCCACGTAGGGAGGGAGGGTGGAGTGATGGAATGGCTCGGATGGAATATTCCCAAAGCCTTGCTGGGGATACCTCAACTTGCACAACAATTGCTAGATAGATCAATTGCCTTTGCTTGTAGAAAGAAAGCTGCTTTTATTCCTGTGTGTTTTTTTATCCGCCGTTGTTTGTTGATGAGAATAATAAATAGGCTCTTAATTAAATATTTGCATCATTAAGTTCACTATTATTGTAACAAACCCTTCACATCCGGTTGAACCATCTGTAAATCTGTAACTATCATCCATAATCTCTCTGTCCATGCAGTGATTCTGTTGAAATTCTCTCTTTATTTTATCCTCAAGAAACCATTAGTTACATATCATATCCCCATCCCATCTTTGCTTTTTCCTTCCTGTCCTCTGCGCCTCCCGTGACTGGCGCTGACACTAATCCGTACTTTGTAGTCCAAGCTGCTGTTTCTCGCCCTTTTTTCCACCCTATTTTTTCTCCTTCTTTCTCCTCTCTCCTCTTCATCTTCCTCCTCTTCTTCTTGTTCTGCTATTCCCTCTTCTATCCACCGCCCTCAAATTCATCCTCCTCCAACCATTGCCCTTATGTACTGGCTCTGACTGGGAACCTCCCCAAAGTCCCAGTCAATTGTCCTCGTCTTGTTCCCTGCACTCCCTCTCTCCCCCTCGTACCCCGACCAAGCTTGGACACCCCCCCCCCCCCCCCCCCCCCTCCCCTAATTAAGTGCTCACAAACTACACCCAAAGGTCCCTCCAATCCCCATAACATGGCATCGATGGAAGAGCCTTTCATTCCGGCTACTGAGCCCTCTTTGCCGGAATCCTCAGTTGATGAGACTGTGGCTACCTCTGCTCCCACCGATGAAAATGAGCCGCCCGCGGAAGAGCCTGCTGAACAGATCCCCTCGAGCCCTGCTCCCGTAAAGGTGAGGACAACAATTGCTGTATCCCCCCGCCAGAAGACTGGCACAAGTGCTGCTCCCAAACGCCCTGGAACTGCTACCACTACCGCTACGAAACGTCCCGCTGGCTTTACATCAACCGTCACTTCTAAGCTAGCCTCTGCCACTACAAGGGGAACCACTGGAAGCACCCTTAATCGACCCCCCACCCGGCCCCCCGTGACATCTACCACCGCTCGCAAGCCAGCATCCACGGCTACTACTACTACAACCCATAGACAACGTGCATCTTTAGGCAGCTCCGCAGATGAGAGAGGCAAATCTATCGCCAGTTCAGGGGATGAAAGCAAACGGGCTGGCATTTCAGCCACGGTGAAGAGGGCCTCTCTCACAAGTTCTGTGTCTTCCAGAGCACCCGCAAGAACTACTTCGGAACGCAGGTCAACAATTACCCCATCGTCCGCCGAAAAGAGACCTACAACAAGTCGTCCATCCACTGCCCAAAGCCCTGCGAAGCCAACCACCACGACTACGCGGGTTTCTGCTACCGCTACTTCCAAGACAGTGGCGCCTACCACCACCTCGCGGACTACAAGACCGATTTCCGGTACTGCTACGAAATCTACGGCTTCTACAACTTCTGAGTCTAAGAGGCGAATGAGTTCCTTGTCGACAACGAAAAAACCGTCCATTGACACCGGCAAACCGGTAGAGAAGAAGCTCATTGCCAAGTCTGCCGCGTTACAGGAAAAGATCAAGGAGTATGAAGCCCTCCGTGAACTGCTGCAGGCAGCAATTGCAGCGGAGGAAGCTGGCAACGACGAGAAACGCGATGAGATTCAGGGTGAGATAGACGGTGATATCGCTCAGCTGAAGGGCAGCTTGGATACTGTCAGGGAAGGCGATGAGTCCACCGGCGCAAGCAAGCTTGCTGAGCTCCAAGCCCGACTTGCAGACAGCGAAGCTAAGGTGGCAGAACTCCAATCACAGCTAGACGATGTTCAATCGAAATTATCCGAAGCCACCAAGCCAACGGAAGGAGAAGCAGATAAATTCTCTACTGCTACAGATCTAATCCGTTCTGAACATGAAGCTAAAGTGCTCGAGCTCACGGAAACTCATGTAGAGGAACTCAATGCTCTGCAGGCGAAACTGGGCGAATCAGAGTCACAGAGGTCGGAGGCGGAATCTCGATTTGTCCAAGAGCTTGAGGCTGCCAGACAGCTAGCGTCTCAGGAAGGTGCCTTGAAGATATCCGAATTGCTCGAACAACAAAAGGAAACCCATGCTGCTGTAGTAGCCGCCCTTGAAGCTGATCTTGCTGCACAACGGGACACTTCTGCTGAGCTGACTGCCCAGATTGTTACCCTGAAAGAGGAGCTGGCCACCCGTACCGCTAGCCTAGAAGAAGCTGCTAAGGCTGCTGCTGAAAAGGAGAAGGCTGCGCTTGCAACCCATCAAGATCAGGTGCTAAGGCTGGAAACGGAGCTGAAAGGCCGTGACGCTGTTATCAAGAGTCTCAAGGACGAAGTGCAGACTATCCAGGATACCAAGGATCGGGAGTTGGCTGCGGCGAATGAAGCTGCCTCTCAAAGCACCGTATTAAAAGAAAACCTTGAAGCTCTTGAGGTTAAGCTAGCGCAGGTAGAGTCTGAGAGTGCCCAAGTCACCCTAACCATGGAAAAACTTGCTGAAAAAGAAGAGGAGATTGCAAAACTAAGCCAGGTCATTGAGACGCTGCAGGATGAGATCAAGGAAGTGCAGCAGGCTAAATCCGAAGAATTGCTCAAACAAGCCGACTTAACCACTGCACATGAGAAGGCTATGGCTGCACTCCAAGCCGAGCATGATTCTGTCCTGGCTAGCGTAACGGCAGAACATGCCGAGGAACTTTCCCAAGCTGTGGAAAAATCTAAAACTGCCACCGACTCGCTCCAGCAGGAGCTGAAAGCGTTAATGGAGAAGTACGATGCTGCTCAAGCCGAAGTTGCGAGCTCAAAGACCCAACTGGAGGATATAGCAAAGGGAGCCAGCGAGGCCCATGCAGCCGAGCTACAATCTCTACAGGAGAAACTAGACGCAACTGAAAAGGCGCTAGAAGAGGTCAAGCATCAGGGTGAAGAAGCAAGCGCTGCCGAGAGGGAATCCAATTCCTCCAGCCTCCGGGAACTTGAGGGTAAAGTACGGACCTTGGAAGAGGAGCTCGCCAAAGGTAGCACTCGAATCAAGGCTCTCGATGACGATCTTCAAGGCGAAAGGGCTCGGGTTGAAGGACTTCGCAAGGGTCTTGAGGCATTCGAAGTAACTACTAAGGACAAGGATGAGTACTACAAGTCTACCATTTCAAGGCTGGAGGTCGCGGTCAACGAAACCAATGATTCCCTCAAGGAAAAGACTGAGCAGCTCGCTAGCTTCGAGGAGAAACATACTGCTACACTTTCAGAGCTCACAGTCGCTCACAGCACAGAAATTGAAGATCTGAGAGCTGAGCTGTCCGGATCGAACGACTCCGCTCTCAAAGAACTACGGGCGAGATACAACGAGCTCGTCGCGTCGAACATTGCCAACGACGCCACCCATGCCACCCAGCTCGAAACCCTCAAAGCCGAACATGCCACCGCCCTTCAGGAACTTGAAGCTAAACTCACACAGCAATTTGAAGATAACAAACTCAAGATCCAGCAAGATGCCGAGGGATCGCATGCGGAGAAACTTGCGGAAATCGAAGCAGGCCAGACCAAGGCGATTGAGGAGTTGCTTGGTGCGCACGAGGAGAAGTTGGCGAGTTTGAGGAGTGAGCATGAAGCTGCGACGAAGGAGAAATTGGCCGCGGTTGAGGAGGCGCATGCTGCTGTCGTTGCGGAGTTGAAGAGGGAGTTAGAGAAGGCGAAGGAGGCTGCTGCTGCTTATATGACAGAGGTTGAGGGCTTGAAGGCACAGATTGCAGCGTTGGGTGAGGAGCATGCTGCGGAACTTTCTAAGGTGCAATCGGATAGTGCCGCTCTACAAAAGGAAGTGGAGGCCGCTAAGAACGACCTCACCGCTGCCGAAGCTGTAAAAGAGGAACTCGCCGCTATCAAACAAAATTTATCTACCGCAGAGAGCGAACTCGGAAGCCAGAAGCAGGCACATGCCCAGGCATTGGCTGATCTTGAAGAATTGAAAGCCGCTGCTGGTGATTCAGATGAGAAGAAGAGCACTGTTGAAGCCAAATTTGCAGCCCTCGAGGAAGATATGAATACTCTAAGCGAGAAAAACATCACCCTTATCCAACAACTACACGAAGCCGAAGCATCCATGTCCAAAGGCAGCCGACGTATCCGGGAGCTGGAGTTCGGACTCGCCGAATCGAGACTCAAGAAGCCAGAATCGGCAAATCTTTCCAACGGCTCGAACGCGAAATCCTCCAGCGGACTAGACGATAGCAAATGGGCAGTTAAGGAAGATGACATGCCTGCTGCGGGCGACGAGCAGGCCGATACTGCCAAGGTACTGCCAGAAGACGCTGGTCCTACCACTACTGAAGGTGAGGACCTCGGTTCTTCTATTGAGGGAACGGTGGGCGTGCCCCGTTTCATTTCTCTTTGTTCGCTTTTCTCGCGCTTTTTGTTTTTGGATATCCGACTTCTGCGTGGCCTTGTCGTCGTCTCTTGGCGGCCTGCTGTTGGGTATTCTTGATCCGCTTCTTAATTGTGTTTTGTTGGGTTTAATATTGCGAGCTTGAGTGCTAGCTATTGCAGGCGTGTTTTGCTTTTTAATCATTTGAAACTTTGATTCATCCGTTTGCTAACTGGAGACTTCTCTCATTCTAGATGGCCAGCATTCGGGAACAGCTCCGCCAGCTTGAGGATGTAAACGAGGGCATGTTCGACGAGAACGCTAGGTATGAGACCTTCTTTCAATTATTTATGAATACTTTTCTTTAGCTCATCTCATACCTCATACCATCTTATGAATTTTCTTTTTCTTTTCCATTTTGTCGACAACCTACACTCTCCTATTGTCCCAATATCTAACCTACAATACCCCAAACGCCGTAGAATTGTGGACATGCTTTCCAAAGTCGGCCAGGATCCTACACCGCCAACCCCAGGCACACCCACCCCATCCAACAACGACAACAACAAGTTCAAACCCGTAACCGACGTGACCATCGAAGCCGTTGAAGCCACCTCGTAAGCAAACGTATATGAGATCAAACAAAGAAAAGGAAAAAAAAAAACTAAAAAAAAAAGAAAACATTTATATCACTATTCATCACTATGCACCGCACCGCGTCGCTCATTCGCTACGGCTACATAACTCTCCGCCCGTGCATGATATGATATCCGTTTTTATCATCTCCTTTTCATTCTCCCCCACCTCGCCCCGCCTCCTACATCAACCTGGACCATTATTATTATTTCACTGCCAGATGAGGCTGGCGGGGTAATATACACCCAAGCGGCCCCTTTCCCTTCATGATGGATGATGTTTGAAAACTAACTGTGTGATGCGTGCATAATGGATGATGGGTGTGGATTTTATTTTCACTTTGATTTTTATTCAACTTATTGCCTGTTTGATGTTGCCTGGGGCGAAGGTGTATTTTCTCCGAGAGCGGATAAATATGTATGAACGAAAACTATTTTGTCAATGTGTATGCCCCTGTGCTTGTTTGCGCGGCATCCAACCCCTATATTCTAGTGCTTTTTTTTTTTTTTTTTTTTTTTTTTTTTTTTTTTTTTTTTTTTCCCAAACAGTCGTTGATATCCCCATAACCCCGTTTATCTTTATGTCCTCCAAAATCTCCCGGCACCTTTTACACTTTTTGTACGTGTCGTTCACGGGTATAGTAATTTCTATTCCTCTTTCCCGCCGGCTTACCTCCCCTGTGTCTCTGTCACGGATTTATGTACCGGATAGAAAGACTCCGTTGCTGCTGTTGTTGATGTTTATTTTTGAGATATCTTCTTGTTCTTCTTTCTTCTCTTCTTTTTTTCCTTTTCCCCTTTTCCTTTTATTTTCATTTGTTTCCTAAATGTTTCTTGATCTCTATTCCCCATTTCCTGCTGATATTTTACCTTTTAATTAATTGTATCTGATTTATTTTTTCCTTATTTTTCCTAATATATCTTCTATGCTTTCTTATTTACGACCATCAATTTTACTCTATTGTTCCACTTACATACTAGTTCCTGCTTCTACCTCTGCTTCTTCTTCTGCTTCTGCTTCACTTTTGGAATACCGGTTTGGTTTCTGCTTGTGTACGTGTGCTCTCGGCAAATCCACGTCTTGGGAAGCGACAAATCTAAAGCGCGTGCTTTTCTCTCCCCTCTACTGAAGTTTTTTAGCAAGATAACCCTGGCAAATTGACGTATTGGTTGGTTCATGGGAGACGTGAAATTGTTGCAATTCAATTCAATCGAAATTTACAGGCAGTTAATTAAAAGATGAGACAAGGGTTAGAATAGATGCTTGTAAATCGATCCTCTTCCTTCTCCCCCTTTTCAGATCCCCCTGCCCTCTCGTCCCCTCTGTTATTTACTCTCGGCTACCAAGCATCTATTCCGCGCCCAGTCAGGAGATAATCAATCAATAGTCGCGATAAGACCGTGCCCCTGTTGCAAGAAAAAGATGGTCGGTTCGCTTAGACGGGCTGAACTAGCATTCTTAGTCGCTCGCGGGGAGGAGAGGAAGAACCAAAGCAAGCCAGAAAAGCCGCTATGACGGCGTTGGCTGAAAGGAGTGGCTGGAAGAAATAATAATAATAAGAAAAAGAAATAAGAAATAAGAAAAAGAAAAGAAAAGAAAAGAAAAGAAAAGAAAAGAAAAGAAAAGAAAAGAAAAGAAAAAACAAATCTTCCTTTGACTGAGGCATATAAAAATGTGTGTAAACTGATAAAAATACAAGAGTGATGTAAAGACATTATTATACTAATGTACAGTTATTTTGCTGTAAACAAGGTTTGTCACATCACAATCACCATCATATTCATAGACAACAACTAGCCCGCGTCCATTCGCAGCATACTCCGTACAGAGTACATTATTCACGGATATCAACACGTATGGATCCGTGCATCCAATAAAAACATGCTCTGACGACGCCGCAACCACAACTGAACCTGCACAGAGACAAAGAGAGCAGAAGCAAAGCAAAGAAAAGGCGTGAGTACTTCGTAAATAGGAAGACAACAGGACACGCCTACAACACACACACACACACACACGCGCGCCGTTCAACCCGACCTCAGACCTCCCCGAGGAGGATACCGATTCTATCCCCGCCCTTCAATCTTCAATCTTCAATCTTCAATCTTCAACCCCCCTCGCAATTCGATCTCCACCACTTCTCTTCTATTATTATTCGTTCCACCATCGTGCACGTTCTTCAGCATCCGTCTCGTCTCCACCGGGGCTCGGTTCCCATCCTGGTTTGCATGTGCTTTGACCGACCAGGGCTAGATCAAACAATAATAAAATACAAATAATTAAAAAAAATAAAATAAAAATACCCTCGCGTGATCCGTCTAATTACCTGAACCCGCCTATATCTCGTCATCCACGCTGCGATCTTATGTACCGTTTGTGATTACATACACTCACCACTGTTACTTTTTGAAGTTGAAAATCGCAATCGCCTTGCTATTTACTCGCGTTGGTTTTTGACTGGGCTTGCCAGGCGATGGAGTGGTTGCTAGAAGGCCGAGTACTACTGCTGCTACCATGACGTGTGAGTTCGCAATACTTCATGCGAAACATCAATATCAAATTGCATTATCAGATGATATCATTAAAAATACACTTTTTCTTTATCTGCTAGTCACTACTCTTAAGCTGAATCTCTTGCAGACAGAGTCTTATAAGATTACCCATTCCTTCAGGAGGCCAGAGTGAGTCGCGGACACGGGTAGGGTTGAGAAAACTGGGATGCGAAAGTACTGACCCATCCCCCCCCCGCCCGCCCTCTCACCGTCTGCGGGTTCACCTAGTTTTCTCTGCTAGAGTAACAGGTCCCAGCTTTGAGCGGTAGGGTGTTCGAATCTGAGCTTCCGGTTCGCGTCGTGGGGTGTGTGTGTGTGTGTGTTAGAGAGGGTGACCAACGGAGATCACAGTTAACCTTTTTGAACTACGAGAAACGGTCCGTACGTACGATCTATAGGCGATACCGTCGAACGAACGAAACGCGTGAGGTAAACGTATCGAATAAGAGAAGGAAAAAAAAAAACATGGTAAAACAATCCCGCCATTCGCGCGTGATGGGAAAAGGGAAAGCGCCCGTGCGTGGGCCAGCCAGGGCGGCAGAGGCAGAGCGGGCATCCGGATCTAGATCGCGCCGAGGCCGGGGACACGACCAGGAACGTGCCGCTCCCGATCCGTCCGGCGAGATCCCGCTCGTTTATCGCGATATGCTGGCGGAATCTGGTGCTGGTGTGGAAGGGCAATCGGGGCGTTCTGGATCCCTAAGCCGTGCAAGTGATGAGAGGCCGGTTAAGAGGAGGAGGGTTGGGGAGAGACGAGCCGGCGGAATTGAGGCGGGGAAAGGAGGAAGAGATGAAAGAGGAGGAGGGGTGGGAGTTTATGTTGGCAAACCGGTTCAGACTGTATATGACGTGGATGTGTCGGATGATGAGGAGGAGATGGCGTGGGAGGATGTCGAGGTCTCCATCGTCACGCCTGCAGCTGCAGCTGCAGCTGCATCCGCGTCTACATCTGCGTCTGCGTCCGGGCTGGGGTATCACGGGGCTGCGGAACAACAGGAGGTAGGGGTGGAGGAGTCTGAAGAGCTGCTACAGATTACGCTTGAGAAGCCGGAGAAAGGGAAACAGCGCGCTGCTGCTGTGAGAAGGAAACCCATCACAGCGCAGGAGAAGAGGTGGCGACTGGATATTCATAAGATGCACGTCTTGTGTCTGCTAGGCCATGTGCAACTGAGGAATTTGTGGTGTAATGATGATAAGGTTCAGGTTCGTATATGAAACTAGATGTTGTGGACTTCTGCAGCTGGTGGAAACCAACTAACAACAAATCTCTTCTCCGTCTAGAATGTGCTGAAGCGACTTCTCTCCAAGCATACGGTCATGTGTCTAAATCCCAAGGAGACCTTACCACAGTTTACGCGCTCGACAACCTTTGCAGATGGTCTGAATCAGGCTACGGAAGCGTTCCGGCGCCATTTCAAAGTAACCGTGCCCGGCATGAAACGGCCATATTGGCTCGAGAATCCAAACGAGTTGAAAGACCCAACTGTGTGTGATAAAAACCATACATTTCTAGTTTCTTCCGAAAATACGCAAAAATATAAAGCTTGACCCCCTGCTAACAAACCCAAAGGGCCTATTAGATACTGCGGAGATATTATCATCCAAAGAAGACTTCCTCAAACAAGCCGTTGCCCTACGAGGATCGAGGGACCTCGGTGCCCAGCTCTTCTGTGCGCTTCTGCGAGCTGTGGGCGTGGATGTGCGACTGGTGTGCTCACTGCAGGTACTCCCATTTGCGGGAGTTGCGAAAGGTATCATGCCCCTGAAACCGGAGCGGGAGTATATTGTCGTCTCTGAGGATGACGGTTCACTAGCCACTCATGGTTCTACAAAGACGCACGAAACGGCCCCGTCGTCACGGATCCGGCGTATTGGGCAACCCCGATTTTCTTCAAGTCCTACGTTCAGCCCTAAACCTAGGCTGCCGACTGGTTAGTTGAAACCCTTTTACGTATTGTCCTATTGAGTCATGGGATAGCTAGTAATAACAAATGATATGAACATATATAGCTTTGCCACGAGCATTTTCAGAGTCTCCCTTCCCCGTATTCTGGGTGGAGGCGTTCAACGAAGCGATGCAAAAATGGGTCCCTGTCGACCCCATCGTGACCAACACCGTGGGGAAACCTTCTAAATTTGAGCCCCCAGCCAGCGACCGCTACAACAATATGAGCTATGTTATCGCTTTCGAAGACGACGCGTCCGCCCGCGACGTCACAAAACGCTACACGAAATCGTTCAACTCCAAGACGAGAAAGCAGCGCGTGGAGTCTACTAAGAACGGCGAGGAATGGTGGGCGCGTACGATGAACTTCTTTGAGAAACCGTTCCTGGATGACCGGGACCAGGTGGAAATCGGCGAATTGACGGCAAAAGTTGCGGCGGAAATGATGCCGAGGAACGTTCAGGATTTCAAGGACCACCCTGTTTATGCGTTGGAGAGACATTTGCGGAGGAATGAAGTTATATTTCCTAGGAGGGAAATTGGGAAAGTTGGGCTCAGTAAGGTATCTACGAACAAGAAAAACCCCCCGCTGGAATCCGTCTATCGGCGCGGGGATGTGCATGTCGTGAAGAGCGCGGATGGGTGGTACCGGCTGGGTCGGGAGGTGAAGGTAGGCGAACAGCCTCTGAAAAGGGTTCCCGTGTCCAGATCCAAAGGAGATCTTGAGCACCGCGAAGAGCTCTCAGACTACGAAGAGGAGGGTCAGGAGACTCCCATGTATGCCATTCACCAAACGGACCTGTACCAACCACCACCCGTCGTCGAGAATCGTGTGACGAAGAATGCCTACGGTAATATTGACGTGTATACGCCTAGCATGGTACCGGAAGGTGGCTTTCACCTTCGACACACGGAAGCCGCAAACGCAGCGAGGATTCTCGGCATTGACTATGCGGACGCGGTGACTGGGTTCCAGTTTAGGGGCAGGCATGGTACTGCTGTTGTGCAAGGGATTGTTGCATCTGTTGAGTATCGCGATGCTCTCTGCGCTGTTCTTGACGCGTTGGAGGACGAGCGGGTGCAGGCTGAGCATGAGAAGCGGACTGCGGAGGCGCTTGGGATGTGGAAGCTGCTGTTACTGAAGCTGAGGGTTGCGGAGCGGGTGAGGAGTTATGCTTTTGAGGGGGAGGGGGACGAGGAGGAAGAGGAAGAGGAAGAGAAAGAGAGGGTTTCGGATGGAGATGAAAGTGATGATATTGAAGGAGGTGGAGGTTTTATTCGCGAAAGCGGTCAGGTGGAGGCCTTGCCCTCACAGAAGGGTTTGCCCCAGTTTGAAGGGGCCTTCGAAGCTGGTGGCTTCATTCCGGAAGGAATAGACGGAGAAGAGGACTCGACAACCACGGGCGGGGGATTTATGCCACCCATCCTAGCCCCTGATGAAGCGGGCTCTTCCACATCTGCCACAGCTATAGGAGGTAACTCTCTCCGACCGCAAGAGAAGTCACGATATACCTTAATAGTGACCCCGAATGCTGCATCTGAAGCACACCTTCCCCAACCTCATACCTCCCCAACTACAACTCCATCACATGCGCAAACAGCGCGGCAACAAACACAGGCCCAACAAACTCATACCCCTCAGCGCCAGCAACCGCAATCGCAATCGCAACTGCAACAGCAACGACCCCCCACAACAACCGCACCAGAGGGCTCTCCCACAGCCCCTATCGCTGTCCCTTCCTCGGGCAGCGACGAGGAGTGTAGCGTAGAGGAGATCTGCGGTGTGCCTGACCTTGTGCACGAAGGGGAATCCGACAGTGAGATTGACCAGAGTTCGATGCTCTCGCATGATCCGGAGGACGAGGATGCGGAGCCTGAGTGGTTGTTCTCTGATTAATTTAATTTAAATACAGGAGCATTAACTGTTTTGTTTTCCTCGGGGTTCTGTTTTGCATTTTCAAGCAGGTTTCGTATTAGTTTTGTATAAATAGGTATATATAACTATCCCCACACTGTTTGTTATACGGTTGCCTGGGTTAGGCTTTGGGATTTGGGATCTGGAATAATATAATATACTTCTGTACGGATGGGGGATTGAGACTTTGGGATAAATACTTTTTTTTTTTATTATTTTTTTTTATTTTTTTTATTTTTTTAATCATCTTTGCCATTTCTTCTTTAGTCCTCGCTTTGCTAAAACTGGCTTTGCTCATGATGGGGGGGATATAACTATCATACATGGCGCTTGTCGGATAGAATTTACCGCATTTTATTCGCTTTGTGCTAGATAAAAAGAGCTGTACGGAGTATGTAGTAGCGGACGGTAGATGCTCATTTAATACTATTTTATTCCTTTTCTTTTGTCTCAAATGCCCCTCTCCCAATTCATAACAATGGATGGTTTGTGAACCAGTTAATTTCTATCTGGTTTTTCAATTGTTGACGTGAGCAGGAGACAACACCTTACGTCATACACGCGTCGTCGCGTCTCTGCAAGTCGTGAAATCACATGACGTAGGCATCAATGTCTCCTTTTCGAGTATTCATCCGGTAGAGCTTTTTTTCCTTTTTCCTTTTTCCGTGTTTCTTTTTATTTTTCTTTGCGAGTAAAAGAAAAGAAAGTTAAAAAGATGCCACCGAAGAAAAATAGTCTGAAAAACCCGACCCGACCCGACGAACCCGACAAGCACGTTCTCAAGACAACCCACCAGAGGACTAAACAACAGGCAAGACGAGCACGTCCAGCAACTAAATCAAGAATTAATCGCGAACGGCAACATAGGCTGGCCTTGGGAGGGAACACGCGCAGCCAGAACACCCTGACCCAAATTGATTTTGTGAAACGGGCGCAGGCATTGCTGGCACTTGATGATGAACATGAGGATGACGGGTTGGAGCTAGAGTATATTGATAGGGATAATTGGGATGGAGAGTATGGCGAATCTGGCCAATCGTCAAAACGGAGAAAGGGAAGCGGGAAGAGGGATAGCACTGGAAAGAAGAGTGGTATTGCTGGGAGGAAGGAGGTGGATGAGACTGATGGAGAGGATGATGACAGGACTCTGACCCAGATGGGTTATGTTATGAGGTCTAGTGGTTGGGACTGTGATGGAGGAACACGCCACTTGCATGCTGGGTTGGGCAAGAGGAAGGGCGTGCCCCTGATGGAGACTATTGGAGAGGAGCTAGAAGCTGAGATGGGTGATGAAACTCTTCAAAAGATCAGCACAAACTGTGACAGCCATATTGGCAGACGAAGCAAGAAAAGAAAGGCTTCGGAGGCGAATATTGAAGGCTATCCTTCGCAAATTGTGCATCCTCCTCCCCTCAACTCTGGAGCCGATATATCAGCAGCAGGACCTGTGACGCCACGGAGACCAATCAGACTGGTAGTTCCTTCATCACAATCACCAGACAGTCCAGATCTGATAATCTCCCCACGGACATTCAAGGAGCCTCCGCCTAAATTTCCACTTGCGCCGTTACCTCATAATGTGACGCCAAAGAAAGCTACATCTCCCCTGAAAAATGAATATAAAACTTCCAGCCGTGTCTCGCGAACGACGCCTTACGAAATCCCCGAGTCCTCTTTTTACTCTGCTGGCACTTGTTCTTCTTCTCGCAGTTGCCCAGAGGAGTCAGTAATCGGGCATGAAACTACACCTACTACATCTCCTCCACTGGTGTTTGAAGAGGACTCGAATACGAAGCTCCCAACCTCATCGCATGATTTACAAAATAAAATAAGGACAGAAGGCCAGGAGATAGGACCCGGGGATCCTGACACGACTGTCCGTGATGCAGAAAAGTCAAAGAACAGGGTGATATATGAAACGGACGCAGAAACAGAGGACGAGGAGGTCTACGACTCTATATTTCACATTTCAGGCAACGACCACGATTCCTGGCGGACGCAAAGTCAACTATTTCATAACTGCAGATCGGGCAACGATGATGGTGATGGTGATGATAACACTCTACGTGAACTCCCGACTCAATACCGTAACTTAGGCCCGGAAACATGTCACACCCTTCCTGAGAATACTCTTGGATCCGAGCCGTCGATACTCTATTACCGCAAACCCATGAGCTTAGCGTTTGATCCGGGCTCTGAGCTCGACAATATCGATACACAGAGGCTGGCTGAGCTATTTCCAGCCGTCGAGGCAGAAAACGAGGAATGCGCAATCTCTCCACTTTCTACCATTCCCGAGGAAGAACATGAATCTCAACAGGGAAAGGGAGAAGATGATACCACATCAAAACCCGCCGAGAATAGCCAGACGAACCTTGTCATGAATTCACAACCGGCTCAGCATCTGAACACTGCAATAGAGGGAAATATTCCTCCCCCGTCGTCACCACCCGTGGTGCTAGTTGCGTCCTCACAGCAAAGTGACGTTGGCGATGCAGAGCCGGACCAGATTGCTTGCGGAGATTCGCAGATTGGATGCCAGGGCCTTGTGACCGCAAGCCAATTGTTGACAGATAGCATGATGGAGAGCGTTCCTGGTCCGCCTATTTGGATGTCCAGCCAACATCTCTCACAGGAGGAGCAAGAAGATACGGGTTGAGACGTAGCGGTTAAAATTTTTAGCATGGCTTAGGCTTTATCTTTTCGCGCAGTGGGTGTTGAGATATCTGTAAACTATTTTTTAATTGGGATAAGTTGGCTGGGAATTTTGGGGCTCAGTTATTTAGTCATTCTGGTTTGAATTATTAGATACACACGTTTCAAATAATTTATTACAGCTGCCATGTCATGTCTATCCCGCCCCTTTTTTCCTGTTCGGCATCACGTGGAATTGCCACAGCAGGCATTCCCGTCTCCCGTAGTAAAGCGTCACTCCAAACGCCAAAGAGCCGCGGACTTGATCGACGACATCTTTGGCTATGGGTGAAACAGACTCATAAACTTCCGGGCTACGAGAGTTCTGACCGTAATGATATTTAGCCTCAGTTGACTGGAGGTTTAGCAACCCCCTGTTCGAATATCCAACAGCTATTTCTAGTCAAGTCCAGTCTCGGAATCTCCCGACTCCTCAGCCCATCTATGAAACCATCGCCATGGATGTAGCTTACGACCATATCCAGGAGGAGATCCTCACCTCCCACGACACCAACAATAACCAAGAAAATGACCCCTCGAGGCAGGAAGCTGGCTCGAGCAACGCCGATGCATCCGCTCACTCTTCTCAACGCCCCAATCTCGACTTAGGGGCCGAATTCCAAGAAACATTCCGCGCCTTCTCTTCAAATCCCTGGGGCGCCCGTCTAGGTGGGCTATGGGGTAATGTCCGCAAACAGGGAGAAACTTACTACCAAGGAGCGCGCCAGGAGTACGAGGCCGCAAGCGAGGAAGCCATTAAAGGCTTTACGGATCTAAGAGCTACTATCGTGGGACGAACTAGAGGGCTATCAACAGGAGGGGCATTGAAAAGCGAGGAGGATGCCAGCGATGGAACGGGACAAAAGGGGAAAGATAAGGAAAATGAAGGTGACAAAGAGGGTGACCCCTCAGCGCCTACAGCACCGGGTGCGGAAAAGGACAAGCTTGACGACGAAACGGATGAAGAGGGGATCATTTCTCGCTTCCGCAGCGAGGCTGCGAAGCGATTGAAGGATATAGAGAAAGCAGAGGACGCGGCAGATGAAGCACTACTGCGTTTCGGGACCAACATCCGTAATTTCCTTCGTGATGCTGTAAGCATTGCACCCCCTGAGGGGACCAAGGATGATGAGAAGGTTCTCTTCGAGAGCAAGGACGTTGATGGGAAGAGGGTTATCCATACCACGCGATTTGAGGCGCAACTCCATGCTGTCCATTCGAACCTTGACCGGCTATCGCAGGATCCCGTTAGCGCCGAGTGGTCTAGTTGGAAAAATGAGTTCAAGGTTGATAGCAAGACTAACGAGATCGCGAGCGATCTGGAGACATATCCTGAGCTGCGGAGGGCGATGGAAGCACTGGTTCCCGAGAAGGTCGAGTATGCTGATTTCTGGTGCCGGTACTACTTCCTCCGTCTGGTTATTGAGACGGAGGAGAAGAAGCGGAGAGAGATGTTGAAAGGTGTGTCCGCTGTATCTCGTGTCTTTTACTATGTCTTCTAACCACCTGCCATGTTGCTAACGCATCCACACAGGCGCATCCACTGTCGTCGACGACGAAGAAGTAGCCTGGGACGAAGACTCCGACTCCGAATCCGACTCACCCTCTACCCCTCAAGTTACCGTCGACAAAGCTGCTGGCGCCGGGCCCACGTCAGATTCGCCAGCTACTATGTCAGCTTCACGTCTCTCATCCGGTAATGATACATTAAGGGTTGCTGAGCCCCGTTGTTCTAACGATCAACAATCACAAGCCGACAGCGATGCCAGCTACGACGTTGTCAGCGGCGCTCCAAGCCGCGCCCCGAATAGTCCCCGGGAGAGCGGGATGCCAGCGCCAACTTCCTCGTCTGCCGCCAAGGCTGACGATGATAGCGACGAGGAAGACTGGGAGTAAGAAAGAAAGCTGTTTGTCCTGGTGTGAGCGCAGGGCTTGATGTTTGCTTTTAAATTTGGCTGGCGCTTTTGTGGACTAGATGCACTCTCTCCTCGGCCTGGGTAGCCTACTTGATTGATTATACCTGTCGCGCCGGTTATCTTCCTTTCGCCAAGATAATGGTATGAATTGGATGTCGCACCATTACCACAGGATCATTGTATGTGTGCAGGAAGCACTCTGCGCGGGGAATATTGGTTTTTATCTTCTTTCTTTTTTCCACTCGCTCCGATTGTCATGTCCCTTAACCCATTTATTTCCCCATCTACCTGGCTTTTCTTTTTTCTGTACGTTTTACTTTTGGGAATTGGCGTTATGTGTCCTTCACTTGAATTCCTTTCGAGATTTTCGTTTAATGTACATACCTTACTGAATATTATTATATCGGGCGTAGAGTTTTGTGGTGGTAATCCGATCCAAATGTTGGCTTTTCTTTCCCGAATGCGATGAAACCATTATTATTATTATTTTTCTATTGTCTCTTTGATGCAATTCGTCCTCGTTTTCGGTTTGAGGAGTTAAACTTCATAACCTACACGGTTGAGCTAGGCGTTTTATTGATAGATTGTTTCAGCTCATGGCTCTAATAATAAAAATTTAAACCCTACGAGTTGTACCATATTTCGAGGTAGGTTAACCCGTACATCTGCTTGATGTTCCGCCTAGCCATGATCTCCATTCAGCAGCTTCATGCCCCCTAGTAAGTTGATATGGTAAATCAAAATATATAGCTTTTCAACGATCTATCCAGCTACGCTACAGCGGAAACGTACGGTACAGATCCCACACTACGGGATAGGAAAGCTAGAATGCTCCAGGATCTAGAGAAAAACGCTTGCATAAACACTCGTTCAATTCATTACCGTATAGTTATCTCAATTTCCTTCCATTTTATCAGTACAAAACAAGCAAAAACCGAACACCGCTTAACTAACCACCTGACCCTTCTTTTGAATTTGCTCGTGTCGAACCGGGACTAGCACCTAGCTCTTCATCCTTCTGTCCCGTCACCGGGCGGACCAACTGACGGCTCTCTTTCCGTTGCGGCTGTTGCCTTCTGAGTGTCGCAGGTCGCCAACCCCCCTGGGGGGGAGGGCGAATGGACGGTGAAGCTGGCGCTGACGAATCGATAGGACCTTCTAGCGGCGTTATCGAACGACGAGACGACCTCCTGCGCCCATCAAACTGTTGAATTTCACTGGGTGACCCCAGGTATGGGCTGTTAAGTGGGGAAGTCCATCCAGCCGCTCGGGGACTCAACGCTGCGGGGCTACGAGTTGACTGTATCGGCCCTTGCTCATACTCAGAGTCCGCACCGTTGTTTTGGTATTGGTATTCCTCGCCATGTCGCTTCAGGGGACTTTCGTTGTATGGGTCCCAGCCAACTTTACGGCGAGCTTCGGTGCGCACGCGTTGGCGGTGGTGTTCGTCACCGCCTGCGCCAGTTGCGGAGGACTCTTCCAGGAAGAAGTTGAGAAGTTCATCGGTGATGGAGAGGTGGGATTGTTGCTGAAATTGTTGGAGGGACGTTAGGCGGAGGAGTGTTTCGAGGAGGGAAAGGGAGGTACGGATGTTGTTGAAGAGGGGGTGAGTAAGGGTGGATTGCTGGTTGGGTAGTTGTGGCGATGGCTGGGGTGCCACTTGCCGCTGTGGAGTGGGTGTTAGCGATGGGGAGGACGTTGATTTGTCTTCTGTGCGTAGGTGAAGATGTGCCATTTTTTCCGATATTTGCGGGTCTACAGATTTGGAACGGGAATTGTGAGTTGAGCTTGAGGCTGCGGTTGATGAAGGGGCGGGAGGCTCCGGCTCGGATTCCGCTTCGGTTTCGGAGTCCGAATCGTCACTTTCGTCGTGGACTTCAAATGCAATCCACTCGAGGTCTAGGCCTGGTGGAAATTTGTATTGCTGAGACTCATTTGGGTCGTATTGGTGAGTGGGTGATGGAGAATCTCCTCCTAAAAGCTGTGCGTCAAGCTGAGATTGTTCCTCATCTTCTGAGCTTTCACTTGTTTCCTCATCTCCAAACTTGTCGAAATCAGCGTCCCGTTGATCCATCATGCGTCTAGGAGGGATAGCATTGATGTCCCTTTTCAAAAGCAGTACAGGATTGTTCGTCTCTCCTTCACTTCCAATATTAAGAATCTTGCCAGTATCAGCGTAGAAGATCTTCGAAATCTCATGAATAGGCACTATCTCCCTGATCCCCGCAAGCGCAACATCTTCATAACTGCTAACATTTTCAATATCGGTATGTACACGACCATCATCGAGGTCTTCGATAATGAGGAATTGGTATGCAAATTCATCTATCCTGGCTTCTCCACGAATATTTCTCGTACTAGACCGTTCGTGTAGATGATGTGGGTTCGCATATGATGAAAATATCATATCCATAGGCACACGCCGTACCTTAACCCTCGCTTTGTGGATTACCTCCTTCCAAGTAGTATTTCGGACACTCTCTTCATCCACAGGACGAATATGCCCTGAAAACAGCATGTACACTGATAGCGTAAATGTCGGGCCAATTTGCACGGGCTGCGATGGGGACATGGAGTATTGTGTATCCCCGCTGGTTAAAAATGTACTAGCCTGGAGTAATCGTGATGGCGATACCGTAGCGGGTAGGGATGTTGACAAACTAGCTCCAGAAGTTGTAATGGCAAGGTTTATTAGGGGAACTGCATCTTCAATTCTCTGAAGAAGATTTCGGATATCCTTGATAATAAATTTGATCTCGTCATCGAGTTTTGCGCGGCTTTTGGATTGAATTGCTCCTTGTCGATACAATTCTTCCAAAGAAACAGCTTTCGATAGCCGCTCACCAAGGCGTTGAATATCCCACCTTAAAGCCTTGGTAAGTGCTAATGCAGATTCAAGAGAGGTATTACCACGGGCAGCTCTGGAATCATGTTAATACTAAGAGAATGTCGCATTGGAAGAGAACCTTACATCAATTCAATCATGTCGATGGCTGGCGATATTATCTAATGATGATACAATATCAACAATCAAGACTTCCTCTTCAGAACCGCGTAAATGAAATGTTCAACAACAAAGGTAAACGGATTCAAAATAAAAGGGCTTCGTACTTTTATTTTGTTCTGCAAACGGTCCTGGAGAGTTTGCAGTTCTGCTCGTTCAGAATCGCTAACAGTCTGCTGAACAGTTAGCGGGTTGCAGGAGGCGACGCTGGAAACACAACAGATCCATACCTTCAGCAGCTTGGAGGACTGTCGGATGGCATATCCAGCAGTAATGGTGATTCCCGACCTTGAGTAGATCAGCAAACCGTCGTATTGATATAAAATGGAAAAGGTAAAAACAAGCCTCCTACCGGATTGCATAGTTCATTGCCTGCTGCGTCACCTGTTCGTACCCAGTCAGTTGATCTATGATGGAATCCAGGATAAGGGTTCAAGTCTCCTTCATACCTTTGAAAGAAATACGTCCATTGTCGGGAAAGAAGCTGCCGTAATATTGAACTTTCTAGGCAGATGAATACTACTACCACTATCGACTCATGTACGCGCGGATAACAAGATTGACTGAGAGATTGGGTTTCGACGAGTAGAGAGAATATAGTACAATGGAAGTTTCTCATGATCTAAAGCTGCTATACAGATGTATTGTCAGTTCGCTTGCCAGCACCATGATGGACGGAGAATACACAACGGCCGAATGCATCAGAGGAGTTAGTCTATTGGCCTCTTGATAGACAGATGTTTGTTCTTAGGCCCAAACTGCCTGATTTGGGCTGTTAACGGAAAGGGGCGTGCCAAGCCCACGTGCGCCCACGCGACTTGCCGACGTCATCTTCAGACGCGATTAACGCTGGAGATGCTAGCTAGGCTTGGATAGGTTTAGTGGCTTGTGCCTAAAATTCAACCTCCCCCTCAGTGACTCTGCACAACTCCAGTACCACCTGTCGCCGTCCCCAATTCTGTCGACATTGGGATATATAGAGGCATACTATAGTATTTATATTGTGCTTTCCTTCGTTATAGAGATCAGACCTCGTGCTCTCGTCCAGCCACCATGTCGAACAAACCGCTGGACTCGTGGGAAGATGACCCCGCTGCCCAAGACGACAACCTATCTCGACAGGCCCAACAGAGTCTAAACTTGAATAATCAACAGCAGCAGTCATCCTTCCGTCCTGGAGCTTCGTCATTCCAGCCAAGTGCTGCCGCGTTCCAACCAGGCCAACAGTACCAGCAATACGGATACCAACAATATGGCCAGGGCTTACCGCAACAAGGGTATGGGGCCTATCAGCAACAGCCGTACGGTCAGTATAACCAAGGTTATGGCCAGGCCTATGGTCAGCAATATGGAGGCTACAATCAAAATTCTGGAGGGCCTCAGCAAGCCCAACAGCAGCAACAATGGCGTCCACAGTCTGTTGCTGAACGTCCTCAAGCTGGTGCTCCTGTCGCCGCGAAACAAACTCCTGCAGCGTCGAAACCGGCAACTACTACTCCTGCCTCTCAGCCGCCAAAGGCCAAGGTCCTGTCGATCGGTGGCGACGCTATGAAATCCAAAACTCCAAATCCATCCGCAGCCGCCACACCCACTCCACCTTCTTCGGATACTCCAGCCAGCGGTTTACGGAATGCAAATGGGCCAGCTGCAGCTACGGCCGCGTCGAAGGTTACCGCCGCGAAAGCTATTGAAAAAACAGAGAAGAAGTCCGCTGGTAGCGGCAAGACTTCACCTACACCTTCTTCCGGACGGTCTTCTCCTTCACGGGCTGCTGAGGCCAGGGCTGCAATTCGCGACGCAGACGCGGTCGTCAAAGAACAGGCAGCCGATGTCGATGAATCTACACTCAGAGAAATTTATGGTGACAAACGCGAACATGTCAACTTGATTTTCATTGGTCACGTTGACGCAGGCAAATCAACTTTGGGTGGAAGCATCTTGTATGCAACTGGTATGGTGGATGAACGGACAATGGATAAATACAAAAGGGAGGCCAAAGACGCCGGACGTGAGACGTGGTACCTTTCATGGGCTCTGGACTTGACAAATGAAGAAAGATCCAAGGGAAAAACTGTGGAGGTTGGACGGGCTTTCTTCAAGACCTCAGGCAATACTCCTGATGGCCCGGTGGAGCGCCATTATACTATTCTGGATGCTCCTGGTCATAAATCCTTCGTCCCTAACATGATTGGTGGTGCATCCCAGGCAGATGTTGGCATCCTTGTGATCTCTGCAAGAAAGGGTGAATACGAAACCGGTTTCGAGCGAGGTGGTCAGACCCGCGAGCACGCACTATTGGCTCGAAACTCCGGTGTGAAAAAGTTGATTGTTGCCGTCAACAAAATGGATGACCCAACTGTTGAATGGAGTAAAGCACGATACGATGAATGTACAACGAAGATTGGCAAGTTCCTTCAAGCCATGGGCTATACCAAATCAGATCTCCACTTCATGCCCATCTCTGCGCAGAAGACTATTGGTATTGACAAGCCCGTCCCCAAGGAGCTTGCGCCTTGGTTCGAAGGCCGTGGCCTGCTCGACTTCCTCCACAACATGAAAATGCCCGAGCGTAAAATAAACGCGCCCTTGATGATGCCCATCAGCGCAAAGTACCGGGATATGGGTACGGTTGTTGAAGGGCGAATTGAGTCTGGTGTAATAAAGAAAGGCACCACCTACATGATGATGCCCAACCACGAGGAGGTCACGGTTACTGCGTTGTACGGTGAAACGGAAGACGAGCTTCCTATGGCGACTTGCGGCGATCAAGTCCGTGTTCGGCTTCGGGGTGTTGAAGAAGAAGATGTTATGCCAGGCTTTGTTTTGTGCTCTGCCAAAAGACCAATCCACTGTGTTTCTGCTTTCGAGGCCAAAATTAGAATTCTGGATCTTAAGAGCATTCTCACGGCTGGCTTCAACTGCGTCCTCCATGTCCACGCTGCTATCGAAGAAGTGACTTTCGCTGCCCTGCTGCACAAACTTGAGAAGGATACAGGCAGGAAGAGCAAGAAGCCACCGGCATTCGCCAGCAAAGGCCAAACAATCATTGCTCGAATAGAGACTATTGGAGGGGCTGGAGCTGTTTGCGTTGAAAGATTTGAGGACTATAACCAGCTCGGTCGGTTCACGCTTCGTGATCAGGTAAAATACCCCAACTACGTGCATTTTCCAGACCCATTGTTTGAATTATCGCTGACTTGTGTTTTCTAGGGACAAACTATTGCCATTGGCATGATTACCAAGCTGATCACAAACGAGCCATCATCAGCAGCGTAAAGTAGATTCACGTTTCAAAAGGGATAGCTATTTTGTTTTTTCCTTTCGTTGGTTTTTTGGTCGGGAGGTTCCACCAGCGGACAGCTGAGGAAAGAGATGGGCGATTTTCATGAGTGGGAAATGCATTGAATGTGGTGGCACGGCACTGGAATAATGCATTTGATACCATGACATGACCAACTTCTAGACTATTTTACGATTTCCTTTTGTCAACCTTGTTCTTTATATAGGTTATCTTTAACATAAAAAAAATGGGGCCAGTGAAATACGGATACAAAATGATTTATCACAGGGGCAGCTCGCTAATCGCGCACTTTCTCAAAGTCATCAGTCATGGCTTGCATTTCTATTTCGTAACTATCCATGTAAAACTTTTCCTGAAGTATTGAACAAACAACAAATGAACACTATAAACGCCCTCGATGCTAACCGCAATTCCCAGGTAATCTAGCAGGGAAGATATGTGAATCATAAAGACCAGAGACATATATGCCAGAGAAATAAAAGGGGGGAATCCATCATCGCCTTCTCTTCGAAACGACTTTTGTAAACCCATCCTCATCAACCAAAGGCTCGGGCAAGAACTTTCCTCGCTCCCATTGCCCGTCTATTCCCCTCCTCGTTTCCTTCGGGGCCTCATATCTGGGTGTTTCAATGTTCGGGGTGTCATTATTTGATGGCGCGACTGGCACCTGCGCATCCTCCATCTCAACATCATCCGCCCAGTCCCCAACTCCACTCTCGTCGTCATCTTCATCCTCGTCCTCATCCTCATGCCCATTAACCTCCACCTTCGTAAAAGTTCCAGCACTAGCACCAGCGGCACCCCCCTTCGCCTTCCACTCGTCCCACATCCTTGTCACCCCTGTAAAGTCCCCCTTCTGCGTTTCCGTTCTGATCTCCATGATCCTGCGTCCAATATCGCCCGCACTCTCATCGTCAACGACGACATCAAACTCGTCGTTCATCACTTGTATCAGGACATCCTCAATATCTTCCGCGTCGGTCTCCGGCCGGTCAACGAAGAGTTGTGAGATAGCACCGCAGAGCCAGTCGCGTTTGTCGCTGGAAGAGGGTCCGCCCCAGGCGCTTTGCACAGCGAGGTTGAGCGCTGGCCAGGAATTGAGGATTAGGGTAATGCCTAGATCGAATTGGGCGGCGGGGTCTATATTCCCGGCTTGTTCTTGTTTCTTCTCGAGTGGCTGTTGTGTGGAGGGGTTTGCAGCCATGGTTATTAGTGGATTTGGTTGATGTTGGATATGGAAATTATTGACGGAACGTCTTTTTTCTTCTTGAGCTAAAATATTAAAATGAGCCTTATTGAGAAGATAATGGTTTCTTGTTGCTTTAGATGTGATTAAAGAGAATGTGTGTAATTTCGTTTTGGTAGATGGTGCTGAAGTACTTGCGGAGTTTGGAAAAAATATTTTGCTCTGGAAATTTAACTTTCTGGTGTTGCTGCCAAGACCGCTTATTTATCATACATAGTGGAGCATATGATCAGAAACGAGCGGCTACGGGTGATCTGGTGAACCTGGAAGGAAAAATGCAACCAAGTGGAACACAAGACTAGTAAACGTCCTACCTAATTGTTTGGGTATGAACTCATCTTAGATCGAAGAGTGTACTCCGCATATCACTCAGAAATATCTTTGGCCACTTAGAAATACGTTATTTTCCATCTAGTTTTAACAAACTAGCCCCTAGCAAGGAGAAATGATATTTTCCCTCAGCATATCGAAGACAAAGACCGGATGCTGGTCCTACAGAACAGGATTTAAAGACAGTATCTGTTGATGTCTCCAGGAGGAAGAATTCAAACTTATACGGGTGTTTTCACAATGAGACATGGATGACAGCTGTTGGTTTGTTCGACCCTTTAGCAGCTTCGAGGTTCCTGGTTGATCATCTGATTGAAAATCATTATCCCATTCATTAGGATCGAGGATGAAGAAGCGCTCAAACAAATATTTATCCGACTTCCGGGACCTAATAGTTAGAAGTGTAGATAGGCCAATAATGGCACCGAAATATATTCACCTTAGTCTTCTCACAAACAAGTTGCAGATACATCCGCCTATCACACTCCGGAGGCGACATCGATGCTCAAATTGTGGAACTTCCCAAGAAAGTGTTTTGGATATCAAATCAGTTAGTTCAACCCGAATCCATGGACTGAATGTGCCATTTCAACATCAGTCTGTGATTAGACATTTCATTGAAGACCTTCTCAAACGCAATGGGTATCAAGATCTAAGATGATATACGATTACCGTTGATAACGTTGAAAATTCTGGAGGCTCAGCCCAATGGAAGTTAGCATTGCAGAATAACCGCACAGGGAAAAAATTTGGTTCCTGATCTGAGAGGCACCCCGACGCTGTCTGTGTGGCAAAATGTCACTATAATCTTCCATTTTCCCTTGGTTATTATTATTATTATTCTTCCATTATACTCATATGCAAGCGGAGCTTATGATGAGTCCTTGCGTGATGTTAAATACAGGTCAAGTGTTGGTTATACAGGAGGAAATACAGGTGTTGAGACCACGCCAAGATAACAAGAACATAGGAAAATACAAAGGAGTGACAATTAGATACATGCGATAATAACTTCCCAGCCCAGGAACATAGAGCGATTCATTGGAGCGATTTGTACACCTCTGTATTTATTAGGAACCTGAGGTGCTTGGGTTCCGGATTTAATGTATCCCCTGCGGGTTTCGAACCCACGCGCCTTGGTTTCCCACGCCAAGGCGCTACCAGGTGGCCGCATTAACCATTCGGCCACCGGGGAATTTTCCCTTGGTAGTATTAGTGGTCCTTCTGAGCTTGCACCGGATATACTGGTATGTTTATCCAAGATAACAAATAGAGGGTGGTCGTGTTGGAGCCTCAGTGCCCGCAGCCAGGTCGACATTGTTGAGGCGCCTGTGGTCTGTCCCGTTTTGCATCAAGCGTTGACCATATCATACTTGGTGCCAGATATATGGAGCTCGCCAATTTTATTGTACAGTACATACCCATGAGGAACAACCGTGTTCCAGGCTCATACCCATATGTTCCATGAAGGTGATCCATCATTAGCCTTCATTGGGGAGGTGAGAAATTTCACACTAAATTGCCCATCGACGCCTCTTGCGGCTCGGGTATTCACGGGCAATGCACAGTTTCCACTCTTGAGAGCGCAAAGGAAACGGCAAACAGATCGCATGGTTTACAAAGGGTGGTAGTTTCGCTTTCGCTACCCGAGTGCCAGGGTTAGGAGGGCATTTCAACTTCGTCAGGAATTGGACGAAGAGACCAGGAATAGCAAACAGAGAGGGGTAACCAAAGTTTGATCCTGAATGGAGAATTACTTTGAGGAAGCGGGCCGCGGGCAAGCAAATTGGCTGCTGTGCAACTAGGGAAAAAATTAGCTTTCGCGCCGCATTGATTTCTGCTTTGTTGAATGCGCGGTGTATCGTTGCAAGCGATAGTTGGAGCATTGGTAGCTTGGAACAGCAAAAACGCCGTCTATCGCTATTCAAGAGTTTCATGTCTATCAGTACCGGCAAACATGAAAAGCCAGGAGAAAAATCCTAGGTGGATTGATGTTATTGATACTCCGTACACTGCGCAGAATTAATTTGGAAGATAATTATCAATTTTCACGTGCAAGCGGTGAGGTCAAGTTAAAGTTTGCACTGCACGCCTTTAGTTATGCCAAAAATACACTAGTTGGCCCGAAAGAGATGACATCATCGCCAGATGAATCGCTTTCTCTCCATACCATACCATACCCACAACCAACCACAAGCATTTACTTTTTCGTTTCCTGTCATTCAGCTTTATAAGATTAGTGTTAAACTCTCTTTCTAAATTTCTACGGCTAATCTGCTCCAGCGATCAACTAACCCTTTAAAAGGGATGCGGATCCGCTCGGGTTTCAAATCACCATCAGACCATCCATTCTATTCTCAATTGATACTATCGAATATCTGGCGGGCTTACACACAATGCCTTATAACGCCCTATCCGTCAGCGTCGCAGTGACACCCACTATAATCTCAACATTTCTATCCCATGTAAATCCGATCCACAAATTTCTTCACAAGGTACCTCTACTTCAAACATTGGAAGACTAAAACCAGATCTAGTATACAAATCGCAAAGCCAATCGATCGAAGCCTACGGCACGTATTTCCTACCATCAAGGTCTTCGTATCATTCGCGAATTCTTATACCACTCCTCTCTCCATACCGTTGAACAATTGCAGACTTTCACGTCCCAGTGGGTCCCTAGCCCTAGGTGGATAAAGGTAGATAGGGTTAGAATTCCCGACGACCATCTGGCATCAGCAGCAGACCTCATTATTATCCAACTGGGCTCTGAAGGGCTGTCACAGGTTGGAGGCAACAAATGGTGGAAATGGAGGGGGAAAAAGCCCTCGCTTGAAGGGGAGTGGGTAGAAATGCAGCGCGATTTTGCCGACCGGCAACGGCAAGGTGTCCGTTGCAATCGAGTGATGCTATATATACATGGGGGAGCATACTATTTTGGGAGCCTGAATTCACATCGATATCAGATACAGAGACATGCAAGGAAATTGAAAGCTAGAGTTTTGGCTCGGTAAGTCGATGCACACCTGTTATTTTATACGGTATCACACAAGCTAACCTGCGGATAGTAAGTTTGAAAGCTTCTGATAGTCATTTTGCGGATGACGGCATATATAAGCTCGTAGCATCTAACAATTCACAGCTGCCTATCGGTTGGCCCCACAATTTCCCTTCCCGTGCGCGTTGCAAGATTGCCTTGCGGCTTACCTATATCTTTTAAGCATGTATAAACCGTCGGAAATCATAATAGCCGGTGACTCTGCGGGGGCTGGGATGGCATTGTCGTCAGTGACCAATCGATATATTTACACCTCCAAACAAGGGTTCCGTAACTAACATTGCAGTTAGTATCATGGTGACTCTTCGCGATCAAAGAATGCCGTTACCTGCGGGTTCCATCCTAATATCTCCATGGGTTGACCTAACGCACTCATTCCCATCTGTGGCCGGTGACGGAGCTGGGGATTATATTCCTCCCTACGGTTTCATGCACCGTCCTTCTATATCATGGCCTCCTCCAAACTCTGACGAATTGGATGCCATTACCAAGGCGGGGGAAGCTGCCCGAGTTGATGGGAGCTTACGCACTTCAAGCCCTACCTCGAGCAGTGCCAAGGATGCTAAGGCTGCTGGACGAGGTTCCTATCGTCGGACACCGTCGGTAAACAGCAAGTCCACCTCCGTGGGAGGCCGGTCTTACGTCTCCTCAATATCTCAACCTCATGATATATTCCATAATCGAAATCGCCCCCTGGTGGTCGAAATCGATGGAGAACTCGTTGAATTGAAGGATCAGATCCATATGTACACCACAAATGAATTGCTCTCACACCCGCTTGTTTCCCCTGTCCTCCAGCCATCATTGGGCGGGTTGCCCCCAATGCTGGTCCTTACCGGGAGCGCAGAGCTCCTTCGTGATGAGCAAATTTATCTAGCCCATAAAGCTGCTGACCCAACTTACTTCCTACCAAGCGAGGAATACCTAGACCGTCACGATCCCGACCGCCGGGCTATAAATAGATATCCGCCAACGTTCGTCCAACTCCAAGTTTGGGATGGTCTTTGTCATGTTACCCCTACTCTCAGCTTCACTCGCCCTGCAAAGTATATGTTTCGATCGATAGCCCAATTCGGAGCTTGGGCGTTGGCTCGAGCCCAGAAGAGAGGCATTGATATTCCTAGCCATGAATCGGAGATTTCATCAAGTGAATCTGATAACCTGCACACATCGGCTCAGAAAAGCGCGCCACCCAGCCCATACTCAGGCTTCACTACGATTGGGAAGGCTGGCGATCCTCTTCCCCCATTCGAGGACTACATGATCCGCCAACGGGTTGATGACAAAGGTAACATATATCCCTTAGCAGCGCGATCCCATCTTCCTGCCCTACAAATGCTGCCCGAGGAAATTGGTGTCCCCAAACCAGGCCCAGTGTCAAAGTGGCTGAGAGCCAAGGAGGCATGGGATATTAAGTTTGCAAAGCAGAAATCAGCTGTGCAGCAACAAAGGCTGCAAGAGATTAAACAGGGAATTGGCGTATTTCGACATGGTGAATATCCTCCGCCAAGTTCATTGGCATCGAGAAAGGACACTTTTGTTGCCTATGAAGAGGGAGAACATAAAACGAACCGCGCTATGTGGCTATGGAGTCGCATGGCAGGAAAACATGATACGGAGGCTATAGAAAAGCCGAAAACATCAGGAGGAAAGGATATTCGTGTTAATCCGAAATCAAGTGTGCCCAAATCACTCTCTAGAAAGGTTTCGCTGCGGGAAAAATTTTTGCCACGAGTCAAACGAATACAGAGCCACTCACGTCAATCGCAAACCGTATTGGATCTTGGTCAGGCGTCCGAATCATTTCCAATGATTGAGCCTCCCCCACGTTCTGCGAAAAGAACTAGCGCACAGGTAGGTCTCGACGCGACAACTTCCGGCCTACAGCCGCCAGAAGAATTCCAGCCGGGATTTTCCGCTGGTCCTCGGTTTCTGAATCACGACCGATATGCCAGACGGCCCTCGTCCGTATACACGGATGACGCAAGTGCAAGGTCAATAAAAAAAGATGCGGAGGGCGTTATTTCTCCGCTCTTCAGCAGATCGAGGCCAGACATGGGATTTAAAACTCCACGTGAGACCCCGGATACATCTGTAATCCCTGACCCACCTGTCCCAGAGCAGAATGTCATGGAGAGCATTGGTGGTCAGTTTGACGGTGAGCGGAGTGAAATCGCATGTGCCTCTCATGGCCAGTTGCCCGTTGAGCGGGAGGCCGCGATAGGCGGCGATGTCAGCGAGGATACACATGGCGTTCAGCTATTTGGACGCAAAAAAGGGAAGTCCAGGTATGACTTTGAATTGGCTAGATAGTTTTCTGTCAACATTTGAGACGGTTACATTTCCGAGATGAAGATTTCATCACGCTTATCTCGGGAACTCAAGGAAGGCCTTAAAGCATAGTGTTAATGGACGGGTAGGGGAACCCCGGCCAGATGAGTTAACTGGCGTATTTATTTTCTATATTTCGTCTCTCTTACCTTTCCTTTTTCTTTCTTTTCTGCCATTCGTTTCTTGCATGCTTCCAAATGTTGCTGGGATTTCATGTTCTCTCTATTGCCATTCGCGAGCTATTTTATTGACCGCTATTTTCGCAGTTGAAACAGACTGTGAGCGGACGGTATCATATTCGGTTCTATTTAAGAAAGGGATATTAGCTAGCCAAAAGGGCCTCTGCAGCAGGTCTCGTTAACACTGCGTTTGAGTCATCATGCCAACATATGATGAAAAAGCATACTTATAAAAATACACGGATATCCAACCTACAAGGGGCCGGATTTTCTCATCGCCATTCCAGCCCAACCTTGCGCACAATTTGCTCGGCAACACTCATAAACGCATTTCTCCTCGTACTTCGCTCGTCGCTCTCTTCCGCCACAACAGTAGGCATGCCCCTATCCGCATCTTCACACACACGCGCATCAAGTGGAATGTCGCCCAGGAAATCTATACCAAGCCGCTCACAAGCCGCCACCACGCCCCCGTTGTTGTGCGAGTCAGAACCATGCGCATGTCCCGCCTCCAAATTATCCCCTGATGGCTGCGATGGTCCCTTCCGGGAGAATATCTTCGTCTCCTTGCCGCAATGCGGGCAAGCGAAATAGGCCATGTTCCTAACCATGCCCAGGACGGGGACGTGCAACTTTTCAAACAAACCAAATCCCCGCACTGCGTCACGTAGAGCAATATCCTGAGGCGTTGATACGATTACGGCTCCGTCTAGAATTATTTCCTGGCCAATGGTAAGCTGTACATCGCCTGTCCCTGGAGGAAGGTCGAGTATAAGGATGTCAAGAGGACCCCAGGATACGGAGTGCAAAAGCTGGTGCATTGCTTTCGTGACCATAAGGCCGCGCCACGATATGGGAGTTGTATCCATTAAGGGCGAGGTTGGATCGTCGGTGAGGTGTTTAGCGTCGGCGGGTGGAGGGGGAAGGAGATATCCCATGGACATGGATTTGAGCCCGTAATTCGTAAGGGGGACGAGACAATTATCTGAAGTTTGAAAAAGTAGTTAATTTTCATGGCTCTAGTAGATAATTCAAGGAATCATGCAAGGTTTCATACGTTCGTCCAGACGTGGTTCTCCTGAGAGATTTAGAAGGGTTGGTATGGAAGGACCAAAAATGTCTGTGTCGAGAATTCCGGCACGGATGCCTTGACGGGCCATAGCCAGTGCAAGATTCACTATAAATGTATTCAGCTAATGGTTCACTGAGAAAGCGCCGCACTCCGGTCAACGCGGGCACGGAGAACTCAAGATACTGCGCACCAGCAATTGTAGACTTCCCGACTCCGCCCTTGGCGGACGAGACTGCAACGACCTTATTGACATCCCGGATTTTCCTTTTTTCTGGGAGGCCTCGTCGACGAGGGAATGATGGAGGAGTTCCAGACCGGGGCAAGCCCTGGAATCAGCATCTTAGTTTGGTACATCGGAATCGGAAAAATAGGTAGGTAGAAATGATGAAGTATGTACCAGCGGATTGTCATGGTGAAGAGGTCGCAGTGTGGAAAAGAAGTTGCGGCGCATTTTGACTGAGAACAATTGATTCTGAATTACCTTCATGTTGGCGTTCACATCATGATAAATATGATCCCGATTCAACTCTCCCGTCTCCAATATCATCACGATGAAGCTTTCCTACCATAGGGGAAGAACGTAGGGTTAATTTACGGTGATTACACCGTGGATCCACCATTCCACCCGTGTCACGTGTCGCTGATCATAACACATGTTCCACCATTATATTCAGCAACATGTCACTGAATATTAAATGTCAAGATGGTGTTGAGATGGTGCAGAACTTTCTAACATCATCATAACACTACTCAGTAACTGTGTAATTGACAGATGCCATCATCAGAATACTACTAAGATATTATGAGACACTGTATACTGTTCTATCAGTGAAATCAATATACTATTAAGCTAGTTATCTGATCAACTATCTATCTAAAGAAATAAGATATCTCAATTGTAATACAAATATCTTGTTACTTGAGACTCATATATCAAATGATTATCATTTTTATCACTATTCTGTATTAAAATGTTATACAATGCTGTCTTTTAAACTGCCAGCAGTTTAATAATAGTGTAATTATTAGAATTCTCTTGTAAAATCAGCAGATTCAGTAGATAATTATGCATGATATAATATAGAGAAATAAGTGTAAAGAAAATTCACTTGACTTCTCTTATTTCATGAATAAATATGATTATAATTCAGTCAAGCTCTGTTCTCTGATATTAAATAATATTCTCTTTTATAAGAGAGATTCAGTAAATGCAATCTCTGATTTATATATTAATAAGTCAATAACTGATTGATTAATTAATTGATTAAATAGATATACTGAACTAAGAATGTTAACTTATTATAGAAAAGTATTGAATAATGACCTGATTTTAAAACTGAGAACTTATTTCAATCAGTATTATAGAATTCTCATAGCTTATTAAGAAATGAATGAAGTAATTCAAGCTTAAAGAGATTTATAAATTATATACTGACTTTCTCTGATATCTTACTTAATAATAGATGATTAAAAATCTTCAGAGTAATATAATCTTTTATTAACTTTAACTTAATAGAGTAGTTTAGTGAATTATTATTCTTATCTTCAGCTTCTTCATTTATTCTCAGCAGATTATTAAACAGTGCTGAATAAACTGTATATAAATCTTGAATCTTCTGTGTCAGATGTATGTCAAAGCTGTTAAAGAAATCTCTTAATATTAGTTATAAAGTTTGATGAAAGCTCTTCTATAAGAGTAGTATCTTTTTCATATCTTGATAATTTATTCACTGCATTAAATTCTTATAGTTTTAATACTTATTCTCTCTCATCAGAATATTACAGTTGTTAAATACTGTATATTCTTTAATCTGCTTAATATAATATAAATTAATATATATATTCAGCTGTTTCTTCATATATTATATAAGCTTTGCTTTTTTTATATAATCACTGATATGTGTGATGACAGTGCTCATAGTTAAAGCAGAGAATGACTGATGATTAATAATTGAACTAGTTTAAAATAACTTAAATGTTGCTACTGCTCTGACTGCTGCTTTAATAAGAAATTATAGTTATTAACAGACTCTTAGTATAATTTAATAAGTCACTTCAGAATCATTTTCTCTCAGTGATTGAGATATCAATAGACTATTACTTCTTATAATAACTGTATATATCTGAATAATAAGATTAATAGATGATTGATTTAATACTGAAAATACTACAGAAATAATCTATTTAATTACTGAACTAAGTCATTTCTCTCTGAGCTTATACTGCAAGATAAGAGATATAATGATTAAAGCTTGAGTATGTTCTTAAAGCTGATACTTCTTGAGATGAGTGATCAGTGACTGCAGATAATTTCAACTGTAAGAAAAAGAAAATATCTATAATATTTAAAAGTATTCTAGCTAATTATACAGTGATAAGACAGTACTGATTAATAATAAGTATGAAATCTCTGATATATCAGTAAACTTACTATGATATGAATCAGATGAGAAAAAAGAGATTAAATTCAAACTTAAATATATCTGAAAAAGAAATACAGTCTGTGATATTATTTCTTACTCTTAATACATTTAATCTCTATATATGAGATTTGACAGATTATTCAGTTTAGCTTAAAGATATTATATATAATAGTGAAATCAGCTGTTATTACATAGATTATAGTTCAGATTCAGTCAATTCTTATTATTAATAAAGCAGCTTCAGTATAATCTTCTTACTGTTGATTCTTTAATCTCTATATTACTATTTTACTGCAGTATATCTTCAAGAAATGCAATATAAGATGCAATCACTCTCATCTTTTTTTCATTAATATTCATTATAACTCTCTTATAATTTAATATAAATAAGTTATATGATAATACAGCAACTGTGTCAGAAAAATTGATATTATAAAGATTAAAGATTAAAATAAAAATATTATTTCACTTTAAACACTTAACAGCACTTAATACAGAAATTAAATAAAAACTCATCAAGCTTCAGTACATGTTTTGATATAAATCAAATTCATCAATAAATAATTAATATAATAGAGAAATAACTTGTATATCAGAATAAAATATGCTTTTCAAAAGATTTTATTCATATACTGTAATTTTCAACTCAGTCTGAATTAGTGAAGATTTATAATATAATTATATCTCAATAACTTCAGTTTTGATTCTCATGATCTGATGAAGAAAATACTGATCTTGACTCTTATATATCAGCAGATCAGAACCTGATTCAAATACTGTATTTATATAAATATTAAGTTAATTGAGAACTTAAATAATTGAGATATATTTCATCTCATTCTTTATTACAATTATTTTGAAGAGACTAAATAATGAATTCAAGAACAGTAATCTTTATACAGTTTGCAGAGTATAATGAACAGCTTCTTAAACTTTCAGAACTATTATATAAGATCTCATGTCTGAATATTGATAATTATATCTGATAAAATACACTCTCTTAATGTGAGATATATCATTTAATTCTGATTTGTAAAAGCATTCAAGATTTTCACACTGATACTGAATAAAATCAGAAGAAAAAATAGGTTTATTTAATGAATATTATATAAAGTCATCAGAATAATATTTAACTGAGCTTCTTCAACTGTGAGATTATTATAACTCTGTGAGATTGTTGACAATTTCTGTCATTTCTATATACATTTATTGCTGAAAAGTTGGGAATTTAAGAAGAGCAGATATCAAGAGAATCAGATTTTAAAAGTAGAGTAATCTCATAGAGAATTCAGTGAGATTTTTCTGAGCAGAACTCAGAGTTGATATTTACATTGATAATACTATTGAAATTAAGGTTTTCTTAACTGATAAAATCAGAAATTATGCTCTGTATTGCTTTTTCAGAGTTGAGAGATCTTCTGAGAGCAGACTTATCAGTGATGTATTCTTCAATAAATGCAGAATTTACATTAATGATTTATAGTTTTTTCAGAAAATATCTGACTCTTCAGCTCAGAGTCTTATTATCAGAATAAATGAATTCATTTCAAAGTTACTATGTTTATGAGATATATCAATTGCTGAATCAGAATCAATAAATTGATCAGTAATAGTAACAGCAATTGTATCAGCAGCTGGCATTTTAATATTATCAGTGACTGACTCATCAGAATTCTCTTGATCATCATTTTCAGAAATATTCTTCTCAGCAGCTGCTTTCAAAAGTCACTTAATATACTTAATATTATCAGCAGCATCCTCATTATATGACTCTGTCTTTAGAGAATGTTAGTTTTTATAATAATAGAGATATTAAAAGTGATAAACTTACTGAAAATAGTAATACTTCTTCATCAGAAGTATCATTATTGAAATCACTTTCAGTGAAATCTTCATTTACAGTTTCTGAGAAAAGAAGGCTCTGAGATTAAAATTCTGATTGATCATTTCTAAATTCTTGTTTAGAGATAGATAGTAGATAGTGTTTTAGATTTTAATTAAACAGACACAACATTTTGCTTTCTGATATGATTTATAGAAAAAAGTTATGTAGTTGAAAAGATATAAATGAAGTGAATGAGTGATTTTGATAAAATAAAGAGATAAGATTGAATTATTAAAAAGAGATATATTAATAAGAGCTGCAATCAGCAACAATCTACATTAATTTAATATTAACAATTAAACTACTTTCTTTGTTTCAAAATTATATTTCTGCAATTTGTTGAAATTCATATCACAAATTTATCAGAGTTTCATCAAGATTCTGAAAATGAATATTGTTATGAATTCTGCTCTACTAGATCTCTTCAAACTCTCTCATCTGATAGATTTAATGAGACAAATTGCTGATTTTAAAAGAAATCTGATATTGATATATCTAAACATAGAACAAATATAATAGTAGTAATGATGAATATCAGTCAGATGAGAAGAAGTCAAACTCATCACTGATATTAAACAGTCTGTTAAAAAGACATTACTGAACTCAGCATCTGAATACAGAAATGTATGAGAAGGAAATTCAGCTGACAGAGCAGCATCTGCATCTGAAGATAAAATGAATGTATTTTCTTTCTTTTAACAAAGATAATTTGAATTGAATAGTTATAAGCATGATAAAAACAAAGAATAAAACATTATACATCTTTTCATTCAGTAGAATGATGATGCTGAATGCAATTAAAACATGAAAGTTCTGAACTCTCAAAGAAATGAAGATAAGTAGTATTAGATTTTAGCAAATATATCAACTTTTCAGTGAGATATTAAAATTTTTTTAATTAACTTAGCTAATCATTTATTAATATAGAATCATGTTCAATAGAAGAAGACAAAGAGCAGAGAAAGTTCAGCAGTAATTGAATTATATAACTGCTGTAGCGTACGCTGCTACGTAGAGTCAGATATAAGAGTAAAAACTTGTCTTATTCTCTTAAAGATGGGAGATGGGTGTACGCCCTTATATATACAGTGATTGTTCTATAGAGATTAGCTCTTGTAGAAGGGGCAATTGCCTATGAAGAGAAGGACAGAGACTCTGTAGAGAAGGAGTGAATGCTCTCATAGAAGAAGCAATTGTATATGAAGAAAAGAATGAAGGCTCTGTAGAGAAGAAGTGAAAGCTCTCATAGAAGAAGTGATTGCATATGAAGAGAAGGGCAGAGAGAGAAGATAGAAGTGAAAGCTTCAGAAAACAGCAAGGAATGAAGTGGAAGCTAGAGCTGAATAGGGAATTGACTTGGATAGGGGGCAGAAGCATGCCACAGTCCCTCTATCTGAAAGGATGTGTTCGCAGAGAAGAAAAAAATGATGTTAAAAAAAGATGATGGATATCGCGGGCGCTAGGCCCAAAGGGGTGGATATTGTTCAGAAGTGCTAGTCTGTTTACATATGCTGCAGATATCATAGAAAAGAGGAGGCTGAGTGATAGAATCACTTGTTCATATAAAGAGTGATCAGATGTAAGAATTGTTTATCTCTACAAAGAATGAAAGATGTAAGAATGACTTGAAAAGAAATGATAAGAAAGAGACAGAAGTTCTTTAATCTAAAAACAGCTGTAAGAAAAGAAAGGGATTGTAAAGAAATTACAAGAAGCTTGAATGAGAAAGAGTTCTTTGATAAGATAGATGAGGATGGAAGTTTCATTGTAGCAGAGAGAAGGTTCTGTGAGTGATAGAGATCAGTGTAGATGAATGATTGCATCAATATATATATTATGATCACTTTCTTCTTATTCTTCTCTTATTTCTCATACATCTCACTAAAATTTAACATAGTGGAATTAGCGAAAATCGCGACATACAGAAGATTAGATCATGGAAATGATAAGTCTTAAGAAGAAGTTGACAGCCATGAAGACAGGTGCAGTGAGCATGGTGAAAAAGGCCTTGATCTTAGAGAAATTGTTTCAGTTGTTAAGTCAGGAGAAGTGTGATGCCCTTCTTCATATGAGTGATAGAGAAGAGAAGGTGGGTGAGAAGACTGATGAAGAGAGAACAGATGAGAATGAGATGAAAGAAAATGATGAAGATGAAGAGTTAGAATTCTGAATAGATGAGCTTCTGACACTATTAACTTATCTTTCCACATACAAAGTGATCAAAGGCCAAGATAAAGAAAAGGCAGTAATGTCTTGTCATCACTCAGCTAGACTGCATGGTGCTGCTGCAGAAGAGTCAACAGATGAATCATATAATAGAAGCTTGAAGGGCTAAGAAGAATCTAAGACTGTGATGTGAAAGCTTATAACACTGTTTATTCATTTGAAAAAGTTATGACTGTTCACACGCCAGTTTTCAGAAGAAGATGTTGAGATGAATGAGAAGAGAGAGAGTCAGAAGGCTGCTGTGAAAGCAGTCAGTGATGAAGAGCTGTAAGTAGAACTGAAAGCAGGAGCTGAATGAACAGATATAAATGCTGAAGAACTGTTGCTGATGAAAGAGAATAAGAAGCACTGAAGAGCTAGTCAGAAGCAACATGAGACTCTGAGTGATGATGTTTTAAGGAAGTTGAGACAGAAGAAGAATGTCAAGAGTGATCAGATGCCTTGGCTGTATGACACAGTATATATGAGACACCTGCATTATGATGACAAGACTGACTTGCACTTCTGGCAGAATGACAAGCTCGCTTGCCTGAGCATGTCAATCATGCAGGACCTGACTGTGAAGGGGCTTGCAGATGCTGTCTTGATCATTGAAAGACTTGCAGGACATAGTGAGAAGATGTCATTTGTTGATTGTGAATTTTTTGTTTTATTCAGTCAGTGATTGATTAAAGATTTGAGACAGTTATCTGTCAAGTGAAAGTTGCACTGGTGAATGAATAATGATGAACTAATCACTTCACAGACTGTCAATCCTAAGGGTTCTGCTAATTGAGATGTCATTATTCTGCAGACCTGTGGGGAAATAGCTTCTATGTCATGTCAGTGTTGCGCGAAGGGCCAGGGGTGATTCAAGAAATGTGTGGTCACCTCTGCAGATGATAAACAGACATGGCAAGGACATGATACTTGTGCCAACTGTCAGTGGAGAAATAAGGGGTCCCACTGCTCTTTAAATTGCTGTAGCCAGTATGAACTCAGGTGAAACACAGATAACTTGCTGTTTGAAGAAAGTGTGCCTGGATTTGAAAAAGGCTGTGGCTGAGGAGGTGGATGTTGATGACATTATTGAGGTCAGTGATATGAAGAAGAAGGACAATTCAACTATAGTTTCAATGAAAGAGAATGCCTACACCTTTCAAGCACAAGGTGTTGAGTCTGATTGTGCTGAAACTCTTGAAATGCATTCAAATCAGTGAGCAGGGCATCTTAACACCTGTGAAGGTGAGTGATGAGGTGAAGACAAGTCATTTAACCTCTACTAAGATGATCAATGAGGCCAAGATGAGTGATGTGTGATGATTGTTGATCCTGTCTTCTGAAGGTCGCATGATCAATTGTAGAGCTCAAGATCTGAAGGTGCTGAGACAGCTGCCTAACCTTAACAAGCATAATCTGGACACTGTTCAGGCCGCGCGGAAGGAACTGAACAAGATAGCTGAGTTTGTCAATGTGATTTCAGCTGTGAAGAATACTGTGACTAATAATTATTTCTTTAAGTTGCTCAGCGGGGTGCATTTCAGTGATCTTGTGAATGAGAGATTGTTAACAGATGTTGCATTTTGAGATGCATGTCTCACTGAGCAGGAGGTCAAGCTGTAGAAAGAGCTTGAAGATGATTGATGAGAAGAGATGAAGTGAAATGATGAAAAGAGTGAAAGATGATGATTTTCTTATTTTCTTTGTTTTCTCATTTAATAGCTAAAATTAGATTGCAATACATTTTCTTTCTTTCTTTCACTCTGTTTCTATTTTACTTTTCTTTCTATTGTTTACTCAGCTGACCGCGAGGCTTCTTGGTCATGAAGACCTTGACCAGGTGCAGAGTGTCTTGTGTGATGACTTTAAGAAGCTCTCAGATCAGGTCTTCATATCTCTTTCACTTAATCTGAAGATAAGTCTTGCTGTTCTCTGTGCACTTTCTTATGATATTTTCAACTTCAAATTGCAACTGATTATCAACAAGTACTGATTCTGATGATGAGTGCTTCATATCTGCTCCTGTTAACATGGTCTTTTTCAGGTGAATGATGAAGATTACTGAGTGCATTCATCAACTGACTGACAGTTTCAATTGAAATGTAGCATCTGATACTTTCTGAAGAATGTGAAATGAGCCTACCTGTAAGAGTGATAGCTTGAACATCTCTTTTAATGTATAGCTCTTTTGAGCTTTTTGAGTGAGGTTCAAGAAGACCCAATCATCAATCTGAATAGTTGGTTGAGAATGAGATTGATCAAAGAACTCAGCCATTCTAGCTTTTGCCAGAGTGTATAAGTCAAGAATGTCTTACCACACTGTATCTCACATGATGATGAACTCAGCTACATCTAGCAGAGCTTTCTCATTGTTCAATGACAGTCATCTAGGCTTTACACTCATGAGCAATTTGAAGAGAGAGATCATTGCTGACTGTGCAGCTACTGAGTTCAATACTCTTTTCACTTGTTCAAGCAGAGCAGTTCAATTTGCTTCATATTCATCTATAAGAAGTGTTTGCAATGTGACTTCAACTGTGAGATTGATTCACTTGCTTTGACTGTTTGAGTGAGAATTGTAGACAGTTGTCATCCATGCCTTAATTTCCATGAGTTGAAGGACTAACTTTCAAAATTGTGATGTAAATTTGAAGTCTCTATCTGAAATAATTGTCAGTGAAGGCTGTCAGTGACAGATCATCTTCTTATAGAAGTCTTCTGCTCATTGTGAAGTATCTCATTGTTCCTGTTCTGCAATTAGAATTACTGCTTTCAAAAATTTGTCTGTGACTGTTAATATAGTATCATGATTGTTGCTCACAGATAATCCTGTAATAAAATCAATTGAAAGAACTTCAAACAGCTGTTTTGAGGGTGAGATGAGGTGTAATTTGCCCCCTGACAAGTGATTCAGTGATTTGACTAGTTGGCAATTGAGGCATTGCAATAGATGGTCCAGGATTCTCTTTCAGGCATGGGGAAGGAAGAAGAACTGGTGAATAAGGTTTTCTGTTTAATGAAGGCCAGGGTGACCTGCTGTGTTGTGACACATATGGATGATGTCTCGCGCCAGTGATTTGGGGATACAGAGATGTGATTCTTTGAAGAACAATAGCCTGTCCCGCACTGTAAATGACTGGTATCACCCTTTCTGGCTGGCCTTGTGAAAGATCTTTCCCAATGCTGAGTTGTGGGAAATATCTTGATGTAGTTGCTTTTTGAATTTGTCAGCAAGCTCTATTACTGTAGTTGAAACCATACATATCTTCACTGAAGATGTGTCTGTCATCAGTCCACCTGCCTGATTGATGATGGCCTGGTGGATTTTTTTCTGCTCTTCAGAGAGAATCTCTTCTGAATCATTATCTAGACAGTGCAACCTGAATAGGGTGTCAGCATTAGTATGTGCAGTGTTCTTGTGATAGCAGATTGTCATCTGTGAGAGATATGAGCTTAGAACTAAGGCTCAATTTGCCAGTCAGTTGCTATGATGACCTATTACCAGTGACTGAAAAGTGGACACAAGAGTGACATGATCTGTGACAACTGTAAACTCACTGTCTAAATACTGTGATAATTTCCACAGGGCTCATATGAGTTCAAGACACTTCAATTCAGTTGCTCAGTAGTGCTTTTCAGCTGTGCTTAATCAGTGAGAGAGAAATAGAACAGGTCTTTCAATGTTATTCATTTCAACTTGATGTAGGGCTACTCTGATACCTCTTTGCTTGCTGGTGTCCATGTATAATATGAAGGGACATTTAAAGTTGGGATATGCCTGAGTGAGGGCGTTCATCAAGACTTGCTTTATCATGTTAAACAAATGTCTGGCTTCTGTGAGCAGAGTGTGAAACTGCAGCAAGTTCTTAAATCTCATCAACTTGGTCTTAGCTGCATATGATGCTCTTTTCTGGCTCATTTTTGAACTGTTATACAGCAACTTGATCTTGAGAGTCTCTAATGCTTTCATCTGATCTGCATAAAAACTGATAAAATTGTGATAATAATTGAAGAGGCTGATGATTCCTTCTAGTTCTCTGAGTGTTATAGAGAAGACTAGATTAGCAATAGCAGCTACTTTCTCTTCTTGAGTAGATATGTCTAGTCAGCTGACATGATGACCCAGCAAACACACTGAGAGATATGCGAAATGACATTTAGTTAATGACATTGTTATCCCAGATGTCTCAAGAGCTGTGAAGACTTGCTGTATATGATGAAGATGTTCATTCAGTGAGTGAGAGAAGATGATAATGTTATCTACATAGACTAATACAAATTGTCATAGGAATTTCACTAGGATCTCCTTCATACACTGTTGAAAGAACTCAGGTGAGGTTGTCAATCTCATTGTGACAACTGTAAAATGTTCAAGATCTCAGTGTGAGATCACAAATGTGGTTTTGAAATGATCACTCTGTTCAATTGCTTGTTGAAAGAAGTCTTGACAGATATTCATGAATGAGAATATCATAGAACTACTGAGTGATTGCAACATATCTTGTTATGTCAGTAGGGAATATGTATTGAGGAGTAAGTGTGTGTTTACTTTTCACAAATCAATCATCACTCTTGACTTCTTCCTAAGCCAGACCACAAAGGCAGGTGAAGCAATGAGGTTTCTGTCTCTGAGAGAAACATGTTCAATTCTTCTATCTTACAGGAGTGAGTTCAGAATCTGGTCAGCAGCTTCGCGATCTCTTTGAGACAGAGAATAGAGTCTCTGTTTCAGGCTGGAAAAGTTGCTCTCATCAATGAACTGCAGTGACATCTTAACATTGTCTGAAAATAAGCCTAGGCTGAAGCTAAATAGTTTATGATGTCAGTTGATGATCACTTGAATGACTGCTCAGTCTTCTGCTGCTCAGTGATCTGATACATCTACTTGAACTCACTTGATAAGAGTGTCTGCTGTGGGAATTTGAAGTGGATTATCCTGGTCTTCTGCATCCGCTAAATATAATTCAATGTACAAGGTAGGAAACAGAGAATCTTCTCAGTCAGAATGATGAATGATGTTGACATTGACAGCACAAATGACAATCTTCTTCCACTGCTGGGGTGGCTGTGGGTTTGACAGGCATCTACCTGTGCGGATAGCATCTCTGATGGTCTTGGTGTTTATGAAATATCTTTCATGAAATGTAACAAGTTCACCATGAACATTGATAGTTGCTTTCACTGATGATAATACATCATTAGCTATGATTATATTGCATCTGAGATATCACACTAAGTGGAATTCATCTTCAACAATGAAAAGAGAATTGTTGTCTGCTCTCAAGATAAGGTCTGTTGTTATGAATAGATTTGATTCATCAGCTTCTGAGCCAACTTCTCAAATGCCCACATGTTGATCATGCGGCATAGAGGTTGGTTGATAATGAGGGAAGAATAGGTTTGCTATTATTGTGTTGATAAGTGATATACCTGTGCCTGTATCCATACAAACAGAGAGATCGCCTTGTAGTGTAATGATGAGAATGATGAGAAAGGTGTAAGACAAATACTGTAGTCTGCTAATGTATTCTTGATCACTTATAGAGATATCACGCGCTGCAACTGCATATATGTCAGCATTAAAGATGTTTTAATAATCATCTGAGAGAATATCTGTAGATAAGATGAGCCTCTCAGTGCCCGCCTTGCTGGTTATTTTTCTGACTCACTGTCAGAATCTAGACTGAGGTCTAGATTCAGCAGCTCATTGTCATCTTTCTCAGTACTCTTCAGTTTGACTTGATTCACTGAATGATTGCTGTTCTCCTCTTTTTTGAGACAGCAGTTGATGTAATGAGGGCCTCCGCAGATGTAGCACTCTGCTGCAGGCACCAGCAGTCTTCCTCCTTCTGTTGTACACTGAATCAGCAACTTACTCATTGTGAGGGCACTCATGAGAATCACTGCTGTCTCTGTGATAGACACAGATGGCTTTGTAGCTTCTGTCTACTTGAACAGAGAGATGTGATATGAGCAGCAGTCATTATTCTGTTCAAAACATCTGGAACTACACATGTAGTTGATGAATTAAGTCTTCTGATCAGTTCAGGCATGTCAGATGACTGACTCATTGTCTCTAATTTGTTATCAGAAGTCATTCAATTGTTCAGTGAAAATGAGCGGTGTGATTAAGAAAAGATTGAACTCTAAACCCTCTCACAAGAGCCTCTTTATCATAATGAGGTCAGAGATTGCAGTGGCTTGCAGTAAGTTAATCTTCTGTGAGATGTATAACACCAGAAGCAGTTCATCTGACTTCTCAAAGAAAAAATACAGAGTCTGAGCTTTCATTCAAGCTTCTTCTTCTGATAGCTGGAACTCGCGTTTTAACTCATCAACAGTGATAGAGAGAGAGGCATTCATATCCTTTCTCATTTTGATAGACAGATCATTATGTCATTTCAACACCTGACTCTTCAGGCACAGAGAAAACATGCAGAGAACTGTGTTGTCTCTCTCCTGCATGGTGATGAATTCCAAGTGACTGACAAACACCATTATGTCTGTTTCTGCTGGGTTGAATAGCATGATGTTGTCAGCCTGTAATCTCGCTGGCCTATCATCACTCCATGCAGATGAATGGGGTC